TAACCCTAACCCTAACCCTAACCCTAACCCTAACCCTAACCCTAACCCTAACCCTAACCCTAACCCTAACCCTAACCCTAACCCTAACCCTAATAACCCTAACCCTTTAACCCTAACCCATAACATTCTGGCGCGTTTGCAAGTTATCTTTGGTCTTCGGACCTATGGCCTAACTCCGGCTTGGCGCGGAGTTCGGGTCGGAGATATTGTATCTCCGAAGATAACGCCGATTTCGGCCGAAACCCCTCTTCTTTCGGCCGAACCCCGCTTCGGCAATTGACGTCGGCAGATTTACCCCTCGTACGAGACCTAAGGATCAGCCCACTTGTTGGGGTTCCCAACATTTGGGCAGCGACCGCCCCGAAAGGGGCCCGGTCGGCGGCGCCTTTCGCGACCGTTTCCTTGAACTTATGTACGAAGGGAAATCCGTACCCTTCGACACTTCTGCCCTGACGAGCCACACACGGCGAAACTATCTTTATCCTCGTTCGGAAAGGTAGTCGGCTTATTGTGTTTGTGTTCGTCAACGAATTCTACATTGAACGTTGCACTTTTTCCATTTTAACCCTAACCCTAACCCTAACCCTAACCCTAAAAGGGGATATAAGGAAAAATTATAAATTTATATAAAAAAAAAAGAATTATTTTAAAAATTTATTAAAAAAAAAAAAAAGATTAAAAATTTATTATTATAATAAAGGTAGATTAAGGAGCTATAAATAGTAAGAATAAAATAGCTAGACGTTAAAGCACTATTTGGATTAAAACTAGACTAAACCAAACTAAACTAAATAAAAAAAAAAAAAAACCAAGGTAAAACTAAATAAATATAAAGGAGTTAAAAAAAGAACGGTAAGGGCTAATAGGATTAGAACTTATATTATTAAATTAAATTTATACTTTTTTCAATCATAGCTATATTAATTTAAAACTAAGTTGTTTAAAGGGCAAAGGGGAAGGAATTAAGAATTTTAATAACCTTATTGTTATTAAGCCTTACAGTTATAAAATTAAGCAGTAAAAAGTTCTAAACTAAAACGTTAATATTATTATAATAAAAAGATAATAAAAATAAAAAATAGGGGAATAAAGGTAAAAACTTATTAAAAAAGAATTATAAAAATTCTCTTTAATAAAATATTAAGCTATAATAACTATATTTTTAAGTTAGAAATAGAATAACTAAAAGTCCTCTTAAATATAAACTTCTTCTTTATTACCGGAGTAAGGATATAGCTATAAAGCAAAGGCAAATTAGTAATAATAGTTAAAGTAAGCATTATAAGTAGTATAGTCCTTTTAAAAAATAAAAAAAAAAATATTAATAAGTATTAAAAAAATAACTATATAAAGGTAATATATATTATTTTCGTTTTTTTAGCATTTATAAATATATATACTTTATATACTTCCTTTTTTATATTTTTAAATATAAAGGTAAAATTAATAACTAAAGTAATAACTTTATAATATAATATTAATAAATATATATATTAATATAGTATAGTTAGATTAGTAATAATAATAGTAATATTAATAATATATTAAAAATTAATATATTAAAATAAAAGCGAATTTAAATTATAAACGTTTCTAATTATTAAAGGCATTATTTATTTAAAAAATATAGTTAAGAATTAAAAATAGTAAAGGAAATTATAAAATAGGGATAAAATATTAATAAAATGTAATTAATATATTAATTTATATAAGTTATAGCATTTATTGCATTAGGTATAATAGGTTAAGGAAATATTACCTTCGAATATATATATAAGGTAAAATAGCGCTGCTTTTTAAATAGTACTACCTTCTTTACAATATACATTAAAGTTAGTTTAAAAGTAATAAAAGTAGAACTTCTTATCCGTAAAAATAGGTATATATATTAATATAATAGCGGTAATAATAAACAAAAGAAAATAAAAAGAGGTACGGGTGAAGCGTTTAAAAAAACCTTTTTTAAAAAAAAAACTAAAAATAAAGCTAGGTATTATAATTATAAAAAGGTAATAAAACGAACGTAAGGAAGGAAGGAAGAAAAATAAAAGAGTGTATAAAGTAAATAATTAATTAATATAGTAAAAAATTCTACTACAGAGCTATAAGGCGTTACTATACCGCCTTAAAAAGAAATATAGCTTAAAATAAATAATATAGCATATATACTATATAACTATATTATAAGCAGATTTAGACTTATATAATTAAGGTTAATTATATTTAAAAGAGGGGAATATTATTACGGAACTAAAGAAGCTTAATTTCCAATATATAATACAAATTAAGGAATATTATATATAACGTTAAGAAAGGGAATAAGGGGCGAAAATTAGAACTTCCCTCCTTATGCAATAATAGAATAAATATATAAAACCACAGCTAAGCAATACTATGACACTATTTATCTTAAAAGATATAAACTTAAAGAATTAACTAACTTAGCAGTTTTAATAAGGGGTGGTAATATTTTTAGCATTTAAATAAGAAGTATAAATGTAACGTATATATATATAAAATAGGAACTACTTCTATTTTGGTAGGGATTGTACCAATTTGAAAGTACAGCCAGATTTTATTAAGTTGACTGGTCGTTTTTAAGTTAAAGACCCCAACGCTTCTACTGGAAGTCAGAAGGTTGGCGACGGAAGTGGAGTCCCAACGGGTAAGGGGGTGTTAGCTGTAAATGGGAGTTTATGTACACCAAATGGTAGGGTGTCAGAGGTAGGCGGAGTTAAGGACCGAGTAAACTGGGGTCCAAAGATGGCATATATATTTAGTTACACGTACAAAGCGCTGTGCCGGCTGAAATAGGCAGTTTGCCTTGCACTTCGGCCGTACGAAAGACCAACGCAGGCTGTTCATAATCTCTCAGAGACATGCAGGCAATATTGGGCAATATTAGAAAGTGAGGTTATACAGACTTCGCTTCTTGAAACAGACCCCAGAGCCCTAGGCGGTCTGGGCTAGCAGACCAGTTGTATATAGAGACGAGTCAAGCCGCCAACAGCCAAGAAAGAGTTGGTTGGTCAAGGACTCATGCAGCCCTAGTTGTTCATTATGATATGGATTCTAAGTTCCAAGCCCAGTATCTCTGCCCCTGTTATAGTTTCGGTGACTTTCCGATTGGTAGGACCATCCGTTCCTTACAGTGTATTAAAACTTCATCATCTAGTACATTCATTTCCTTACTTCGTCTCGTTAGAGTCTCGCCATCTGCGAATAAGCATGCTTGTGCAAATTGAGACAACACTTCTACATAAACTAGAGACTCAGCTTGGTTTGCTTACTGAGTGCCGATTAGATCCTAGAGGACGCCAGGACGCTTCGGATTGATGAACGATAGTGGTTTCTCTGAGATTGCTGCTCTGCTTCTGAAGAAAGGTGAGCTTGGTGAGCCGCACCTGGGAAATGGAGGTATGAGGATGCTGCGTCATCACCTCAGAGTAATTGAGGGTCTGTTGAGAAATGTTGTCTTGCTTTGAACTGGAGTATAATATTATAGCTTGATAATGTCATGGAGAAGTAGATACGGAGTGGCAGAACCTTATTGCGGAGATCGTCTATAAATAAAGAGATCTCCAGGAATAGCTTCATGGGTTAAAACCGAGACCGTAGATAATCTGAATAGACCTGAGCTGATCACTTCTGGATTCACCTCCACTGACTCTACACCCAAAGTATTATTTCATCTCAGCCTTAGTTAAGCTGCTAATCAGAAATGCCCTATCCAAGCTCGAATCCTTGATGCGCTCTTGTCTGTTTAAGCATACCTCTCTTGTTTGCAGATCATTTGTGTGAACTGGTCTGATTGGTTTGCTTCATTTGATATTCTTGCCGCTGTTCTTGACTGGAAACAGGTAACCGCCCTTGAAATCCCAGTCTAAGACGTGGGGAAATGGAAGAGTGCATGATCCAACACTTTTTGCCCATTCCTCTTCCTCTTTCTCACTTTGATAGTGCCATACATCTGGACGGGCTGTCAGCTTTCGTAAAAGATGTCGCGAGTTCCTCCTGCAAACCGATCGGGTTGCATGCCCCCGCGAAACCGGTAGTGCCTTGGCTCTCCTAATAACACCATTTGATGTCCAAGAATACCTCCTTGGGTCAACAAAAGTATAAAGAGTTCTCTCGATTGCCCTGCTACCCCTCAAATTGTACCGTGCCTTGTGGGAGCAGCCCCGACCCCCGGGAAAGGCTTGAATGGATAGGCGACGTCTGTCATGTTCGTCATTCCACGAATGGATCATGGAGTCGAATGCAAGATAGTCGTTCATGCAATGCACAAAGGTTTGCCGTGTTATAGCTCGAACCATCACGGGGCTAAGGTGTGGGTTTAGCTCTGGATTCGTGATGAAATGAGGCAATGTGATAGCTGAGCTGAAGTCGCCCAATTTACCATCAATCATCTGCCGGATCGCAACGTCGATCTCTATGATACCGAGCTTTTGTAGCTTTACGACGCTTCGAAGTAACTGGCGCGCCAGCCCCTGCGGAAAAACATCGCCCCTGTCCTCATCAATAGTTTCTCCAAGGGCTTTCACAATACATCTGAACGGTGGGGTCCACCATCCTTGCCGGGATAGAGTAGGCGCTGCTCCTCTTCCTCGCGATATCCAGTTTCGTCTATATCCACATTGAAGGACCAATTGTTAAAGTCGAACTGAGACATCATAGCGCGCTCATTATCCTCGCCCAGCAGCACATAGCCGAAACATCGAATCGCCAGTTCCTCGCACCCAGCCTCCTGGAGGCGCCCAAAAGCGCGGCAGTCAGCGTTAAACGGCTCCATATAATTATATACGGCGCGGAGTCCTCCGAGCTTCTCGCGATTGATGAACTCCCCGAAGCCAAGCCAGTTGTAATCATATATCCATCGAAACTATTTGAATCCATCAGTGACTTATATACAAGAAAATCAACAGTTTAGTAGAAGGGCGAAGCTCACCACCCTGAGCGCATAGATCTGATCCAGAATTCTAACCTTGAAGACGATGGCATGGAGGCCCTCTCCAAGGATTTCAAGGAATTCAATCTTCTGGTGGCCTTGAAAGTCGAACGGCCGCAACTTGGGGCCAGGGCATTGAGGCAAGGGCACCAAATCTGCCGTACACTCAGGCCAGTCGGGATACATCATCGCAGATACGAATGGCCGATTGCGCGCGGACAGAATTCCGAGATCAAGAGCAGTGAAAATTTCAAGACTAGAATTTTCAATGGCTCCATGATTTTAGGATACTCCCTCTTGCAAAATATGGCCATTTATGTTGTTTGGACTCGAATAGAGCCTAGAGCAAGCGAAGTGCTTTGTTTGTATGGGCTGTAGTTCAGATTTACTTTAGTCAGCCAATAGGCAGTACAGCAGCACAGGTGGGGTACTTACTATTTTTAAAACGCCGTATTTCCGCCCAGTTAGATGTGTGACGTAGTCCTGGCCTGTTATTGGGTACTTGGGCTCAGAATAGTACATAGACATGGTTATGTTCCCTGAATTGGAAGCCGTACGTTGATCCCTTCAACGGCGCGTTATGAACCTCGACTCGGACCAACACAGAACCTAGACCTCAACAATAATGACAGTGATTTGAGCATTAGATGCTGTACCAATCCTCCGAACGCGGGATGAAGATCGCGACGCACAACTATCATGCAGTAGGTGGCTGCCTGCTGTGGCATGTTTGTTCCCATTGAGATGTCGAATGTCCAAGCCTATTATTCGGAGAGCGACTCTCGGGGGCCACAGTTTGGAGGCGAGACTTCTGTTCTTACTCTTAATATGGGACAAGGGTTGGCGGAATGTTGCACGCTTTTATATGAAGGGACGCCTGATCCAAAACTCTGAAGATTGTTTTGGCAGCCCACCCAAGTGAATATTAATATAGAACCTGAAGTAAGTCTTCCCATTCTGTAGTCCCATTACACTTGAACATGGAATGAGGAGCGAGATGATTGATTCAGATCTATCTCTAGCTACCTATTTTCCTCCAGGTCTATATAGACCTATACCCTTTGTCCCTTAACTCTTTATTTCTGCGCATATACATAGACTCTTCTATGCATAGATCCTTCTGGTGTCTGTCAGATCAAACAAGTATTACCGGTATCTCGGACGTAGGTGAGTCTCACGGCCCCTGCAGTGCGCACGAGGGATCAAACCAAGGTAGTATTGAGTGCTCTAGCTAGCTAGGTTCTATCTCACGAGCGATTAAGTGGTGTGCTGAATATATATGCGATCTTCAGACCCTAGTTTACTTGCTCCTTGACTCCACCTACGTCTGACACCATGTTATTGTTATTTTGACCGGCACTTATGAGGGTGTTTATAAGATCTACATTGCTCAAAGGTAGCGTCCAGTTGCCCGTCTCAATATCCTGAGTTGACAGCACCTAACGCTTCCCCGTGAGATGGTAGAACGCAGTTGGGAGAGAGTTGGCTCAGATTATTGCTCGGAACAGATACTGGAGTTCCATATCTCTGTTCAGGCTGATTACCATTACAGGGATGTTTCGGCCAGCTTGATATATCGATGGTATCATTGAAGTCGATGTTAGGCAAGTCATTGAATGGCGACTGAAAAGGAACTTGTGCGTCGGCGCCATCTATGTAGAAGGTGTCTATAAGGTAAGAATTTATCCCCTGATCTCCTGCAGTGGGACACTCTCCAAAGATATCATTCGGGGTGATAGCTTTCGAGGTGACGTTAATAATACCTAGAAACGGGATAGTCAGTTGAATAGTTGCATCCGTATTTGATGGGGAAAACGACGGGGTTCCCTCTGGATAGTCTAGACGCATAGAGTGATTGTAGGCTTCCTCTTCCATTGCCAAGAGGCGCCGGAGCAGACCCGAGCATAGCGCATTCGTTGTGTCGGCTGACAACAGGTTAGCATCTGCCATGCTTATCTGAGCCTGCTGTACAAGCGCACGGTCGCAAGGGCGTTGATGCGTCAACAACCCCTCTGTCATACCCGAGGAGGCGCCGTGTCGCTGGTGTGAGCCCAGCCTGCACTGGCTTCTTTCGATGTGCGCTATCAGAAGCGCTATTGCAGCCATTAGCCCGAAGTAATCAACTGTGCGACAAGAGAAAGCAATGCGATTGAAGCTATGAAACATGATGAGGCGCGAGAGGATCTCACGAGACGAGTTGACGCATGTTAGTCGTGAGTACGCATACTGTTGGCCACCTCCAGAAGGACGTAGCATATACGGTAAGTGAAGCTGTACAAGGAGGCTGTGGTGAAAGAGTTGATGAAAGAGCTGCCGCATGTACCAAAACAACGCAGTGGGCTGATGAGCGCCAGTGGCTAGGTTCGGAGTGAGCCACCAGCCTGATGGCATATGGCTGGAAGCGATCTGTAGCCGCTCATCTAGTTCCTGTGTCAAAGCGTAATCATCTTCTTCTGGGTCTGTCTGGTTGCGCTCAAGAAGCCGGCATGCAATCACGCAGTGAATGCGATCAAGCCGTCCCATAGGGGTATCGCCTGAAAGCATCACATCAGATGCCATGCTTTGATCGAGTGTGCTCTGTGGCACGCCTAGCATGAGACACAGATACCTCTCATGAGCAAGCATTCGAAACCACATGAGATCTGGGTATGCACTGGTCTCAGGACTGACGATTGTACATCGTGCGTTCCCTTTACGGTGAAATCCCATGACTTGAGCGATAGTTATGGCACGCCGCACTGTTATCAAGGCTTTCTGTAATTTTCCGTCGTTGGCATGATACCAGCTCTCCATGATAACGCAGCCAAGCCCTTCGATGTTGTCGACTAACTCATCTCTAGCTATAACCATGTCACTGGCAATTTCTACCAAGCTATGCCTCATCTCATCAGGTGCTTTCGATAGTCCTCTAATATCTTGGTGGAATTCAGGGTGAAGGTGCTGTAATGAGGTAGCAAGGTAGAGCATGTGCCGAGCTATCAGAACCGGATGCGCCTCGGGCCCGGGTGTCGCGAAAATGCTATCAATAGACGTCGTATCATCGAGAGCACTGTACGGCACTGTTTGCATTTGATAGAACATGGAGGACGTGCTACTGGATGCTTTGGCGATCATCTGAATCTCCTCACGCGAAGGAAGATATTTACGTAGTGCCTGTGAGAGTCCTGCATGCCCCGACCCATTCGCTAGCGAAACTCGAGGCGCCCGGGACGGCGAATCACCATGATCCTGAGCAAGAACTTGAAAGCTGTGTGCACGCACATCCTAACGCTCATTCACATTCAGTATCATTCATTGAATTGTCGCAGTCTCCTGTCTCGTACTTACGGGCAAGACGCTGGGCGACGGCTCACGGCCGGTGACCCCGGAGGCGGGTGAGGCCACAGGGTTCAAGGGACGGTTTCCCGCTTGGTTGTCGTTTATTGGATCGATATTTGGCGTAGAGGAAGGGCGACATGCTGTTGACTCGGCCGGTCTCTCTCTCAACAGTTGGTCGACAAGAGTTTCAATCCGGACGACGCGGTCGCCCATCTGCAAGCTCCGGTCGAGAGACGTCGTCAATACTTCCGGATGTTCTTGGCCAACGCATTGCGCACCGCGCCTTGCACATCGCATACACGTCTCGTCGGTGGGCAATTTGAAAATGCACTTTATTTTGCGATGTTTGCACTCCCAGCAGCTTTTTGTACCCTTCCGTACCCTACGCCTAGGTCGCGGAGAAGGAATTGTAGGCAACCTGCCGTCGGCTTCTAAAGCCGCAGCGACTGGCTCGGCTGGCTCGCGGAGAGTAGGTACGTCAAAAGTGGCCATGAGAAGTCGAGATCCCCGCAAGTCTCGAGATCACTGTTGTAGCATTCTGACACTCCGATTGTGCTTGGGGTTGTCGTCGGTGTGTTGGATTCGGACTCAAGCTAAGGGGGTCTAACCTGATCTACAGTAGGTCTTTGATACCTAGCATGTGGAGCTGAATCTTGGACCGTGAATTCGGCGGAGGAAAAGTCCAGCGCAGGGATTAGGTAGCGTCTTACCAGTTACCTAACTACTTTCTTGAGTCTAGGTACAACACGACATGGCCACATAGCTTCCCGTAGTGACAACCCGACCATGATCTCGGAGGACCATTTTGAACGCCTTCACGCGTGAAGTTAAAATGGTTCAACAGAATATAAATAGTCTCTTCCCCGAAAAGAGTCAAGCAGTTATGGTACCAGACAACCTACACGCATCTCGGTTTCTAGATTCTCGGAATTGCTATACCTCTTGGTTCCGTTGAGCAGTAAGCCAGAATAGTTAGTGCATTATACCGCTACCATGGCCTCCAAGTTTGGTGTCATTCCGAACAATACCCCAACAAACCCAGAGCCTTTCACTTTGCACGTCGCAGAAGAAGAGCTCGTTGCCCTCGGGGATTTGCTGCGATTGTCCAAGATCGGACCTACCACCTGGTGGAATCAACAGAACGATCCTCAGTACGGAGTCTCTCGCCAGTGGCTGATTGAAGCAAAAGATACTTGGCTTAATAGTTTTGACTGGCGCAAACATGAGAAGTATATCAACAGCTTCCCAAACTACAAACTTCCCATCTCCGACCCTGAAGCAGGTCGTGTCGACGTCCACTTCGCCGCCCTGTTCTCGGCAAAAAAAGATGCGATACCTCTTCTGTTCTTGGTGAGTACTTGGTCATCCGCTTGGGACATGAGTGCTGACCTTTCTCGCAGTAAGTAAATGGTTATCCCGACCCTTCTTACAGAGTCACAGGCGTCCACAGAGCAATGTTGCCGAGAAAATAACTAATGTTCGATGTATCTGGCTTATAGGCATGGCTTCCCCTCGTCTTTCGTGGAATTCCTACCGATTCTGGAGTTACTCGTCGACAAGTACACGCCTGAAACCTTGCCATACCACATCATAGTACCCTCTTTACCGGACTATGGGCTCTCCCGCAGCGCCACTCAGCAAGCCGAGATGACATTAACCCATGCGGCCCGAATCATGAACCAGTTAATGCTGGACCTCGGATTTGGTCAAGGATACGTAGTGCAAGGCGGCGACCTTGGAAGTATGCTTTCGCGTATTATGTCTGTCGAATATGATGCATGCAAAGCTTTCCATGGTATGTGAACAGGCCGCAGCATTGAACACTATCTTCTGGCAATCTCTAACAGGATATAGTCAACATGCTCGTGGCAGACCCTGCTCTGACAGCCCCGTCTTCAGACTTGCTGTCGCCAGAAGAATCCCAGATCGTCCAGCGCACCGAGGATTGGCGCCAGACAGGCCTAGCATATGCACTCGAGCACGGCACTCGCCCAGCCACGGTTGGCCTAGCTATTTCAGCTAGCCCGCTCGCCATGCTTGCTTGGTAAGTACAATTATTAGTAGCGGGCGATACAGCTAGATGGCAACTAATTATAAACTTTCAGGATCGGCGAGAAGCTGCTGGAATGGACCGACCCGCGGCATCAGTTCCCCTTGGACACCATTCTGGGCGTGGTCAGTTTCTATTGGTTTACCGAGACCTTCCCGCGTAGTCTCTATCATGCCACTCTGGTAAAGAATCTTTTTGCAGGGAAGCCTCATCCAACGTCGATGGAGAAGCCCCTGGGGTACTCTCTCTTCGCCTACGACCTTTGTGTGCTGCCTAAACCCTGGGCTGAGGAGATCTACCCCAACCTGACGCTTTTCAAAGCTCACAATGAGGTAAGTAGCATCGATCATCCCGATGACCAAATTATTGACATAAATGCCAAGGGGGGTCACTTCGCGAGCATTGAGCAACCAAGGGAATTACTAGATGATGTCGAGGAATTCGTTGGGAGGGTAAGCCATCTATTCGAGAGAAGTAATAACTAGTTAGATCGGTCGATCGGTCAGACTTGGTCCATGGGCAGGTTGATTCATTATAGAAATTAGACGGTAACCGATGATCTGGTCGAAGCCAAAGCTGAAACCGCTGAGTCGAATGGCACTTGGGACCATGTCAATATGGTACCGACTACACTTAGGAGATAGTTCTATTTTAAAACAAGAGTTGAAAATCATGGTTTGACACTGGAGCTCTTCGCAATATATTAATTTGCTAGGTCTGCAAAGACCCTTGGGCACTAGATTCAGTAGGTTCTCTCCCAACTACGGGTTGAGTGAGAGGATGAAATGAAGGAGCCAGTGAATGATGAGATCATATAAATTCCGCGCCGTTATTGGATCTCATTGATAGAAAGACTAAAGCTCTTCTATCCGAGGCCTCGCTGTCTGAAACAGTCATAATACGTGGCCAATACTGTGAGGGATAATGAGTCAAGTCAGGTGACAGTACATAGTGAGATGTAGAAGTCAAAGAACTTCTGATTAAGCCATTGTCATTGACAGTTTCAATCCAACTTATAATCCATAGTGGCTTTCCAAAGAAGGTGTAGACGGAAACTATCTTGTATCACATTAGAGAACTCGAGCGTCGTCGCACCAGCGTGCCTACTATAAACAGGAAGTAAATACAAACATTGAGTATTAAAGCCCAGTGATTACCCTATACTAATTCTTGTATACTTGTCGAACCCGATTTCTCATTGGGTTAGGAAGTCTATATTTCTAGTACGCGGCTAAGACAGCTACCTAATTCGAATTATGCGTAAGAATGCATATGCACCATAGTTATAATTAACACATATGTCGCGGAGTAGTGGGTATGCCATATAAATGCCGTTAATCTTGCACGGGATTAACCGTTATTTTTCCGTGACAACATGGTTACATCACCTATCTTCAAAGGTCATGACAATAGGAGAACATTGAGGTTTGCTATGGCTATATTCCGAGAACGGAACCTGGCGAGTGAATGGCAACCTAGTCCCATCGTCGTTAAAGTGTGAACTTGGGCGGTTCTAGCATTAGTCAGCATACTCTGATGTCAATCCAGTCACTTCATTTTAGCGAAGAGGAAATGCCGCGATTGACCGCGTGATGGTGGAGATGGCGGTGTCGGTGGCTGCACTGCAATTTTAGCCCAACATAAGGGAGGAAAGTCACTAACCCCGATGCCAGGTTAGCAACGATGACGGCAATGATGACGATGCTATTTTGTCTTCACTGTGGTCTTGGCTCACCCTCAATTGCCCGTCACCACCTAAACATTGCGTAGCTTGATCACATTTAAGTACGGCGGATGTCCTCAATTGGCTCGCCGACTGCCAAACAGCTAACACAACCACACTGTCGCAGGCGAACGCTGGCGCCGACGCTGAATTCTGGATGTCCATTTGCCGTGATGGACGAACGATTGATGATCCTTGGGCATAATTTCTATAAGCTGAGCGATGGGCATAATTACTGAATATACTGAAAGATGCGATTTAAACTTGACACCGACAGCTCTTTCAATGACCCTGAATAATTCAGACAACTATAGTGCCACCTCTATTGATACATCTACAGCAACACACCGGTTCTCATCGTGTAGTTCCTATCAATAAGCATCCTTATCAACTGCGCCACGAGTTGAAGATTATACCCGAAAATATGTTGGCGCGCCTCGAGGCGTTCCAGCGAGGTGACGATATTGTACCGCTCGAACTGAAGGGAGACAATGGGAGCAAGCGAGTGAAACAGCGAATCGATCCCAATACCAAAGAGAGCATGTTTTGTGATGACCTTCGGAAAGAAGATGGGGGCTTTTACAGCTTTCGGCCTAGTGTTTACAATTTTGAAGATGCTGCTGCTTTTTGCCGTCCGATGGTATTAGGTGACACCAGGGACATCTTGAATGCTACGCAAATGTGCCCCAATACTCCATAGATCATCTTCCAAGGCATGCTCAATCTCAACTCCATGACTTCATTGCTATTGGTTTGCCTACAGGTATACCTAACCTGTTCAGACAAGAAGATATATGAGTAAAGCCCGGTGCACCGGTGACCGGGTACTCTTCTACTCAGTACAAGATACTGCTTTTATGTCTTGTCCAAGAGACCTCGCACCTTCAGATCACTAATTCGTCTCTCTGCCGTCTACCCATATTACACGCTTTGAGCCGAACGGATCATCTCTGCAACAATATTTTATAGCTCCTTCTGGCGGCTTAATCAGTGGTAGAAGATTTGTCGTGTAACCGAGCACGTCGAAAAGGCAATGACAATTGTATTTGCAATATTTTTGGTTGCCAGTGAAGAAGTCATGTAGCGCAGCAGAAAATGGTGTCGCTTCCACAGTACCCTCCCCAGCATCTGGCTGACGTCCGTAGCTGATATTATGACCTTTGACGAAGCGCCACACCGCTGTCGGCGACGCACCGCGCTCATCTGATGGAACCTGCCAGTAATAAATATCGCAAGCTCGCATGCGGCATGCACCGGTATAGTCCTGATTCTCCCACAGGTCGATCTCAATAAACAAACCCCATTTCCACCATGGCCGCAGGCTCCCCAGGTCGAGTAGCCTTGAATTCTGGCTGAGTAGTATAGTATTCACAACAGGAGCTCCTAGCTGCAAATCATTGTTGGGCTGTGTACGTTGGGATTGGGGGCCATAAGTTTGAGTGCTTCGGAATCGAATAAATTCAGCCGCGATGTCTTCGACACTTCGTTTCTCCTTTTGCTCAAGAGAAAACCAAGGGATCGCATCTTTAGGTAGCGGAATACGCCAAAGAAGCTCTGTGGTACTTCCAAGAATCTCTTCAACACAGTGTTCACGGCTACTATGGCACCTGTAACACTGGTCCTCTTCGCTTGTAGAATGAAACCGATTTAAGTTGTCACAGTGTGGCAAGGGAGTTGCAACATCAATCTCGCTATTCCAATCCTCAAAGAAGGACAAGGGCTCTGTTCCACATGCCAATTCTCCGCTGTGGTGAGAGAAAGCCCATGCTTGAGTGAGGTAACCGCCGCGCTCGTCCTCGGGAACAGGCCAGCAATATATTGTCCCTAGTCGCGCTCCTGTTCGCGTTGAGGAAAAGAACCTGCCGTATTTCCAACGCGGAGCCGCCGATAGGCGTGCATCCTGACTGTCAATAGACTCAGTATCACTCGTGTCCCCAACAGCGCTGTCTATATTGTCTTCGCTGTTGTCATCGTCTTCGTTACAATAGTATATCCTTTTCCCAGTGAAGTCATCCAAGTACCACAAAGTCTCATTCTTCCTCTTCACAGGCGTACCGTTATGGCTATATCCCCTCACAGCATCACGGTGCGGTGTAACACCATGGCTGTTGCTGTATACACTTATATGAGTGGTAACAGGACCCCTGAAATTGCCGAAATCACATATGTCCGGGTCAAACTGATGAGTTAGATATCGAAGCAAGAATAGCTCGGTATATTCCGGTTGGACACCTTCGCAAAATAGCTGTATTGATGTGAGACTTAGGTTGGGTATGTTGGCCATCTTACGGAGTGTGCATTCATGCATGCCATATTCTCCCAGGGTTAGTCTGCGGAGCGAGGTGGCATGTCTCCGGATCAATGCCAAGAGATCTTCTTCTTTCATTTGGACTTCGGTCAGACTCAACGATGTTAAACGCGGCCAAGCCGGGGCCGTCCCCTCGCAGTAAGCATGGCCTAGCAGCTTTCTGGCTGCCTCCACGGCGGAATTGGCATCTTCGCTGTCGTCCACACAGACATGAAGATCGTAGTGAAAATCTATACTCCGCCACCATTTTTGTTCCCATGGCTTGGGATCAATGAGCCGAGTAAGGGTAATGTCCAGGTCCCTTAAGGCATGAGCCTGCCGAAGGAAATTTCCCGCAAGCTCCAGCAGTAGAGTTTCCCCCCTGGCATCTAAAGTAAGGGCAACGCTAGTCAGTCTAGAAGCACTAGATGACTCTCTTATGTAGTGAAAGAGGGGTATGGGCTGACAGCCGTCAATAAAAACAATATTGTTGGCCGATCTGGAAGAGACATATGGGAGTAATGTACGAGCAAAAATGGAATCAGCTACATTGTTCAAAAGCTCATCCTCTCCTAGAAATGAGTGTGCTTGTAGTGAGCCAGCGGTAATAGGCCAACCACAGTAGGGACCGGCACAGGGGGGAAGTCGAGCAACCACGCGCTCTACCGGCATATTCTGGTATACAATTGAGCCAAGACCCGTCAATCTAGGTACAGCTTCAGCCAGTTTATGCTCAAAGTCAGCTAGCGTTGCTTGTCTTGATGCGGAATACCAAGGGACCGATGCTTCAATCCAGCAAATCTTATTACGCGACCAGGCAGAAAGTTGGCTGACAGTGTCATAATCTGCCAATTCTTCGGCTTCATCAAGGAGAGTATAGAATATTGTGCTAACTGCGAATAGGGCGTTGCATTTCAATACAAACCAGGCAACCTCACGTACGCATTTGGCCAGTCGGGGTGTGGCAGCGATGTGGAAGAAGGCGTCGCGGTCGTGAGCAACACAGGACAGAGCGATTCGGTGAAAGAGGGCAGCACGAGCAGCAGGCTCTATGGTTTTGCAAGTCAGACGCAGTGCCTTTGAAGGGGTTAGCTCTTAAGATGACATGGCTGATAGTAAAGAATCTAATCATCGGCTTTTGACCACATACCTTTCGGTCGGACTGGCTTAACAGGGCGCTTGAGAAGATGCACTGAAGCACTTCATAAGGCAAGTCCATCATGCCGATATGAGGTCCCTATATCGATGAGGTTTCGGCCGTATTGGGGTGGGGGAAGGATGTTCAAAAGACACCTAGATGTCTGTTGCATATGCTCGCTCACTGTTGTTGACAAATGTATTGATTTTGTATGAATTACTTGGGCTTGGCGCATCTTATGATCATTTTTTTATAAAAAAAATAATAATAATAATACCCCCTGATGGCAGGTACGGTGGGAGTGGCTATATATTACCCCTCACAGTAGATTCCTTCAGTAGACTAGAACTTCTACTCTACAACATCAATACAACCCTTGGCAATCCACTACAGTTATCAACTCCAAGCAAACATTGCCTGCTGAAATAACTGCGGGGTAGTGTTGTTATCATCGCCCTTGAACTGGTTTGCCTTCCCTTACATTGTGAGGGCCATTGTGAGGGTTGTTGCGATTTAATGCTTAGCTTACCTAGGTAGCTTAGGTACGCCCCTCTATCAATTATAGTGGATGGCCACTGAATTCACAGCGGACTTAGTGTTTTACCCCTGCTATAATTCTAAAGACTATACCTAGCGAATCCCAAATCTCATTTCCAGGGAAGCGGCAAGTGAAGTCATCTACACCTCAATCCATCCCTTTGGGCCATATAACCTATAAGCATCTAACAAAATACTTCTACACCGGTGCATGTTGTACGGCGACCCGACGAGATTGAACATGGTTGCATAGCTTGGGTACCATGCTAAAGCAAGTTCAGCTAATATTCCCAAAGTCAAGAGACACTGCACTATGATTATCTCTGTGCGCGATTCATCCCAAGTGCGCATGAGAGTAGGAAATCAATAGGTTTAGCTTGCAGAGGGGAAAAAAGAACTCGATACTCGCGGATAACTGTTCCGCATACATATTCTTTCGGTGTCAACGGTCACTTAAGCCTCTGATGTTATACGTTAAGGGGTAACCGTATATAGAATAGGACGATCCGAACATGTAGTGCAAATCTATCCCTAGCAACCCAACTTTTTTCTGCTGGAATTGATCATATCTTAACCTTCTCTGCGTGGAACAACGAACTTGTACGGCAACGATGCTTAAATCCCCGAGTCTGGTCTCCTCGCGCGACTTAAGTGAAAAGCAGGTTCTGTACCTGTCTGTGATATTGCAAGGCGCTCATTTCGGGGTACTTCGCCGGCTCTGAAGCAGTAACGAACTGACTCAGAGGAGCGATTGATACCTGTCGCTGCGCCTTGAAGAGATGCGCCACACTGTATCTCTCGGGGATTATAATCTCATCCATCTTCTTGAGACCCTCAGGGACAGTAACCTGGTGAATGCCAGCGACGACTTTTCCGTTCGTCCAGCGCATCAGGGTGTCACCAGCATTCACAATCATCTCGGTGGTGTCATTGGGCTCAATAGGGATGAAAGTGCCCGGCCGGGTCCGATCTTCCACCTCCAGGCCACCGGTGCTGTCTTGAAACAAAAGTGTGATGATACCCCAGTCTGAGTGCGGCGCGATGCGGCTCGTTCGCCCAGACCTCATTTCTTTGATGGCGATTTCGGGATAGTGGGTAAGACGGAGGTCCGCAGCGTTGGGGATGGAGCGTTCTTTCAACGACTCAGGCTTGAGACCGAGGGAAATCTCCAAGGCCTCAAGTAACGTAAGGCAAATAGCGTTTCCGTCCTCGTGTAACCTTTCCATGAAAGGGCGGAACCCCTGAAGCTCGGGGCTCTGAGGCCATTGGTTTGGGAACTCGGAGTCATTCGCAGACCCCAGATCAAAATGTTCCTGAGATTGAACATGAATATCGGATAAAGCAAAGCAGAATCGCTTGGCCTAGGCGGGTTCTTACCTTTGAGTCGGTGATGGGTTTGGACGTCTCAGCATCCACGAGTCTCGAAACATACTCGACCGATACACCGCTGTACCCGCGCACAGGCTTGGGTCCAATCACATTAGCAACCTCGTTCTTGGCTTCGACAGGTTGATGGAAGAATTCCTTGCTCTTGTCAAATGAAAGAGTCAGCAGCTGGATCAAATGGCGAAAGTCGGTGGCGTAGGTACACTTACCCATCTAAAGACCTCATCAAGCCTCTTCTTCTCGAGACCATGGTTGATGATCTTCACAAACCCGGTGTCTACCAGGCCAGCAAGAAGCTCGTCCGCAAATTGCTGACGCAACTGTTCGTCACCTGTCGTGAAGAGGCTCAAATCGAGCGTTGGAACCATTTTGTGTTCTGAGACTATTCCTAGGCTAATTATCCGTTTCTTCAAGGGTCGTCTAATGTGATCCCAAGATGGTCTTATGCTCATATGTGCCAATAACGCCCTCCGACCATCGGACGAGCGATTCGTGACTATATAGCAGTGCTGGTAGCAACGCCTCGGCTAACGACAAGCGTGTCAATCAAGCAATAGGAGTTGCCGCTGCACGAAAGGGCAATATGATAATCTGCCGTTGATTGTCCCTACTCCGGGCCAATGCTAACTTCCCGAGGTTGGAAGAGCCAAAGACAATTAACATGATTACGACGCAGAGTAAGCCTTCTACAAGGAAGTTGTTTAACAAAGTTCACGTTTCTCATTCTCACCTTCCTATCTTAAGCGTGAATGCTACATATCTAAGCGGTGAAGGCATAAGGGAATCAACAGCCTAATATGCTGATCGCCGTGATTATGTATCTCGTGGTTTCATTTTGATGGATTCATGACTGTTATTGTCACCAGTTAAGAGTATGGTCTCGTAAGAGCCAGAGTATAAGCCTTCGGATTCAAATAAGAAGGTTCTGATTCGGTCATTGGTCTCATATTAACGCACGGTGAGCAATGCGGGATTAGAGTGCAACTTGTAGTAGCATTTTAGCATCCTTCCGAGGCAGCAGTAGTAGCATTGCATATCGCGTCACCCAGACCCTGCCAAACGATCACAATCCTTTCATTCACACATTCACGAAACTGGGGTAGTCATACGGGCCGTTACGCTTCTGCAGGTCAAACTCAATATTTACACTTACCAAGCTATATGTTGAGGAGACGTCGAGGAAAAGACACGCAAGCCTCCGGAATATGCCTCTGCTTGAGTTTGAGCCCTACCACTTGACCCTCCAATCCCAGCCCTTCACCCGTATTCTTACCCACACGATGCACAAGAAAGCGGCGAGATAACTAGCAGCAGTATAGGCAATAGCACCCCAATAACCCTGTTTGCCCATCATTCCCGTAGCATCCAGAAGGCTTCCAGCAATGGGGATACTAATCAAACACCCCAAAGAACAAACCGTGTAGCACGTTGCATAGTATTTTCCGTAATCCTGGATATCGCATAACTGACCAAGGCAGATTGGCGTCAGGCTAACATTGGAACCACTCACAAACCCAAACAAGATGGTAAAGAGAATTAGGAGTGCTATGCTGTCGAAGTTTGGAGCCAGAGCATCGGGTAGCCAGAAACCAGCGACTGACGCTAGACAGAAAAATAGGGATACAATTAAAGTATTGTACCGACCAAATTGATCAGCCAGTGCGCCAGCCACGTAGCGACCGAAACAAGACGACCCATTAGCGATGGCGAGAAGCTGATATGCAAACGCAGCATCACCTGATAGTGTTTTGTCAGCCGGTAGGCCTTGCCGGTCTAAATAGTAACTCGGAATGTATGTCATCGGAACCAAGTACGCGAGATCAACGAGGAACAAGGCTGCGGTTGTCATCGACATGGCGCCGGTTCCATCCAAAAATATGCGCAGATCAGGTAACGTATCACGCCAAGTGGTATGTGGTCCGTTGCGTGGTGGAATCCTGCTTTGGCAAAATGTCACACTGATTGAACAGAGGATAAGCAAGATAAAACCGAGGATCCGTATAGACCAAGCCCATCCGACCTGAGGAAGAAGGGACTGCATCATAAGGGGGAAAAGTACACCGCCAACCCCGCCCCCTGTGAATGCTATGCCGCTGGCGAGCCCGCGGCGCTCAAAAAACCAATGAGCCACCGAGCCCATGGCCGGGGTAATGAGAAGAGACGCTCCTCCGCCGGCGAGAACAGAAAAGGCCAGGATGAATTGGTAGTACTCTGTGAAGGACTATGTGGTCAGCGTTGGATCCGGAAGAAGAGCCGTATACTGAACGCTGTATAGTATACGGCGTATAGGCAATGTGTTCTCACCTGTGCTGAAGCTGAGAGCGAACACGCCGACGAGAGTGCAGAGACTCCCGGCGATCAACAGCCCACGCGGTCCCTTGGCGTCAAACGTTGGACCAACTTGAGCTCCACAGATCCAGGTCATAAATGCGTAGACACCAAAGATCCAGCCAATGGTGCTAGGGGATTCATCGGGCAGCAGCTCTCTCGACACATACGCTTCGATCACCCCAGTCGAGTTGTATACTCCAAGGGATGCAGCTAATCCCGACCACGCTCCGAGCACCACCAGCCACGCCCTAACTCCTCCTTCCGGGTATGTGATGTCGTCGTCGATGAGAGGAGGGCCAGTAGGTCCTGAAACAGACGAGCCGATATCCAGAGGGGTTGTGTCGGCTTTCTCGACCAGCATATCTTTCCCACTGGTGTCAGTCGTCATGTGTTGGTTCTTCATTCTCACTGTCTGACTCAGCCAATTACTCTACCTAGCACTCACTGTGCAGATAAGATAGTCAGCTAACGGCTTAACAAAGGCAGACCTTGCTGTATATCGACAAGTCTTAGAGGTAGGTAAAAGCACAACCTACTGAGGTGAATTAAGCAAATGTGGAGGAAGGGATGAACGAGGAGCTGCGCCGGCAAATATCACTGAGCTAGCTGGTTGGTGACCCTGAGACCCGATGTTTAGGTGTTGACATACGGCATCTGTGTTTAGACCTGTAACGTATCAGGTAGCAGAGAAAAGGCGGTATGATGTCACGAGAGGCCAGTAAAGGAGCTTCACTGTTTTGGCACTTACTAGAAGCACGCCATTTGGGCATCTGGCCAAGCGTGATGAAAGCGGTAGGAACTTCAGGTTGCAGTAGGAGTTGGCTCTCCGACGATCGCTGTCTAGCTGTCGGGGAAGCTTTTCAATCCGTGATGTGGGTGATATCTACAGCACAACATGCATGCTGTGCAGCTCGTGTACCACACGAGGTAGGTAGCATTGTAGCACGGGCGGCAATGTGTTAGGCATGTCAGTTTCTGAGCTTACCCAGTGTCCCTACTTTATGTACCTTGCTGCCGACATGTGAATGGGGTCGCATGATATAGTAGCATTGCAGGTATACTGCTAGTGTTACCGTGGGTAGGGCGTAGTACGCATATTACATCAAGCCTTGGCTTGGCTCCTTTCAAGAAGGATGTCTCCGTTGATACAGGTTGAGTCATATGATATGAATTCATGGAAATGAGTGCTAGAATAGGTTGTTGTATCTTACAAGCATCAAACAGACTGTTTCTCTAACCAGAATAGTGTATACCCTACTTCAAAAGGAAAACTCAGGGCTGATACCACCTTGGAAGATACCGATTATCGCGCCTGTGCAGCACGACATGTTCGGTAGAAGCATCATGATCTTTACTGGCAAGAGATTCAACACAGATTTTGGGCTAAACTGGATCAGCGTATAGATAAACTTCATTGTCCAACCGATGAATTCTCCCGTAGATTTTCAGAGTAGGTCAGGACTCCGGTACCTGGGATTAGACGTACGTTCGGCATACATAGTGTCCTTGGCCTAATGCAATAGCATCGTCGTTGCGAATTTATAACCTTATAAGCTGCTCTGATCTTTGTTTAAAGCCTTCCAGCGTTACTCTTTAGACGGGATGGAAACCGAAAGAAACTTTGTTGCTCGCGCCCGCGCGTGTCGCAGCCACCAGGATATCCAGGATGTCTACGCTCAATGGGCCGACACATATGATAGCGACCTGGTAAATGGCGCGCACGACTATGTCGCACCTGTCATAGCTGCCGAAACAGCATACCAGCTCCTCAGTCATAACAGCGGAGCCGTGCTCGATGCTGGTTGCGGAACTGGGCTGGTTGGAGCAGCGCTCGCCAAGCGCGGCGCCACAGCCATCGACGGCCTGGACATATCTCCCCACATGCTCCGGATTGCGGAGACATCGGGGGCATATCATAACGTGTTCCTGGGGGACTTGACGAAAGAGATTGCCAAGCCCAGCCAGTCGTATGAACTGGTTACTTGTGTGGGCACGTTTACGCATGGACACGTCGGGCCCGTCCCTGCACTGCGACAATTTTCCCGGCTCCTGAAGGATGGGGGTCACATAGTGGCCACGGTACTAGAAGAGCTCTGGCTACCAGGCGGCTTCCAAGAGGAGGTCGGAAAGCTGGCGGCAGAAGGCCTGATGGACGTCATCAGCATCGAGCTCCATCCCTATCTGAAGGGTCAAGACCGAGCACACGTGCTGATTCTACGGAAGAAGAGAAAGAGGGTTTCAGTATCGACTCTGTAATACCTACCGGTACCTCTACTCTGTGTGTGTAGCGTGCCAGGCATCCACAGCCCCTGGTCCCCCGCAGTTGGACTTGATGATTGGAACAACAAGGGTTACATTCGGCTACTCACCTACGCTCTTGTCGCTGGTGTATTTACTTGGGACCCTGATACTCGCCATACCAAGGTTTTCACCGTGATCCGAAACTGGACAACAGCAGCCTTGACCAAATGGCATATATCTACAGTACGACCTATAGACAGATTGGAGTTAGCAGGTATATGCTGTATTCACTCGGGACCAGTTACCCTACAGTACATACCATATAGAATTACATACCTACCTACATCATACTTAGGATCGTATTAGCATTCTTCTTCATTCGGTCATTGAAATGTTACGATGTGTTCATAACTCGGGTTCCAAGGATAAACCTACTAATGGGTCTATGTCAGGCTTACGCTAATGTACCGTACTTACAGCGGTCCGATCCGCCCAGAAGACGCTAAAAAGCTTGATTGACTTGGCTCAGCTGGGGTGCGGGACAAGAATGCATAAATGGAGAGAAGCACTGGAGACATGGAGATGAGGTGAAGAATATGAAAGATGTCCGTTTGATTCATCAACTATTTCTTAGGACATAATTGGTTCCATGCATGACAATCATACTCTTCAGTAGAAGGGAAACACCCTGGACTGTTTTGCATTACTCTATTTGCTCATTTTTACATAGGCAAATACAAAAGCCACGTAGCGCAAATGGCAAGCGACAAGTTTGCTCTCACCTTCTCGCAGCGACTGCAAACAAAGGGATTCTATCCAGCTTGCCAGCGCCATAGGTCTATCTTGGCGTATCTTGGCGTATTTTGTAAAAGGCCTGGCGTAATCTCTCGGCTTTCTCCTAAGGCTGAGTTTATTACATGTGAAACCGTCAATATGTCATATGTCATGGCTACCTTTCCCTCACACCGTGTTCGTAAAGGTGATTTTCTCTATGCTTGTGCATCCAATGCTTCTGTGATCTCCGAGGAGTTTCATGGCCTCATAACGAGTGATAAGTATCATGTTTTCATTGGTAACTCGAGATTCTGGTGCCTGGTACAATACAAGATACACAAGATGACTCTAATCTTCGTGACTCAAAGTTTATGATTGCCCGGGTATCATTGAGATGAGCGCACTCTCGGTTCACTCGTTTCGCCTATTAGATTATTCATCACGCCAAGGTGATCTTGGTCACACCGGTATAACCTGGGCGTACGCAGCGGAAGGTATCATACACGTGCGGACGAACTACATGATTCCAAGTCCACGTGGACAATGAGCTACAGTCGCACCGACACCCTCTTCCCTGATCGCGTTTGCATTGCTTCGCACATCAGCTCTTCTAGCTATGACTTCTTTTCTCGGGGTGATTAACGGCGATTATGTATCTATTCCCATTATGCCTAGTATGTTCTAACTTAAACCAAATATGCTGAATACAGATTCTGTTACCATTACACAACCATACTTCTAATCTCAGTTCTTTAAGGTGTAGCAATATAGCATATGTTTGACTTTGATTAGATAGAGTGCTAATACAATATATTTCTTGCCATAAACAGTCGTTGCTCAAATCTAAAGCCACGGACCGCGTCCCGTAGCACAACACCGTCTTGAGGGTCATCTGTCATATCTCACCGAGGCGATACCCCCAATTAGAAGCGCTTTTCAAATTAGTTGCCTAACTTGTAAGACATTTTCTAGTCACCAATACTATGAGAGGCGAAAGTAACACGTCTCGAGTTCTGTTACAGCGTAGCCTGTCCTTCAGAACTTCCGGTAAACAATTTGTACAACGTTTGATCATGTTTGCGCATTCGTTTGCTTCACAAAATCTCTTCATTCATATGCCTTATATTCCAGCGGCTGTTCCAACCGTATCAACCCAATCTCTTTTCCCTCATAAGCTCTATCGAGAGGCTGAACCTTTGCACGGGTCTACCCCTTTTTTGTGATCCTTCCGGCATCATATTCTGATGTGAGTATTGAAAATGATCTGCCACTGTGTTAATTTTCATACGAAACTAACACATAAATAACACGACATTTCTAGGTTCGACTCTTTGCTCACTTCAGCACTATCATGCCCAACAGAAATAAGACCAGAGTATTCGTGGCGTTGTACTCTCGTCAAGGGATAACATCTCATGAGCAGAGCCATGAGTTGGGGTATGCCAGGTTTCATTGGGCTATATGGACTGAGCCGAAAGGGAGCACTGGGGACGGATCTTGTTACCAGGTTATCAAGGCAGACACGTATGTCAATATCCCAGATTCCGGTGGTTGGCGCTACAATTACATCAAAGCCGCCAACTGTCCTCGAAGCCGCTCGATGCTGGGACGTATAATGGTTGGCAAGATCCCCAATGGCATCGACCAAGATGCAGTGGACGACGTTCTCTCGAAAGTCCCAGTACCCAGAGACAACACCGACCCCGCCGAGAACTGCGTCAGCTGGACTCTGGCTGCTCTAAAGGAACTTGTACAACATGGTTGGGTGGACGATTATTTCGATCTAGAGCACTTTATGGACTGGGCGTTAGAACGTGCAACTGAATGGTGCAGTATTGAGCGCAGACCTGATGGACAGAAGGAGAAATTGAATTATACACGCCGGCCGTTTCCTTAGGTCAGTCTAGTGGAGAGTCACGGGCTATCACAGCATCGCCATCTTTCTTTTTATTTTGCAAGAAAGTCTAAGTTGAAGTGGCTTAAATTCGTTGAATTATCCAGCCATGAACTAAAAGGTGCTAGAAACTGTTTAAATAAGCAGTCTCGGTGATAATCATAGCCTCCTTACAAGCTATACAATAATGGAACCGAATTCATATAACTGTTGTTGTTACTTTTGGAAATATGTGTCTGTTGTATACATACCTGCATGCCTAGGTCGAATAGGGTAGATGAATATCACGTTACGCGTCAAGTAGAGGGTCCAAAAGTAGAAAGAAAAAAAAAAAAAAAAAAAGGCAAGTTCCAGTTGCGTAGATAGGTAGAAGATCACAGAAAGGCTTAATAACTATTGCTTCCTGACCTTCCAACTCTTCAGGGGCTCCAACGCCCCTTTATAAAGTCATAAGAGCTTATATAGCCCTCCCTAGGGTCTTTGTGACTGTGTCTCCTGACATTACGGCAGGCATCAGTTAGGCGACTTATTCGCTCTGAGGATTGACATCCATTTGAAATCATCGTCGCCATCATCGAATCACGACGAGCTCACAGACCTCACCCCATAGACTCTACAATTCACGTTACATGGGGCATGTAGGCCGTTTAATACCAACTACCTGCCCAAGCCTTAGACGTACTGCCGACTACTCAAATTGAATAATGCTAGATGCCTCGCCTATGATACGTTTCTCTTCAACAACTTCGCCGTCCATAACACCATCAACGTAGCATTCACCGACGATGGTGTATGTTCCGCGCCTAGTCGGCCGTACGACAAAAGGTACCTCGCCACCAACAAGAATACAGATGCAATCCCCAACCTCTGATGTCTGTGGTATTTGGGCAAAGCGACCGTTTTCCGTGATGCAGAACTTCAGCCACGATGCCATTGCAACTATACTTGTATCGATGACCGCAGAACATTCACTCATAGACGCTGTCTGCTCCTTAGTTCCGCCTTGCTTGCTTGCCACGCGTTCAGCTGCCCACTGCATATACTGCGGGAAAGCACCCACTACTTCTGGAGATAGGCGGTTGCGCATGATATCCATATCGCACACCATTGTGCGAGAAAAGGCCATCATACGATCGTCGTCGGGGTCAGCATTATTGGAACCGTTAGTTTGGGGGAAAGCAGTGTGATAGCAACTTTCCAACCATCGGGCGAGTCGCTTCTTCCTTCGCTCTATCAACGGATCTACCAGGGACCCCGGCGAAGATCGCAGCTCAGGAATGTCGACCAACAACATCTCGACCATGGAGGTGGCGAATGTTTTGACAGTATCGACCAACCAGCCCTGGCATTTGAGAATTTCTTGATCGTCAGATACACTTACAATCGGCTTGGAACGTCCTCCGGCGAAGAAGGCCTGTGGTCTGACCGTATAGCTGACCATGACATCTGAGTTGATGAGTCGGAAATCGGGAGCCCACGACGGCAGCCCTTCAAGTCTCTCAATATCCGGGTTGACAAAACCGATCCTGTCAGGCGCCAGACTCAGCAGTTTCAGACTCTCGCCTTGCACCAACATTGCCACCGCAAAACGTCGAAATACCTCGCAGACCGAGACATGATAGTCAGGTAAAATCGTGGGCCCGATAGCGCCAAGACTCAGTAGTGAATAGACGTGGTCTCTAGGGTCCGTGCAGTCAAAATCGATAGTAGCTACGATACCATCAACAAGAGTGGCGTGTCGTCTAAAGATTTGGACCATGAGGACATTGGTAACACAAATCACCGGCGGAGCAATAGTCTCTAGCACTGTATTCCCAGTCTTCAAGGTTAGAAGCCTCTGGATTCCCAGCAGCCCCATACTAAACGCAAGCTTCGCCAAGTCTGGCCAGGGGATCTCAATCCCACCGCCGATATATAACATTGCTTCCTTAGCGAGTGCAACCTCTTGAACAACCCACTTGCGACGGAACCAAGGCCGTTCCAGCAATGCCACCAATGGCACCCAGTCATGATCTAGCAAGCTCGGCTTGCCCTCGTCATAGAGACGCTGCGATTCAAGGTGTGTAGCCTCTAGCTTGGCCGCTATGTCGGCGGGATCCTCCGGGTCGATCTCGGGCAACAGCTCGAGAGCACGGCGAATAGAGACGGCCACGCTAGGCGACACGGTTCCGAAGACGGGGTCGCTGGCAATACCGAGCCAGACCAGTGTACGCGTCGCCTGTGAGTAGATATGAGGCATCAACAGCACTTGCCCACTCTTTTCGGCTAAGTCAGCCTGGTTAATGCAGATGGCATCGGCCCAGACAACTCGAGGACGATCGGGATACCGAAAGTGCACAAGCCCCGTAAATAGACTATTGGTGATGGTGAGGGTGGCATTGTTGCATGTCACTTGCTGCTCTTCTTGCGCTCTGCCCCAACAGTACGAAATTGCCTCAAAATCGGGTGCGGTATCAAGGCTTGTGGTCACGAGAGACAGATGGATCGGGTCAGTCTCTATGCCTGGATGAAGATGCACCAACCGAATGGTTCGTAGGGTTTCGATGGCTCTGTATTCATAAGTAGTGTCCTCGGCCATGTTCTCAATGAACAGCCTGGAATAGACCCAGGTATAGTTTATGTATCAGCTCTTAAGAATGAGATGATAAGTTCAGTTCAAGGATGGTTTGATAATTATACTTGTTTAGGTGAGCTTGGCACTCCACAAAGTTAGCCTCGTTCGTCTGTTTTTGACCTTAGCGTATAATATAGAAGCGCGAGCATCAGACTTGTCCAACTCTCCAATCTCAATATCATGACAAAGCATTGAGAGGGAATACACTCACACAACTTCGCAGTCTTTCGTCTATCAAAATACAGATGGAACGTGTTCCTCTTACATAGTACGCACTCAGTTGGGCCTTGGCATACGCTTGTGACGATTGCAAGGCCCGTAAGTCTGGGTGAAGAAACTGAACAACTGTTGAGTTCATCGTAGAGTCCTGTCATACTGTATTGAGTTAGCCAAGAAGCGACTTGCCTTCCTTTTTTTCCTTTCATACTTTGCTGGCCTATTTAATTGATATCTCGTGCTCCATTGTAGGGTAGTCAGCCTAGCTGGATAACTATAACATTATGGTGAACTTAACGATCTACCGCTGAGAGTACAGCAGAGAAAAATACAACATACTTCTGCAATGATCAGAGTCTATCGTATACCTGAGCTACCAGGTTCGTGACATAGCATTTTGGTTATGCAGAGTCTTAAAGTTCACATGTTGATAAAATCTAGTCAAGGGAAGCCACGGTTCACGGAGTGTGAGAACTGCGCCCATTGGGTGCTGTCTTGATAATGATTATTGCATAAAGCTTGGTTCGTAGACCTAAGTCATCACCAGAAAGACTAGCAAAGTCCCAGCCCATCACCTCCACAACATTACTTTATCTCAGCGTTCAATACCCTGTAAATTTCTCTTGAGATAAGTATTCAGCAACTTCTTGATCAGCTCCTGGGGGCCCAATGACAATTGCTTGCATGGCCGTTCTTACTCTTCAGGGAGCTTCCTAGCCGCGTCCAGAGCACATCTTTGACATGGTTCAGTTGTTCTTGCTCTAGCCCTTTACATCTCCGTTTGCGTTCCGACGTGTCTTACTCCTGGTAGCTGTTCATCTTCTCCATTTTCATTCTGTTCCTCTTGTTGTTGCGTAGTTTCCTCCTCTTTTTCTTGTCGCGCAGCCCCCTCCTGTCGTCTCAATTCCTCCTCCATCTTCTGAGGATTTTTGAGACACTCTATCGTCATCACCATGACGGCGACAACAAGTTCACAAATACACAGCTCCATAGCAAGGAACGCCTTTCTGGACTTCTTGGAAGAGAGAGTAGCCTCATAGTCGCGTCGTCGGCGTTTCTCTTCTTCTTCGAGCTGAGCAATCTCAGCTTCTAGATTGCTCAACTTCTGCCTCGCTTCCAAGACCTCATTATCCTTGGTAGACATCTTAGCATACATTTCCTCTAGCATACGTAATCGCAACCGTCCCTCTTCGCTGCCTGGTCGTACAGTATCGTATATTTTCCGTTTGGTGGAGTCGCTGAGTGTCTCGTACGCCGCTTGAAGCTAGAATTGCCAGATATTAGCTGGGGGCATGCTCCCGAGGCTGGGGTTTGGATACAGAGAAAGCTGAGGCTAAAGGGCTCCAAGTCATCAAGTGGGAAGTGGGAAAGGGGAAGATGTGTGCTAACCTTTTGGAACTGTTCTTTCCCATCTGGCCTGGAGTTTTTATCTGGGTGTGTGTGTCTTGCTAGTCTATAGTATGCCGTTCGGATTTCTCGATCATCTGCGGTCGCAGTCACGCCCAATATCGCGTAATAGTCATCGAAAACTATGTCAGACTCCATTTTTTCTTGCTTGGTGATTCTGCTTGGGTATGCCTATAGCGTAAGGTTTAAAATGGTGAGGTTCTCTTGTCCGTGTCTTCGGCGATAGTGAACGGAGCCTTGTGGAACAGTGCGAACCTCGTGGTGTATTTAGTCTGAGCGGTGCATAGCCATCTTCTGGTGGCTTGATTGCAGCATGGACAAGTCGTAACCGAGAATGTAGCACTGGGTCATCTCTACTAGGTATAGCCAAGTTCAATGAGGAAGTACTAAATGTTCATAGGTCAATAGCCAAACAATCACTCATCCCTATTAAGAAGGGCGTAGGTCAGTGTTCAGCTTGGGGGGGAAAATCCTTCTGAGACATAGCATGTGCATATCCTCACAACTCTCGTGAATCTATAAGTACATATACAGATCTATAAATAAACCTAAAGCGAGACCTTTCGTCTCGAACGCCAAGATCCTTATCAACAAATGCATACGGCCCTCAAACTTCACTCTGAGCCAATGCTACTTTACCCGATGATGACCAGTTTGATAAACTGCCAATAATCAGACCAATCCTCGTTTCAGATAGCTCTTGAGTAGGGACGAATCTTCAGGATACACTTCGATTGATATTTAACCAATACCCTCATCGACTTCCCCTCATTCATTTCAATAGAGACCTACTACCTATATACATGCCAACTTACACTTTCTTCACATTAATTATCACCCTCATCATCACGTATATCACTTCTAACCTCTCTCAAGGAAGTAAATCAACCAACACCTTAAGCATTATACATTTCTATAGCGGTATTATTTATCTACCCAATAACTCATTTCCTCCTTCGTGCTTTCCAAACCTTCTCATATCATCATCCATCACAGAGTTAGGCAGATAGACACTCCAAGTATATCTAACAAGTATATCTAACACTTCTTATTTCTCATTTCTTTCTCTTTTCTCTCACTTCTCGCAACTCTCAGCCTCTAAGAACAGAACATTCAATGAACGGTACACAGGGGGGTATTAATTAATCCATGGACGCCGTAAAAATGCACTCTACCCCTCTCTACACCTCGAAACAATACCTACACACAATTAATCCCACCATCTCTACAAGAAACTTCCTTCAGCCTACGCCCCAGTACCTTAAGGCGAACTGACAACAGAAAGGTGATTTCCCCCTCATTTCTAACAGTTTCACATTATTCATGTACTTCATGGTCTGTTGAACCCTTGCTTGGCCTGAAGGGAGTACGTTGGTTAGTCAGTTCACCGAATTTTCCAAGATTGTTATCAAATAACAGGGGTGGGGACTACGAGCAAAACTCACCTTCATCTGCTCTATCCTAGCCTTAAGCTGACTCGTGACCTCTGCCGCTCTCCTCCAGCTTTCCACACCGTTACTCGCCGAGGCAGTGGTGCCATGGGCCGCTTCGTCCGTGTTTGTGTTTGCACCCCTGAATCCCCGCGCGGGACTACCACGCCCGCTCGAGCCGCTGGTATATCTCACTTCTGGACTGAGCTTGCTGCGAGCATACGGGGGCGGTGCATCGCCGTTCTCCTTCTCCTCGGACATGGTGCTCGCGTAACTCATCCGATTCGACCGAGCGCCGGCGCTGTTGGAACCGTCACGGTAGATGCCCATGTCGTCGTGTGTGGGGCTCATGACCGTTGGGCTCGTCACACCGCCGCCACCACCAGAAACGCCTAGCCCCTCAGCCCTACTAAGAGCGCGCTTGAGACGTTCCAATTCCCGCCGAAGTCTTTCGTTTACCTGCTCGGCTGCTTCCGCGTCACTGCGCGCACGAACAAGTTGCGTCTCTTTGGCTTTGATACTCAGATGGTCTCGAGTGTGATCCTCAATGAGCCCGGCATTCTGGTTCTTCAACTCTTGTATCTCAGATGAAAGCTTGCTTTTATCGTGGCGCAGCTCATCAACCTGCCGAAGAAGCTGCTCGTTGGCTGTCCGAAGCTCTTCGAGTTCGGCCCTCTCCATTGCCGCCAGTCCGCTCGTAGGGGCCGCTGAGGCTGCTATGGGCGCCGGAGTCGGCGCAGCACTCGGTTTAGCCAGGGACCGACCTGCCAAGCCACCTCGACCAAGTCCGATTCGTGGTTTGGGTGGAGGTGAGACGGCTATGGGTTCTTCATCTTCTACAGGAGGTGGCGGTGGTGGCGGTGCCGCAGCTCTTCGTGGAGAACCAACGCCCGGTGCGGCGAGACGACGTTGTGGCGCTTTCAGGCCTGTGGGCCCCCCTGGCTTGGGTAACCCCAATTTACTCGGCCCAGCCGGCTTCGACCTCGCTTGCGCTGGTGGTGATACAGGTTCTGCGGGTGGCGGCGGCGCACTTGCGGCGGGGACTATCTTCTTCACGGCACCTGGGGCCTTCTTGAGTCCTGCTCCAACCACCTTTTTGGGTCCGCCTGCGGGTGCCCTCGCTGCTGCTGGGGTGGGTGCAGGCTTGGGCTTATCCTTCGCTTTGACCTCTGCCTTGTCGAAAAATTCCTTGACTTTTGTTTTTCGGATATCATCCAAACTTTCCATATGGGGGTTCATGGCACGTTCACCCACGATTTTCATGACTGTTCCCAGCACTTCAGCGCCGCCAGACCGGAGTGCTTCACTCGACTCGGAAAGCAATTTCTTGGCTGCCTCGACGATACTGGTCACTTCTTGCTTGCTAGGGACATCCCACGTCGTCCGAAGACAGCGGACCAAGAACTTTAGGGTGCCTTCTTTAACTTGGGGGTTCTTGTGATTCAAGAAAGCTAGGATGTCTTCTAAGCATTCGGAAAAACTTGTCGCTAGAAAGACTTGATCCAGGGCAGCACCGAGGGCATCGGCCACCGACTGTTTCTTTTCCTTTAGACGCTCCATAATAGGAGGCATGACCGTGGATCTGTATTTGCCGTAGCTCTTCCGCAGGCCCATAGCTAACACCTCGATACACTGAGCAGCTTGGGTGACGACAGCAATGTTCGCATCCTTCATGCTCTTGGCCAAACCCCGATTGATCTCGTTGAAATCGGCGTCTTTGATTCTTGGCACGTTGATGGCGGCGAAGAGTGCTTCGAGCGCCTCTTTGCGGTCTTTCCATTTGGACGAAGCAAGGTTGTCGTGGAAATTGGCCGGGACCTTGGACAACACATCCTGGGGTTCGGCCAAGTCGAAGGCATCGACTTCGGCAGGTTCTTCAGCATCATCGCCATCGTATGTATCTTCAGCCTCGGCACCAGGCGGCGGGGCTCGGGCCATAGCCTCTTGCTGAGACCGCAAAAGTCTTTCCTGCTTAGGCGCTGGCTCGGCCTTAATCTTTTCAAACTGAGCCTCGAGATCTGACTGTTGTGTAGGCTTCAGGTCGTTCCAAAACATAGGTTTCATGGCATCGCGCAGCCAACGGTAGAACTCGACAGCTAGGTTCGTGGCCTCAGCTCGGACATTTTTATCGGCATGCCCAAAGGCCTTAGGGAGAACTTTAAGGACAGGCTTCGGGTCCACCACCTTGCAACCATAGTTGTGATAGATGGAAGTAAGGGCGGCAAGTGCAGCAGCGATGACCTTGGGCAACTTTGCGGATACGGCAGGGAGAATGTCTTCAATTACTGGGGCGGCGGCATCGATTTCAATCAATAAGAGGAGGGCTTCAAGAGAGGAGGCCTTGGTGGCCGGGCGAGTGGATATGAGGCCCTTCTCAACTATGGGTGTAATGACATGGCCACGCGAGCGAACGCAATTCTCGCGGCCACCAAACTTGAGGAATGCGCAGTAGGCGGCTATGCCGTCGGTTTGGGCAGCCACATTGGAATCAGCGACGGCGCCCTTCCATAAACTAGGATCTTGGTTGAAGGGTTTAAAAGCGGGATCATGTTCGTCGGGAGTGAGCTCGAACTGTTTGGCGGCATCTTCGTAGGCTTGTTTGCGAACCTTCCAGACCTGGGGAAAGAGAATAAGGCAGGTATGTTAGTATAGACACACAAAATCACATGGTATTCTAGAAGCCGGGAACCACGCGCCGGCATCGAGATAGTAGCTAATGCGCACCTTGTGAACCCATCGCTCTGTCAGGGGCAGAGAGCTGTAATCTGGCTCACCATCAGCCATGGTGGCAGACTGATGAAGGTTGTGGGGGTTGGCGAGGATTGTTGTTTCCCCGGATACGACGTCGGTGTGGTCGTGATGGCGGCGGTGGGGTCGTGGCGACGTGGGTGCCGGGGTTGGCAGTGATGAAGAGACGTCGTTGACGCTGCTCTCGTCACCGTCTTTCTTTCTCTTGCTCTTGGATGGTAGTGTGGAAACTACTTTCTTGATTAGCTTGGATAAGAGGGGCATGGTTGTCTTCCCATTCGTAGTCTTGCTCTCTCTCCTATTGCTCTCCTATCGCTTGGCCTTACGCTACGGTAGCGCTAGGGGAGGGAGGGCTATCATGCTCGAGGCGGGCCAGCGATGGTCTATCGTGATGGAGACGCAGGAGCTATGTCGGTGTGCAAAGAACCTGGGACGGAGCCTGTACATGGATATCTGCATGGGAGGCATCCGGACATGTAGGTATAGTTGTAGGCCGTCTTGGGCGTTCCGAGCATGAAGCCTAAGCGACGAGGGGAGCGGTGGGAGGCGGGGGGGGGGGGGGGGGGTAGAAGAAGAGAAGGTGGATGAGGGGAGAGCAGGACAATGGAGGGGAGGGCAACGATAGTAGTGCCCAGAGACCAGTGACCATAGTGGCGGAGGGGAACCAACGACGTACCTTATGCTCGCATATACACAACAAGCGGCATACACGGACGGACAGATAGACGGACACACACAGACACGCACAGGGGTATGCAGGCAAAACAAGACCTTACAGCATACAGCCTAGGCAAAATCAGGATGCGGGAATCAAATCGTCGCAGAGACACTTGGTTACTGCATCGATGGAGCAGGTAGATAAGTTAGGTATTGTTCGCGGGCGGGTTGTTTCTGTGTCTTAAGGATCTTACAGGCGATCGGCGGCGAGCTGAAGCACTACCTAGGTAGACTCTAGGTATCGGAGATTGAATTCGATTCGATTATAGGCGGGAAAGATGGTAGCGGCGGGATTGAGGCAATCGGAGGAACGGCGCTTTGACGGTCAAAACTTTGGAAGTTGGCAAGGCAGGGATATGTGCGTATGGAGCGTGTGGGAATGTAGGTAATGGATATATGACTACGTTTATGTGTAGTTAGTAGGTATGTGTGGTGTGTATTTACACGGGCTGGATATAAGACATATGTGTATGCGAATACCTAGTATAGTGGTTGTAGTAGCAGTCTCTCTTTTCGCGCACTCTATAGCAGACGGCATGAAGCTGAGGTGAGGCAGAGTCAATGGACAGAACTAATCACCAGTTATGATTGGGGTTTGTTGATGTTGAGAATTATTTCCATGTTGCCAGTGTTTACGGGGCCAAGGCTAGATAAATAGAGGGGTACATGTGTGTCTAACGTAATAGCAGCTTGTTGTACCAGCCAGGTACCTGACATCAGGCGCAGGCTCGGGGCGGTCAGCAGGTATCTGGGGATGGGGTCAATACGGTCCAACTAAGTACTGCCCAAGTACTGCCCAACGCAAAGCTACCGTACATGTGTAGAGAAACAAGCAGCAGCCACTAAGAGCAGGATGATGGGGGAAGATGGGGAACGCTGGGACCCTGGACCTTGCCCCGTGTCCTTGCTGTCACCATGCCTTTACGCCGATCACATCTCGACATCTAAAAGATAGTCACCAACCTCAACTGTAGATTTTAGTACAATACAGCACATATTGTGGGAGCCTTGCCTTCCTTCGTGTGTTCCGTGCCACAATACCTAGTATACTAGGTATTTTTGCTAAGAAAGCCCCTGATAATACTACGCTTGCAACCAACCTTAAGACAGAACTGTCACGGCAGGGACAATTGAAGAAGCAAGACATTCTAATGTACACCTTTTGACTTAACGATACTCGACAAAGAGGGGAAAGGGGAAAGGAAGCTAGGACAATTCGCTGACACCGAATTCTCTGATGCAGTCCATACAAAAGCTCGGGCCACCGTGACCCCTGTTCTTGGCATAGGTAGACCGACCGGCTGAGAAGGCCAAGGGCCAATCAGGGAAAGGTCAGGCGCAAGGTGACGTGCGGGGCTGGATTGGAGGCACAGCCAGGAAGATCCAAGACGGATAAAAGGATATCGGATAGAAGGGTAACAGTCGCGTCACGGATCACCATGGCGATACTGATCCTCACCGACCAAAAAGCAGTGATCCGTACAGGCCAAACTGTTGTGTGCAGGGAGGAAATACTATATAGCCACAACGGTATTCCTATATATCTAGCTTTTTTTACTACATTAATTAATTTAAGTATACAAGTATTTCTTAAAATCTATAGGAATAACTTTCTAATAATTTAATAATATAAATATTATTTAGCATTTTTAATATAAGCTTAGCTTTTATCTTTAAGAATATAAACTATTACGACCCTTCTTTTATAGTTTAGTCTTCGTGCCTATGACCGTGAGGCTCGTTATAGGAAGGTGCTTAAAGGGATGTAGAAGATCAGGTACGGTTGGATAAGTCGAAAAATCGGAATGGTAGTGAGCTAGGTGCGCCGCGCCAGCGACGCTGTGGACGGTGCGGTAATACCGGCCATAATGCAAGGACCTGTGAAGAAGATGTAGAATTGAGTTCAGATTCGGAATTAGGTTAGCTTTTAGTAGAATCTTTAATAGTTGTTAAGTTATTGATGATTAAGGTGTAAAGTTTTATGGAAAGTGGGCGACTCGCCTATAAACCACGTTATATTTTATAAAGTGTTAGCAGGCCTTTATAAATATTAAACAGTGTAAGACAATGAAACGGGCTAACGCAAACGTTAGAAAACATCTCACAAGCCACCGACCGGACCCTTTATCCAAGCCAAATATCGATAACGAGCAATCGAAAACATATCTAATCCTAACTGCATCCTTTTTTCGAAGCGACTGCGGGCATTTACGTCGTTTGCTGCTAATACAGCGGGCAACGCTGCAACAGACAACGCGGACCCTATTAACCCCATTGATTTCTCGACAAAAGTATGTTTAACCGCGATACAAGGAATGCTGGGTCTAGGGTGGGAATGACAAAAGGATAGGTAGGTTCTGCTCAGAAGGTTCTCGGCTGGGAAGACATAGACTGGTGGATTGTCCCCGATCCAGAGGGCATGGGCCGAGATTGTCTTGTCATGCACATTCTTCTACAATTTCACAAGGGTCATAACAAAGCCATGACTCCCACCCAGAATCTTTTCGTGGAAGAGGGCTTTCCGATAATCTGGCCTAATTCCCATATCGTAGCCTAACGAACCATTGCGGCACACGTGTACGACAGGGTTGTCATTCCCCATATTGAGTCTCATTGAGCTTCCAAGAACTCGAGAATCTTGCCAACCGCCTGCTCATCACCTTGCCGAGATTCCATCAACTCCTCGTCGACCCAATTATGTGTATAACCACCCCCAAAATCAACAACCCATGCATCATCCGTTTCCTTGTGTATGAGCACGTTGTGCGGCTTTCCATCTCCCCATATAACCCCGATTTCATGAAGTAAATCAACCGTCTCCTGGACTTGAGCCCCCCACTTCTTCCTTCTTTCCGGCGAAGCCTCTATTGCCTCAACCCCCACTCCCTCATCCTCCGTTCCCTCATGCTCTGACCCCTCTTTGTCCTCCAGATTCCCCAGGGTATATGGATTCCCTGTAGGAATGTATTCTTCCAGAATACCAATAATCTCCCCCGTCTCCGCCAATGTGACTAGACCAAGAAGTTTGGGTACTTGAATCGAATGAGCGAGGTGCGATCTCGCGACCGTACGAAGACAGTCGAATTCGCGTTCAAGGCCCTTGAAGAAAGCCTCATCGCCGCTCTTACAACACATCTCTGTTCCTCCTACCGCAACTTTGGTGATATCCCCCTGCCCAGAGATGATTTCGAGTACACGGATGTCTTTGGAAGAATATTGAGGCAATCCTATGTCGTTAACAATTCTGTTACCGGAAGGATGGTGGTGGTCGGGTTCTCCTTCTATTTGGTCCGGTATCAATTCCCATTTCCCATCCTTTGTAACGAAGCGGAAGGCGAAGGTCTCCGGGTACAGATGAGAGTGCAAATCCGAAGGCTCTGGCTCGTCGAGAGTGGGGGGAGCTAGCCGAGTCCAGATCGATCCTCCAGCCTCGTAGACAAGTAACTCGATTTCGCGTTGAATGGCGAAAGATTGTTCTTCATCTTCATATGGGATCGAGTCGAATCTTGAGATGAGAAGCCCTTCCATGGTATCGGGGGAGGAAGGTGGAAGTAGAGATACGCGAAAACGTTTGCCGTGTAGCATGATGGTTATAAAGATGCCATCCCCGCATCCGCTGTCCCATTGCACGGCTTGCCAGTCCAGAGGGAGCATCTTTGTTTGACCGTTGACCTGGGGCTCCAAAAAAAAAAAAAAAAAAAAAAAAGATGGAAGATGTTATATGTTGTTGAAAAATGGATGGAGATGGGGGTTTGAAAAGGCTGAATGGCAATCGATATGTGTTGAGGCTTGAGGCTCCTCTGAGCCTGAGGAGGGAGTGAAAAAGGGTAGCGAAAATGATGGGCAGAGCCTAATTCAGCGAGATGCACCTAACTGTCAGATAATCACGTGAACATATTTTGGAGTTTATGGTAGTAGCTCGAAACATTTGAAAAAGATGATATACCTATGACCGTACAGGCCAACAATCAGTGTGTGTTATATATTGCTAGCTGGATTGCAGCATGGAGGGAGCTATTTCACAGCTGATTTTTCACATATATATACACGATCCTTAGTTCCAGCTCTTTCCTTTTGTTCTTCAGACCTTTCTTGCATTACAATCCATTCTGAAAACGATCCCTCATAGCCTAATACGGATGATTTCTGTGTGCAGTCACAATGTAACGAACTGTTTATCTCTAACACCGAGTAAGGTTTATGTTCCTAGGGATAAGGGCCAAGCTTATACCAAAGGCGCTAAACAATGTTCGTATTACTGAGTCGTTAGGAGGTTTCTCTTATAAGATTCCAAGAAGTAATTGTATGCTTAAATTAATTAACAAAATAAAAAATAACTAGCTATATAGGAAATCTTATTCTTCTTATAGTAATTCCTTCCTTCACCCATTGCTTGGATCATTGGATAGTTCCTCTATCCCCTGATCCCTTGGATAGCTGGATCGCTCAGCTATCCCCCGACCCTGTCACGTGACCGTTCCTGGTCCAACCCCGCGTCTGTGGTTTGGCACCTGCGACTGGTGCTTGGTCTGCCCAACAGGTCGTCCACTTGTTGGTTCGTAACAGAATCGCAGGATCGGCATCGATAGCATCCTCAATATTAATCCAAGTTGGAGAGGGAAGGCAGAAACTACCCCTCATTAACCTGCTCGACAAGTGAGGCTGCGCCAGTCACGAGATCTGCAGGTCTACCTAATCAGACCATCTAATCTGGGGTGGCTGGCTGGCTGGCTGGCCGGCCTGCAGAGATAAACTGCCATATCACTGCATTAAATGTCAGATATTAGCGATGGTATGCTTGATTGATTGATTGATTGATTGATTGATTGATTGATTCCTACTCGGTTGCAGCCGCTCTAGTCGGGGTCTAGCGAAAGGCCGGACTAGGCCTAGCCTATTTAGTTGGACGCACATACAGCGGCCGCTAGGGCTTTGCAGCCAGAGGCAGCTATACTAGGTAGAAGAGGCTTGAATATCGGACTATCTGTCCATCGTCGAAGCCTGTGCTGGTACGGGCAGATACGGGGTTCTAATCCGTAGTTACTTAGATCCAGGCCTGTACCGGTCCCACGACTAGGTATACTGGTCCAAATCTCGTACCAGTCCGTAGTGCGAGCACGTCCTAGCACCGGGTCCACAGCTGTACTGGTTCGAATGTTGTACTGGTCCGTGGTCTGAACGCGTCCCGGTACGCATATCGTACCAGTCCGTCGACCAAACCCCTACCTTAAATCTCATTAAGCAGCCTTACGGTTTGCTATGTTTTCGAAAATAACTTCCAAGCGATAAACCAATGTGCTATTGTTAAAGTGGTCAGAAACGGACACCAGATGTCCGGAACTAGCTACCATCGTCGACATGATCATGAAAAAGCCTCGTCGCCGTCATAATCCGAGTGAGATCATTCGCCAGGCAACATAACACTGCAGCTATTTCCTACATTCGGAACAGAATGTCTCTCTTCATCTTCGCGCTCTTGGTCGCCGGAGTCCCGTGTTGCGATATTTGGAGACGTTAATACCGATGATCTTAAAAGGAGGAGATTATGCGGAGACAGGTCGACTATTTGATTCCGACAATTCATATATTGCAGTAAGACTTTAAATAGTTGCGATAATGTACGAGTGTTATGAAGCAGCTTATTTTAAGAAAAAGCCGACTCCCTATTACTATTTAAACAATCGTTTCTAGTGTATATAAGTCCGATACGAAGCCGGATTATGCAGCACACTTTCTAGATAGTATAAAGGTTCTCTACCTTGCTATTATGCAAAATATCGTAGAACTCTCGGGTGAGAACTCTTTAAAAGAAAACGATGAGGAGGATTTAAAGACACATCCGTATAATTAAAGAGCCTGGCATTAATTGGCATACCAAGCCCAAGAACTAGGGTTTAGTTCGGACGAAACCACCCGTTTATCTTCCCTAGATTTTAATCAAGATATAGCAAGGAAGGTGATCCTCGATGCTCGACCTTTGCAGCAGTTTAACTTGTCAAGAATGGTACATAGTAATTCTATTAATTACCTTAAGGTCTAAGTCCTCCCAATAACTTGTAGGAGGTGAAGCTATCTTATATAGACATGAGTAGTTACGTGTGGGGTATTCTTCAATATATCTAGCCTTTATAGCTTTAATATGACTATGGATAGAACTTAGGCAGCTTAATAGCTACCATAGTTGGGTGGTTTAACCAGGCATGGCTGGCTATGTCTAAAGATACTTGTTTAGCACTTACTATCTTATATGTAAAGGAACCGATTAAGAAATAATATGGTTGCCAATGTTTGAAAGCTTATTCTAACGATTGGCTTTATATTACTATAGATAACCTTACTAGTCTGCTATAGAAGGATGCCGAAATTACGTTCCTGTTCGTCCGGAGGTCCATGTTTCACGCATTTTAAGGCGGGTGTAATAATAAGCAGGATACCAATTATATTAACTATGCCGAACAGTATGGCATAAACAGCGAGGGCGTTGATGTACAGGATTAACAAATGCCAGATGGGTGTAATAGTAGCGGTATAAGCCATAACCACTGCGCTGCACACCCGTGAAAGGGTATGGTCTACAAGTGTGACCTTACCACCTTCGTCTTTGTTACACGTGTAACCTCTGTACCGGTTGAAGAATGCAGTTCGCCTTGCACTTCGGCCGTACGAAGGACCATTGCAGGCTGTTCATGACCTTCCAAGACATGCAGGCAATATTGGGCAATATTGGAAAGTGAGGTTATACAGACTTCGCTTCTTGAAACAGACCCTAGAGACCCAGGCGGTCTAGGCTGGCAGATCATTTGTATATAGAGTCTCCTTAAGCCACCAACAGCCAAGAAGGAGTTGGTTGGTCAAGGACTAATGCAGCCCTAGTTGATCATTGTAATCAGAATCCTCGGTTCCAAGCCCAGTTCAACTGCCCTTGTTATAGTCTTGAGCCCTCCTAGTTTAGAGTCCCATGATATAAGCCAGCCAAACCTATTATAAGATAGTCGGAAGATGTTAGAGAGTGCCGACGTTGTTCTATTATCGAGGCTATAGAAGAAGTGCGAGATAGTTATCTAGAACAATATTGGTTTCTATATAATAAAGATGGCCGAGGTTTTACTTCAGAGCAGTGTCCTACCCACGAGGACAATTTCATATATTTAAACATAGATCTAAGTGGTTTCCTAGCAAATTTGATCTTATAAATAATATTATAGCAGTACAACTCAATCTTTTAAACTATTAGGCTTATTAGACGTACGTAGTTTAAGTATAGCAGAGCTTCGTAACTCTTTTTTATCTGACTAATTGATTCCGTAATGTTAAAAAAACTACAAGCTGTGCGATATAGATTTTGAGGATAACTCTTATCCCGAAGATACGCTTCCAGGTATACGATAATATATGAACTTATTTATTAGTATTGCCATCGAAGACAACAGGCGGTAGGGCGGTGTTACGAACCAACGACAGACCAGCTGGTGGGACCCAACGCAGCCGCAACAAAAGGTCGGGCGCGGACCCTGTCGCTCCCCTGTAACAGCCTGTAACCCTGTGTCTGCCCTGTGCTCCAGCAACCTTGGAAGGTTTAGGTAGCGCAGTTGCCCCTCCTTGCGGGCAGCTTGCCAGGCGAGCCAGGTCAGCCTCCGCCCCGCCGTCTGTCGTCACGGTGAGCTCGGCCGGCTAGGTACCTACATGTATCCAAGGAATCAATGTTGGCGTAGGACTTCTCATTTTCTACTCCCTAGGTAAGAATAATAATTTAGTAGTTCAGCCGTGGTTATACATTAGCTTAAATTTCATTCTTTTCTCATCTATCGCTATGTTATTCAGCGGTTATATCGTAATTATGTAGTAATTAGACCTCGATTACCCCTGGAATAGAGCTATGCGGCGAGGGGCGGGTAACAACAAGAAGCATTGATGTCCGGTCATGTTACTGGGTAATCCCATGTACAGGCATTATAGGTACTCTACTCTTCATATTGAGTGTTAATGCCCAATAATTGAAGACACAGGTCTCCGGGCAACTGTCCTGTTACTATCCTTGTTTTTCACATGCTGGGGGCGGCAGTGATTTCTATCGAGTTCTGGTCACGGAAGTGTCAAGTTTTATGGCTTTGCTTACCATAAATAACTGCTATAAACTGAACGTCATGTTCCCCATTCGTTGAGAGCTTGGGCTACGGAATTATAGTAGGGATGACTGAGTCGATGACTGAGCCGATGAGGTTGAATCGCCGTCGGGCTAATCCGCTCCGCCGTTGTTCGGGGCCGGCCTTCGGTGGGTTTCACAGGTTGTTCCGGGAGAAAATAGCGACAAGATCGCAGCAAGGGTTATTCGCGTATTGTAGTTCTAGACGGGAAGATCTGTACTGGCCGGCTCCGGCATATTGGAATTGCTAGGTTATACGATGTAGTCAGGAGACCAAGACACTTGAAACTGTCTAGCTTGGCGTCTTCCAAGGCTCCTGTTACGGCGGATCGTTGTTTCTGTAACATCTATGACAATGTCATGAGATGCTTCAATTGCTTGATTGCTTTATTTTACAACTCGTCAAGAAGAGTATCATTCGCCTGGTAGGATACTTATCTTTCATGCATCGCATAGAGGGCATTCTACAGCACCGCACCGGCAGTGGGGATCAGATGCTACCTAGGTAGGTAAAGACAGATGCCAGAGAGCGCTGTACTACTGCGCTAAGCTTCTTCTGCTGGCTAACCCAACCTTGGAAAGACAGATCCAAGACCTAACCGCCTGCTCAAACGGTGATATTATTGGGGATATTATCAACGGAAGAGGATACCTTATTACCATTCTCCCAAGTCAACACGCTCCAAACAGTCGGCAAAGCAAGAACAACAACGACGACACCGCCTGTCCTCGCATTCTGCATCTGTCGGCACACCTGCGCACAGAGTACCTAGGTAGTCAAGTTGGTTGGTTCATGTGTTTCAGCCTAATTCGGGGCCTCTATCCTCATACCTGTCCAGCTGTTGCTCAAAGGGGGCCTTGCCTTCTGTTGCGTGCGAGCTCGAGACGTCGCCAAAAGCGACCGCGCTACACACCTACCTAGGCCAGACAGCTCGAGGTCCAGCAGCTTAGGAATGGGTTTGCACAACTATCAGCCCTAGCTCGTCATTCCTACATCCATCCAAACACGTGCTTGCCAGCGACGACAAGCGTGACGACCGACAGAGGATCCAAGACAACCACCGCTGTCGCTTTGACCTCGACTACGAGTAATAGCAACCGAATAGCAACCGTCACATCTGTTCATCCTACCGCTCATCGTCCCCATCCATCCACGAATACTCATTCCTGATCAGACCGCTTGTCTCGCCTCGGACTGTCGCTATCACGACCTTCTGACTCCAGGCTGGGGATTGATTGCTCGAGGAGCCATTTATGTCCGCGTCACCCGCGGCTCGTCGCCCAACCCTGTTTCGGTGTAATTCCCCAGGCCCGCTAACAACACCGCCGCCATCGTCATCATTGGCCTGAGCTCGAACCCCCGCGCGCAAAGCTTGTGTCTGGTGTGCTGGTAGGCAAGATGACACAGATATTAACCCCGCGACAAGCGGATGAGCTGTATGTCGTAGCTGCACTCCTTGATTGTTCTCTTGCCTGCTTGCTTGCGTGCTTAGCCACTCCTTTGCTTCTTCTTTTCGCGCCTTGGTCGTCATCCTTTGCTAACCGCAAGCAACAACTTTATAGGCACAAGGCCATCATTGCTTACTTGGCCTCTAACAACCTCCCCGATACCGCCGCCGCACTCCGGAAAGAGCTGGAGCTGGGAGACACTTTTGATGACACGACCTCGAAGAAGTATGAAGGCTTACTTGAGAAGAAATGGACAAGTGTGGTGAGATTACAGAAAAAGGTACACAGAAACCTCTCTGCACTGCCGTGACAACTGCTGCTGTCATGCGCTTGGCGATCCTAGTTTCTAGTTTCCAATTCTTGCTAGGCTAACGTGTTCTGCGCTGCTTTGTTCTCGTATAGATCATGGATCTCGAATCTAGGAATTCAACACTTCAGTCTGAACTAGACAATGCGACGCCGACCACCCTCTCCCGCCGAAACCAAGACCCTTCGAGCTGGCTTCCAAGATCGCCTGCCCGTCATACCCTCCAATCCCACCGAGAACCAATCACCTGTGTTGCTTTTCACCCCGTCTTTTCATCTCTTGCTTCTGGCTCAGAGGACTATACCATCAAGATCTGGGACTGGGAGTTGGGGGAGTTGGAGCGGACGATCAAGGGACACACCAAGGCCGTCTTAGATGTTGACTTTGGCGGCCCCAGAGGCGGTACCCTCCTTGCTTCTTGCTCGAGCGATCTGACCATCAAATTATGGGACCCTTCTGACGAGTACAAGAACATCCGCACACTACCTGGGCATGATCACTCCGTTAGTGCCGTTCGTTTCATTCCCTCTGGCGCTGCCGGTGCCCCAAGCTCCGGTAATCTGCTCGTGTCTGCATCGAGAGACAAGACTTTGCGTATATGGGATGTATCCACTGGATATTGTGTGAAAACCATCCGTGGCCACGCAGACTGGGTCAGGGATGTATGTCCATCTCTTGACGGACGCTATTTGTTATCGGCTGGCAATGATCAGACAGCCCGGTTGTGGGACATATCCCTCGCCAACCCCGAGAGTAAACTCACGCTGGTAGGCCACGAACACACCATCGAATGTTGTACGCTCGCCCCCCCCTCGGCATATCCACACTTGGCGCCACTCGCCGGCCTCAAGAAACCGCCGCCTGCGTCGAGTGCTGCCGAATTCATGGCCACTGGATCCCGAGATAAGTCTATACGTATATGGGACATGCGGGGGAATTGCATCAAGACACTGAACGGGCATGACAACTGGGTACGGGCTTTAGTCTTTCATCCTGGCGGTAAATATCTTCTCAGCGTCGCCGATGACAAGACACTGCGTTGTTGGGATTTGACACAGGAAGGGAAGTGTGTCAAGGTACTTGGCGACGCTCATGGACATTTCGTCTCATGCCTACGTTGGGCGCCAGGCATCGTGCGCGAGCCTGTCACCAACGGAAATAACCCCGAGGGCTCGAACGGCACTACTACTGTCAACGGCACCCCGAAGCCGGGCTCCGCTTCACTTGATGTTCAGATCAGATGCGTCATCGCCACGGGCAGTGTTGATTTGAACGTGCGGGTATTCGCGAACTGAGCGAGCTGAAGAAGTGTCTCCCGCGTTTTATCCATCCAAAGCAGAAAAAATACCTATTCCTTAAAAATCATACATTTTTTTGTGTCCTCGCCTTATTATAGATATAATCCAAGAGAGCAAGAGCGTGCCCAAGTTTGGGATTCTCAAAAGCCTACGCAAATTGTGTGCGCAGACACAGGCACACACCTCTCGTTGCACAACATGGTTTCGCCAGCTTAGGTCCCTCCGACCCCGGCGTTCCCCTCAACACCGAGGCAAGCAGGCAGGCAGGCCTGGTGTCGAGTCGATCAGAGAGCATATATGGTCATGTTACCTGATTAAAGGTTTGCGCCATCTCATCCGCGGTGACCTTTTCAAGGTTGTAGAAACTAATTGACCATCACAGGAGTGATATCACGGAACTTAAGAATAGATACCCCTTCGTGCCTGCTGGCATTGCTTCAATTGACTCAAGATAAGACCTTGTATGTACTCTTGCTACAGTCTATCGAACCCAACCTCGTCGCATTTATTGCTAGCAGGCTGCTTCATTCACGGTGATGCAGCGCAGTCGACATGAAGATTGTGGGGGTAGATTATTGTAAAACTGCCTTTACTGCCTTCACTGCCTTCACTGCCTTCACACTCGTCTTACGCCGGAACATGTGCTTGGTTCAACTGCCTTCACATAGTGCCCTAGCTCAAAGCTTGCTGGTGGTAGCGACTACATCATCTTTTTCTAGTAGTTTTTCGCTATCGACTTCCAACTCCAGCTATGGGATGAAGACGATTCTAGTGTATGGGTGCACAATATGGGGGCGTTACGTTACATCCATCTCTTTAGTGATTATATGTCGACAGGGGAAATTGTCCCAAGAGAGGGGTAGTGTGGGGGATAGCTCAATACCATATTGGAGAATCGGTGAAGTAAGTACCTAGGTAGGTAGGCAGGTAGGTATATAAGGGATATTTTCACGATCTTCAATTTGTAGGCATACCGTCGATTATTTCTGTCCGTTTCTGCATACGATCTCTCTATGGTAAGTATACCTTTGCATATGCACACCTTCATTTATCTGCATGGCTAGAGCTCAGCGTCATGTATAGACGTTTGTGGCTGCTTTTACCTGGAGTGGTTGCGTCGTCTCTTCAGCTACTCCCTCCCATCTCACCCTCACCGCGTAATGAGACAACACCAGGCCTCACTCTCGACAGCGTTTTGACCACGGTTTATATCGTTGAAAGTCTAGCATCCCATCGTGATGGCCAGGGTCTTACCCTGATCCCCCCATCGGGTCTAGAATTCGCCCGCACATTCATCGAAGATTTAGAAGAAGCATCAGGGAAGCCATGGACCCTTCACGTCGTGAGCGCGTCACCAACCAATGTCACAGGCATTGTCCTTGACCAGTTCCATGGCGATCCATTATCCCTTTCCTACGAGGATGGAAGCCCCACGGAGGAAGGCTACACACTAGAAATCGAGAACAATCGTGCTGTCATTAGCGGCTCTGGAGCGCGAGGTATGTGGTGGGGGACGCGGACGCTGCTCCAGCAGTTAATCATATCCGGATGGACGACGTTGCCAGCATCTCGGATCACCGATGCCCCGGCCTATGCCACCCGAGGCTTTATGCTCGACGCCGGCAGGAAATGGTACTCCCCGTCGTTTCTGAAGGATCTTTGCACGTACGCATCCTTCTTCAAGATGTCTGAATTCCAATACCACACAAGCGACAATTACCCCTTGAACCGCGGTCACAACGACACGTGGAACGAGGTGTATTCGCAGTTCTCTCTTCATCCGGAAAGCGAGGACTTGCAGGGTCTTATACAGCGAGAGAACGAGACCTTGACGCGCTCTGATTTCGACGACTTGCAACGACACTGTGCCGGACGGGGCATCACCATCGTGCCTGAGATCGAGGCGCCGGGTCATTGTCTAAGCATTACGAAGTGGAAGCCCGAGCTATCGCTGTCGAAGCGAGACTTGCTGAATCTGACTCACCCCGACAGCATCCCCACGGTGAAGCGGATATGGGAAGAATTCCTCCCCTGGTTTCAATCCAAAGAGGTACACATCGGCGCCGACGAGTACGATTCCACTCTCGCGGACGACTATATATCGTTTGTCAACGAATTATCAGTCTTCGTCAACTCGACTTCGGCAAAAAGGGTGCGAATATGGGGCACCTACGAGCCCTCTACAACAGCGACTATCGATTCTTCAGTAATCATCCAGCACTGGCAATACGGACAGTCGGATCCGGTCGAACTCTACAATTCCGGGTACGACCTGATCAACACGGAGGACTGGTGGGCGTACATGAGCATCAAAAACGATCACATGCCCATCCTTCCCGCGCCGTATCCGCAATTCTTCAACGGGACGCGCGTGTTGAATTTCGCGGGCTGTAGCGGCTGGCAATGGGAACCGGCGCTGTTCAACCCGGTGAACACAACGGAACAGCTCCCCGCGGGCGCCGCAGAGAACAAGGGCGCAATCCTAGCGGCGTGGAACGACAACGGACCCGACGCATCCACGCAGCTGGAGGCGTATTATGCTATGCGGCGCGGGATACCGTTGGCAGGCGCGCGGGCGTGGAGTGGTAGTAGGGGGCCAAAACTCGAAGCAAGCTCCATTGAGAAATCCATCAGTTTGCTGGCGGCGCAGGCACCGGGGCAGAATCTCGATAGACGGCTTAACAACACTGCTTCTCAAGATAATAAGTCCGGGCAGCAGCACCCGCTCATCTCATGGACACGATCGAGGAATAACAGTGATGGGGTAAGCCATCTAGGCCACGGCAGCAAAGGGGTGAATTACACGCTTACGCTCGATGTGACGGGTCCGTTTCGTTTGTCCTCGGAAGACGTCACGCTGAAGTTGGACGAGGGGAAAGATGGAGGGGTGTTGACGTTTGTCGCGGATGGATGGGAGTATCCTTTGCGAAGCGTAGCGGAGGCGGATGGGTTTGATGAGGGACATCCTGGAAGAATTTGGGCGAATGTTACATCTGTGAGTATTTTGATTTTTCTTGCCCTCGTTTTTTCCTTCTTGTTATATATCCATTCATCCATCTACCTACCTGCCTATTCTCCATGTAGCTAACCAACCCCCCTTTTCAAAAGTCAACACACACCCCGGTCCCTCTCACCCTCCCCGCGAAAGTTACGATAACAAGCGATGTAATCGGCGGCAGCCGAGCATACGTAAACGACACATTCGCGGGCCGTTTCGAAGTCTTTGTCTTCGGGGGGAGGAATACCGTGTTCAGCTGGAGTCAGATGGCGTTCGTCGCACCATTGGATCGATTAGAATCAGGGGATGCTGGTGGTGGAGGGATTGAGAGGTTGGCTTTGTGGGACGGTGTTCGTGTGCCTGGGCCTACTGATGAGAATGGTGGGAATGCAGGTGGTGATGGAGGCCCGGTTACGAGTGGTGCTGGGGAGGGTTATGTGAGGACAGGAAGAGGATACATGCTCGGGTCGGTTTTGGTTGTACTTGGAGGGTGGATTTGGGTGATATGAATGATACTTGAGTAGGAGGAGTAGAGTATCTATCTACTGGCTTCCAGGTTACTTGATTTAATAGCACCGGATTTACATATTATTAAACCAGTCTGCTATCAATGTAAAGAGCTTTTGCTTTAGTTCACCTCTCAACAGTTTACAATATATTTATATATATATATATATATGTGTGTGTGTGTGTGTGTGTGTGTATCCTTTATGAAAGAGTCAAAATGAAGCCGTGAGCCTATCTGGAATGAGCTTACGGTAAGTATGGCATATTCCTGGACTTCGAGAAGTTGACCTCAAGACATAAAGAATGGCGGCCCTCTCAATCCATTGAGAATAACTTACTCATCATCATATATGTATTTATATACTGCCTTTCAATTGGTTCCAATCGCTTAAGTGGCATCTAGAGATATCTCAAAGTGTACCTAAAGGCTACCTAAGATATACTGTAGCGCCTCTCGGGGCATCCAGTTGTGCCACTAGGTACCTAAGGTACCTATAATGGATAGTGCAAACAATGCTCTACCCACCTAATCTTGCACTGCAAGGGTAGGTACCTATAGGTAGATACCAATACATATATATATATGTAGGTACATGGGGAGGTACTTTCCTATCTTCCATCGATATCGTGCCTATCTCGACCAGACCAGAGACTCGACAGACATGCTCGCACATGACCCTGTACACAACATCTCCCCGGTTCTGGACCTTGTAGGTACATGCATCATTTCACACATCTTTTGCCAGCAATTTCATCCTCACATAGACCGTCTCTTTTCTGGCTCTTTTCTCTCGCTTGTCATCTCCCACCTCCGGCCGTTGTGGGTGAGAAGACAGCCGCACGACTTGTTCTTATGACACAAATTCGCCCGTAGAGAGGGGTCCCAGCTGTAACCCTCGGACTAATCAACAGCCAGCCAACCAAGTAACCCATACCGCCGAGTAATCTACGGTACTTCGTACGCGTCCACCTACATATCTAACTAGAGATACATCCCCAGCTATCTACCATACCTATCTCTCCATACCGGCCCAGTAAAGACGTCTCGGGACACGGACGGTCCGGCACGAAACATCCCCCCCCCTCCGCGTATGCCGCTGCTCCGATACCACGTCCTTCGCCCTTCGCCCGTCCTTTCGCCGTCCTCTTTCGTTCGCTCCCCCACGCCTATATCTATCTCAGCCTCACCACTGCCACAACCCGCCGCCCCCGCCTGTCCCACGCTGCTCGTGGTATCGTCTAGCCTCGCGCGCGACCTAGCGCCGCCGCTGCCGTCGCTATCACCATGTTTTGGAGATTTGGCGGTTACGCCAACATCTCCACCATCGATACCATCCTCGACAAGCCCGACTTTCTCCTCGAAGACTTGCTGGACGAGAGTGACCTGATCCAGGAGCTGAAGCAACACAACACGAAGCTTCTCGAGTACCTGCGCCAGGACAGTGTCCTCTCTAAACTGTTGGACTATGTCGTTGCACCAACCCTCGAGCCCGTCGAGAACCCCGCCGACGACCATGACGACCGCGACGAAGACGCCGTCAAAAAGGGTAGGTCCTTGGGCTTGCCCTTTGGCCGCCCAAGGGCTTCATCACGCGCCACCAGCGAGGGCACCGACGATGACGAGGTGGAGAAGAAGCGCAACCGCTATGCCTACGTCGCCGCCGAGGTGCTGTCTTCTGACAACTGGTCCATCTATGAGTCCCTGATGGAGAACAAGGAATTGTTGGGCAATTTCTGGTCTTTCCTGACACGCCCAGCGCCGCTAGATCCTATCCAGGCCAGCTATTTCACTAAGGTCAATGAATCACTCTTCGACAAAAAGACACACGAAATGCTACAATTGCTGCGGTCGCTCGATGGCGCCGTCCCGAACATGCTACGTCATGTCGATTGTCCCATGATTATGGATCTCTTGCTTAAGATCATTAGCCTCGAGAGGACCGAGGACGGTCAGGGCATTGTTGAGGTATCTCTCCCTGCAAAATAACCTCCCCCGCCTCCTTTCCTTTTTTTCCCCCTTTTCTTCTTCTTTTTGGGCTTTCTTTGTATTCAATTTCAGTGGCCCGTCTGTACTAAGTCTGACTCGTTCCTTTTCTTAGTGGCTCTATACCAAGGATGTTATTCCCGCATTACTGTCCTTCCTTGGACCTGAGCATAGTTGGGCCACTCAGACCGCCGCTGGCGATTTCATCAAAGCCATCATTACAGTTTCCGCCAACGCCTCCCAAAATGAGCAGGCTTGCATTGGTCCCAACGAGCTCACTCGCCAGCTTGTGTCTAGACCGTGCGTTGAAAAGATCATAGGGTACATGCTCGGCGGTGGGAACCCCCTCACTGTCGGCGTGGGCATCATAATCGAGGTTATCCGCAAAAACAATTCCGACTATGACCCCGATGTTGGCGGCGATGCAAATGCTCAGCCTTCTAGTCGCGATCCCATCTATCTCGGCACACTTCTTCGTCTCTTTGCTGAGCATGTCCCTGATTTCATGTCGCTGGTTCTCAACGCTCCCGCGCAGAAGCAGCGGCTGGACTCCACTTTTGGTGACAAGATCGAGCCGTTAGGTTTCGATCGGTTTAAAACCTGTGAACTCATGGCCGAGTTACTGCATTGCAGCAACATGGCTTTGCTCAACGAAGTGGGCTCGGAGCAGGTCATTGCACGGCGAGACGAGGAACGTAGTCGTTTACGTCTCATAGGACGCCTCGCCGTTACGCGAGGTGAGGAATCGCACTCCTCGGAAGATTTGACTATGCGCTCCCGCCACTCTTCACCCGACGATAGCCGGCGGTTAGAGGTAACAAATGCGTCCGATGACGACGGGTTTGAGGAGGTGACGCCATCTGGAGACATGACTGAGGACACTTCGCACGAGTTCGTCAAAGCCGAAGAAGAAATACGTGTCGCCACATCTCCATCTTTCCTTGATAAAGACGATGATGAATTTGTTGATGAGCCTCTCAGCTCGCCGAGGCTCCATGTTCAAGATGAAAAAATGGATGACGGCCACTTCGAGATTCCCGAACTCGTGGTTGCTCCCCTGTCGCCTAAAAAACCGGCAGCGAAGGAGCTGGAACCACCACCACAAGCGGATGCAGAAACGATCCCGGGGTCAACACCAGCAAAGCGCTTAGAACCAATTGAAATAACTACCCAGCCTTCTACCTCAGACGAGACAACCCCCCTCACAGGAGACGGTAGCTCGGCACCTAGGAGTGTTCAAACAAAAACTATAGAGGTCGAACCGGAAGAACCAGCTGAATCTAAACCCATTTCTATGGAAGACAACGAAGATACAGTAACGGCACAACCAACGAAGACTCACTCCACCACTTCCACTGCTGTTCATTCTGAATCAGATGCCTCGCAGATTGGCCAAACCCCTCCAGAGGCCCAAGATATGGAGGCTGAATCTTTACCCCAAGGCAACCAAGCTCCAGAGGATAGCCAGACAACCGCAGCGGAAAACCCCGAACCAGTCGTAGGCGACTTCTTGAAGATGCAGTTTGTACAAAATAACGTTGTACCCACTATTTTGGTAATATCTCTTCCTATTCCTTTCTTCCATTGGAACTGGGATCTAACAAATAACCTAGTCTTTTTTCTTCCGATATCCTTGGAACAATTTTCTTCATAACGTAGTCTACGATATTGTTCAACAAGTCTTCAACGGGCCTATGGATCGGGGGTTCAACCCTACTCTTGCCATCTCTCTATTTGAAGCCGCTGATATCACTAACGCCATTATCAACGGACAAACATCTAGCGAAAGATCGCAGGCCCAAAGCAAGACACGCATGGGGTTCATGGGACATCTTACTCTAATTGCCGAGGAGGTTGTCAAGTTCACCGAGCGGAACCCTCCTGAGCTTCTCTCCGACCTTGTCCTAGACCGTGTCATGAGCCAGGATTGGATAAATTACGTCGAAGGAGCGCTGGCGGAGACACGGGAGAGAGACAATGCAATTCTCGGGGGAGTACGGCCGGAAGTGGCATTAAGTAATCGGCCACAGATGGGCGGCAATCTCGGCGGCATGGGGCTCTCTAGCCTGGGACTCAGCGGTGGCCAAGGCGGGGGATCAAATGCCCTTACTGAGGCCGGCCTGAATGGAGGTGGCAATACACTCGACATGGCGGATCATGGCAGCGGCAGCAGTCTCGGCCCTTTTAGCATCAGCTCAGGGCTCCTTTCAGGCTCCGGGTTCGGAAGCTCCAGTGATGAAGATGAGGACGAAGTCGAAGAGAACGACGAAGACGTGAATAACGAGGTTAGTGACCCTTCTCACTAAGTTCCTAGCAGCACACGTAATGCTGGTTCTTTTTCTCTATCTGGTAACGAAATGTATTTGGTTCGGAGATACCAACTCAACCCCTCTGATGGGGATGTATTACTTGTTGCTGGCTTCTGGTTTTTGTTTTACGTTTTCTTGTCTTCTTTTCTTCACCGAGGAGTTTCGATATACACACACATGGACAGAGTCATAGACAGTCATTGGATGTAGATTACTTCACACGGGTAGAGATATAGCGGTCGTCTATATGCTCTTCCCTGCGTCGAAATACGTATCGTTATGCTGCAGGGGTTTAGGTATCTCTGTCTAAAGGAGGATTTAGTCTAAACTTGGATGTCAATGGCGAAATTGGTAGTCTGGGTGACGTGTGAGGAATCTCGCCATACCAATGCCGCTTCCTTTTCGACCGCTCTTTTCTAAGTTCGTTTCTTGTTCGTTCTTACTCCGTCTGGAATGATCTAGAAGAGCGTGGTTTCTTGGCAATCAGGTTGTCATTTCCGAGATCTACGGCTAACGCTGTCCCAGTTTCGTGCCTATACAGATCCACTGAACGCGTCGTCTTCATCTGCTGATCCGCCTTCTATTCCTCCGCCTCCCCCACCACCGCCCCCACTGAACATTCCACCTTCCCGTGCCCGGCTGCAACTAGCTGCACGACTTGCCGCGCACCAAAAGAGTACGGCATCCGCTTCGGCACAGTCTGCCGGTATCGAAGACAATGAAGAGCGCTCCGGGGCAGGACGGGACGACGGGTTAGGTAGGGCCCTGCGCAACCCCTTCGAAGATGACGGCGAAGACGAAGTCGACGATGATAGTGATGACGGTCTAGGCGACGATGGAGACAATGCAGACGCTTGGCCTTCGAGGGCTACTCGTGGAGGCTGGTGGCGTAGCACACTGCGGAGTCGAGAGAAGTTCGGAGACGGCCGGGATGATTCCGACTCGGACAAAGACGACCGGGCAGCAGCGGAAGATGATGACGATGATGATGACGAGTTTGGCGACTTTGCCATGCCTGAGGCGAACAAAGACAGTGCTCAGGCCAAGGGGAGTGTGATTGTCAAACCCCTTCCTGTTCACCCGCCACCTCACAACCCCAAGAGCTCAAGCTTCACCAGCCTCTGGCCCTTCGGCTCAAAGGAGAAGGAGAAGCAGAAAGGCGAAGAACCGACGGGAACGGGTGAGGCTACAGACTCAGCGGCTGATGATTATGACCACGACAATGACAATGGCAACGAGCACACGAAGATCAAAGCGACACACGAGGCCGCACGACGGACAAGCATCGAAGATCCCGACGAAGACGAGGTGGTCGTTTAGGAGACGATCACAACGAACGAGACAATGACAGATGCTGCTCTTGACCGCTTTGTCCACATTTGACGGCGCATGTTACATACAGTGCGATGATTGACGGCTATGAAGGAAAGAAACCAAGAAAAAAAAAAGGGATTAGAGCCCGTATGGCTTGTATTATAGGTAGATACTTACTCGGGGCAATGGCATGGCATGGCATGCAAGGTTAGGTTAGCGGCCATCCGGTGTAGTGTGTAGCGAGACGGAACAAACGCTGACTTGTATACTATCATATCATTATTACGACTACTAGGTATGTGACTTTAATGGAGATACACCAACGCATGTTTTTACTTTCATCGTTTTGCGACTTGACTCCCATGACTATCTGTCTGCGCGATACATGTCGTCATAGGTCGTAGTGTCGCTGGCTAGGTGAAGGTGAAGCATTGCAGTGCGATTGATATTGTACTGGTTGGCAGGCTTACTTGAATCTACTATGTACTAAAGTCTAATCGGATGATGATCAGAGAATAAATATGGTATAGACCTACTTAAGCGTGTTGTGGTTACGTTGCTCTCTTTTGGCCCCTTCTTACCTACCTAGGTAGGTCCAAGTTGAGTGTTGAAACAAGCCTGGTGGAAGATATGTAATGAATACGTATGTACTTGAATGAGCATAGAAAGAAGCTCTTCTTGCATTAAGATTGTTTGTAAGTATGCATAGAGGAGTAGGTATAAGTAATCAAAGGCTGCTGTAAATTTTGGGTTTGTTCAGGTTCAGGGGTCCATCCAGATACCCTTTCTTCGCCCTTCTCTTTCGTTAATCCGAGTCTCGATAGATTGAAATGAAAAGACATACCACTATACGGTACTAGTTAGTACATATATATATCGCAGTATTACCTACGATTCTTACCTACTCAGTAGTGGTCCTAGTATCACTCTGCTTCTCACTTTGCTGCAAGCATTGAGAGACCGATTGTCGCTCAAAAGTCGTTTGCTTAGTGATGATTCTTATATAGATGTTTTCCTCGGTACTTTACCTAGGTAGGCAGAGCAATCCAATCTAGATACTAGCATGGGTCTGCCGGTGATTATTAACTGGGTACTCCGTAGGTATTCTACCTAGGTAGGTGGTGTACTAGGATAGGTATCGCGGATTTTTTAAAATGACGAGTTGCGCAATGTCTCCTAAGCTAGCTGGGTAGGTAGGTAGGACTAATAGTGTGAAGTCAGTAGTATTTGGTTATTACCTTACCTATCATACACGTCGACAATAATGTATAAGTACATACCTAGTCCAGTAATATGTAAGTAAGTCCTGACCCCAGGGCTGGGGAATTGCTGGCTGTTTGTTGGTGTGTATACCTACTCACCGGACTGGCTACCACATCACTCATTTCGCGATAACTGGCGGTATCTATTGATTCTTGGGGCCTACATATTGCTACATATTGAGTATATATATACCTGCCTACCTGGTACTGAGATCAATACTGTTGGCGCGGGTCCCGATGCCTGCTCTCCATCGGCACTTGAGGCGTTTCATCATCGGTGACCACTGCTGCGCCTCAAGTTTCGAACCATGGCTGCGTGGGTTCTTTAATTGTAGGATGTCAATAGCAGCAAGGCCAGTATACATAGTAGTAAGTATGTATCAATTAGGTAAAGACCCTATAGTTGTGTAGTGTATGTAAGCATGTTACCAGGTAGGGTACATAGTAGTCCTATACTCAGTAGTAGGACCTTCTAGAAAGAGAGTGGAAAGGTCCCCCAGACAAAGACGAGAGACACAACACACCGAGACACACACACACACATACAGAGAGAGAGAGAGAGAGAGAGAGAGAGAGAAGAGCGTGCTGAGAAAATGCGAAACCCTGAAACGAAACTGGCAGCTTCAGTCCAGCCAGCCAGCCAGCCAGCCCCAAAGTGCTGACACCACCCATCCCCCCCACCTCGACTTCATGCCGCGATGCGAACAATGGCCCATCATTGGTGGTGAGCGGGTCGCTCGCACGGCCTTGGCACGTCCCTTGGTCTGCTCTGGTCCTGGTCTGCCCTGGTCTGCCCTGCCCTGGTCTTGTGTCTGCCCTGGCTTAGTAGCCCGTAAGTAGTGTACCCGCGGGTCTGTCCTGTCGCCTGTCCTATCCTCTCCCGCCTTGGTCTTCTGGTTCTGTTTCTGTTCTGGTATGTAATGTCCGTCCGGCCTGGAGATTGATTCTCCATTTACTTACCCAATAATGTAGTATCTCAACCGAAATAGGCCCATGGGCAGTGCGTAGGGTCCACCACATGTAAATGAACCGGCCCCCGACGTTGTTTGGTGGGCATGTTTGGTGGCTCAGCATGGGCTTGGACCATGACGATCCAACGCCAATTTCTGTAGTCGCCCTCAGACAGACAGACTCCCACGAGCACACACGTCGACCCGCCACTACACACGCGGAAGTCCTTAGTAGTAGTCCCGGCAGACCAGGTAGTGCTTACACTACATCCCTCGTCATAACGGCTACTGCTATTTACCTACTATACATCCAGTGGTAGTATGAATGAATGTACCTAGGTATGAGTACATTCGTGCTGGTGTTGCTGGTACTGTGCCATACTATAAGTACTTAGCTGGGATGATGCCGTGCAGTGTAGCGTAATCAAGACGGCGGGCAACGGCGGGTATGTAGGTATGTACATGTACTGTACAGCCCTCACGATCGAGAGTGGAAGCATGGACATGGTCCCAACTACACGTACTAACCTGACAAGCTGAAGCATTGCTTGCATTGCGCATTCTCTCATCTCTCCATCTCACCTCTACCTACCTACCCTCACCACAGGTCTCAAAAGAGAGGAGACTACGGGGTACGGTTGTTGCTTTCCATAATGATAATATCTCCTTCATCTCCATACCTGTGTTCATATCCGCCGTCGTCACTACGTCTATCCTCCTCTGTCTCGAACCGCATGAATCACCTGTTCGCCCCTTCGTCAGCTCCCCCACCCCCTGTCCCCCTTTCTCGCCATCATCTGTTTCGATCGACTTCGGCACACGCAGCCTCTCGTAAGCGACACCGGCCGTCCAGGCCCCAGGCTCAGGTTCAGGCCCGGCCGTGCTGGGAGTGGGAGGAGTCCGTCAGCTTGACGCATCCGTGTTACAACCTGCCTTGACATGCCCGACGCCTTGCTGTGCTGTAGAGGCAAGCCAGCTAGTAGATTGAGTGATTGATCGATTGATTACCTCGAACCTCAAGGATGCCAACTTTTGGCGGGCCACTTGCTAGGTCACTTGCCAGAGTCTGTTGACATCTCCGTTGTGTATATAGAGCCTCCTCGTCAACATGGCCAGCCCAGGATGGCCTACCCTGTCAGCCCTACCTCGACTTGATACCTCTACCTATTCACTTCACAATGGCTCTCAGCCACATGAAGATGGTCGCGAGGTCCGATCCGCCCAAGAAGCCAAGCCGTTGCCTCGTAAGCCTAGTAGTTTCCTCTCGTCTGCCGGGAACTCCCCCGCCGTGTCGGTGACCAAGCGGGATGGCGCAGACACGCCAGAGTTATTTAGGTCTGTTGCCGATGCCCTTGGCGTCGATACAAACGAGCTACCCCAGCCATTCTACGGTGTACCCTGGGGCCGCGACGACGACGACGATGATGACGACGACGTTGCGATTGACGGCGATGAGAGAGCAGCCGCCGCTGCTACGAACGGCGGTGTTCACGAGACCTCTCCGACCTTTATACGGCGTCAGCCAAGCGCCGCTCTTCCCCATCGCCCTCGCAATGACTCTGCTGCAACCGCCATTTCACCTTTTTCACAGCCATATCCTACGACCACGTATGCGCATGAATCTACCACCGTCGAAAACGCTAGGCCTGCGGACAGCCTCCCAGGCAGGATCTCTGTCGAACCATACAACGATACCGACGGCCTAGGTCAGTTACGCGAAGAATCTTTGTGGAAACTGACGGCAGCCAAGGATACCATATCAGGGCGCGACTCGCGTGCTGCGTCCTCTAGGTCTAGCGATGAGAGCAACAGTAAGGCCTTCATCGGACGAGAGAGCATGACACCGCTGAATCCTTTTCCAAATTCGGGCCGTCCTAGACTATCATCGACTATCAGCCCACTAGAACCTACCTCACCAGTTACCAGTATCAAGAGCCCGGGTCGCCAAGGATCAGTGTACAGCAACCCTCCAGCCATACCTCCTAAGGCTTCGCGCAGGCTACGTAATGATGTGGAACAGACTTTGTTATCGGATGGCAATGTGTCGAGGGCTATTGTGATAAAGCCGAGAGCTGGGCTCTTCGAGGGACATATCGTCGCCCTGTTAACCTTGTCAGAGGGCGGTCCCGGAGGCTCAGATCATAGCACCAACGATAACGACGAGATCAAGCTACAAAATGCGTACTACACTAGAAATCTACCCTCGATTCGGAGGGCTGTGGAATCACAGGTTGCCCCCGAATATGTTCCGACTGTGTGGATTCCTTTGGAGAAGATGCCGCTGGATGGCGAGGGCCAAATTCATCGCAGAAAACTCCAGACTTGGATACAGAACGCTAATGATGATCTGTACCGACGCATCATGTCCATCGAATCTAAAGGGACATTGAGGAAGCCGTCGACAACGTGGGAACGGCGGCTTTCTAGGGCTGTGAGCAAGGTACTCCGCGTCGAGCAAGACGATATAGGGATGAACCTGTCTTTTACTAACCTCGGGGGAGATTCCCACGCGGCCGAGGAGCTTGCTATGCGCTTTCAGTCGCAAGGCATTTCAATCCAAGCTCGGGATGTGATGAGAGCCTCGAGCCTGACCGAACTTGCGACGCTTGCGAGGCAGCCTGAGGAAGCACACTCGGAGGAGCCCGAAGAACTCGTAACCGACATGTTCGACCTGTCCCCTATGCAGCATCTCTATTTTCAGACGCGCATGGGGAGGGACACGGCGCGACGGAAATCGAGCGATGGCGATTATCGGTTCAACCAGAGCATCTTACTGCGGGTCAAGCAGAGCATTGGCGTCGAGGACTTGCGAGCCGCCATCGAGGCTGCAGTAGGTCATCATAAGATGCTGCGCACTCGTTTTCACTTTGCCAATGGGTCCTGGTGGCAGTCGGTCGACCCGTCCATATCCACGTCGTTCCAGTTTGCCCACCATCTCATAGAGACCAACGCCGAGCTCGAGTCTGTTGCTACCGCGGCTCAGTATGCCATTAACATCGAGAATGGCCCCGTCTTTGCAGCTCACCACTTCCACACCAACGACGGTTATCAATTACTCTACTTGGTCGCCCACCATCTTGTTGTTGATCTCAAATCGTGGCAGGTCATCGCCAATGACTTCGAGAGGTTGCTCACCGACGGCCATCTGCTTTCGAGACATTCTCTCACATTCAAAGAGTGGACTTTGCATCAGAAGCACTGTGTTCAAACATCAACTGATATCATCGGGCTGCCGTTTGAGCTTCCAGCACGCAATTGGGAGTACTGGGGCGTTAAAGATACCCTCAACACATACGGAAGTACGGTCGCTTTTGGATTCACGCTAGAATCTGAGGTGACGTCCATTCTGGAGGCAGCGAACAAGGAACTTAAGACCGACTCTTGCGACATCTTCATGTCAGCTCTCCTCCTCTCATTTGCGCAGACGTTCCGAGATCGGACTGCACCTATTCTTTGGAACCAAGAACACGAACGAATTGCCCTAGATCCCAGCCGGGACATTTCTGCTACCGTGGGTTGGTTCACTTACTTGTTTCCTCTCGTTGTCGGCGTGTCGCCGACAGACGATGTCTTCTCCATTTCGAGCCGCATCAAAGATGCACGCCGAGCCGCTGCAAAGACCAGTCTGTCGCACTTCACGGCTAATCTCATAGATGCCCCATCGGCAGAGTCATTCGCTTTTTCCCACTGCCCTCTCGAGCTCATATTCACGTATGCTGGCACACTGGGGCATCTGAAAAGCACAAATGCCGTTTTCGAGGAGCTCGATATGCCTGGAAAGACGATAGGTTCTGATACCGCCGATGTTGGCCAGTCGGTTGGCCGGATTGCCATTTTCGAAGTATCCGTTTGGATGGAAGAGGGCCAGGCAAAGCTCAAATTTTTACACCATCGGGACTCGAAGCATCGAGAGCAGATACAGACATGGATTCGCAACTACGAAAGAGTTCTACGCCAGTCAATTGCCAGGCTTAAAGACTATGCCCCTGGGCTTTCCATGTCAGACGTCCCCTATTTGGGTGTCACGCCCGAAGGATTAAACCAACTCAACCGAGACATACTCCCTCGGCTGAATGTAAATACTAACAACGTCGAAGACGTCTTTCCTGCCACCGGTTGCCAGCAATGCGTCTTGGTACACCAGACACTCCTACCAGGTAGCTCGCTCGCTCAAGTAACGTACGAATTGAATACTGTCGGAAATCCTCTCGATACGTCCCGTATCTGTAGTGCCTGGTACCGAGTTACGCAGCAGCACCCTGCTATGCGAACCCTGTTCTCGCCTAGTGTTCTCAAGGAGGGTCTCTACGACCAGATCATACTGCGGAACCATTCTCCCAATATGCTGTTCATCGAGAGCGGCGAGATCGAGAGTCCCATGGCAGCCATTGGAAATGTACCGCCTTTGCAGTTCAAAGAAGGTATTCCGTGGCATCGGCTTATCGTTTGCCAATCTGTTGGTAAGGCTTACCTCAAGCTGGAGATAAGCCAGGCTCTCTGCGACCTTACCAGCGCCACTATTCTCTTCGGTGAGCTTGAGCAAGTGTACTTTGAGGGGCAGGAACCTACTCCAAACGAGCTCTCGTTCCCCGAATATTTCCAACGCTTGAAGCCAACAGCAACGAGCATCCAGTTTTGGAAGGAGAAGCTGTTCGGTGCTCAGCCCTGTCACTTTCCCTGTCTCAGATCTGAAGGAAGTGCCACAGTTGAATGGCAAACCACCCCCATTCACCTACAGATCCCTTTCCAGCGGCTGCATGATTTTGCCCGCTTTTATAAAGTCGATAAGTCGACAATCCTAAGAGTCGCATGGGGCATTTTACTACGAACGTTCCTTGGCCTGCAAGATGTGTGTTTTGGATACCGTTCCTCGGGCCGGGATCTGCCTGTCACAGGGCTTGAGAACGCTGTCGGGCCTTTCTCGAGAGTTCTAGTCTGCCGAACGCGTGCGCTTGCTAACCAAACGATTGTCCAACTCCTTCGAGATGCCCAAGTCGAGCACCAGAAAGCCGTACACCATCAACATCTACCGATGAGCTTGATCGAACATGAACTCGGCACCAGGGGCAGACGACTATTCAACACCTACGTGTCATTCGGCTATGAGGATATTATTTCAGGCCAGGGTCCGCCAATGAACAGGTTCAATCACAATAGCACCACGCAAGCTTCCGAATACGACGTCAACGTAGATTTCAGCTGTCGAGACGGTAACTTGACCGTCGTGCTGGGTCACCGCATCTTGGCCCCCCATCAGGCCGTCAGCATTGGCCATGTTCTCGGTAAAGCTGTTGAAACTATCCTGGAGAGCCCCAGTGCGACCGTTAAGGAGTCAGATTTGTTCACTGTTCATGATCACAATCAGATACTGGCGTGGAATAGTATGCCCCAAATCGACGTGCAGAACCAACATCTCGCCACACTTATCACCGCGCAAGCACACAGAAACACCGACATCCAAGCCGTGTTCAGTTGGGATGGTACATTGACCTATGCCGAGCTTTGCAAACTGGCTCGGGGTCTTGCTCACTACATGTTAAACCTTGGCGTGAGACCTCAAATGCCGCTGCCCGTTGTTGTCGACAAGAGCCGGTGGGCCATAGTCGCCATGTTGGCCGTATTGATGGTGGGTGGCATCCTTATCCCTATTGACGCTGAGGCTACCGACATGTTTCCCTGGATCGTCCAAGTTATTCACCGTGGCTTCATCCTTGCCTCGGATAGTGTCAGAGGCTACTTCGAAAGCTCAGGCTGTCCCACCATCGCCGTCAATGAGCAGACTATTCTTTCACCCTATGCGCAGACAGTAGAACTGCCGAGTCCCATACCGACGCAACCGCACGACATAGCATGTATCCTCCTGACGCTCACGAGCCCCAAGAATTGCAAGGCTGTATCCTACAGTCACGGTGCCCTAGCCACTGCCTGTGCTGGTCAAGGTCCCACGCTCCGAATTAACCCTTCAAGTCGAGTGATGCAACTCTCATCCTACAGTGTCGATGTCTCGTTGGCTGAGATTTTCACTACCCTCGTGAACGGCGGCTGTGTCTGTATACCATCATCCTTTGAAAAGAATCCCGGCTTCACAGCAGCCGCCCAGCGTATGAGAGTCAACTGGACTTATCTCACACCGCCTCTCTCGAGGAAGGTCGACCCGAACATGTTACCGGACATGGCCGTGGTCTGCTTCCGCGCAACTCATCTTGATACCGAAGTATACTCGAGGTGGGCAGGGAAAGCCAAAGTGGTTCTCGTCTATGGTTCGGCGGAAGCCTGCCCGCTCGGCCTTTCAGCAACAGAGATGACGGGTTCTCCTGTGACACCTGGCTTCGGTAATCCCTTCTGTGGAAACTTTTGGATCGTGAGTCCAGAGGATCACAACCGGCTCATGCCAGTTGGCGCCGTCGGAGAGCTCGTAATTGGAGGATCCACCTTGGCTATGTCCAGCTCTCTTGACATGGTGAATCTGGATTTCGACATACTGGTAAGGAAAAGCACCACTCGAGCCCAGTCGCTGCTCGAGCAATCAGGTAGTCGTCTTCTCAAAACGGGCCGCCTCGTACGTTACCGTGAAAAGGGAGAGATCGAGTTTGTACTACCCGAGGGCGAGAAGGGCGATGTCAAGGGGAAATCCTTCCGCGTGTCGGAGATGGAGTCGCAGATTCGCCGGTGTATTGGCGAAGGTGTGGACGTCGTAATTGAAACAGTCGCTTTTAAGGATACGACTTCAACGCCTGTCCTTACAGTCTTCGTCGAACTTGGCGACCAGTTTCTCGAAGGAACAGAGGATCTCACGAATTTGGGCGATGCAACGCGGCAGAGACTATTTTATTACAAGCAAACAGTCAACTCAGCTCTTCGTAATAGTATCCCGCTTCCGTTAGCTTATGTTCCTGTTCGAAGATTACCTTTGACGCCCTCGTTGAGGGTTAATAGGCGAGGGCTCCAAAGGCTGATCGCAGGTCTGTCGCGGCCACAGCTGTTAGCTCTAGCCGAGGTCGAGCATATGCGCGACATGCAACCCGCCGACTTCCAGCCTCCGCCTCTAACACAAGCAGAACAGCAGATGCGGATACTTTGGGCCAGGGTCCTCGGAATCGAGGATCAAGCATCCATAACGACTAATGACGGGTTCATGACGTTAGGTGGGGACATTGTCATGGGTCACAGCCTTGTTGTCATGTGCCGTCAGAGAGGAATAGACATATCTATAACGGATATCCTCAGTAATCGTACCCTGTCTGAGCTATGTAAAGGACTCGCTACCTTTCAAGTGCCTACAGCCAACGTCAAGCCGGAACAAGGCGAACATGGCGCATCGGACGGCTCAGCGGACGGGCCTAAACTCGGCTCAGACAGGAGCGTCATTGAGGATGTGGCTGAGGCATCCTCGCTTCAGACCATGTTTGTCGAGTCTGCCATGCTGCAAGCACGGGGCAACGTATCCTACTTTATGCTCAGTGCCACGGGCTACTTGAGCTGGCATAAGCTGGAAAATGCATGCTTCATGCTGACCAAAGCCCATCCGATCTTGCGAACCGCTTTCGTGTCCCATAGTCGCCAGGTCTACCAGACAGTTCTTCGGTCGTACCGACCCGAGTTTCTCCGGTATCAATGCCAGAATTGGCGCTTGAATAATCTCGCCGTGAAACTTATTAAGCGAGATCAACCACTTCCCATCGACTTTCGCCGTCCCGTAACCAAGTTCTCATTCCTCGATGCCGGCAGGAGCTCCATTCTCGTCATGCGGCTGTCCCGCGCCCAATACGACGATCTGTCCATTCCTATCCTAGTGCGCGACCTTGGCCGTTTCTACCGACAGACCGGGCCCGTTACTCCGAGCACCGGCTTCTGCGAAGTCATCAGAGCGGTGCGTTCCACATACGCCAGTGGCGCCACGGAGTATTGGCGCTCCCTTCTTGAGGGCGCATCGATAACACAGGTCGTCTCGCAGCCCTCGCTACCCGTCGCTAACTCGAGCCCAAAGACTCTTCAGCAAAAGATACCGATTGGTTCTTTGCAGAATCATGGCATACCTTTCGAATCCGTCCTGAGAGGCGCATGGTCCATTGTCCTGTCGAACTTATCCGGTACCGACGATGTCGTGTTTGGTCATATGGTCGAGGGCAGGCATCTAAGTCTTGCCAATGGCCAAACTATCTCAAGCGTAGTAGGACCCAAGGGTAACGTCATCCCCGTGCGAACACGAATACCTGATTTCCCCATCGCTCCCCTCGAGTATTTCAAGAACATACAGAGTCAATATGTCGCCAGTGTTCCTTACGAAAACCTCCAGACGGCCGATGTCATTCAGAACTGCACCGCCTGGCCGTCTTGGACCCGTTTCAGCACCGTTGTCCATCATCAGAGACAGTCGGAGCGATATAAACTTCTCAATTTCACCATCGGCGAGGCTACTTGTTCGCTCGATATGATGGGCCTAAGCCACGAGGACTCTGATGTTTTCGTGCAGACCATGATGGCCGGGTCAAAGCAGGTCGAGGTATCCGTCACGTTCTGTGAGAAGAAGATCCAGTCGTTTTTCGCCGAGGAAGTCTTGAGGATGCTCTGCTCTACCATCACCGTCCTTACCACGACCGATTTTCTGTTAGATCCAAGGATGCTCAAGGGCCTCAATGATAGTTACACGACGCCGCGCATTCCGCTGCCAGCGCCCAAGCGCGAGAGCAGCGTCCTATCCCCTGTGCTCGCAGTCGACCCGGACCACGCCCGAGCGGCTCACAGCATCATCGCAGCCGCTTGGGACGTCGTGCTAGGCGCTCAGAGCCTACAAGTAGCCGACATTCGCTCGGTCCCCTTCTACGAGATCTGGGGTGCTCACATGCCGGCGGCTGAACTAGCTCGCTACTACACGCAAAAGGTGCCACGATTCCCGGGCCTCGAACAGAAAGTGTACACGACAGAGGAGATCATCGACCACCCGACGATGATGCAACAGTACGAACTGATCATCGCGAAGCAGCAGGAGACGCTACGGCGTGGTCCTAGTTTTCTACGGCGCAAACCGTCGCGCACGCCATCGACATGGAGCAGGAACTTCCGGAAACTGACGGTAGGCACGGCGACGGGGGGCAACGATGCCGCTGTGAACAGTCTCTCGGCGCCTCCAAGACTCCATCCGCACCGCGGCCTAAATCCGCATGGCAACAATTCCCTGGAGTCGTTATCGACGCTTGGTAGCGGCATGGACGACCGCGAAGGCATATCCACGCCGCCGACGTCCGCTGACGGAGCTCACAGAAAGATGCTGTTCTAAGCTTTCAAAGTGCTACTACTACGAATGAGAAGTGATCAACGAACAGCGTTCTTTAATTCATAAATCACCCCCTTTATTTTCACGATACTGTTATGATATTATTATACACTTAGATACAATGACTCACGAGCACGGATTACCCTAGCAAACCATGATTGATGGTAGGCAATTATAGAAGCCTGGGCGAAGAAAAGGGATTTAAAAATTGTATCTGGATTTAGGGACAACGAGGGGTAGGAATGTTTTGATTCGAAGTTGGGGGTCTTTTCTTCTACGGAACCGAATCGTCATCCCATGATTTTTCTTGTTAAAAAGGAAAAATTGCAGTGTCATATATGTCAGAGATAAATACTAGCCAGCCATCAGCTTCTGTGCCTTATCTTTTTCCCTCTTAATTTTTTTTCCTTTTTGGTTCCCTGTCCTCTCTGTCCCCCTCGCTCACGTTTTCCGGAATCAGAGTCTTCCATCTTTCCTTCCGTCATTTACACTTTTTTGATACCCCGTGACTTTGCCTCATTTGAAATAGAGACGGAATGACAAACGGACGTTCTATTCATGTATATTGTGTAGCAACTAGGGTCCCTTTTTTTTATTCCTGAATCGTACTTGAACCCTTCAACTGTTGTTATTACATAGTCTATATGCATTATACTTCTTTATGTACACGTTTTATTGCTGTTGAGTCTGCTTGAAGTCTTTCTCTAACGGCCATAGCGAACGATTTGAACTCCTGCTTTGAGGCTTGAGCGAATTCTTAGTCTTTCCTGTGCTTTTATGATACCAATGACACGATGAGATGTAGTGTCTCTCATGCCATATTACCTTTAAGCAAGATGAACTCTGGTACTCCCAGAACACAGCGTCAATTTCATTAGCCCACAAGCTCCCGCAAGGTTTCACGTGTCTTACACTGTCCCATCAAAGAACTGAACACGCCGTGTAATAGCCGCCAGGGCTAGCATCTACGGGCTTATCAAGCTTCGTCAGTCACCCTACAGATTCATGAAGAATGTTATTATCCATCAAGTAAGGAGTCGAGCAGTTAAAGACCCATGTCACTAGTGTTAGTGGGCAGTTTCTTTGTTCATACCTATTTCCACGTTCGAAGAACCCCCCTTTCTTGAAACACAATAGGCTTTTGCCAGGCAAAGGGATATGTGTGAGGATTAGCAGCTACATAAGTCCGCGGAAATTCACTGTCCGGAGACTTCCCAGGCATCAACCAATATTTTAGCACTACAACTCTTGTATACCAGTTGTTTCTGTAGTCTGAAGCCAGGAACGCTTCCCCCTTACCTTCTAGCATTAGCGATACACACCAACAACGCGAGACTTGACAGTAGGAAAAAGAAAGAAATCCATCCAGGGGCAGAAGACCATGTGTTGGACCGGCAAAGCATTCAACATCTGCTACGAGTGTGCCCGAGAATACAACCACAAGGCCCACAAGGTGCCCTGTCTCGCAGCGGATAACGGCCAGACATGCGTCGAGAAACGGCTCGAATATCCCGTCATACATATGGGGGACAACTGCGCCGAGTGCAAGACATGTCGCGCTGCGGAGGAAGAGTGCCAGCGCCAGATCTATCGATCCCGGCCTCTCTATCTACCTGTGTTGGGCAAGAAGCGCATGGGTACTCTAGCTGCTGCTTTTCGATGAGTACGTAAATAAAGTTAAGAAGATATGTTATCGAACTGAAGATCTGGCTGCGTCTTTGGTCCTGTTTCCTATTAGAGGTTCTCTTTCTATTATTATTTATGTAGTGTGCTAATGGAGTTGTGTGCATTGTGTAGTCGAGACTTGAGACCAGGCGAAATCATACAGCACTCCTTGCTAAAGACGCGGAGGCATTTCGAAACCCCTTTGGGGTAGGTTGCCATTGAATAGAGCGCTCAAATAGTACATACTCGGCCGATGTTTATTATGGACCAATAAAAACGGAATTCCTTTCATGGGCGTCAGGAGTACTAAGAATATTGTCACGCCCCCGAGAAATTTCAAGTGCTGTCCAAAATGAACTTACTGATGAGAACATTCTGCTCTTTAACATCGCTGCTATACTTGTTAAAACGAAAGGCCAGCATCTGTCTTCTTTAATAGGGGCGTGTAATTAATTATAAGCAAGTGCAATAATAACACGTTACTGTCTCACACTTTGAAGATGTAATTAAAATTCATGGACATACTATAGCTAAACGTGGATTCTGCGAAAGAAAAGTCTTCAGCAGAAAAGAATATATGTTATGACCACGTAATGGAATAGTAAATTTGACTCAGTGGCCATTAAAATGTTATGTACTCCGTAGAATTCCTATAATAAATACTCTGATCGAGGAGTTCTTTGTCGGCTACATATTGCTTTTGGTTAGGTTCATGGCTGCGGATCTTCCCTTGTCTTCTTGTATGTCAAGAGGTTTCGCTAGTAAGTATCGGCACAACAAAGCAAGCGTCAATCCTAATCTTGCGTTTCGTTTATTGAAACCAGCTTCAAAACGTGCAGAATCAATAGATGGGTGCACTGATAATTAGACTGGTAACGTGCATCTGAAGAGACCGCTGCGGGCTCGGCAGTGCCTGAAATCTACATCAACATCCTTGAAGCCGATGAGGCTTGCAGAACAATGACCGAGGCGTACTCATACAGCGAACGAGGCACAACCTCCGACAAAAGCAAACATAAAGCTGCCGATAATGCCGAAGCTTCCGACTGGCTAATGGAGGCCACAGTTGACCTAAGCCAGGACCTAGAAACGTCGAAGAAGGAGCTAGAAATTATCAGATTCATAATCCAGGAGATGGAGCAGCGGTCGCGAACCGATCATCCCCAACCCAGCCCCGCGCGAGGAGGCAGATTGGAGATGATGAAGGCATGCCGGGAGTATTCTAGTTCACGGTGTGATCTATTACGAGAACGGCTCCGTCAGGTCCAGTTCTGGGCTCATACGAGTATGTTGGGACAGCAGGTGCCCGATAAGGCACCAGACGAGGTTAGTTTTGTTAACTCAACCGCTATCTAATGAATCATTAGTTGAGGGGACCAAACCTTTAGTGGTTGTCGCGTATGTAAAAGATCGCCCATTTTGGTGATGGGCTTTTTGCAAATTCCATCTCACTGAATCCCTACCCCTCCCAGGCCGCTGCAAAAGAAACCCGAATCAACCATTGTGTGGTTACACTCGGTAGCTGACATTACGAAAGTGGCGTTTGGCGGATGTAGCATGGCGAAGGTGGCTGAGTGAACAAGCAAGTAGCCATGTTGACAAGCCCGGTGGCGGCGCGCGGGCGTCGTCGTTCGATCAATGTCTCGACACCACGTTGGACGCATCAAGCGATGTAGCCTGGAGCGTCTGGGGCGTCTTGCCTTACATTCTTAGCGCCGACATCTGGTTCGGACGGTAACGACCATGATGGGCATCGATGGACAACGCAGTATGTATCAACTATCCCGATCAGAATGGGTATGATCAGCTGTACAGCTTGGGACAGGTTCCATCATAGACGGTGGTGATTGAGTGGGGTTATCGGTATCATGACTGTCGAGCTAGCCCCGTGACTGACCAGTATGTTCTGAATCTCGCCTTGTAGAATTGCGGTTCCTTGAGGTGTTCTAGAGCAGAGTGGGTGACCAAGGCTGATGGACTCTTCTGCGCCAAGCACATGATGACTGACAAGGCTAGTCGCCACCAGACTGAGTCCAGCTTGTGTATATATATACAATCTGGGAGAACGGGGGCTCTAAGCGACTCATGATGAATAGTGAATCAGGATCTGGCAGAATCTGGCAAATCATTTATTTAACGAGTTGGGGTGAAGAGTAGATGGAGTATCTGCCTTACTTTATTCAGAGCGTGCAGGGTTTGGCATCCGCAACAATGACGCTTCTTTGAACATAGTATCTCATGGATAGATAACACCGTGCGGTATAGTAACATATCGTACAAAATGTAGGACTAGGTACAGTAGATCAACTAGATGCTCCCGAAGATGCGTCTCTGATGTGGGCAAAGGGCCGTACATCACACGTCAGTATGATCGCTCCAATGTCAAATGTCGAATCCTAGACCGCGCTAGTGACGACGCTCACTTATTTCTCTAAACATGTGATTCGCCGATTCTCAGCTACCATAAGATCTGCTCCTCCTGTAGACGGGCGACGGGCAATGGGCGCACAGCAGAATGCCAGAGTAGGTACTGCCAGAGAGCGAGAGAGGTAGCGGGCAATAGGAACAGCCATCGTGACTATTGGTCCGCTGTTCTTTAAACACGATGACCGAGTCTGACCGAGAGAGTCGTCAGCAAGGTGAGATGAATGAATGCCCTGCTGCTTGTCAGGTGTCACCAACAAATACACATGTGTTAACCATGTAGATAGCTCCACTACATCTCATACCTCTCTGCCTATCAGACTGCCTTTCAAGCATAGGTATATCACGGCTCAAGTACGATCCTCCAAGCTACAAATATCTACCTAAGTACTTACTTACATACATGTAGTAAGCATTGCCAACACTTGCCTGTACTATGTTAGGTTACCGGTAAATCAGAAGAATTGTAGGTACACTACATATGCATAGGTACTGTAAGCAGCGTACATTACAGTCCACTACGATACACTGCCGGCCCCATGCGAGGCGATGAGCAAAAAACCTGGCACTACCCTCCCCCCAAAACACCACCTATTCTCGCTATTCAACCAGCTAGAGGGGGGAGGTAGTGCCAGGTTTTTTGCTCATCGCCTCACCATGCAATAGAACTACTCATAATGGACGGTATTAATGGTATTTGGACTATGTATCTACCCTAGGTAGGTACTATGTAGAGCAAGGTGGATTTAGGGGTCGAATCCACAATCCCAGGCCCTCGGTCAGTGGGCCAGTTAGTGGAGGGCAGATGGAGGAGTTACCGGGCCTGCAGCGGATTATAATGCCTGCTAAGTAGAGCAGAGTAGAGCCAAAACGGCACGAAGGAGCTCTCTTTGGACACCAACATTGAAATTATCAGCACAAAGACTAGGTATGTGGGCATTCGTAGGATGTTAACCCAGGAAATAGGTAAGTACTGAGGAGTGGAAATACAGACTACTACCGTCTAATGTAAGTATACGGATGTACTTAAGTGAAAATGACCTAGGAAGAAAGAGCCTACACTTAAAAAAAGGTACGTACGTACGTAAACGAAATTGCTAAATTAATATTCAATGCTGTGATGCCTATCTACCCCGCGACCGTGTGTTCTCCTCCTGTCCGACTCCATACTTAAGTAGATGATAGTACTAGGGACGTACGACATCTGGTACGGATCCTACACACTAACTGTACACTAGATACTGGCTAGAGACATGAGTATGGGGCACGGAGCCAACAGAGCCAACGAACCAAAGCGCTATTACGTACGAGATATCATGAACAGACCAGCCAGGCCAGCCAGGCCAGCACCCCTGGCGAGCCCTGGAGCGCAGCTCGACTCCAGCTCGATCTGGCCGTTGGTAAAAAATACGTAAAATTCATCACCTAGTGTGCGGAGAGAAGCATGGACACGGATAGATCGCTCGTGGTGATTGTTGTCAGTCTCCATTCTCTCCAGTCTCTCCATAATAGCGCAGTCTGGGGATCGTTCGAGACCATCTGGGTACTATATAGTGTAGGACTTTAGGCGGCCACGATCCCGTGATATTAGGAACAACGAGACATTTTGTTGCCTGTCCTTGATGCGGCTGTGAAAGAATTAGGAGAGAGAGTAGGAAAAAAAAACGCCGTTGGTGTCGGCCCGTCTATGCCCCAGCTCAACCCTCCTGTACTGATAAATACACTTTGCACTACTGTACTTAAATACACCATAACCTCCTACCTGGGCGACTAACTAGCGTTAGTGTAGCTCCTACAGACGATATGAAAGTCATGCTCATGCCTAATTCATCGTCATCCATCGTTATCTAGGACTCCATTAATACACGCGCTACATACATACTAAGGATACATATAGCTATAGTAGTTTAACTAACATTAAGTGCTGTGTTCGAACCTTCATTTGCCGCGAGATGACCACTCCATAGCATTAGTTTAGTGTTCCTCTTTTTATCTGCATTGCCGTACAACATGCGCGCGAGGAAACACAGATATAACATCATAACATCATATGAATCCTACATACTTAGAGTATTAGAATACCTATCTAGGCAACGTAGGGGGTACGTAAGTAGGTGGTATTAGTGAAGGGAAAGAAAGAAAGAAAGAAAAAGATGGCGGCATCGACGGATGTTGTGTCACCCGTGGCGCTCGCTTGCCTGCTCGCTTATCACCCTCAGATCACCCTTCTTGACCCGTTCCCTGGACCCGGGTATGCCGAGGGGTTCGTGTGGTTGGTTGTGTTCTGCTCTGTTCTACCCTTGCTTTGCGACTCACCACTGTTAGGTGAAGTATGTCAATGGTGAATCCCCCAACGAAGCTCCGAGAGACGCCTATCAGACCCTCTCAACTAAAACCTCCTTCTACCCCTTCTTCCAAGACTTTCAGGTGCCCGACTTTTGCTGCTCTTTGCTAGTCTACAGCAGAGTCTACTATGTACGGGTACACTACCCCTATGTACTTCAGAGTGTGGCCCCGTTTTGTCTTTTTTTTTTTTTTTTTTCTTTCCAGAAGACTTCTTCGACATTTCTTCTTCCCGCCTAGCCTGATCGTCGGCACGGGTTAGCCGCAAGGAGAAGGTGTTTAACGGCCCTGGCCAATGGCGATACAGGTGGCTTATGCCAATATCAGAAGCGATTCTTGGTACTGCAGTGTCCTGCAAGCTCCTACCCCTTCCACATAGACGGCTGGCGGAAGGCGGTAGGCTGTCCTCCGCTGTATGTAGGCGGGAGTAGATGAACGGCACTGTACTTAGTATGCTGCCGGGGGCGGTGCGGAGAATTATTTGGATTTGGAAACTGTTGATGTGTTCTGTGAGGCCTTCTGTGCAGTAGTGGCAACCACTAGTGTAACCACACACCTACTGTAGTATGATATCCCTTGGCCTACTTACATGTGGTACTCCTTTACGCCGTGAACTACTAGTAAGTATGTGTTCTTGCATAGGCATACTAAGTACTATATGAGCAATTAAGGATGATGTATGTTACAGTCTTACATATAAGTGCTCGAAAAGACTAGCGCCAAGATCCGCCCTACCTAACCTAGGTAGCAGTTCCGATACTACGTATTTAGTATGTATATCCGTCTCGTCTAAACGCCACTGAGGAAACACGATGGCTTCCAGATCGTATCACCCTTTCCAGCTAGGTAGGTGGTCTGGAGATATAGAAAAAAATGGGTAAGTAATCTAGTGTAGATGGAAAGCTGAACCATATGTCCTGACATAATGAAATACGCAATAGTAGAGATACGGGTTGTTTTCGTCTTGTCGCCGTTGAAGTCTGTTGGCCATGTCAATCACGGCATTGCCTATCCTGCTCATAGTTTTCGTTGTCGGCTCAGCCGAGTCTTGTCGCCACTCTTGTGCAGTACATGTACAGCTTATAAGGGGCACCGAAGGTCTGACTCTGGTCTGACCAAGAAGGTCCCTTTTCGTATGGGCTGTTGATTCTCACATCGCCACGTGCCAGACATGCAGCTACGGGTGTGTGAGACTGCGTCCGTCACCACCATTCAGCCCGCTGGTTTCATAAGCTAGAGCCCTTATTTGGTGCCGACACCTGCGTCCCGCCATCGTCTCTGCATTCGACCTTGAGTGATTATGGGATGATCACTGATCATGGGTAGTATGATACTTGGTAGGCTAGTGCCCTGCGCACCACCACAATACCTAAGTATTACAAGACTAGTATGTAGTTTCTCGGTATGGTTTCTGGTATGGTCCAGGCATCTGGCAGTTACTTCATAGTGCAATTCTTAATTTGATACCCTAAATCTACCCCAAGTGAAAAGAACCAACGGTCCTGGGATTCTTATCTCTGGCTGTGGAACCCCTCCACAAGTGCTGGAACCAACCTACTGCCCAATTCAGAAGCGCTCGACTAGATATAATAATATCTGCCTATCATATCCTTCCGTATTATCTCTCTAATTAGAGGAGAGAATTAGTCTCGGTCCCGTTAGTGTGGCACCTACTAATAGCCACATGTACTACAGTATCTGGTAGAGCGCTGGTATATCATTAGTGTCACAGAGCGCCTACTCAGTTCTACTTGTACTACTAGTATGGTCGTAATAGTTTACTTAGGGATGGGAACAAGTCTGGAGGGAACTCTCCTTCTACCATGTTACGATGAAAGTAGTGTAATTAGTGTGTAGTGTGATGTATTGGCAACTTTTAACTTCATTTTACCCGAATAGGTAGGCATATATCCAATTTCGGCCATGACGGTCTTACTTCCCAAGTAGATATGTCTGTGACTCTCTCTGCCTTGTAGCCAAGAGTACGTTATTTGCCTCAGAGCGAGTCGAGTCGAATCGGGTACGAATCAGCTACACCACATTACCTTCACCTACGTGGAGACGACATACCTAGATGTATTCACCTTGCGCCATGTCCTGCATAGTAGGTAAGTATACGAGTTTTCATCACTATATCTCTTACATGTAAGAAAGTGGTATACGCCCCCTCTCCACCTCCCACGAAACAGTCGTCAAAAAGAACGACTGAGAAAATAGATAGACCGTCGTTTCCGCAATGATGCCAAACTTGCCCTCGACTTGAGCTTTGGGAACGCCACTGCCAATAACAGCGTAGCGTATCTAGCTACTATCGCGTCCTACTGAGTAGTGTCCTTCTTGTGCCTCCTGATGTGGTGGGGATCGGCGGTGTTTATCACGCGACTCGATTGTCCAACCTTGGCTTTCAGTAGGCAGAGCAGGACTTTGATGAATACCAAGAATACTGGTGTACTGGCCTCCTCACCTACATGTTTGTAATTCCATGCCCTAGCCGAATGAGAGCCTCTGATCCCCCACTTGGTCGTCTTGGTCCGTCTGCCCTGGCCCAATCCTTGTCCTTGTCTCTATCCCTTACCCCTGCCCGCGTGTCTGGGGCCTTAGTGCGCCCCCTTCTGGTACACTAAGTAAGTGTCTGCACAGTACCAACAGTGGCACTGGGAGTTTGTCGGGAGCGTCCGTAGGTGGTGCTCTGGTTGTTGGTGGTGGTGGTGCAAGTGGTCGCGGTGGTAGTCGATGTGCGCCGCGCTGTGGCACGCTTTATCTGTCAGTGAGCCGTCTAAGTACGACGGGATAAAAGGTATCGCATGCGCCTCCCCTCGCGCGTTCTCTTTGTCCTCGTTCCGTCACACTCCTGTCCCTTCGTTTTCCCAACATCACGCGGTGGCAAGTCTGACTGCCTGCCAGCAGTCGACGGTCTCTTGATTGTTATCTTTCTTCTCACTTATTTCAAGTGGCTTCTTGCTTCATACGTTTAATACCAACTTGATTGCATCGCCTATCACCCACCATGTCGAGCAAAGACGAGAAGGAGGGTACCCCTCCGAGCTACGCGCACGATGTTTCTGAGGGCCCTGTTCGATCTGGTAATTTCTTGACGCGAAATGGTTTGAACATGGAGTCTTTCAAGATGCGTGACTATGGTCATGGCATCGTCGAGCTTGATCGTAGCATGAAGCCCCGACATTTACACATGATTGCCATTGGAGGTTCCATTGGTGCTGGTTTCTTCGTCGGTTCTGGTAGCGCTCTGATGAAAGGAGTACGTAAATATCCTGATTGAGCCGCGAATTGGTCTGTCGTTGTCCCACCACTCACATCTTGTGTGGGACGGTGGTGGCCGGAGCCTATGCTCATGCTTCCCTATCGTGGTTGAATATTTTTCATTAACACATGTGTGACACAGGGCCCCGGTTTCCTCATTATTGATTTCTTGATTATTGGTATCATGATTTTCAACGTCGGTACGTACAAGATTACATTCTTGCCTCGAAGCCCTTTACTTGCTGGTGAACTTTCGATGGCGCCCCGTATGGCGCCGGCCAGGATTGGAGTACTAACCCGGCTCTGTAGTCTACGCTCTCGGTGAACTTGCTGTTATGTATCCTGTCTCTGGTGGTTTCTACACTTATTCTACTCGCTTTATCGATCCTTCGTGGGGTTTTGCTATTGGTTGGAACTATGTCCTTCAATGGCTTGTCGTCGTACCACTGGAGTTGACCGTTTGTTCTATCTCGATTGCCTACTGGAACGCAGATATCAGCCCCGCCGTCTGGATCAGTGTCTTCTGGGCTTTCATTATCTTCGTCAATGTCTTTGGTACTCTTGGTTATGCCGAGGAAGAGTTCTGGTCGTCGTTGATCAAGCTGAGCGCGACGGTCATCTTCATCATTATCGCCTTCGTTCTAGTTCTCGGTGGTGGTCCCAGTGGCCACCGGTACGACCAGTACTATGGGGCGCGGTTATGGTATGAGCCCGGTGCTTTCGCCAACGGCTTCAAGGGATTCTGCTCTGTCTTCGTCACTGCTGCCTTTGCCTTCAGTGGAACAGAGCTGGTTGGTCTCGCTGCTGCCGAATCTTCCAACCCCTCCAAGGCCTTGCCTAGCGCCATTAAGCAAGTCTTCTGGCGTATCACCCTGTAGGTCTCTATTCATTCCCTTGAAACTCGATTCGCATGCTAACGCTAACTATTACAGATTCTACGTCCTGGGTCTTCTCTTCGTCGGCCTACTCATCCCCTACACCGACCCTCGCTTGCTCAACTCTGGCTCCAACGACCCTTCCGCCTCGCCATTTGTCCTGGTTGGTAAGTATGCCGGTCTGTTCGGATTTGACCACTTCATGAACGTGGTTATCTTGATTTCCGTCATATCCATTAGTGTGTCTGGTGTCTACGGTGGCAGCCGTACCTTGACTGCTTTGGCCCAAGAAGGCTATGCCCCGAAGCTCTTTACATACGTCGACAAGAGTGGCCGACCTCTCCCCTCCGTCGTCTTCATGTTGGCTTTTGGCGGTCTTGCCTACGTTGAGTTGGCTTCTAGTGGTGAAGTCGTCTTCGGCTGGTTGCAAGCTCTGTCTGGTCTTGCTGCGCTCTTCACCTGGGGTTCGATCTGTCTTGCTCATATCCGCTTCCGCTCTGCCTGGGCCTACCACGGTCACACCCTAGACGAGATTCCTTTTAAGGCTATCGGAGGTGTCTACGGATCATGGTTGGGATTGTTCCTCATCTTCTTGGTTCTGGCTGCTCAGGTGAGTATACTTCCATTTATTCCGCTTAGAGAAATTGTATGTCGCTAACAAAGCCTTGTAGTTCTACGTTGCTATCTCACCTATTGGTGTGAACCTTGGAGATGCCGAGACTTGGTTCAACTCCTACCTTGCCCTGCCTGTTGTTCTCGTTTTCTGGGCCGCTGGTTACGCATGGAAGCGAAAGGGTTGGTTGAGTCTTGCTGAGATGGATGTTGATACTGGTCGACGTGAACACAACTGGGAAGAGATAAACGAGTACCGCCGACACCTTGCCACGCTTCCTGCTTGGAGACGCCTCTACCATACTGTCTTTTAAAGCTAGAGGCGTTATGCGTGGCTGTCAACGCCCACCTAGAAATAATAGATTATTATATAGCATTCTATGTATATACGGCATAATCACATGTGCATTGCATTCCTAAACGTGGGATATGCACCCTTTTTTGTCTTCAAAAATGAACAATCTCCTAGCCACACTCACGATCGAGGTACCGAAATCACATATGTGAATTAAGATTTAATCTTTACACATGACGCAATGGAAGACGGCTATGTGCTTCCTCTTAGGAGACTCATAACAATTCTTATATCGCAGCTTGTTTGGCATAGCTATGGCAAATAAATTTATGGTCAATATCTGCTACGTGGACCTGGTGTATATAGGGCAGGACAGAAACTGAGTCTGTAGGCTGTGTTGCTTTTGTACCTCGTTTTGTATGTCGACTAAATATCTCTGATCCTATGCTTGAGATTGTGACGGTGGGTAAGCTGGATTGCACTAACAACAAGCTATTGACGCAACGAGAGTGAGAAATCCAATAGTTTATTGTGATTTGATCGGCAATAAAGTTGGCCTGGAACTATACAAATAATAGGATGCAAGCATCAAGCGACTAACAACGAAGCCTCTTGCTTTTGGTTTCAACTTCATAACCTCCCATTATTCCATATCCATTCTACATTAGCAAACATGCAGCTCATGCTTAGCCAGATAAGTTTCTATGATATCTAATCCAAGCCGCCTAAGAAGTAAAGCGCCAAGAAGGATGATCATCGCCGAGATTATGGGCATCGTCCTTCTCAAGTCGATAATCACGTTCTCCGCGATCTCTTTTCTTGTTCTCTCGCTTGATCCCAAAGAAGAGAACAGTACAAGCCAAAGCACATAGACCCAAGAAACTGAGACTGACTCCATATCCGGTTGTGTATCGAGGAGCCTCGCTCTGTAAGAAGATGTTGGACGCTACAATGCCACCCACTGTTACACGTAAGTCAGCATTGTCTCTCCAAACGATGTTGTACTACAGGATTCCTCGGGGGATGAGCGAGCTACCAGGCTCGCGCGCAATTGATCTGAGGAAAAGGAGTCCCCCCCCCCCAAACAAGTATACTCTACGAGGGAAGATAGAGTAGTGTGAAATGTTATCTTACCATTTCCGAACCCGATCTGAAGTGCGGATGAGACAGATCGCTTGTAGTGGCCCGACACGTTGTTAGCCACTAAAATTCACTGAAGTCAGCAATTATTCTTTCAGGTAGAGTAAACGGGATGTAGGGAGTTCTTCATGATCGCGAGACGTGTTGATCATCCAAAAAGGGGAGGGATCTTGCTTCCGCAAGTTGCTAAGATAGGAAGAAATTGACTTCAGGGGATACGTACGCCATGCGATCACGATTGGCTGTACCGCATAACCACCGCCCACGATGAGGAAGAGCGCAAAGTACTTGACGCCAACAGAAAGACCTTCTTGTCCAAGTAGAAGACCGTAGCCCACGGCGGCCACAGCCAGGCCACCCATGACGAACGTGTACCGATGTTTTAGCCGATCGGTTGCGTATGCGACTACCAAGCATATTACAGTCGACACTACGTAGATTGGAATAGTTCGTACTTGGGCTTCGGCAGCCTTGTAGCCCATCTCGTTCAGAATTGTTGGAATGAAGAACTAGCGGTGTTAGGTGCTGCTCGACAATTACTGGGCTGGGTAGGGAAGAGAACTCACAGACCCTGAATAACCCGTGTTCACTATGCCTAGGTAAGCCAAGGTTCCTACGTATACCTTCCAATCGGATAGGATGCGTTTTCTGGCCTTCGGAGTAAGTTCATCCACTATCACTTTGATGTTAGAAATCTATGATACTACAGCCTAAGAAAAGGTTCTACTAGAGGCAATATCGTGTATATTGAGATGGGTTTGCGGAAATAAGGGAATAGGGTGACTCAACTCTTTGCTTCACCAGTGTCTTGGGCGAGGCGTGCGATAAGAAGGCTCCTCTCTTCATCGGTGAGAAACTTCGCAGTTTCAGGCCAGTCTGCTATCCACCACTTTGATATGACGCCGACGACGATAGTGAACAGCCCTTCTAGAATGAAAATCCAGCGCCACGCACCATAACCGCCAACTCCGCCCAGGTGGGCGATTCCATAAGCCAGTAGTCCCGAAATTGCTCCTGCTATGATAGCGGCGCAGAAAAAAAGAGACATGCGCCATTGAAGCTCGAAACGCTTGTAATACATGCTGATCAAGTAGGCACAACCTAGACAAGTGTCAATTTGGTATCGTAAGAAGCCAATGATACTAGATGATGGAAATGGTCCTGACCTGGGAAAACACCGGCCTCGAATAGACCCAGCAAGAATCGCAACGCGATCAGACCTTCGATATTCCGAATCAAGCCCTGACCAACGGTGGCTATGCCTTTTCTGAAATTAGCTGTTTGGCGTACGAGCTACAGGGTAATAGAGGCATACCCCAAAGCACCATGACAAGGCTTAACCACGTGGAGGGTGCAAGCTTCTTGATTATGATATTGGACTATCCACAGTCCCATTCAGTCAGGGACGAATCTCCGACTCGAACACGTAGGTAGGTAGGCAGGTAACGTACGGGAACTTCGAACAAAATGTAGGGAATAAAGAAGATGAAGAGCGCAACATTGTAATCGTGGCCGGACAATTGCAGGTCCTCTGTCAACCCTTGTATTCTCGCATTTCCTTGAGGATCAAACCGTCAGCCGATACTTGTTGAAAACTGCCACTTGGTATGACAGTGCTGACTGGATGAGCGGGTACTTACCGATGTTGGTTCTATCGAGAAAGGCTAGGAAGAAGATGAAGCTGACGGGCGGAAGGACGTATAGATCGCACTTTCTAAGAAGCTTCTTCTCGGCAACGGCATCGAACAAGACGGGTTGTTGTTGGCTTTCTTCCTTGAGATCTTCCACTGTACTCACTCTCTCTACATCCAAATTATCTTTGGCCAAGTCGGGAGTCGTCATGGTGACAGCAGAACAGAGATTTGCCCCTATTACTGAAGTCAAAGTTTACGGGGCACATCGAAGAGGATGCCCTGTCACCGCCATCTCTTATATACCGTCGATCAGTCTTAATCACTGCTACATGGACGTCCTACATGCATACACTAGTTGGCCCAGATGCAGCCCAATCTCACCTCTTGCGTTGCTAATTTACGCGTGTCCAGAAATGGCCAAGTCGAGCTTCTCCGCATTGTCTAATTAGCAGCCGCGGGGCCAAGACCTGGGGTAACTCGCCTCCTACACGGGTAACCAGGTAAATGACATCTCCAACTCAAGCTGAAACCCCACTGCTTTTACCTATCTTGTATCAAAGCCATCAAGATTACTGGGGGAGGTTGCCCACAGCTGAGATATATTTTGGGGCACGTGGAACCCGGCCCCTATCTCAATTCCCGTGACTGATAACCGTCCATCGAGTCCACGGCTTCTGGCCACGGCATTGTTCTGACTTATCTCGGTGGTCTGGGCGGCCGCCGTATGAGTCAAGTTTTATGCATCTTGGTCACTGTTACATGTGCGTATAGAGAAACATGCAGACCAACTACGGCTACGGGCGCATCCGTTATAGAAGTCCTCTTGATAAGACATACAACAAAGTGAGATCATACAGAAGACTTATTCACGGGATTTGAAGGCCAGCAAATGCCGTATCAATTGTACATAGGATCATACCCGCCACCACGGCCAGGAAGAAGAGATTTTATGGCCAAAAGGCCTCTTCAGACCTAAAAGATTATTATATTGAGAATAGCGTTAATTTCTCGGCCTATTACTAGCCCTTGTTATCGTTAATGTAAAGACTTCTTCATATACGCCTTATAGATAGAATAAACGGATAGCTATAGATGGTATTTAAATGGGTCAATTAGGCTTTCCATATGTAAGCTTATATGAGAGATTTCAGTTATTATCGCTGCTGGGTGAGAAACTACAGTGTACAGCAAATGGCCCTAGTAGATTCATGTAGAAAATCCAGATCTTGGAAATCAGCTAAGCAGGAGGATTGAAAGTAACTAGGACAGTAACGTGAAGACCAAGCCAACATTATCATCATAACCAACAGCCATTTCCTAGCAGATATTTGGCACAAGAAAAAATTGATACATAGCATCTAACGCACCGAATCAAACACCCATTTCCTACTATCTCATCGAGCTAAATCGCCATTTTTCTGCCATTTCCCCGTCTCCATACCGGATACCAGATATCTAAGGACCAATCTCCCAAAGAATGGGAGCGCGAGAAGAATAGTACTGAGGATTTGTTCCTCGAACAAGTATACGGTAGTTAAATGTGTAACAGAGTCATACGGACCGCAAGGACGAAGCCAGGTGTTAGTAAAATTTTGAATTTAACTAACTTATTTTACCATGGCGATTATGTCTCTAGGAGATATATAGCTCTGAACTAAGTGCATTATCCGACGACGAGAGCCGAGACGAGGGGAGATGCCCTCTAGCGCCACTTGTCCTTAAATGTATAGTATAGCTCGTGTGGTTCTCACAGTGGTAATGAAGTGGATATCTTTCATAGGCACTTATGCGTGACTATATTGGACTATATCTCTATCTATAGTCATAAGCGTCGATGCTTTAAATATCCGTGTTGTAATCGAACTATTAGCTACAGGAGCTCCATGAGACATGAAGGAACATCATCGGTGGAATGTGTCAGTAAGATTTGTCAAGTAATTTAACTTTACATCGAGTTGGCGTATGCCATACTCTCACGACCGAGTTTCTACTCTACCCAATCTCTAATTTAGCAACTATTAATCATCAAACGAAGACTAGAACATGCACGCATTTGCAGATGTAGATAGATAGCTGTAAGTTTCTATACTATATTTTCGCTATTTATCCATTCCATCACACTAGCCTTACAACTAACTCCAACCCCTTTGTTCTTAACCACCTCCCTAAAACCTATTTCCCCTCCGCATCCTCAAACAGCACAGCGAGCAAAGCGTCCCAGTCCGCTTTCTCAGCCCGGCGAAACTCGCCATTCGTCTTCCGTGACTCGACGACGAGTACATCTTCTTCTCTGCCCCCAGAGCCAGAAGAGGAAGAGGAGAAGTACGCCAAGACACCACCTTTGCCGTCCAGACGAGCCGTGAGCCGGAAATAGTGGTGGCCGAGTTCGTTGGTCTTGCGGATGGGGATGAACTGCAGATCGTTGTCCAGACACCAGGCCTCGATCTCATCGCGGAAGGTCGCCGGCTCTGGGGCCGGTGGCGGCGGGACTGTAATGGGTTCTGATCTCTTCGACTGTTGTTCTCTGTTCGGCTTGCTGGAGGGGCGCGACTTGCGCGCAGCACGGTCTGTCTCAGCGCGCGGGAGGAGGTGTTTCGCCGAGTCGCCTAGCTTGAGTGCCTTCTCGATCATGGCCGTGCCGTGCCGGAACTCAGCCTTGATGCTGTCGAGCGATGCGATCGCGGGCGGAAACACGTCGTTCTGCCACCATTCGAACCAAGCACCCACCTCCTCGTAGTTGACCTCGTCGCTAGTGAGCCACTGGTGCAGCACGTCATGCCACATGGGGAAGACCTCTTGGACGACAACCTCGCCTACCAAAGAAGACGAGATGACATCTGTCCACTTAATTACGCCCTGTAGCATTTTCAGATACGGCTCTTGATCGCCTGGGTCGACGCGGAAATTGGTGCGAATATAGCGGCCCATGCTGGGTAGGATGTGATGCATGACTAAGGGTTTCCATTGATCTTGTGCTCGTGAAGGGCGCAGTACATCTTGCCAATTCCTGAGGCCAGGTACCACTCCCTTGTCAAATTGCCAAGAATCGATCGTTTGTCGGAACTTCCGTCTGATTTCGGAGACGACGCCCGTGCCTTTTGGTTCTAGATGGTATGAAGGCAAATGTTGGAGCCAGGGGAATATCCACAGGTGTGGTGGTGTACTTCGTTCATTCTTGGGTCTCCAGCTCGAGATGGAGCTCTCAAGTTTCCGAGCAACCTGCTCCAGCAGCTGCGAGCGAACAAAGGCAGGGAATAGCGGCTCCCATTTTTCCAATACCGTAAGAAGTGGTGTCGCATCCTGGACGTTCCAGGTCTGTGATATCGTTGTAACAAGCTTGGGAAAGACAAGTTTGTATATCATACTCTCGTAGGGCGTAGTAGATCTCACATGAAGATAATTTGAATCATCTACCTCGTTATGAGTCCACTTGGAGATGGTGCCTCGCTTAGTTGCGTCGGATTGTATACCAAGTAGCTTCTTGACCTTGGAAAGGTCGGTTACGAAGTTGCCTAGATTAGGGTCTTCCAGAGGCTGCCAGCCCTGGATAGCGCTGGTGAGAAAGGGGTGAATGGCAGCCACTGCAATACTTGCCAACTCTTCATTGTGATCTGAGCCTGAACCCAGGGCTTCGGTTTCGACTTTCTGAAGTCCAGATATGACCGGATCCCACTGCTGATCTCGCGCAGCTTGTGAAATATCGCCTAAAAGAAGAGAGAACGCCTGGAGAAGCGAAAATTCGCTTTCGAGCTCCTCAACCTCTTGCTGCCGTTGTAGAACTTCCATATCAAGCCACGCTTTCCGTTCTTCCAGTGCCTTCCACTCTTCCACACAGGCAGCGAGGGTTCCTTGAACCTGTCTCGCTAGTTTCCGAGCCTCCGTCTGTTCCACTACTTCGGTGCTTGACGTACCTGCTGCGCCTGCTGTCGGAGTCAAAAGGCCAGATCCAGAAGTTAGCAGTCGCTGATCAGGTCCAGTCATGTCTAAAATAGGGGCAAAAGCTTCCGGTATATGGAGGCCGGGAGCTGCTTTTTTTATGTCTCCTACAGTCATATATTTCGTCTTGGGTCGTCTTGGTGTGCTGACGCCGCTACCCGAACCGCTCTCGCCAGCCCCAGCCCTCTTCTTCCTCTCGCGTTTTGCCTTTTTACGCTCTTCGTCAGAATCAAGCACATCCTCTCCTCGTAAGCGCGCCTGTCTCTTCTCTTCTTTTAACTCTTGCTGGGACTTCTCCCGCACGGTACCTAGACCGACATTGCCTTGTGGGCGTAGGGTGGCTTCGATAATGCTGGCCCGGCCTTGAGAATCCGCACCAAGACCCTGCCCTTCGACGTAGCCCATCTTGGCCATCATGCGCGCGGCAAATGACTTGGATTTGGATTTGGATCCGCCACCACCAAAGGCACTCGGCTTGGGGGCTTGGGACGTAGGGGATGGCTCATGATTGACGACGTTCGGGTTCAGGATGGGCTCCTTTGCAGAGGTTGGAACAAAGCTTTTCCCCAGGGGGTTGCTACCATCGTATGTAGTCTTCATGATATTCGACCGTTTACTTGGTGTGTCGCCGAACATGTTTGGAGCGAGTTGGCCCCAACCAAGCCTCTGGGCAGAGCCCTGGGTTGACGATCGAAAACCTAGGCCCACTCCAGCCATCTCTTCATCTTCATCTTCCTCCTCGTCTTCACTCTCCCCCGCGACCATCCGACCCTCATCCTTGTCTTCAGATAGTTCATCGTGATCATTGTTGTCTTGGTCCTCTTCATCAGCCTGTTCACCCAGTTTCTCAGCACCGGCAGAAACGAAGGCTACATTTTTGTGTCGCAGATTTTGTTTGGACTTCCAGCGTCTATTCGGGGTATCTTCGTCGCTATCGGAGCCGAATATTCCCAAGGCAGCGCTCTCCTTTGCGTTGCGGCCAGTCCTGCGCCGTTTACGAGGATTGTAGTCACCGAATTCGTCGTCTCGGGGATCGACAGTCGGTCGCGCTAGACCATCATTGTCGCTTTCGTCGCCCTCGGAGGATGAGTAGGCTGCGGCGTCAGCCTTTGATATACCAGCGTGGCTAAAGGACATGCTCGTCGCTCTAGTTGGAAAGTTGTCGCAATCCTCTCTAGTCTTATGGCGGCTCGGTTAGGAAGTTTTCTACGTTGGTATGGCTTCAAAACGACTAGTTTCCGAGAGAGTTCATAGAGCTTCATACGTATGGCACGGTGGCTGTCGATGATGTTTTCTTTGCATTATGTTATGCAATGTGCGCGCGCATCATCCAATCTCAATGAAGCCTAAAAAGATCTTGGAAGCTACCTACCTAGGTAAGTACTTACCTACATAATAGCTTACCTAAAGGTAGCGTAGGTGCAGTATAGGTAGTTACAATAGAGGACCTGGTGGCGCTGGCTAGGTATCTTACAGTTACAGGTAAGGCGCTACACTGGACAGTTAGCGCGCTACTGCATGTACCCAAGTGCACTGTAGATTCAATGTCTGGCTCACGCGCCGCACTTGGAGTTGATTTGACTGCATCATTTCCGATTTCATCTAATATTTCAGTTATACATGTGCAGACTGAGAAACCGAAATATGATAAACAAACAGGCTCCCATAGTATAACATGGAGTTAAGCCTCTACTAGGTAGTGTGCACGGGTCAATACGCATACATGGCGTGGCACTCCTAGGCAGGTAGCCACCTATTAATACAGATGTGAAGGGAGATACCTCTATCTCTTTGACTGCTGAGTAGGTACCCAAGGTGGTCGTCTGGCATACGAAATTCCCCTCGGCCTTAGTTTCAATGCTTCTTGACACCCTCCATCCATTCTTTCGTGCCCTTGGCGCCGTCGTGGGCTTTCTTGAATAGCTTCCGCTCCCACTCCTCCAGACCGCGCAAGAAGTCTTCTCCCGCGCCAACGCCCATGTCATCGGTAGCTCCAGCCTTGCCCGCGTGCAGAGCAATGTCGGCCGCCCTGGTGACGAACGTACGTCGGAGAATGGCGCAGATCTCCCTCTCTTCGAATAAATCCAGCATACGGGTTCCGAGGCCGTAGAAGTTGTGGGACTGATCTCGCAACGGCACAGCTCGAGGGTCGGCCTTGAGGGCGGCCATGACTTCGTTGGACAGAGACGGCGGCAGGTTCAGAGAGACAAACGACTTGGCGTCTTCGTCAGCGCTACTAGGGGCGCTGTTGGCTAGAGCGAGCAGTTCGGCGAGCCATAGTGGAAGCCCAATGGCCGTGCCGCTCTTCAGTGGTTGAGCCGGGTTGTTGTCAAGGTATCCTAATTCGGGGACGTCGAGCTCGAATTTGCACGGTACCTTCTACAGTAGGCAATGGTTCCATGTTAGTTACGAGACACGAGAAAACCCATACGGCTCGATGCAAAGATGGGAGAAGCGCGAAGGAGGAAGTCGGGGGCCGGGAGTGAATGGCGGCAGGATATGCAGGATACCTATATCTACGTACCTCGGCATCAGTCAAAATAGCATCGATATCATAGTAAGACATGTTGCCCGCAACGTCCCACTACGGTTCGGCTGGGTAGGGGTCATTCATATTCAGCTAGACTGGGAAGTCGCGCTCGTCGCTCGTCCCGTTTCCGGGTCGAATCTAGGGAGGTTTTTTTTTGGATATGGACGGGAGGATCAAGGAGATGATGGATCAGGCGCGACATGAAAATAAGTCGATCAGTCAAAGTCAGGTCCCCCTCTCCCACTGAGAGAGGGTACTTAGGCCAAGTACCTAGGCCAAGTACCTGGAGGGGCATCTCTGGTGATTTGATTACTTAAGTATCGGATGCTCCGATAAGCTACCTAGGCCAATGCCGATATCCCCGAGAGATCGAGATTGGACGAAGGGGCTAGACTAGAGCTCAGAGAAGAGATAGATGTAAACCTGACAGTTCTCTTGTGTATACTTCGTATACCTCGAGATATAATGCCGAGGCATACCGAATGCCAGGTAGAGCAAAGTTGTTTCGCCGTTGCGAGGGAAGCTCGGTGCTTTGGTCGGTTGTAGTGTTTGTACTAGGTATGTACCTACATAGGTAGTGTTGTAGTGGGGGGTTGACAGGTACCGGTAGGTATCTCCTTGCAAGCTGGGGAGGTTGAGCTGTATTGACATCATTCTCGGAGCTCTCAATTTATTCTCTCGTTCGCAGAGACCTACCAAAGATATCTCACAACCCACACTTCCCCCCGAACGCTGCCACGATAGCATATTCACATCGATTGCTGAATTCCCCGTGTTAGTCACATTCAATTGTCGAAAAGCACCTTCAAAAATGGCCTCCCTCTTTCGTGCAACAGCTCCGTCCGCACGGGCAGCTCTGCGAGCAAGCTCCGTTAAGCCGGCCACCGCAGCCCTAGCCAGCACCTCCTTTGTGCGCGGCAAGGCCACCCTCCCCGATCTTTCTTGTAAGCCGGACCCCGACCCAGAGTGAAGTCTAGTGGATGCCATGGTCACTTTCGCATTGCATCTCAAGGAAAACGAAGACGGACTAACACATCGCTCGCTCGTTCCCAAGATGACTACGGCGCCCTCGAGCCCTACATATCGGGCAAGATCATGGAGCTGCACCACAAGAACCACCACCAGACCTACGTCAACGGCCTGAACAGCGCCCTGCAACAGATCGGAGACGCCAACGCAAGCGGCAACCAGTCCAAGGCTGCCACCCTCGCTCCCCTGCTAAACTTCCACGGCGGCGGTCACATTAACCACAGCCTCTTCTGGGAAAACCTGGCCCCCGCTAACAAGGATGGTGGAGGCGAACCCGCCGGTGCTCTCAAGGTACGTGGTCAAGGAACGGGAAACAGGGCTCTCGTCTGAATGGCAAACACACTGACCCGTGTTCTTCGTCACCCCCCAGTCCGCCATCGATCGTGATTTTGGGTCTTTCGAAACCCTCCAGAGCCAGATGAACACTGCTCTGGCCGGCATTCAGGGCAGCGGCTGGGCCTGGCTTGTAAAGGACAAGGCAGCTGGCACTCTCCAGGTCGTCACTCGCGCCAACCAAGATCCCGTAGCCGGGAACTACGTGCCTCTCATGGGCATCGACGCTTGGGAACATGCCTACTACCTGCAATACCAGAACAGGAAGGCCGAGTATTTCAGCGCCATCTGGAATGTCATCAACTGGAAGACTGTCGCTAGCCGCCTTGACAAGGCGTAGGCTAGGTCCATACCGGAGTAGCGCTATATGCACATATAGTTAGGTAGGGGAAGACAATAAGAACTTGTGTTACATTGTTGGCGTTCAAGTACATCTTGCATTCAGACTCAAACCACCGGGAAATGAGATCCAGCTATCATGAGTCGTGGCTCTCTAAACCGCCTAGATGCGACAAATCACATATACCACGCAGAACCTGAGGAGACGTCTGGGTTTAAGTTGCTAACAGAGCCAAGTGTCTCGATGAGACAATACAGCACACTCATTCTCGGAAATGAGCCCATGAGAAAAGCCGACTCCCAATAGCAAAAATAAAAACAAGAAACAAGTAGAGACAGGAATAATGAGAAGAAAAGGCGAGCACGGATACTTTTCCTACGTAGTATCAGTGACGGGAAACGATGGGCGCCGGCAGACAACATGCGAGAACGCGATATCTTCCCGGCGGTGCATTATATGTAGCTAGGTACGATACCAAGGTGTGTGTGTACCTACATAGGTAGGTATATTAAGTTGACACAGATCCATCCGCACCAAACAAGAGATGAGATGCGACGCTGCCACGCGTCGGGCGCAAACAGAGCTAGGTAGGTAGGTAGACAGAGCGAGCTCGGCAGCCTGCCGAACTGAGGTCAGGGAATTCTGCTTCGATCGTCAATAGTTACCTAACGAGGACTATCTGACAGCTATTGCATAATGCCAGACAGCAGGACTGTACCTAAATAAGCTATATACTACCCAAGCTATAGTAAATGGCATGAATCAGGGCGCGTAGAGTGCTTAAATAGACCGAATAATGAGCGCTACAGGGTCTTCCTCTGGATTTTCAACGATACTAATTATAATGATCCTCGTGTCAAAGTAGGTAGGGCTGTCAATCTGTCTCGGGAAAGGAATGGCAGGGAAACCCGGAATATGCCGCCCGTGTCATATACCGTAGGTATCGACCGATGGGCAGGGTATAAGGTAGCCAGATAAAGAGACTCTGACAGCCCAAGATGCTGGCTGTTCTCGGTCATGACGAAACACTCTACATCCATGTAGGGTAGGTTTTAGCTACTGTATATTGCCTGGGTTAGGTGTCTACACGTAGGTAGCTCGGGTCGATCGCGTCCAACCTCGCTCACCAAGCCCAAGACTCTACCTAGCGTGGGTTAGATAAGCACTAAGTAGGTTAGGCACCCTATGCGTTGGCACCATCGTCACCATTCCCGTCGTCGCCTCGAAAGCTGGCAAGGCAAAGCCACCGACAAAGCCTGATCGGTCGTCGCCGTCGAACCAGACAAACCCTGAACTGATCAAGCAACGAGGGCCAAAAGACAGGGCCATCAATTTATGCATACACGTACTAGATAGTACGTTCTGATCAGACCACAGGTCCACAATATTCCCGGGGCTTGCATAATAGCATCACTGGTGAAAAGAAATGCGGATGATAGCGATGGATGATGACTTGGTAGCATACTATCTTCTACCAAGTATGCTACCTTCACCGACCATTTGGAGCTCCCATTGCTGACCTTTACTTACAGATTCCGAGTCCGGCGGTGACTGGGTGGGATGATCCTTATCCAGTGAGCACTGATAGTTTCGAACAGGCTCGCTTGGCCTCGAGGGTCGATGCACCACACCACCACGCCACACCATTCACAACATCACACTACCTACCTACTACCTAGTTTTAGTCCAAACGACTACTTACTGTTGAATGTACGATATCCAGTATGGTGTGGCGCCGGCAGTTGAAGTGAAGGATCTGCGAACATGCAGTCTGCCAACCAACCAGAGGTGCATCGAGAGGGGAATCCCCCTGGTTGGAGAGACTATTCCCGGTAATCCGAGCTCACGCCTACGGTACCTCGTGCCAAGAGCTCCGGGGCAGATATTAGTCGGTAGACGTGTGCCTATCATATATTGTGTGATGAAGTAAATACCTACTTACACGACAAAGAGAGGGCAAGACCAGGAAACCTTCACATTTGTTCCGATCAAAACAAACAAAACAGAACAGAACATCCGAAACAGTGTGATGAGCAGTGCCACGTTCTCGAGGCAAACGAAATCAAGGCGGTATCAATAACATGATATCTAATAACAGGGATCGAATATTATTGACACGATGCTGTGAACCTACAGTAAGTAAGTAGGTACCTAGGTAGTCTACCTATCTCTCACATGTACATAGGTAGGTAGCATAGTTGATATCGAATGGAGAGGAAGGGAAAAAGCATCATCACTACTATCACACCTTACCTAGGCAGCTGATGCTATTCCGACCTGACTCGCTCGCAGCTGGATCGATACCTCTTTTAAGTACACACCATCCATCTCGGTATCATTTGCCCTCAACCCGAACTCGTTAGATTAATCCAGAAGGCTATTTCCATGGACATTACCGACTTGTAGGTAGGTAGGTGGGTAGGCAAGGAGTCATTCACATCTTCCCATCCATCAAAACAATGTACCTATATAGTCTACCTACTACCGGTATGTAAGTATCACATGCCACCTTGACCCCAGTTGCGACGCTAATGCGACCCTCACGGCGGCAATTCTGGGGTGACATTCTTCATCATACACTCACTACCTACACCACTTAAAGTACTGTACAGGAGGGGACCGGCCACACATCGATCGATCCACTACCTAACAGTAACCGTTAGTACGAAGTATGGTTTCTTCTTGTTTCTTTTTTCCCTTACTTTTCCCCCCTCGCCGAGTGCGCAGGTACCTACCTACTTAGCTACAAAGTATATAAGCCTTTTGGAACCCAACCAGGGCATGGATCTGCCTCGGGTCGTCATGGGTAAGTAACGAAGTAATATCCATGCGATAGAAATAACAAGGACGGCCGTTCCCCGCCAGGATATACCCTCCTGCCATATCGTCCCAGGCTACGTAGTCCTTCATCAGAAGCCTCAAACTCGTCTCTGTGCAAAGTCTTTTGCCGTCATTCATATTTCTTCATCTCTTGAAACCACAATTATATTTAAAATTAACTACACCCTCAAGCTCTCGATGAGTTAGTTAGTCCGTGGGTGTTCCGTTCATCTTCCGTTTGCACAGCGGTTTATACATGCACCGTGCAACCTAATCATCTATAATCATAAAACACACCAAGCGAAAGACAAGGCCAGGGGCGTAACTATCCACATTTAGTCTATTTACCGCCATTCGGGCATCTGAGAGACAAGAAGAATTCTACAACAAAAACAGAGGCCACCCTGCAATCCATGATAATGGAGGACATCGACGCTATAACGCCGTGTCCCAGCGGCCTTTCCGCAGCACCAACCGAGACGATGGGCAGCAGCCCACTAGTTGATCTACGCCCGTCGCCGACGATGAGGTCCGCATCACCGGAATCCCTCCGCTCATCGCTCGACCTCGATACCATCAGCAGGCGAGAAGCCTCGGTCAAGGCGCTGGAGGAAGGCACAAACGGGGATCCCGACATGCTCTGGAAGCGGATGTTGGCGCTTCAGAAGAAGTTCGGCTGCTATAACTCGGCCCGGATGAGCGCCGCGCTGAGCTCCGGAAATGTGAGCGTATTGCGACGTGAGTTCTGCCTTCCTGATCTGTCTCGCTCGCTCTCTGGTTCCCTTTTCCAACCATAAGTCCCGGACGGCCACAACTGACGATAGCTTTGTTGATGCATGCAGCCTCGAAAACTTGCTTAGACTTGCTGAACGAGAATATGGCCGCGTTACCGGAATCAGTCATCGACTGGTTGCGGCCCAATCGACAGCATCGCGTGTGATTCGACCGGTGATTTGACTATTGAAATGACTATCGTAATTTGGTTCAGGTCAGGAATTCGGTTGTGTACTTGCCCTAAAACTGGATATGGAGGGATACACGAGGCGTTCTGAGTTACTGGGGGAGAATTGGGAATTTTAGGGAGGGGCGGGACGGCGACCAGCATGGATCATGATACCCCCTAGATTGGAGTTCGTATTTCTGTGGTGAAGTGAGTTCTTGTTCTTTTGTTTAGCGGATCAAATTACAGTTCTCTATGACTCGGTGATTTGGTTTCTTTACTTTTAGCATTGCCTGATTTAGTGCCTATTTATGGTGAAGCCGAATAACCTCGATGCGCAATCGTTGGAAACAAATCGATCAAGTACTAGCACCTGAATCTGTATTTGAGAGGCTAGAGAGGGCGCGATCGAGTACCTTCTTACACTGGACTCTATAAAGCAAAGCCAGCTCCTGGTTCTGGTTCGTCGCCTCGTAAGAGGGGTCATGGAGCTCTATCTCCTCCAGATCTAATGTGAGTTTCGTCCCCAGCGCGTCGACGATCTCTCCCAGGAGCCCTTGAGAGATCCTACCTTGCAGGATCTCAATCAAAGGAACTTCCGGGGTCGCACCCTGACGTCTCACAATAGATTCATACAGCGAAGCGATGAGCGAATCCTGAAAATGAGAAAAGCAGGGCAGACAAGAGACATGGCTTGGTTCGAGCAGTCTAAATCTCCCAACCAACGAGCTTTGATGTGAGAGCCGCCGTAAAGACACGATATGTGAGGTACTTAGATCACTAGCTGTGGCGTTTGCTTTCGTCTTGATATGAACGTAGTCGTTGTGGAAATCCGCACTTTCCGGAAAGATGAAACCATAGCCGAGAAGTAGCTCGGCATTTGTCTTCATCCCATAATTGTTGTAAACTTGCTGACCAGCCGAATAGGGTTGGGAAGAACGTAATGTGCAAGTGCGTGAGTCATTGTCAGTTACCCAGGAAGTGTCGGTAAGCGGTGAGTGGTTACCGATATCAAACAGGGGTAGTAAGATGGCAAAATCATCCGTCTTGCAAGGCAGAGAGAGGGAGTCTGCGTCCCGAAGGATGAGTGACGGACGGAAACTTCTCGATGTGAAAATACAGTATGCCCAGTAATAGAGTGGTCTGGTATACTCGTACTGAAAATTTTCAGGCAGAAACTTCATAGCCTGTTTGTATTCCTTTCTCAAGGTGGATCGTATTTCTTGCACTGCCACGTACGCGTTGGTTCCACGAAGGAATTCAATATCGTCCGCAGGCCATACGATGGGCAGCATGGCTGTCATGTGCTCAGGTTGGGGAAGGGTTCTAATGTAGGGCCACCAGTGGGAATTGTGTCGACTAAGATACTCCTGCATAAGGAAGAACCTGCCTACGACGTGACAAGGCACATTCTCCAGAAACTTGACTGGAAAGTAGGTCTCCTCTCGTGGTGTCGTGATAGAAGGCGGGGTTCCTGATGGGAACTTTGGATGGCCGGCGATAGCATTGAGGAACGAAAGAGAGCATGACAGTGGGAGGGAGACGATTTCTTCATCTTGACCAAGCAAACCGTCTTCCTTGACCCGGAAGGACCCTTTTGTGACCTCGTCGTGATAGACCTCAACAGCAGGATGAAGCCGTCCGCCCGCGGATTCGGCCCACTGAAGGAGCTCCCTGTACCGTTCCGCTAGACTAGCCATGTCGGCTCCGGCGAGCGGGCACGGCACGGAGGGGTGAAGAAGATGGGAAAGAAAGAAGGTTCCTGTAGGATAATTCACCGAGCTATGATGTACTGTGCGTCTCTATGCGTATCTGAATGTAACCTTCAGGTATCCGGTGCTATGTGTTATGGGCGAGAGTTTATGACCTTAGCAGGGGTACTACAAGTACAATACGGGACCCAATGTCCGCCCAATCTACTTAGCAAGCCAAGTACTAAGTACGCAGGTATTGATTGGCACAATTGCTTCACCTAGATGTTGGAGGGTTCCGACATCTCTTCTCCCGGGCAAGCTGTCTCGATAAGCTATCATATCCACTGGAAGCGTGACGTTTGGATTAGATAAGCTGCCTAAAACAGTTAGGGCTAGCTTTGCCGGCTTGGGCCCGGAGACGCCCGGTGAACCTCCGTTCCGTATCGAGGTCGGAGGTAGTATCTCCTCTTCCACAATAGGAACGGCCACCACTGGCTAAGGGTTAGGCGGCAGGACTGAGACTATATCTCTTGCGAAGCCATCGCGTCTTTCGACTGCTAGATTTCTCCGGACAGACACGGACGTGAGAGAGATGTCTCAGTGGATGCATTGAAGTAAGTGCTCGTTGCTATATTTTCGCGCCGCTGAAGACTCAATGTCAAACAACGGCGGAGGGCAGAGCGGATAGAAGCTATGGCCGGGCACGCTTAAGAGGACCCAAAGCAAGGGATTGTTTGTTTCATCACAAGCGCTAAGACCCCCGCAAGCTCGCTGACATCGGGCTTACAACACATAGGACGATGTCCAACATGGGAAAGGGAAGCCGAAAAGAGGCGTCTGTCTTCGTGTATCTAGCTCGGCGCTTCGAGTTCCACCAGTGTCCGCCGTAACTCTAGGCCTCGTGGTTGATTGAAGGATGCTTTCCAGCAGATATCCAGCTCCACCGCCAATTTGCGAGGGGTTTCCATGTCATCTAGAAGAGTATTAAATGCCCAGATGATTCCCAGAATGCAGCAACATTTTGATCCCTCCAGCGCATCCACTCCTTAGACTCACTTCCTTCTTATACGTATAACTGCTGCTAGTCTCTTCTCTGGCGCATAACGAGGATGAATGCCAAGTCTCTGATACTCGCCGCTGCGTGCGCTACTGTGGTGCGGGCACACGGGTTAGTTTCTGGGTTTGTGACCGATGGCAAATGGAACCAGGGTTTCCTGCTCGACTATTATTACCAATCCAAGAACGGTGGAAATCCGCCTGACATCGCCTCTTGGTATGCCGAGAATTTGGATAACGGCTTCGTCGAGCCCAACAACTACGGTACTTCCGATATCAATTGCCACAAAAATGCTAAGCCTGGCGCTCTCACGGCAAGCGTGAAGGCCGGTGGCACTGTCGGTTTCCAATGGACAACATGGCCACACGATATTGGCCCGGTCCTTACATACGTAGCGGCGTGTAATGGCGACTGCTCTAAGGCTGATAAGACAGCATTGAAATGGGTCAAGATCGACGAGGCAGGTTGGGACTCGACCTCGGGCTGGGCTTCAGCGAAACTGATCGCAAACAACAACACGTGGACAACCACAGTCCCGTCGACGCTCGCCGCCGGAAATTACGTGTTCCGCCATGAGAGTACGCAGACTGGCCCCTTTTCAATAGCACCATCCAAGGCACATCATCTAGCCCAGTGATTGAATATTTGACTGATATCATCGTATATTAACTATGGTTGTTCGTTAGTCATCGCTTTACATGGAGGCAGCTCAAAGAGTAAGTGGATTCAGTCTTTGACGTTCACTCTTGTCGGCATGACTCAGATGCAATGAGTTCAACCTCAAAGTTGGTCCATACTGCAGACGGAAAAAAGTAGGTTGAATTATTTTGCTTCTTGATTTACTAATTTCTTCATTGCAGACGGTGCCCAAAACTACCCACAGTGCATCAACATTGCCATCGCAGGATCTGGCACTGACAAGCCCACCGGAACACTCGGTGTCAACCTTTACAAGTCTGATGATCCGTAAGTACTTCGTACGCCTTCTAGTTCACCAAAGAACAATACTGTCAATACAATGTCGTTCGGACCCGAGCTGTTGGACATGAAGGCCGCGTGGCCATGATGGGAAACTATCCGAGATATTATCTAAAACCAGTGTTTGCTGACTTAATATTAAAGCGGTATCCTCTTCAACCCGTATACTACTTTCAGCAGCTATAAGATCCCCGGCCCAGCTCTCTATCGCTCAGGTTCAGGCTCAAATCCAGGCCCTTCCACAACAACCAGAGCTGACGCTACTACGACCACATTTAAAACATCCACGGCAACCAAAGCCTCGACCACAACGACAGCCGCTTCACCAGGACAGACAGGCTCAGGCGCAGCTTTGTACGGCCAATGGTAAGTCCTTCGCCTCGGAGCTATTGAAGAATAAAAGCCCGTATTCAGAACACCTTATTGTTCCATACACTCCCTGTTTTACGACTAGTACTAATATGTAATAATGTAGTGGTGGTATTGGCTGGACCGGCGCAACAACTTGCGCTCAAGGAACCTGCAAGACGCTCAACGACTATTATTCGCAATGTGTACCATGAGAGATACTAGCGTCTGAAGATTTGAAGTTTCATCTAATTGCAGAGGAGTGATATATGCGCGTAGTTCTACACTTCGAAGATCCAGAGGCTGTCAATGGATCAACGCCTGAAGGGCGACCTGTATATCTTGACCGCTTTGCCGTTGTACAAGGTACTTATTTATTTAAAAGAGAAATTTAATATCAACCTTCTATTTGAACGAAAAGTTTTTCATTATAACTATTTCATTACGAACTTATTTTGCGTTCGTGTGTAGCTCGGAATGATTGACAATGTTACCCTACCTTTAGTGCAACAAGCTATTGCAATTAGAAGGCGAAACAAGAGCTCTACGGGAAAACGAATATTATCTTCTTATGATCGCAGATATTAGAAGGTTCCACCGTGAATAGAATTATATCATCAGTAATATAAGGTAACAATCCAGGTGAGAAACTCCACGTATACTCGTGACGACTTTCTGTTGCCCAGAAAAAGTTGACTGCTGGCCATAACATCCCCCTTTGGTAGAAAATCATATACAGGGTAGCAGCCGATATGGATTCGGATGAGCAAGAACTATCTGTTGTCGACGTAGATGTATAAACCCCCTCCCCCCCCTCTCTTTATATTCCTCTTCGGCTTCTAACTATGATTGATACAGAGGCAAGATAAGCGTCGACCTTTGATCCTCGTACTGGCATAATATGTATACATCTTGCAAGGTTCTGTGCCACGCCGCCCATCCTCTGCCAACTAAGCTCGAATTACTTCTTAAGCGTGTGATACACGTACTAGTTACCTAACCGAATACCTACACCTCCCATAATATAGTTGCCAGTTGTTCTCGACTACCTGCCCAAAGAAAAAGAAAGATTACGACGTACGGCTCCCCTTCCAATACGTTGACCCTCGAGACTAGAGCTCGCCTGAACACACCTTTGAAATACAGTACATTTTCTAATAGTATGGGTTTCATATATGAGGCATCTACTCTACCAAACGGTTGGTTTTCACAGCTACTTACAGTATATAATTTGGCCGTGTCTCCTATACGCTGAGTGATGCCTGATCCTTCTTGCCTACTCACCGGGGCACTTTTCTATCAGCTTCTCTTTACCTCGCATCTGCCAATTGGAGCAATATACGCCTAGCTAGTCAGGAAGTATTGTTACTGTAAGACAAGCAAATGGCGGTTGGAGGGAGAGAGTATCACAATCCAGCTAAATCAACATACCCGTAAGCCAATACTGCGCAATGAATCCATGACGCCTATAGGTGGTCTACCGGCGGTGCCTATTAAAGATGAGCCAAAAGGGCCCATAGTCGAGAAACAACATGATATGCAAGCCCTGCTAGTCCTCTCCATCGCGAGGTCTGCCGGTGTATATTGCTTGGTACACATTTTCTGCCCCCTGGTATGGTACGTATCGCACAGTACTAGGTGATGTCACTATATAGTGAATCAAGCCTTTTCATGATAACCAAGGCCACCCTTCGTTTGGCCCGGCTGCAGCGAAAGGTCAGACCGTAGTCCCCGCAGTTTCTAGGTTCGGCATGCCTGCTTACACCAACTGTTCGCATATGCAGAACGCTCGGCCGTATGCGATGTCATGTTCCGCTTACCAACATGCATAGTACTTTGCAGAGTGCGGGTGATGGAGACCTGTGGTTCTCTCCAATAAACAACTCTAGCGAGGCCAGAGAGCTTATGAAGTAAGAAGAATAGCCCGAGCTTTGCCTAGACTGCTATATGGGTGCCGGCAGGCAATTTATCCATCAGACCGGTTATCTGAATGTGCCATCACTGCCTGCCGACGGAGTTGAATAAGTCCTTCTCTTCCACTTTGGCGATATCGCCTGGTGTGTATCCTCTTAACCCACGAGGGGGTTGCGAGAGTGAAGTCACAAAACTGAATGCTACCGTATGTCTAATGGATCTATCATATATAGGTCCACTATATGTACTTGATTCGAGTAGAGCGTTCTTTATGATCAATTCGAACGATACGCAGGGTGCGCACGGGTCTGATCCTGGACGACGTGCTGTCGGCTCAATGCAACTGAAGCTTTTGCGGTGAATTTGCGTCCTTCGGGAACGAACTCTCTTAAACAGGCTGATAGGTAGTAGACGGCATCAGAACGCCATCTACCTTTATAGATATTCATCTCGTAATAGGTCGGTCGACATGAGATATGGTCCTAACAGCAAAAGGGCGCGTTGTCCACGCTCTGCAGACACGGTGGTATGTGCCTTGTATATTACCGAGTTATCATTCACTTCATCTAACTCTCGGAGATCTATCTAGATCTAGGTAAAGTAGGTGAAACCTCTTCGGCGTACATAGAACGTCAGTAGCTGATGGATATTAAACTGATAGCTACTTGGTTTCAGTCAGCCTTGTCATCTTCCTCGTTTGGTATTCTTCTTGCATTGAATCCTAATATTCTTCCAAGAACAAGGAGAACAAGGAGAAAGGGTTTGTCGCACATCTCTAACCATGAGAGAGAGTAAGGTCTCATAATGCGTCGCGATATAGAGTATTGTACCCCATCCAAAGAGTAGAGTGGGGATCACTCTCAGACCTCGACTTTCTGGTCACTGTCGTCGGCCCCATCGGGTTTGGAGTCGCATGGTAGACCTAGTGTTGTAGGTAGTGTAGACGGAATCGTGCACTGTCGTGTCGAGGACTACTTCCGCGAATCGTGCCCGATGAGAGCGTATCACTACAGGTTTCCAGTAATGGAGAGCAAGGAAAGTGGTCTGCCCGTCTGTCCGTCATCTGTCTTGAAGTCTCTCACCGAGTGGAGTCGGTCAGCGGTAAGCGCAGGGTATTTTTGCCCGTGTCTACCTCCCTGTCGTCGGTTCCGGCCATGATGCCCAAAGGAAGTGTCATGGGTTGACGTGCCCCACGTGCCCAACACTGACAACAGTTAACTGTGGCGATTATCAGGGAATGCTATCTTCATCACGTATTTTCAAGCTTCTAGCCAAGAAGGCGTAGATACGGATGCATAAGGCACGCCTACATACTGTACTATGCATCCAGCCTCAAGGTAACTTGCTTGTTGCTTGCTTAAAGTAGTTGACAGTATATCTCCGAGAACAAGACTCATTTCCGAGGGCCCATTGGATACCCGTGTTTCTTGGCGTGATGGGCGTCGGGTACCATGTAAGAATATGGATCTCCCGCGTTTTTCTTGGCCGCCGCTGGGTACTACGCCCGTGTAGTGTAGCATGGCAGAAGTGAGCACTGAGTGAGCATCACATATGTATAAAAGTACATAATTACACAAGGTAGTATAGAACGAAATCAGGTACAGTAGTATCCACTGTCGCGTTTTGTAACAGCGGAGAACCTTGCTGGGTGGCTTGCTTGCTTGCTTGCTTGCTCGGGGTGACGATGATGATGATGATGCTGCTGTACCTAGTATTGTAGTGTATATGCATCTCATCTTGCCCGCCCTGCCACGTGCTTTTATAATTGGTTCAATCCACTAAATCCCAAACATCCCGCACTAGCTGTGTGTAGTGTAGCGTAACAGACTTGAGTTTCTCTTGTGAATATGTGTGTTGTAATGGTTGTGGCAGTAGAGAAGCTAGACCACAACATTGTCATCTCCTTAAGAAAATAGAGTATGGTTAAAATGCCTGACTATCTCTCTCTTTTCTGTCTTATCGCGTTCTGTGTTGTTTAATCGTCTCCATACTGCCGGCTGACTGTGAGCGTGCCAACACAAAGTGGTCACCCGGCCGATGCCCGATAGTAGGTGAGATGTCACGAAGGATGACCTGGTAAAAGGGACCGAACTCAGTCATGTCAGCGTAAGCTCCTAATCTGTAAGCCCACCTCGAAGCATTCATCCGAAAGGGATGTGTGAACACTTCTTCTTGTAGATAGACAGCAGTAGGTAGCCCAGCCATGGTCAGCAACCAACGAGCACGCAGAGTTCCCCCACACCTGGCCATCTCCTAACTCGGAAGGTAAACGGACGAGGTAACCATCTGGCCCTCGCAACATCTGGCAGCATAGGTACTGGATTGTTAGGTATACGCAGCGGTAAACAGTAGTGATCTGCTGCGTCAGCGCTCTTTAAGCTCCCACCCCCAGCATGATATGAAACCCCCGTGACCACCACCATCGGCATTCGAGCCACCCAGGACGGGTGACTCCACCAGGACTGCACACTACATGAGAGAGAGCGAGACAGTGATAGGCCTCCGGGCCGTGGAGCACCACGAACCACCACTCAATCATCTATGTCGACGGGGGATGCCAGTCATACACAAGTTACGCAGTCAGCTCCGTCCTCACACATGATCACGAAGTCTCCATACCGTGGTTCTTCGTGTGTCTGTGCGGATTCTGGTACGAGACTCTCGGCAGCTTTGAAAAGAAAACAAGAAAAAAAAAAAAAAAAAAAAAACCTCTGAAATTTCGCCGATTTCGGGACGGCTGAGGCTGGGTACACTAGAACGGGTGAATATGCGCCGCCGTTTGACTTCTCGCGCGGAATAAAACATGTGATATTTCTAAAATAGGCAGATACCTAGATGAAGCTGCCCACAGCTACTCAGCCCAATGTTCATGTAAGTAGAGTACCCGTATACTCTACATGTATTTGTTTGACGAACGGTAGGGCAGGCATGCATTCCATGGCTGTCGATGATATGCCCGTTCGTCATAGGAGGCGTCGAAACGGGTAGCACAAACTCAATCGATCCGTCTGATCTTACTGATTTCCATATACTCATAGACCACTAGTCAGGCCATTCTTGGCCTACTACAGCTACGGTAAAGTACGTAGGATTCGCATGGGATCATGTAGGTATGTACTTAGATAGCGAGCAACTAGGTACCTACCATATTATGTATGTAGAGAGGCTGAGTGCTAGTAGATAACATGCATCCTTGGCAGCTGTCGAGGGCGGGGGGCTGACGCAGATCTATAAACCTCCCAAGCTTCCTTTCTTGTGCTCAAACCGGCAAGAGAGACGAGACCCCCAAGCTGCTGCCCACTCTGTTTCCAAGGGGGAGCGTCAGGTGTGTGACGACGCGCGGATGGCCACAGCTTGGCAGGCCATCGCACTCAGAACCGCACCACGTCTGCGGGTTGGGCCGCCGCTAGAATATCCTATGACCTTGCGGTGTGCCTACTTATTATTTTGCACCAGATATGCTAGCACTACAGACGAGAAAGCCGCCCATATCCACAGGTTCGGGGGTTTATAGTACCTGGCAAAAAAAAAAAAAAAAAAAAAGAGATGGCAATATATACACGTTGTAAAAATGCCTCAGGATGTCGCTCTGATCATCGTAGCTCTTCGTACACCCCGTCCGCCTTGTTCATGATTAAACCAACCAACTCTCAACTCCCCAAACTCCACGCCTTTGATAGATGAAAATCCAAACCCCATGTACTTCCGCCCGCCGCTGACCCATGGTGACAGATGAGAGGGTTTGCACCCTTGGCAGTCTGGTTCTGCCTCATTTAAATTCTAGTGGTGATCGTGCACAGGTGGAAAAGAGACAATAACAATAAACAAAAAAGCAAGCTCGTTCCATGATGTTTATACACCAGCTGTTTGGAAGGAGTGGCTCAAGGGGCGTGTGGCGAGAGTAAATGTTTCGATCTTTAGACACATGGAGTGTGTCCATGGCCTTTGCGGATGATATCTACCCACGGTGGTAGAGACCGTGGCCGGCAGTCGGCTGTAGCATGTCAGCAACTCTGTTCTTGGATTCCATGCGTGATATACTCGGTTAGGTGTAGAACTTTGACCGAGTTCGTCGGGGTCAACGCGAGAAGGAGCCACAACCATGGCAATCCTAGATCTCCGGTCCCGAAACGATCGAATCAAGGTAATGAGATAGAAGAAAGGAATTGGTTTTGTTCTTTAGATAAGTCGAGAGCCACATACAACATAGTTCATTATTCCTATCGAGTATGTTAGTAAAGCCACATCTACCTGAGTCTGGGGAAGGGCGTTCTCATCACTCACCGTACTTCCAGATGAGTCACGTTTGGCGGACATGGCTTATATGTCCTCTCATATCTAGGGCACCATCTGAGGACGACGAAACGAAAATGCTGGCAATTGTATTCGACCTATGGTAAACAGATTGCATATATAAGCAGGGTTTCTCAACTGCAGTGATGAAAGCTGTATAGGCGTACTTGGGAATAGTCGCACATCTTGATTGGTGTTGTTGAGAGTTGAAGTAGAGAGCGTGGACGTTCAGCCGAGGGTGAGAAGCTTAAACAAGATGTGATGGTGACAATACTCTCTGATAGGTTGCGGGGATAGTACAGTGGCAAAGGCGAAGAATAATGAGGAGGAAGAGGATGATCGAGAGGGCTTGAAGGATGACGATGCTCTACTTAACAAGCCACGGATTCAACGAGGATGATTACATGTATCATAGTTCGGAGTACTTGGCGATAGACGACGTTGGGAGGACAAGTAGCGGGAGACCGAGGCTGTGGCGGGACATCACGACTTATTTATTCTGTCTATCGAGTTCAAGCTTCGCCGGCTGCCAAGCCTGTCATCGGTACCTTAGTGTATACATACTTCGTAACCAATATCAACACATGCCGACTTGTACATTGGTTGGTACAAGGTAGATCTGGAGGCAGATCTGAAGGTAGATATGTACCACTTCGCCATTGTACAGTGTGTGGTGGAAGAAAGTAAGTAGTGTAGTCTGCTGGCCTGGGTGGCCCCGATGAGCCAGAACACTGGATCGCAGGGACAGGGGTGCTCGCGCGAGTCTGCGCGAGCAAACCTGGCTGTCGGACTTGAGTCTTTCATGCAGAGAAACTTTTGCAAACCGCACGCCGCTCTGGTAGCGTACACTAGGCTGGATGAGAAGTGATGAAGATGTGGAGAACACACGTCCAGCATAACATGTATCATGGCTGCGGTACAACTAACTGTACATACCTAAAGACCGGTAGTATCAATACGGGACACTCTCGATCCTACCTCATACCTCGTACTTTAAGTGTATGCATATTTGTATGTGTGTGTGTTATGTGCCTAGCTACCCAAAGACTTCACTCGGTAGGTATGCTGTAGACGTAGGATATCGGTGCCTTACTTCTCGGCATCTGTCTACATACCTATTAAGTGAATAGCTATAAATATACTTACCTACGTATGTTAAAGGCTAACCGTAAGTCTGTAGTATTGTGTCATCCGCCTTAAGGTTAAGCCCGATGTTTTCTAGTTTCAAGCTACCTTGGCTGTTCCTACTTTTTTTTCTTTTTCTTTCTTCCTCTCTCTCTCTCTCTCTTTCATTCCTTCTTTTCTTGTTGCCTGTTTGAGAATCAAGGATAAAAACTAGCTGTGCTAGCTGTCTGGTGCATTAAGCGGTGGCCCGCCGTCATGAGCAGTCTTCCTATCCCAACTCTGGCCTAGCATCGCGCTGTCTAGTGTACGGTAACAGCCGGATACACGTGTTCTGGCGGAGAGTTAACCCTACCGGGGGACAACATTTCCATTGCGTGACTGAGCACGCTTGACATCGTATTGTAATGTAGATACTACGTTAGGCTTAAGGTCTCTTGGATGGGCCACTGCGTTGGGACAAACCCATCCAACAGAACGGTAGGGAGCATCGCTGCATACAACCTACCCAAGTAAGTACAGTACCAGTGCCTATCGTGCTGGTAGGTAGTATTGTGCATGCATACATGTAACTGACTTGGTTGCCTGTACTTCATGGCGCGGTATAGCCGAAGAACCACTATTAAAAGATGTGTACAGGTATCTAGCTAGATGTATGTGTTCAGCAATGAGTCGATCATCTTGACGACAAGGTGACTGTAAGGGTAAGTTGTGTAGCTCATCTACTATCATATCAGCAACTCCTTTTGCACAGCATCACCACATACGAGCATATAAGGCATCCATCCGTCCATCCTGACTATAATAAATAGTTGTGCTGTTCCTGCATTGGCTGCTCCACGTGTGGAAGCGTGACAGGTAGGGCCCTTTCTCATACATAATCAATATCGTGACGCACATAAGCACAGTACTCTACATGGCATCCTGTATGTACTAGTAAAATGATGATGACCACGGCGAGCATGGCTCTTCTTTCTTTCTTGCCTACTTATCTAGTTACCTAACCTAGGCTCTTACATGAACTTAGTGGCCCACTAGGGGATTTGGAAGAGCGGATGAAGAGCCCTGAAGCTTTCTTAGCATGACATGGACACCCAGCCATTGAGATTGTCCAGCGTACCCAGACTCATGACTCGAGCCCCATCCCGCCGCTGTGGCTCCAAAGCTTCTAATCTTCTAGAAATTCTCTGACAGGTGCTAGTCTGGGTCGGAGTGGGCTGTCTCCCGGCTGGTCTCGCGACCGATGTTCCACTAACAGCGATCCCAGTATGCTAGGCGCCTGTGCTATTCCTGTTTCCGCTCTGTCTAATACAACACAGTGTCGTGATGCGAGAGCATTGCAAGGTTAACATGTCATACAGGAGCAGACACCGAGGGTCGTAAAGAAAAGAAAAATACAATAAAAAATACCCTAGTAACTAGCTTCTCATCAAACTCGATCGTCTGACATCTAATTCGCTGTTCGCGTCATACATGCTAAAGGACTTCATTTCTCTTGTTCCCCCACCAGAGCCCCCACCGTTCAGGCTAGAGAAAGACTGAGACAGACCTGAGAGCCTCAGAGACAGACCGAGAGGCTGAGCACTGAGAGACACACAGACAGACTGACTGACCTGATACAGAAACAGGCCGTGCGTGCGTGGTACCGGTAGTTGAGCTCGATCAAAGGACCCGAGCGAGCTAGCGTCATGTGAGACACACTCTTGGACGCACGTACTTACATACATGGTATGAGATGTAATGTATCATATCTCACATCTCGATCGTGTCACGATCCGAATGAACCTCAGAACCTGGAGCTGGGTTTACGTACATGATGCAAACATACCCCAAAGACCATGGCGACACGAATAACCGACCTACCAACCAATCATGCGACTGGTTGCTCTTTTCCCGTGAGCTTCTTGTCCTTCTTCTCCTTCCAAAATCGTCCACTTCTGTTTCCACCATTATCAGTCACCATGATGTGCGTGCCGCCAACATACATAGTACATGCACAGATATGTAGACAGACACGGATTAGACCGATGCCTCACCACGTGTTTAACACGTTCTGGCCAAGAAGGGCTCTACTGTATCGAGTTGGGCATGATGATCAATGCGGCGGCGCATTTCACGTCGACCCTCGCAAAATCCTTTGAATCACGTTAGGTAAAATTTAGCGTCAGTAGTGTTGGTGGTATTGATACCACATATAAACAGTCAAAAGTTAGAACTCATTCTCGAGCAGCCTCCCCTCTCCCTAGCGTACCGGAGAACCGGCAGCATACCTAGGTAATACTGTGTTTTAGAATTAGACGCGGCAATGTAAATTGCACCTATTTGGGTAGTGTCGTATATGGAGTATTTACTACAGCAAATTAGATGCTTTGCCTAACAACCTCGAATCCCCCTAACAGAATCAATCGTCATGATAGGTCATTGGTTTCCCACCTTTTTTGAGACAGGTTATGTTACCTACTAGTCAACCCTACCTATTGCTTTGGGCTCTATTATGTACGTTACCGCATTACCTGAGATTATAGAAACAACGCGCCGTTGGTATTCATCCTAGCAGTTATTGGTCGTACATTGCCATGCCAATAGAACACCTACCTAGAATAAGTAATCAAGATCCCGGTCATTTCTTAAAATGACGATGATCGCTTACGCTACACCAACAGTGAATACCTAGATAGGTAGTGTAAGTAAGGGGGTTCACAGCGCGCAGTTCTCACGCTCTTCCCCGCCAATGCCGGCTTGCGGCGTTCCCCAGAAATGGCAATCAGCCTCGAAGTTCGCTTGGGGGAAAGGGCCGAATTCTTATCGAGAGGAGCCTTAAACGGTAGGTGGAAATAACCTACGGCTCTTGGACATTGCGAAGTACACCAGAAACAGGACCAAAAGAAAACATTTCTGGGCTACACTACGTAAATAGTATACCTACATTATCAAGGTAGAAAACAAGAAAGGGCCCTGGACAAACGGCGCAATGCCTCTACATTCATGATCACCTCCCGCCTTTTGCCCCCGTTTGCTCGTCTGGGCACGCACGGCTCGCTCACGGACACCTACAGTACTGTCTGTGTGTACATGCAGAACGGAGAGCCCAATGATACAGGCGCTTTGTGACGTCAATTCCACCGTATTGCGCCATATCTCTGTGCAGAAGTGGTGTCAGGTGAATATTGAGATGGAAAAATAACGGCTTGCAATATCTCGCTGAAATATAGTCAAGAGAGTCCATAACATTCAATGCTAGATGGCAGTACATACGCCGAGATACGCTACGCATATTTGTGATTGTACAAGGTGGTAGGATTGTAGCATCGTGTAAGTAAAGCGTCAGGGTCTGTCAGGGCAGATCTATGGAAACAAAATGCGGGCGAGGCAGGATGCCGTCTGCACCCCAGTACACTACTGTATGTGTAAGACATGTCTCTATATCGCACTACGTGATATGGCAACGATCAACACACAATCCATACAGTACTGTGCACATACTTACATGTAGAGTAGGTCCCTACTCTAGCGCCAACTTGAATGCAACAGTCCCTTACACTAACTGATGAGTAATAATAACTAGATCTCGAGCTCGACCGTCTCCGACGCGGGCGTAGCTGAGCAAGTGAGCACCGTTCCATCAGCCTGCAGACCGCCAGAGACGGAGCCGCACGTCACTTTCGCTGCGCAACTCCCGCATGAGCCAGCACGGCACCCATAATCTGGAGTCAACCCCAACGACTCGGCTAATTCGAGCAGGGAGACGGGCTTTTCTTTTGTCCAGGTTGCTGTCACATTCGACTTGGAAAAGCGCACCTCGGCCCGCTCCACGTCCCCTAGCACCACGCCCGAAGCCGAGAAGGACTCGCTTCGGATCAGCGGCTCTCGCATCCCCACGCTCTTCAGACAATCCTTCATGGCCGTCTCGAAGTCAGGCGCGCCACAGATGGAAGCTGTGGAGAAGTTTGCCTCTGACTCCATCTCGCCACTGCCCAGCGGTTTCCATGTGAAAGGTGTGCCGACGATCTCATGTATCGCTGCCATATCCGGGCGGCCTTGACGATCGTAGTCTACCCCTTGCTTATCAGATGATTGCGGCCTGGTGAAGAAGACGACCTTGGTGAATGGTCTGTTCGCGAAACGGGGTATCTCATGTCTGAATGGGAAATTCTCGCCGTCTCGTACGACGTGTATCCAGACAGCAGGGATATCTTGCATATTCGGGTGCGCATCATGCGCCCTCATCATGGCGAGAATAGGGGTGATGCCAATGCCGGCTGAGATGTAGACCTGTCGCAGTAGAGAACTACGATCAAGGAAGAAACGCCCCGCCGGCGACCGAACCGAGAGAACCGTACGCACGCTGCAGGTGTCATGCATCCAGGTCGACGCCACTCCGGCTCTTCTGATGCTAATACGATAATACGACGGTTCGGCCTGAGACTCCCAGTCCGAGAGCGTCCAATTGCGAGTCGTGCCATCAGGGAGCTGGACGGTGAGAAACTGGCCGGGTGAGTAGCTCGCAAGTGGCTGTTCATCTATGGCCTCGAGGTAGAACGATTTGACGCCGCCTCCCTCATCGACGATGCGAGAGACGCGCACGTCGCGGAACCCTTTCCATGCGTTTCGGCCTTCTCGTTGCTTATCGTCCATAGTTGTGGCCTTTCTCGCGAGTAGCCATTTGTTTAGACGCATGAGCATCTTGTGGTTGAGAAGTAGATTGATTGTATCTCTTGTCTTGAGCGAATTATCGAAGGCGACCCTAGTGATGCTGGCGACGCTCAACGGATCGCCGGAAAAGCTCTCGTTCGAGACTTGGTCGCCGGGGTAGACTCGACCACTTGTGAGGACCTGGAAGTACACACCAACGCGACCGCTGTTGGCGAGGGTCGGCAGCCATGAGTCCTTTTGACCAAGGCGCCATGAGAGTTTCATACATGGGACTCGGGAACCACTTCAACAAGTAGTATATGTCAGTAGCCATATCGGTAGATGTTCGTTTTGGGTACAATAAGAATCTTAACTTGCTCACCACGCCTGTAGTCTGACTGTCTTTCCAACCCTCCAAATGTCCCCGATGTGAATGTCATCCTCCAACCGCACTTGATTCTTAAACCGAACTGCACGAGATAGAGTTAGTATTTTCATCTACGGGCGGACCATAGATGTACACGCCCAACCGCAGAGAGATATGGGCAGCTGAAGACGTATAAACGATGACTCACGTGTTATATTTTCTCCCCAACGACACCAGTCCCAAGAAGCTCGGTCAACACCCAGCTCCTTAGACCAATAGTCGTAGTGCTCCGCGAAACAGACGTATACCTGACCATCGTGCACCGCCGGCTGATTGTTTAGGATCCCAGATTCGTTGATTTCGATATAATCCGAGGATAAGGTCAAGGGATCACGGACGATGGATGTGTACAATTTGATACCGCCGACATTGACGAACTGGGGTTTTCCGTGACTGACGGCAACGACCTCCATCTTTATCACCAGCGTGGCAACAAATATAAACACAGATCTCACAAATTAACACTATCTTCTTGCCCGAAGCTGTATTTATTTCAGCTCGAGTTCACCTTGATGCCAAATACCGGCATTACCGGCAGACAGGTGGATCTCAATGCCCGAGTTTCAATCAGATTATCCCCGTTCGGCCTCGGCCTCCGGACGTCCATGTTCGGGGTTTTGTATTTGATTGATTTATGCCCGGCATGATCAGCATTTCTCGGCCAATGCACACGAACACGAAATCCGTAGCGAGTAAGCAACCATATACATTATAGCAGAGCATCCAGTCTCTAGTATACGACCAGAACCTTTACCTGTGTCCCTCCTATGATAGATGATTGAAAGTAGTATTTGGTGACTGCCCCCCCACCTTGAGGATATCTGGCTCTTCTACAAATGACCGCGTAAGTCAAAACCGGACCTGTCATCCAAAGTTGGCCCTTCCATCCATTACAGCCAATTCTTCACAGACTCCGATGTATTCGACTAGGTAATTCTCATAGACGACTTTCATGTGATATAATTTTATTTCATGGGGGCCAGTATGTCCGAACATTGATCCATATAACTCTTTTTCTCTATTATGCCTGAAACTGGTATCTGATAAACCATCAAATAATGCGAATTTGTCTGAACTTCCAGGTGATTAATCAGGGCCCGACAACTCTCGTGGTGTTAACATTCTGCCAGGAAACTTTCGTACACATGTCGCATCGCCCGTAGCAGGGATCCACCCGACATTATGCTAAAAACGTTGACGCCCAACTCCTTATACCGTTTTATACACGAGTATACGAATGGTCATACTCTGGGATACACCAAAAGACTACCCAATATACGTAGTTTGTATACGAGAACCCTGTGTCTCAGCTCGGAATCCACGAGAAACATGCAGACATGTCGTAAAGGAACCAACCCACCGTCTCCAGCATTCTCGTTATTCGAACATCCTCTCCCACAGAGAGCTCTCTGGATGGAATAAAGACGGTCGGTCAAGGGCACGAAGGACAACTTTGAAGCTGCTCGCCACCTTGCGATCATCCGACAAGGCGCGGTAGTTATCGATTGATCGACTGATTAATTCTTCGATGAGTTGATCGATCACCAATCCTGAAGGACTTTCCACTGGTCCTCGTACTTGACTCCCGCCCCACTAATCAAGTCGCAATCGCGGTGACCCCATTTCCGCCTATACACCTCCTTGCCCGCCTCGGTGAGGACCTCGATGGCTTCGGAGAATCCGGCGCTGTCATAGTAGAATGGCTCGCCCTGCATGAAAATAAGTAAGTATGGATTGAAATAGGCCAAGCTAGATACGATTAAAAACAGAGAGATAAGACAGAGAGAGAAAGAGGGTGTGTGTGTGCCTGAAATCGGCCAAGGAGGAAAGGGGTAAGGAGCGTTGAATGAGAGGCACTGACCTGTCCACCATGCTGTCCAGCCTGCCACGTATTCCGCCCACGCTCGCCATGTTTATAATGGAACATGGAATCCGCGACTTTGATCAACGCCTTCCAATACTCGACCAATTCCTCAATCGACTCGCGCTTCGAAGCAAGATGCCGCCGTTCCTTAATTTCCCCATCATCTTCCGCAGGCGGTGGCGGATTTGGATCGGTAAATTTCGGCGTGATCTTCGGATCGCGGTACAGCGCGAGGAGGTCGTCGAGGGCGACGGAGGTGTCGGTGACCACGCCGCAGTTAGCGTCGATCTGCGACCAGTTCCGCATGGTCAGGCGTGTGTACGTGTCGCAGTCCGTCATGTAATAAGGGATGAGGGTGTCCCAGCCGTTGATGTCCTCGAGGGCCCGCGGGTTTTGCAACGTGAGATGGTCGTATGCGAAGAAGCGCAGACCCCATCTGTCGTCTGTCGCCAGCGTGTGATTGAGCTCTTCGAGACAGAGCGTATAGAGACTCTTGTAGCCTGGCTCGCCTGCTCGTGCCGTGAGGTTCTCGAAGCCATTCTCATGTCCCAGGGCGAGAACGTCCACTGTAATGATCGTCACGAGTTAGCGCGCTGCTCACTCACTTTCCATAGGACCATTGCCACATCGAACTGAATTGTGTTGGGGATTATTTGCCTTCCTTGATGGGCAAATATAAGGCAGGAACAGCAAAGTAGTTATGCTAACCGCCCTGAGAATAATGGAAGGCGAGGATTGAACACTTACTATGGCTCCAGAAGTAATAGGGCCACTCGTGCGTGTAAGACAGCGAGAGATAAAAGTTCTGCAGCTGTGCGAAAGTGAGCAGAACCGGTGTTTGTATAATGTTGATGCCGAGTTTATTCTTAAGCGTCGTGTGATTAAGGTAGAAGGGATGCTGGAGAGTTAACTGGCCGCGTGCATTGGCCTGCTGCATGCCTGTGTTTTCGACGACATAGATTTGCTCGGGCGGCCAGCCTGCCGTGATATACGACACGACGGTCTGCAGCAGCATCGGCCATGACCGTGTGAATCCAATGACCAGCGGTGGCGCAATCTCCAGGCCATACTTCTTCCAACCGTCTTTTTCGGGGACATTATATGGTGGAATGGGCGGTGGTGTAGACGTCGCGAGAGCTGGAAAGGGATCTGATATCGGCGGCGCTATGTACGATGGTGTAGGTTTGTACTTGGGATGTGGTGGTCCTTTCTCCTCGTGTGTGATGATGGGGTCGATGTTGTTCGTCTTAAATCTGGATAGCGAGTCCTGGACTGAGCTGGTGCGCAGTGCAACGATGACGAGGATGACGATGCTGAAGAACAGGACCGTCTGGTATATCAGGGCCCTCGAACGTAACACCATCATCATCGATCACCCGAGGATACCTCGATAGTAGAATACAAGGGGAACGGTTTTTCTAGGTTGGCGGGTATGCCCGAGCTCCCTGGATCTTGTTTATACTGTTGTAAGTATGAAGAGAAGAGGCGAATCCCTGGACATCAAACGCATTGGTAGGTCGGGCAACGGCCCAGTCATTGGACTACGCCGTCTCGTCTTTTCTTACGGGGTTTTGTCTTTAATCTAATGCCCCTGCTACATATCACTCTGCCATGGGGGGACTACAGGGAGTTTTCCGAGAGCTGAGGGTGGGCGAAGCAAATAAGGCAAGAATGAAAGGATGCAAAATTAGGGGCGCTCTCATTATTCTCAACCAGGGAGAAGAGAAGGGGTAGTAGCCATGGTCCCGGGAATAGCACAAACACGACACGGCGTGCCTGGCGCACAAAGAACACGCCAAAGACGTCTCCAAGCTACCAATATCACCCCAACGTCACACTAGGTAGGATGGTCTTGAGGAAACCACGTATATAATAGCACATGTAAGAGTATAGAGAGAGAGCTAGGCACGGATGCGTCATGGTTTCCTTCTTGTTTCTGCCCTCGCGTGCTCTTAGGGCAAGGCGAGGAAGGTAGCCAAGGTAGCCAAGGTAGCGTAGAGATTCAATCACAGTTACGAAATCTCACCTGCGGATGCAACTCCACCAGCTAACATTAGTTGCTCCCTAACAAATGCGGCCCAAAAGGCCGGAGGTGTTGGCCCGCCACATATCCGGGCCAATTGGAAATCTCGGATAGGGCTGTGTCGCCGCATGTTACCTAGAAACAGGGCAGGGTGACAGATGAAACAGCTCAGTTATCAGGGTGCAGAACGAAATACGAAGCAAGGGCAGCAACAGTCGAGTATGCCCTTTGTAGATAGATTAGGAGAGGAGTAGGCAGTCTAAAACCAGACGATAACGAGGAAGGATGATGGTTGATGGTTGTGGGTTGATGGCGGGAATGAAGCCGTGTGACATGTCCATACGAGAATGTGATAAAGACACAGCCTCTAGGCAGCAGAATAAAACATAGGTTATTATCGATCCAATGATGATGATGATGATGATAGGGAGCTGTTGGCACTACATTAGGCAGGTCGTGTATACTTTACAAGTAGGTTAGATGCATGTCAGCAAGGAGATGAGGCTGTGCCGTTGAGAGGGACTGTGGTAGAGCTTCCCGTGCCAGACCCGTGCATCGTACTTTGTTTGTACTTTGTTGATATAATCCTTCTTGTCCAGCTTCTTCTTCTTCTTCTTCTCCTTATTATTCTTGCTCTCGCTCTTCCTCTTCCTCTTCCTCTCCTTCAATCAGATAATATGTGATGAGTGCTTATATGTTCAGGTATATAATGTTATAGGCTAGGTAGGTTTGTAGATCGGTAGATACAACACCCCTCCCCCACAGAGTTTTGTCCTACCACACTTCCAACTAGCGAGCCATTCCATTGTCCTTCAATCGTCGGAGATAGGCAGAGGAATGTTAAGTAAGAAGAGGATTCAACTTCATAAGTACGTGTAGCGTGTGAAAGGTCTTACTGCCTACTTACTCCGTACATGTACTTATCTACGCAAGGCATCATAGGCACGGATGCTCCTTTTAGTAACCGAACCGAGCTGAGCCCAAGGCAAGGTGCTCAATTAGTCCACAATAAGATCTATGATGCGAACCTGCATAGCCAACCCGCCAACGTCGCTTTTACCAAATTACCATGTACTTAAGCACTGTCCAATCGATAGCCTTTCCAGGATCGGAGCTGGGCATCTCATAAGTACGGCAAATGCTGGGTATTCTTGGTCAACACTAAACCCCGTATGGTCGTAGCCGACGCGCCGGTGCAGCCGCACTACAGTAGTCTGGTCACAACTTCGACCAACTGTGGATGCAGGAACGGATAGATATGCCGTGCTCTCGTATACCTAATTGTATAACCGTATAACTGTATAATTATATAATCATACGGAGTAGGTATGTAGGTATATGTATATATATGTATATACGTAGTATACTAGGTATATATTTGGCATCAGTTATGACTAGGTAGCATAAAAGAAGTGTTTCTCATCCACTAAATTAAATACATTTCTCTAAAAACTAGAACTCTTTTTTTTTTTTTTTTTTTAAATAAAACAAAACCCTGAAGCAAAAGCTATACACTAGGTATAGAAAAGTTATAAATAAAAATATGTTTCTCATAATATATCATAGATCACATATATTGATTTAGTGTTGACAGAAATCTAAAGCTCAACCTACAACTAGGTAATCTTATATCGCAACATATATATATCCTGATCAAAGTGCCACCCACCTCTACTGGTGTGTACCTAACCTATTAACTTGTATACCTACCTTTATTTTCCACCCCTTCTCTCTCCTCGCTCTGCTCCCGGCCTACATACTTACCTACCATATATACCTAGGTACCTCATTGGGGTTGGTGCTGGTGAAATGTCATATCTAGGTAGCCTTGCTGATATCCTAGGTATTACATAGTATGAGTACAAGTTGTCACGAAACTTACCAACGCTCACAACCACACCACATCGCACCTATCAACACTGATTAAATTTGTCTTTGATATCACTAGCCCGAGTTCTTTCCTCAAAATCGCTCCCCACCTGCCCGTCGGCCTACCTGTTACACGTGTAACCTCTGTGCCGGTTGAAGAATGCAGTTCGCCTTGCACTTCGGCTGTACGAAGGACCATTGCAGGCTGTTCATGACCTTCCAAGACATACAGGCAATATTGGGCAATATTGGAAAGTGAGGTTATACAGACTTCGCTTCTTGAAACAGACCCTAGAGACCCAGGCGGTCTGGGCTGGCAGATCATTTGTATATAGAGTCATCTCAAGCCACCAACAGCCGAGAAGGAGTTGGTTGGTCAAGGACTAATGCAGCCCTAGTTGATCATTGTAATCAGAATCCTCAGTTCCAAGCCCAGTTCAATCTGCCCTTGTTATACTTCCCCCCTTTTTTCAAATTTTCTTTCCATCCATTTCAAGCCGGTGTAAGACTAACGAGACACCCATACAACATAGACAAGTTGATTCCCAGTTTCTGGATAGGCGGCCGGTCGTCTCGTCGCTCGATCGTCTTGAATGCCTGCAATAGACGGAACGTGATCAAGGCCACTATGGGTAGTTCGCTGGCGTTAGTAATTCCTCTTTCACGTAAACGAGACGGGGGTTCAAGGAGCTCTGTATGCCATCGAGACATGCTAGTCACCTAGAAGGAGTTTTGTATTTCTCCTCTTCTATTTTTCTGCCACTGCAAATTGTCGTAATAGGAAGAGGAAAGTGGTCTTAGGGAATACATACTCTGCGTCAGTGCAAATTGCTGCCCAATACAGATGCGCGGGCCTGCGTTGAAAGGGAGGTATTCGAATCTGCGATGTTTTGAAGATTAGAGTGAGCTAGAGAAGGTTCAACGAAGATGGAGATGTAAGTAGAAAGGGAGGAAGAGAGATACACGCCGATACGACGAGACCAACCAAGCGGTACACATAAAACGAAGAAGGGTTAAAATATAAAAAGAATCCGGGGGAAAACATACGTAACCCTCAAATCCTCCCATCTCTCAGGCCGAAACTCATCCGCATCATCACCAAAAATGTCCTTCCGGCGATGCATGACCCAGGGAAGATATCGGAGATTGGTCCCCTTCTTCACGAAAACAGGGGCCTTGCCGTCGGCGCCTCCACCCACAGGTAAGACGGTATCGCGTACGGCTTCTCTCTGGTTCGAGGCCACGGGCGGATTGAGCCGCAGCGATTCTTTAAGAACCCAGTTAAGGTACTTCATGTTTCGCAGGTCTTCCCACGTCGGATCCTCTCGGCCCAGATCCCTGATCTCGGCGCGGATGGTGGCAACGATATCGGGGCGTCGCGACAATTCGAAGAAGAGGTAGGACAGCACGCTGGTTTGCGTATCACGGCCTGCTGTGAATATACTGAGAACTGCCCTCTTGTCAGAAATACATGTCCTGGGAGGAGGGGTAGAGGCGACAGGGAATCGGTTTCATCACGATACCAAAACCGCAGACCAGCTCATACGAAATCCATGCAAGCAAATTTCCACCCAAACATGAAAGGAAACTCCAACTCACGGTGATCACAAATAACCTCGTCTGACTCCCCCGACTTAAGCAACTCATCGAGGAAAACATACTTCCTCGCATCCACATTCTTCGCCGCAGCAGATCTATCGCGCACATCGCTCACAAAGCGCTTGACAAAAGCCCTCATAAAGTCCGAGTACTCGTCGAGCTCGGGATCAGCTCGCAACATGGTAAGCCAGCCCAGACGCGCGCGCCACGCAATCTTCTGCATCGCCTCATCAAAGTACCTGCCGAAGGTATAGCTATCCTGGGGAGCATCGCCGCCGAGGAGATCGGTCGATTGGCCGAGCACTGTTTTGCATTATTCAGTCAGTAATTACCAATCATTTCTTTAAAAACAAATAGTAAGAATTTCATTCAGGAGCATGCGTGCATGCAGGCGTAAGAAATGAGCACCAAACCCTATCCAAGGCGGAAAAAGGAAAGGAAATGAATTAACATTCAGGGTGGGTGAACGAACTGAAGTCAGAAATACTGTCCGTCGTCATCATAGAGAAGAGCGCCTGTAAATCAATAACAGGGGTGGTAGTAATAGAGGCTCGGATATGCGCGATGAGTTTGTTCACATGTCGGTCGATGCACGCGAGATCCGAGATCTGGTCTCGCACGAAGGCCGGGCGTAGGATGGCTCGAGAGTGCTGCCATTCAGCGCCGTTGGTTGTGAAGATGGAGTCTAGTTTTGTTAGTAAATTTCGTTCAATCGGATGGATGGCTATGGGCGTAGGAAATGATTGTATGCATATTACACTTGGTGGCATGAGTAGAAGAGGAAATACAAGCGAGCACTGCTCCTTGTCCTGCTACTACCAACATTGATTCTCCGTCTGCTGGCTACCAGCAAAAACACGAAAACAAGAGAGAATAGGAGGGATTGAGGGGATAGGTGTACAATAAAGATATGTTGAAAGCCTAACAGCATATACGATACGTTGTGTATGCAGGAATCCGTTCGTATGTATGTATGTCTCACTCATCTCATCTCATCTCGCCTCATCTTATCACGAACTTTTCAAGTCCCCTCCCCCCAAATTAAAGAACAAAAGGGAGGGAGAGAGAAGGACTGAATAAAAACTCACGTTTCCCAAGCACCTTCAAAAAGCTCCTAATACGCATATCCGGCAACGCCCAATCCTCGAACCTCGAAGAGAGCACGGCCTTGACATTCTCGGGCTCATCGGTCGTAATGCACGAGTTCCACTCGGGGAAAATGCCATGCACAAAGGTGTGTCCCGTATATTCAAGTGTCTCTCTTCTCGTATCGAGCATGACATTGTTTTTCAGTGTGCGCGCCGTCTGTATCAGGTAGCGAAGTCCGAGGATGTCGTTGGCTGGGTATTCTAAACATATCCAAGAATAAAAGAGGCGTTAGTCTTTTGCATTAGGTAGGTATGTACGTTCTAGACGTGTATATATATATGTGTAGGATATTAGATGCTCGCGGATTCACCTACTGTGACAAAGCAGTTAGCGCTCGCATCCATCCAAACCTCATATCTTTCTCCCGCCCGAGTTCTCACCACAACAATTTCGATGATATAGGAAGGTAGGTAAGTAGAAAACCTACCTCGGAACAGGCTTACACCCCCTCCTCTCCGCATCACCATAATACTCATGCTCGTCGCGCAGAGGTCCAAAAACATACGCCCCTAGGACAACAAGGGAAGCGATCTCCCCCAGCCGTACATGTTGTCCCTGGACGACTACACTCACGACCTGTCTCGCCGCCAGGACGACGGCAACTAGAGACGCGACGTAGTACCAGATATGCGCGGCGCGCGGCAGCGCCTCGACGGCTTTGCGGCCTCGTAGCATGGCTGACGATACCTCGCGCATCCGAAATGTCCTCCTCTATGCGAACGCGGTAAGTAAGTATGTATGTAGGTAGGCAGCCTAGATATATCAGGTACCCAGGGTATAGGTTGTATAAAAAGTGAATTCCTCAAATTCTCGGCCCAGTGTGTCTGCCCAGCTCCCGTAATAGCCCACTTGATCGGTGAGTGGTGAGTGGCACAGGATAACGCAAGGGCGAGATAACGAATGCTTTAGTATACAATCAGTACCGCCATCCCAAATCGTCAAAAAACAAAGAGACAAAGAGTACCTACCTACCTATCTATCTATCTGGTACCTATAAGCCGAGAAAGTGAATGAGTCAATGAACGAATGAGTAATCGGGTGAGTGACTGAGTAAACTGAGTGAGGGGTTATCGAGGTAAGATGTACAAGACGGCATGGCATCCCCATTGGGGTGTACGATGCCTAGGTAGGTAGCCAAGTTGACATATCTCTTTCAGGTCAGATTCGCTGACATGTGATACATCTCAACACCTCACATCAATCAAATCATAGTCGTCCAAATCAAAACCACGTGTATTGGTATCTCTATAACTTTTTTTTTTCCTTTTAAAAAAAAACAAAAACAAAAGACCATCACTTCTATCTCTATCTAGGTAGGCCCGCCTCTATTTACCATCCTCTCTCTCTCCCTTCCATCATCTTTTATGTAACCTTCATTCTTTTTTTCTTCTTCTCTCATCTACCTGTAAATAACCCCAGTTTCTTTCCAATTTCATAAAAACATAAGTTCATAACACAGATAGATATCATCTTTCATTCGTCAGCTTTTTTTTTGGGTTGTTGCAAAATATACCTTCAACAACATCTCATTCAGGTCTGTCTGAGCTACCTAGCTAGCCAGCCAGCCAGTTCATTCATCCACCAAATGTTGTGACCGACTCGCCCACGTCGAGTTTGCATCTCCATCTAAATGCATGGCGGAAGTGCAGGACGGTAATGATTGGAAGAGGGCATCGACAGATCTTCCATCCGTCGTTGCGGTAAAGGAAAAGTGTAGGAGAATAAAACAAAAGACACCATGCCCTCCTCGTGTATGTGAGATATACATGTGTGTGTGAAAATACAAATGACGCCACCTTCAATGCAGTGCAATGCGACCAAACCAAAAGAAAAATCAAAAAAGGAACACGGGAAACAACAGAGGTCGGCCGATGCTGACCGGGCCTCCCCAGTTCACCCAGGCGTCCTTCGCATGCTAAATGACGTGTCTAATCATGATCGTAACCGCCGGGGGGTTTCCTCGCGGCATATTTCGTGAAACAACAAGACCCGACCGAAATTCGGACTTGTACATCTAATAGGCAAGACCAATGCAGATCTGCGCAATGGTGCTCTCATGATCAATGCGATCCAAGGAGCCGTTGTCGCATGGCGTCGACAACAAAAATGCGAATGCAAAACATGCAGGGTATCTCAGAAATGAAAGCAGAAACGAGAAGCAGAGTGTTCATGCTGAAGGCCGTTATCGTCGTTGGTGGGAGGAATCCAGCCCTTAGAAAAAAACAAAGCGACACCTCTCGAGGAATTCCCTAGATCAATGTCTCTTCTGGTCGTTGTTGCCCGACGTAGTCTTCGCACCCGATGACATGTGGTGGTGCGGGTGATGGTGATGGCGGTGCTCTCCGTGCTGATGATGGTGGTGGTGGTGATGACTGTGGTGATGCTGCTGTCGCATCCTCTGACGGCCCCGGCGCTCTTCGTGCTCTTCCTCCAGGGGGTAGCCGAGCGTCTGTCTCTCCTCCTCGTACCACGCGCTTAGGCTCTTCCCGCCAAACATGAGATCGTCGTCATCGATCACAATGGGCTCCATCCAGGCATGAGCAGCGTGTTGCTCATCTGATACTTGGACATCGGGGAGGTAATAATACTGCGCATCGTCTGGCGGCGGATGGATCGGTGCCGTCGTGGTAACCATTTTGAGAGGGGATGGAACGTGGTGACTCTGTGGTGAGGAAGCCGACTTCGGAGACCTGTGTAATGCCTTTGGCGAGTGGTGCGTGGGCGATGGCTGGACGTTGGGCGAATGCAAGCGATGGCTGTGCTGCGATGTCGGCCTGCTTGCGGACCTCTGTGACTGCAGGTCGTCGTGCTGGTGCTCTTCCTGGTGTTGTTGTCGATGGCGATGACGTCGTATGGTATGGTCTTCAGAGAGACGCGGGCTATTTCGTGTCATGGGCAAGCCGACTCTGTAGGGTTGACGTGGATAATGGTGAGCTAGAAGAGGATTGTGTTGTGAAGGGGTGGCGAGACAAGGGCTAAAACCTTATATACTTGACAGGTGGTGGGGTTGTTGACTCAGACATAAGAGGGAGCAGAGGGGGTGAGTGGTGTCTCGGATCGTCTATGAATTGATTGATTCCGGCTTGTCGGTGCGACGCGTGGCAGGTGACGGTTGGGTAGTATCGGCAGAGAGTTGTCTGGTGTGGTTGGTGTTGTTATTGTTGGTGTTGAGGGTGGTGTTGGCAGATGATAACTCGTGTTTCTCCTCCTACAACATGACAAGAGGTTTGTGACAGATGTTCAGAGAGAGAGTGTGTGTGTGTGCGTGCGTGTGGTTGGTTTGTCGCTTTGATGGCAGGACGGAGGTTACAGAAGCGGTCAGGTTCGACGGGATGGTCGATAGGATGGTCGTCAGGATGGTCGACAGGATAAACCGAGTGATGAACGGAGTGGAGGGATCACGGCAGCGTTATATGCACATCAGCATCCGAGAGAAGAGGAGGGGCAGAACAGGTGGGAGAAAACAGGGAAGGCTCAGGAGATTGAGCGGAGGGGAGGGAGCAAGGGGAGAGAGATGCTATGTATGTATGTATGTATGTATGTAATATGGCCGGTTCAAGATAGTGCCATGTGCTAATGGCGAGCCGAAGAAGGCGGCGCGGCGGAAGAGGCGAAATGGAAGGCTACCTGTGTCTCGCCTGTATTATTCGCACATGTATTGGCACATGTGGATTGTTAGGCTGACGCGAGAACTGGGGCTCTGACGGGGCAGAGGGAAGAAAGTGGGCTTGCCGAGAAAGTAGGTATCGTCAACTTGTCTGTCTGTCTGTCTTGCTTTTTTGCCTCTCCGTTTTCTTGTCTCCGTTTATAGGTACCGGGTACCTACCCACTGTAACCTACAGGTCTTACAGCGATTGACAGGCAGGCTGTGTACCTACCTCTGACCTACTGGACAGGGCACTTTTACAGGTAGGTAGGTAGTACAATAATACGATAGGCAACCAATAGTGGGGTGGGGTTAGGGGTGGGGTACTTGCCTACCTAGGTACCTTAGGTACCTACTGTAGGCTGAAGGGTGGGAGGAAGGAGGCGGGGGAGAAAGAGCCGAGACACTCTTGAAGCATCCCTACGCCTCTCTCATAAGTAAGTAGACCTAATGTGTATTTATCTACCCACACATGTACCCACTTACTTGAATATATATATGTATATATTTTGCTCGATAGAGGGCTGTATCAAGTACTTACACAGTACCTATATAGGGCTTACAGGTCAGTTGGTAGGTACCCGCCTGTAGGTAGCCTTCCTTCAATACTTGGCGGATACGGTAATGCGGGGGAGGGGGTGGACTTCCAGAAGGGGGAAGTCTTGATCAGCAGGGGGCTTCGCTGTTGGAACGGTTGGAAAACGGATGATAACGGAACACGTAGACAGACAGACAGACAGATAGACAACACATTGTTCTTCACACATGCATACACACCCTGACACACCTCTATCTCTTTTCCTTCTTTCTTCGTCCTCTATCCTCGAGAAAGGTGTTGTTGTGGTATATGACACGTCAATTTTTCACATCTCGGGCCAACTCGGGAGAGATTTATTGGACACAAGCAGCATGCATGTCACACATAGACTCTTTCTCTCTCTCTCTCTCTAGCTCTGTGCCGTAAGTTGTAAAAATTAGGGTAGCAGGTACAGGAAACAAAAAAAAGCACGGCCTGAAGAATATATCCGGAACAACAGGCGCGGCTGCACGGACTTCTTGTGTCCTCAAGTTTAGTATCAACCGAAGAAGAAGGAGGGCGGGACGGAAGAGAGAAAAGCGAAACAGAGAACAAACAGCTTTCCAGAAAAGAAAACAGGCAGCAAAGGAGAAGGTACCCGAGATAAAAGCAAAGAGGAAGATACGCATGTAAGTATGTAGGTATAGGTATAGGCATGTAGGCAACACAGGTAATCTCGAACTAGACATCTGGCATATTAATTGATATCAAGAGTCCAACTCTCTTCTTTGCATACTCTGGCATACGTACAACATACAGTACACACATACCAAGCCGTTGTCTTTCTCCTTGGGGATACGATCGACAACGCACCGCACTGCGAGACGTACTTAACAGGGACTCGACTGGCCTCGGGTGAATTGGCATGTCCCTACCCTACTACTAGATGAACAATGCAGCAAATGTCGGCATAACGGCCGAAACTCACTCACTCACTCACTCACTCACGCACGCACGCAAAGCAAAAGAGCGAGACAAATAAGCAAGGGCAAGGGCAAGGGCAAGGGAAAGAGAAGAAGAAAAAAAAAAAAAGAAACAGCGCAAGCAAGTCCGAAAGAAGCACAATCCATGCTTTGCTCCGTTGTTCGTGTTGGACGGACCGCGTTGGTTATTAGCTACCTCCCTACTACATAAGGTCTACTAGGTATTGTTATTCCGTGTCACGCCCCGGCATTCCCAAGCAGGTAATCGCATAGGTCAGTCATTTGGCCCCGGACAGACCCGGACAAGCGGCCGAAGATGGATCACACGCCAGGAATCAATCGCCTTACATTGATCTAAGTATCTATCTATCTCTATGGGTGGCGGCTCAGGTGGTCTCCGTATCTGCGTACCTCGATACTATTCGTAGATAGGTGGATAGATATATAGATAGATAGGTAATGATGTGATATGTGCCTACATACCTACCTATGTAGGTAGGTAGGTAATGAGAAGCATTTCGGTCACGGTAGCCCTGTAATAATTATCCCCTTCTTTTGCAATATGCCACACCTTCGGCATAACCTCAAGTGCCTACATACCTACTACAAGTTGAAGATATGAACATGCCCGCACACCTACCCTACAGAGGTAGGCTTACCGGAGTAGGCACTTAGTGTAGGTAAACACACCAATATACAGATTCATATAGGTAGATATGTCAGTTCAAAATCCAAAACTAGGATCGTTCGTCTGACCACGTTCTCCATCAACGTTGTAGTACCGTTCACTACCGACAGGTAAAAGGTAGCGAGCGCATGGGCGCGAAAGTTCCGACGTTTTTTTTTTTTCTTCAGCTCAGACCTTTTCTATCATAGCCTCAGAAACAACTAGGTTAGGTAGACCGCCCTGATCTAGACTTGCATGGTGCCGTTTTCGCGTGGCCATCGTATTCCAATCGGGGACGAAAAGAGCTGAGACGGGGCTGGATGGAGTTGGACCTCTTGACGGCCGAGGCCTAGACCGAAGTCACGGTTATCCACTTGTATCTTTCGGCGAAGTCGACGATAAATAATTACATGCCTATACATAGATAGTAATAGACGAGGTTATGAGATGGGTTAGATGCCCCGAGATGCCCCTCCCCCAGACGTTTTGATAACAGCCTACTACCTACCTACCTACACTAAAATATTTGCACGTTTCCGCGTTTCCATGTTTCCACTCACAACCCACAGACCATCAAAACGCCTCGTTGGGGCGAACCAAAAGCCGCCCTGCAGACAGACAGACAGACCCAGCGACCTATTGTTTCCCACGAGGCTTGTACATAACGTCTGTCTACGTGTACTTCTCACTGCCATCGAAGAAGACCTGCAGTCGACCAGCCTATTTCTTCACCTGCAGATGGATCTCGTTTCAGGTCACGGCTCCTTGTGTTAGAAGCTAGCTCACATCTACACTACCTCCTAAGATACCTCGGATACCTACCCATCTCACGACTTTGACAGGCTGCTCGGTTTGGACACGGGAGACAGACATGCAATGGGATGCGTGAATGGGTGTGCGGCCTGCAATCCCCTTGTCGGATCGTCTCAGGGATTGCCGATACTTACTTACTTCGTACACTTCACCTCTCTCCTTCTCCGATAAAGGACTTCCGGAGCTGTATCAGAAGACTTTTTCTTTCTTTCTTTCTTCCTTCCTTTCTTTCCGTCTTGTCCTCCCTCTACGCTAAAGGCCGGAGGAGAATTACCGGATTATTCCGAGTTCGACTCGCGCGGCTTGAGGCATGCTAGTAAATCAATCACGATTCCGTATTATTCTCTACACTACCTGTGGTAAATCCTTGGCGTCTTGCATTCTTCAACCGTCAAACTGATGACACCGTACCGTTCTTGCTCACCGACGTTGCCGCGCGTTCGAATTCGAGACTCGTCCGAACGAAGAAGGGTCGCCAAATATTGCCTGTGCAACACGAGGCTGGACCAAGCTCTGACTAGACCCTGACCAAACTCCGAGGAACGTACATGGTAGGCGGCACAGAACACTTCAGCTTGGCCGCATTGGGCCATCGATGCCTCCATCGATTTACCCAGCTAGCCACATGGCGGTCGATGCCGACGCATGCATCACCTATACCTACTTATGCATCGCGCGATCGATATCTTACCTACATACCTACATGTTTAGCTGTCTACTGTAGGTAGGTAGGTACCTCTTTTTTCTCGATGTGTGGTTCGTAAGTATCTCTGTTGATTACCTACATATCTACATAGGTATGTAATTTCTACTCACGAACCATCAGTAGTGCCCACGTCAGTAATTAAACATAAGATAATACAATACTACCTACGTCTCCAACCTTATGTAGCTACCTAGGTAGGTCCTTACTATGCGAATACTACTGTTACCCCGATGGCAATGAATGGGTTTCTGGAACGCGACGAGCCGCACATAACTTCCCTGGCCTATTTCCCCAATGATATATTTTCAATATAGTGTAGCTATTTCTGTATCTTGCCAACGCAACTCGCACACGCCATCCAATGACAGGGTAAGCTGACACATGATTGCTGACTACATGGTGTGCCGATACTCTAGATTAGTACCTCAGGGTCTTTCCGCGATCGGTATCTGCATCATCGACGATATAGAAAATCTATAGATAATACTACCAACTTATAGATTGGTTACTTAACTTAGCTACCTACCCTACTTATTATGTGCGTACTAATACTTGGTCATTCGTGCTATCCTATATCATTACCTATCCAATTATACTCCATTATAGTCGACATTCCATGAATCAATCAATCCATCCATCTCAGACCGCATATCTCGGCTCACGCTCTACATGGTCCTCTCACGCAGAATAGCCCTCGTGACCAAGGAAATGCCCACTTAGGTATTACTAACATACTACACTGCCCTGCCCTGCCCTGCCCTGCCCTCTTGTTCGTTCGTTCGTCTTATGTGATCCAACAAACACCGAGCAAGGTGTGATAGGCGAGTAATATCACGTCTTAAACGGTCCATCAACGTCTTCCAACAATGCACTCATCTACCTCTCTACTTAATTATTGATTTTCTTGTTAATGCACGCGATGCCATGCCATGCCATGCATGGGGCCCGACAAGCCCACGGCTGATCTTGGCCAGATCTTGTATTACGACAGGTACTTACCTACATATCTTTCAACCTACCATCCTCGTCCTCTGTTGCCGAACCTGAGATTATCATCTACTTCGTGTACCTAATCAGAAGGAATGGACACATGGATGCAACGTCTCTTTGCTCTTCTGCTACGTTCCTGAATGAGACAACCAACTTCGTGATTCATCCATAACTCTACGCCGATAAATACAACACACAGTACAGTAGGTATACACATAGATCAGAGATGCAGAGCCGTACATACGTAATCAACGCCCTATCAAAGCCTCCGACAGCCCGAATCTTTCTATTCTCGGTTCTATTTTCCACTTCCACCTTTCCACCAAACTAACTCAACCCACAGGGCTAGGTAGGGCAGAGTAGGGGCATCTCTACATAGGTAAGCCTGTCAGAGCCTGACTACATACGTACGTAGACTATCGGTAGGTCATGTTGCTTCCTCGCTTCACAAAAAGGGGACCCTACCTGCTACTACTATGTCGTCATAGTGGGAATCAAGGGACCCAGAGAAAACTGCAAAGCAAGAACCAAGCCAAGACGGCAAACGCCCGTGCCGTCGCCGCAAGCAAATCTACATGCCAACGTGATGGATCAACAGGTTTCGACAGAAAAGATATCAAGGCTTCTATTATCCCTGCCTGCAGTAATTAGCCTCGGGGGAGATAAAATACCCTCGTAAAACTCCCCAAAAAGGTACAAAAAGAACGTTAGCGAAAAAAAAAAAAAAAAAAAAAGATGAAATTTCAAAGACCGAACAAACCGACCGTGGCGAACAATGTCGTATACAAGCCATAACTCAGACATCAATCAATACAACATAAGCACATAATATGTATTACCCCCTAGCTCACCGACACAATGACATATTGACATACCATACCATACTGACGACGCTGACCATAACGCCAACAAGCATACATAGAGATAAAAATCACAGCCGTCATAACCGTTCCGCCCCAATCCATCCAATCCAATCCAATCAATACCTGTCTACCTCATCTTATATCTATTTCCTCTTGATTTACCAAGACCGGAATACATACCTAGTTAACCACACAACATCGCATCGCATTGTATTGCATCGCATAGATATAATATTATATCATGATTACATTCTCTATTATATTCAAACAGGAACACAAGTAGATCACTACCCCATAAACAGCAGGATTCCGAAATCAACATCATCATCATTATCATCATCATTTCAAACAGATCAGACAAGAAAAACCAGGATCTGCTTCAATGACGTCATATGCGGCTCCTCGGTCCCCGAGCCCCTCCCTCCCCTCTGTCTCTCTCTCTCTCTCACCACCGACTACTTCACTTGCTTGTAAATCCCGGGGCCCAGCTTCGGTAAGTACCTAAGGTGCATAGATAGCTCGATCCATCCATCCATCAGGCTGTAATAGTACAATTCAACACTCATCTGAACAAGTCTTCACTGCCTGTCAGGGGTCTCAGGGCAGGGGAACAAAGAGATACATTGTACATAGTCAGGGAAGTCTGAATGCCTTCAGACTTCTGACCTTTTAGACCTTGTGACACAATGAGAGTCTTACTGTATACCTTGTACAAGCCTTCTGACACTGCCCTCTAGGTAGATAAACCATATCAACATCAAAGTTATATATGTGTCAAAACCCATATGAAACCCCCGGAATAAACATGATATAACAATGTAATTAATTCATAAATATTTCATAACAACGAGGTCGAAAACTACACCAACCAAACCAAAAGGTTTTGCTAGTAAGCAGTAAAATAAGTACAATACAAAATTTTCAAAAAGGTGAAATGAAAAATACCGCCCTTTTCTCCTCGTCTCGCTCATGGATGGCAACCTCTAAACCATCTGAATCTCCGTTAATACCAAATAACCTTCCTTTCCTTTCCCCTTCCCTTCCCACTCCAATTTCCCCTGCCATCTTTTAATTCCCCGTCTAATTTCACATCATATCCACCCATCGTGTCATGTCCATAATGTAATGTAATGTATATATATGTAGAAACGTATAATCCAAACCGGGAGAGACTGACTTTGCTTCCTCTTGTACAAACCAAAATGCATGTGAACCCTCATCGAATCACTTCCATACCCGTACTCAACCCGCTCAATATCTCGTACCGTCTTCATTCAATCGTAGTTCATTCCAATCCTCTGAATCTCCGATTAAACTCCTCCACAGCAACAGCGACCTGACGATAAAGGAACGTCCGTCCGCTTTCTTCACCAATAGGGATGAAAGGCCCATTCGTCCCGCCGCGCAAGATAATACTCAGACCCGTGCGCTCTTTCGCAATGGTCTGCACGTCTTGCAGCGGGACGTCCCATTCCGCGCTCAGCTTCCTGCTCCTGATGAGGAGGATCCGGCTGTACGTGACCATGACCACCATGTCTTCCCGCGGTAGCTCGATGTGCGCAATGTAGTCTTCGTTGAAGTATTTTCCGTTGTCTACCTGTTTGAGCCACGACTGCCCCAGGGACTCGCGCTGATTGTATGGGCGCACGATGCCGTCCACCGAGATGAACCGCGCGATACGCACCCGGTCGAGTTCTGACCCGTCGAACACGGTCGTTGTGTTGCGGATGCCCTCCGAGACATTGGACGCCAGGTCGAAAACGCCCACTGCGGGTTTCGTGGCCAGTCCGATGAATCCCTTGCCGACTCCTTTGAAGAAACCAACGGCACCCTCTTGTTCGGCACCTTCTAGTGGCTTACGGGCCACACCACCGATACCAGAGGCCACCGAGGTGAAGAAGGAATTCGCGCCCGCTGTCACTCCGAATAAGGCATGCTTGGGACGGTTGCGGGCACGCGTTATACGACGGCGGTCTTGGAATTGCTTGTCGAGAGTCGCGGCTGCCAGGCCTTTGCCGAAGCTGCCCGTTACTTTGGAGAATGAATCTGAGAAACCATAGACTGACTTCTTGACGAAGCTAGCGGCACCCTTGGCGATTCCTAGGCCCAGATCTTCAGGCTTGTCCGACATGATCAGGCCTTGGTAGGGTTCGTAGAAAACATCCGTGATACCACTGCTGATGCTGTTGAACAAGCCGACTGGATTGCCGAGGAAGTCGGCGCTGCCAATGATCTTGTGGACTTGGAAAAGCACTTCTTGGCTGTAGTGGTTGGATATGTTTTGCGTAAGCACGGGGACGGAGACTCTGGCGTTCTCTAAAAGCAGCGCATTCATTCGTATTGGAGCATCGTTGACGTTCCCGATCGCCATGGTCATTACATTGACGAAGAACATGATGGGATTTCGAGATGACGTTTTGTCTTCAATGTTAACGCGCTCCGTGCGCATGAACGAGAGGTCGAGCTGCATTGGCTGGATGTTTAGCACCTCGAAATAGATGTCTTGCCCGGATTGTTCTTGCTTGGGTTCCGGAATATCAATACCCTCATCACAGAGCTTGCCTTCATGCGTCTCGGACCACGAGGCACCAGGGACCTTGGAGAAGTCTAATACGGCATAGATAAAGTCCTCGTCCAGATCGACGGTCATCTGCTGTAGCAGTAAGGTGGCATACTTGACGTACAACACACCGTAGCTATCATCCTTGACTCGGGTGACCATGGCATGTAATGATGGATGAAGTTCAGTCTCTTGCGCTTGTTTAGGCACTACACTGGGATAAAGAATCATAGGGAATAGGCCACCATAGAGTTGATTGTCGATTTGTATCCACTTGATAGAGGTACTGATGGTTTGGTAAAGGGTCGACTCGTTATATCGAAGGCTGATATCTCTGAAGGTGATATATGCCAACTCCTTCATCTGCTGATTGATCAGCGATATCCCTATCCCCGATAGTTTCAATGCGGCTTGGAACGTGGTCTCAGTGTCCTGTTTCTTGACCTCAAACCCGCTTGTACTAGCACCGCTCTGCGACTTCTGCCTGTAGAGACTCTTGCTGGGTTTGTAGTTGGATAAGATCAATGTTTGTGTCGGGCCGTCTGCAGCAACACTGATGTCGATTATCTTCTGAGCACCGGCTGCGCTGACAAACCTCATAGGAATTTGATTACCGATCTCGGCCAGCTTGACATGCCGCTCCTTGCCAAAGGCACTTATTACCACTTCTCTAAATTTGGCAGCAGGGAAGTCCCAAGCGTACGGCATGATACTGCGTGGAGGCAACCGGTATCGAACCGGCCGCCAGCCTGAGCGGTCTTCGACCCCATCTTCGTCTACGTTGGGGTTGGCTTGGTAGAAAGTAAACTCAGTGTCACTTTCGTTGCGCATCGAAAACGGCCAGGCCTTCTTCTCTACGCTAAGATGAAGAAATATAGTAGCATCTTCCATCAAGATCTCAACTCGTATTAGTCGCTGACGTTGTCCAGCTTTAGCAATCTTGACGTGCGTAGTGCCAAGGTCTGATATATTCACTGGCGACGACCATTGATTGTCCAAACCTGGGAAACACAGTGCTATTTGTTTCGTCTGTGATTTTTGGAGCCAATAGAGGGGTTGGAGAGCTCCAGGTTCCAGTGTCATGATGTTGGAAGATCTCGGCTCTCTCACGTTCACGACCTCGCCGACCTTGTTTTTCATGACGAACCTCGGTGCAAGGGTGACGACCTTTGTAAGCTTGTATTTTCCTTCGCCAGATTCGATTGTAATTCCGACGTGGAGTTCCGACTGCTTTGTAGCAGACTGAAGCGCCACATCGGTTGTGCTACCAATGGCATCGAAACTCTGGGGTTTACTCCACTCCGAATCGTCGAACTTCAAGAGAGCACGATTGCGTTGATCATCGCTCCCGAAAGAAAACATTAGCGGTTGTGCTTTGGGCCGCTCCTGGTTTGAGGCGCCCGGCTGTGCAGATTGTCCAGCAGCTCTCTTGGCCTGTTGTAGAAATTGTTTCCCTCGTATAACGACATCCAGGCCAGTCTTGTTCAGGATCACATAAGGGCTGAAGACCGTTACTTTGAAAGCCCCACCCCCATTTGGAGTTTTGAGGTAGTGAAGTTTGAGGTGTAATGGCAGCCCTTCGTCGTCCTTACAAATGAGTTTGTTTTCCTTGCGAAAATCCTCTTGAGAGCCAGGGTTGATGATAGCAAACTCGCTAGCTCTGAACGCCGTGTCTTGCATATCCACGCTTAACAAGAGTAGATGTGAGAGCTCTATCACGTGCACTGGACTGACGCCGCCCTTTCTAAGGAAATTAGTCCAGTCTCTCTTGGTATTCTTGTCATAGATTCTGTATTTGAAATCGTATGGCAAGAGATTCTCTAGGACTATCGGCGGTGACAGCTTCAACTTCATGTATGGATATTTCCTATTGATAGTCAGAAAACGCTACTTCACTTCTTCATGAAAATATTTACCCTGTAAGGAAATGACTTCTGTTATAGTTGGCACTGAGCTGGAAGTAGAAAGGATCACCGTTTTCTCCTTTGCAGACCAAAGTGCGCGTCGGCCTCTTTAACAAGTCTTTCCACCACAAATGCTCAGATGACCATGAATAACCAAATCCGGAATCGGGACGAATGAGAAGAGATTGGACGTAAGCAGCCGCAACTGGAGCGGGACGGCTCTCGCCCGGCGCGATCTTCTCAATCTTAAGCAGATGGCCTTCCTGGGCATCATAAACCCCTAATTCAATGGGTATCTGCGTCTCATTCTCCACGACGAGAGGTGACCTCAAAGTCACGTATTTGATATTGTCGGCACCGAGGCTAACTTCCACCAGGAGCCGATGAAGAGTGTTATCCATCTTTGGCCGCAGACTATAGAGAAACTCTCCCTCACGATTGAGTGTGATGTTTTTCACCGCATCAAAGCCGCTTCCCTCGATCTGAACGGTAACACTGTTCGCCGTGGTACTTTCGGACATGACGTTCTCGCGCATCTTCTCCCATTGTTCAAAACTCCAGGGAGCCTCTTCACCATCTTCCAGTTTGAGAGATATGCTCTCCTGGTTGCTGAGCGTCTTGGCCTGAACTACCACGTTGAAGCCTGTGTAGTTCCGGATCTTATATGGCGCTTCTACTCCTCTGGGTTTGCCTAAAATGTCCTCGTCTTGCGTAAGGAAGGCAAATGATTTTGAAGCCAGTGCAATGGTCGCTGTCGTGACTGTCACGTCAAATGTTTTCCTCGACGTCAGGTCAACGGAAAGAAGCCCGGTACTCTGCTCTCTCGCAATTCCAAAACCTACTTGCCACGGTTCTAGCAGGGGTTCCCAAGCAGATTTGGCAAAGTTGTAGACATTGATATACATGTCGATAGCGGTCTCTGCTTTGAGGTTACTCGACCAGTCTGCTGCCGATGCTGTGAAATTCTTTATGCTTAAGTCAAGAATTGGCAGCTCGTGAACATCACCAATCAACACGACACGCATACCTTCAATGGTAGCGGTTAGCTCTTCGTGGCGCTGCGGCGGTTTACTGACATCATGCGGCCGGCCCGCAGAGTCCCTCTGGGTCCTATGGGTCATCGTGCCAGTGCTCTTGGCTGTCCTGGATTTGGAGGCAGCAATGGTGGAGTTGGCCTTTCCGCTAGCTGAGCGTTCCTTGAGACTACCAGGGCGCTGGCGTTGGCCGTCCTTCTGTGTGGCAGTATGGTGGTCTTTGCCCTCGTCTTCTTCTGAAAGCTCAGAGGCTTTACCCACAATTTGAAGTACCAGAAGGATATCTCGAAGGGAAAGCCGGAGGATAAGCGGTTCAATATCGACATGTATATTGGTAAGACTGGGCCGTGAACTATCCATGTAGACTTGAACAGAGAAGTCATCCAGGACACGTAGTCGAGACTCATCGAACTTGTCCATGCGACAGAGGAACATGCCGACCTGCGAGACTTGAAAAGTGAGCGAATGCTGTTGTGACAAAAGAACCTGCTTAGTTCTGAGCACAATAGCTTCTGAGCTAGAGCTAAGTGGATTCGCTATCAGGATGACTTGCGCATCCACAATGTTGAGGCGGAATGCAACATTCATCTTAGGCTGTTGTGACGTCTCTGCATCTAGTAGTGATGTTCGAGATTCAGTTTCGGGCTGCTTCCCAGTCCATTGAACCTGCAAAGATTCGGTATCTGATATATCTGGTGTTTCTGTAGGGCTCTCCATGATCTCCTGAACTGGCTCATCGGTCTGCAACCCAAGTGTGATAAACTTTTGTATGGCAAAAAGATAGTCCAACGCAAAGATAATCCTCGGACTGTCGACAACGACCACTGCAATCATGCTCTGCTCCTTGCCTTGAGCCATAGAGACGGTCGCCATGAACTGCTGTACGCTCTTGTTCGAAGAAGTCATGATCCTCTTGTACTTGTTCCCATCACGCGCGCGACTATCATATATGGTGAATGAGTGGATTACAAACTCCGCCTCAAGTGAGTTGTCAGCTAGCATTCTCAGTTTCAATTTGCTGTCGTCTAGAGAAAACCGGGAGAGACCTGCTGCGTCGGTGTTGCCAACTGGCCTATCCTCAGGGGCATTGATCAACTCTAGTCCCACCTTGTGGATCGTGAAGACGAGATCGAGCTTCGTCCAGGTCGCGTCACGAGAACCCAGCTCGGGGGATAAGTCCACAATGTCGCCATCCGAGCTAGTATTAACGGATGACATGGTCTTTGCCCTTCGAAGTGTCCCCTCATCCACATCTCGTTCTGCTTCCTCTTCACTAGCGCCTGCATCTGTCACAAAGGCAGCCGGAACGGATCTAGATATAGCCAACAAGTATCTGAGTTGATACTGAGTAATCCGGAGATTAAGGTCAGTCATGCTCCCTTCGATCTCCATATCTGGACGCTTCCATCCTTCCTTGTGTTCTGCGTATGTCATATTGATGCCAAAGTCAACGTGGTCAATCATTTCTAGCTCCTCGGACTGATCATTAGCGTAGTGAAACAACGACGTCAACTTGATGTTTCTGATTCCGGCAGAGAGCTTCATAGCTATCTCTGAGCTTTCGGAGTCGTCCAGAGGCACAAATTTGTTTTGAGCATAGATTTCTCCCAGATAAGCAGTAACCAAGTCCCTGTTAGGTCGATCAGGAGAAAGAGGTCTCGGGAAAACAATGATCGGTGTGTTGACAATGATATCGAACTTGACCTTGCTGGTAATCTGTTGCAGTTGCTGGGCTTGGTTTGCCGCAGCCTGGCGTGCAGCATTGTAAATCGCTTGCATCTTTCCGAACTTGACCAAAAACTCGATGATTTTCCTAAAAGGCTCTTCGAGAAAATTGACCTTGATTGAGCCAGCTCGCAAGAATATTGAAGAGTCGTAACCGGGATACGCCTTCTTGTTGCTTGCATCAAATGTCTCATAGCGAAAGTCAGCAAGCTCATTACCTTGGATTGTGACGAGCTGTCGGAAGCTCGAGCTTTCCTTTGCACCAACGTTGATGTCGTCGACTAAAGTGAGATCTCCTAATTTAGCTGCAACCCTTATAGTTCTGCCGGAAATGAAGACCCCAACGTCGGCATGGTTGAAAGATAGGGTTGCCAAACGAATGCCATCGTTGTTGAGGATCATGCGAATACTTTTCAGGTCAACTTTCACTCGTATAGACCCACTCTCCGTCTGCTCGGAAATCTGAGCAGGATCATTGATCTCAACGGTTTGGCCATTTTCCCCTGCATCGGCAATGCGCTTTTGGGATTGATTCTCTGCACCGCCATTGTTTGCGAAGGTAATGAGAATAAAGTCTAGAAGTGTGAGCAGAGTCTTTCTTGTTACGATGAGGTTGATTGTTGAGACGGCAACGTTGACATTCGTCTCAATCCCTTCGTATACGGGCATGAACTCTGGCGAGTCGGGCCTAACTTTGGTGAATTTGACTCGGACAAGATCTCTTTGCTGTTGGTGATCATCTACGTCACCCGAAGAGACTATGGATTTGAACTCAGCTGACGGGTTGTCCACGAAATCATCGACCGTCACTGAACCGAGCGATACTTCGGCTGCCAGATCATATGGCCTGACATACAGGTCAAATGCGAAACTCTCTGCGACGAGCTCGACGAGAAGTGAGTCAGGATTGCGCCCTTCAGAGTCACTCTTGTATAAAGATCCCTGTAGCTTGTCTACAGCAAATTTCATCTCGAAATTGCGCTGTTGCAGCTTCAGCTGTTGATTTGGATTGCCATCCTCCGCGTCCTCAAACTCGTCAGAGTCATCGTCAGAATCGTCCTCAAGAATAATAGCAGTTTCTTGGGTGAGGAATAGGTTGGAGGAGCGTTTACGGCCATGGCTTGCATTGAAACGGCTAGATGCTGAGCTGATCAACCTAGGTCGCTTAGGTCGTGGTTGCGTGTCGACAGCCTGCTGTTCTTGGTTACCAAGCTTTGGTATGGCAACATCGATAATCTTCATCAAACTCTTATACTTCGTGTCCGATACATTAACTTGTAAAACAGGCATGTGACCCGAAACTTTAACCTTGGTGAGGTTCGGTGCCTTTGGCAAAATTGAGAGTGCTACAACGAAGTCGACATTGATTTTATCTACAACATGAAACATGTGACGCTCGTCTTTGTGCACCAACTGTGCTTTCGTCTCTTCGATTGAGGGGCCAATCAGCACCTGGGTTGATGTCAATTTGACGAGAAAACGATCATACATGAGTGACTCGAGTTGCTTGAAGTCCTCCTCAGAGTACCTCTGTTGCTGTTTGTCTTGTATCTGCTTCAGAGTACCCTTGTCGACGAGTTCGCTGTTGAGGCTTATATGACCAGCATCCAATATGAGACAGGTTGAGTCAGCTGTTTTGATAGACTGGGGAATAATGATCAATGGTGCTTGCAGATCCAGCTTTGCGTTGATCGTTTTATGTTCTTCGAGGGCGAATTCTAGGCCAGCTCTCGTTTGCTGCCTCAAGCCCTCGACTGTTGCTCCTGCGGTTTCCATGAGAGCGGTTATGGACTCCATGTGGCGCTCTGGTGGCTTGAAGAAGTCAACAATACCCACAACGAAGTTGGGATTCCATACAACTTCCAACGGCTTTAATTTGGCTGTGACAGCAAAGTCACCTTCCCCGTCCAGGGGGTTCTGTTCAATTTGCAAGCCGAAGAAAGTTTCCCGGTCCGTATTCTCAAGCTCGACTATAGACAGCCGCTTTTGTTTACGGCTGTCTGGCGCATCTTTGACCCTGACGATCTCCTTGAACAGACTATCCGGGGTGGTGCCATCGTTCACTCGAAAATCGCCCAAACTGATATCTGCCAGTAAAGAGTCGGTGCGCTTCAAGGCTTTGGCTTTGAAGATGTCAAAATGCAAACTTAGCAGATCAGTTTTACTGCCATGTGGACTTTGTCTTAGTGTGAAGCTGCCCGTCGACAGTGATGCATTTACTTCTAGCTTCACTGCATCGCGCGGAGAATCGACTGCATCGGCTAGCGCCGCTTTCTCGTCCCAATCAATGGCTTCGTACAGTTCCTGTCGCTGTTCCTCCGTCATCTGAGTATTCTCGGATGTGTCGGTCGATTCGGCAGGTTTTGAACCCCATACCCAAGAGAGCCATCCTTGTTGTTGCTCAGTCTTCGATGGGGCGTTTTTGAGAGCTTCGGCATTCTCTTTCCTCAGCTGATTGCGAGCTAAGGACCGCCAGAAACGCAGATCCTCATAGCCCAGCTTCCACTCAAGCGTGTTGAGATCATCTGTATCCTGTGGCGACAATTGCTGATGCGCCTTTCTCTTCTTGAACAGCTCGATATAACGAAGGCGGTCATCGCGACGCTCACGGAAGTAATCCCAGGTCCATCGACGGTTTCGCTCGTGTATCTTGGAAAGAACGGCATTTCCGGCAAATTGGAGCCAAGCACGGGGATCTTCCTTTGGACTTGCGTCTTTGGGCTGAAGTCGCTTATACTCTTGATGGCGGATAAAGTAGTGGAAGAGATCGGCCATCATCAAGGCATCTCGGTACTGGTCATCGTCAAGCACCACACCGATCTCATCGAAGAGTAGATTGGCTTTGAATTTAGGCGTGTATGTATCGCCAGACTTGTCCAACTCAATCTTGGCTTGACCGCTCACGGGCTTGAGAATGTACTGATGATTAGAGCTAGGAGCGCCTTCAGTATCATTAATCATAGTTCTGAACTTGTCTATCATCTCGTTGTGTGGTACGGTTTTGGCTTCGTCAGCCATTTCGCGGCCTGAGCCGAAGAGGTCCGAGTCCGTATTCCAGTATACAGCCAATGAAGCAAGTGTGGCCAATTTGTGCGTCGTTTGCGACGTATTCTGGATAAACGTGGATTTCCATTCACCATCGGTGCTTATGGCACTGAACTCTCCGAGGGTAGCGCCGAGCGCAAAAGGGTGGCCCGGAGCGGAAATGGAGTCCTCGTATCTTAAATGAATATTCTTGACTGTAACCTGCAGATTGTCGACAATCTTAGTGACAAGGCTCTCTGTAAAGCTCTGGCTCTTCTTTTGCTCCTCTTGACTGAGACCCTCTTGGTTTCGCTCTTTGATCAGCTCAGCCGAGTCTAGCTTCTCCATCTTGATGCGTTGTTTCCTCCGATCCTCTTCCTCAGCATCGTAGGCAGCCTCCTCCTTGGGGGAGGCTAAAAGAAAGACATCTTCTATGAAGACCTTGACAGGAGCACCTCGCAGGTTGGACCAGGGTATGACGAGGGTGAGCTGGCCCAGATGGCCCTCGACGACGTTGATGGGAAGCTTCAGTTGGTCGAGAGCCTCTCTACGGAGTTCGAGGTCACGCAGCTTCACGTCGCCGGACCAAATGCCGACCTTTAACTGCGCAGGGTCGAAGTTTTTGACGTACATGCCCAGGAAGCGGTTCAGCAACCCGGCGACTAACCCTTCCAGCATGGCGCGGACTTTGGGCCGTGACCCGGGCCGGGGGGATTCGTCGTAGAACTAAGGGGGGGTGTTGGATTGCTGCATCTGTGGAGATGCGGAAACAATTGCGTAATTTGAGGTCGTCGCAGCCGAAATTGCAGCTCGTCCTCCGAGATGCGATGCCTAACACGATCGGCAAGCAAAGGTATAGGTGTTGCGGGTGTAGCGGGGCCTGGATTATGGGAGACAGCGCTATTAGGGAATGGAAGACGCGGCGGTCGAGGAAGCTCGTAGGTTGCAGGTATCGGAGCTGAGCTATGGTAGTATTATAGGTAAGATTACAGGTAGGGTCGGTAATCTAGTTTGGAGACTCGAGAATGCTAGATGCTGCAACACTGCAATGATTAGACATGAAGGTACACGGGGTGTGAAGGAGGAAGTAAGTAAGCAGTAAGCAGACCATTCATGGAGAGAAAAGAGAGGGCAGATTATCTATCTAGGTATGTGTTGTGAGAACAGGATTCAGGATTGACGAGGACTGCGTCTGACATAAGGAAGCTTTGAAACAGCAGGATGAATTGGGCGACAACTACTGAGAAAATCGAAGGTTCGTTACCACGATATGTCAGACGGGGATGTATGTGTCGTATAAGCGTCATATGCTTGACCGTGGAATTGATCGTGGAGTTAGGTAATCGAGGAGATGAAATATCCCACTTACACATATGTACACCACGAGGCATTCAACATTGACAGCTCTCTACTGCAAGTAAGCACTTAAACATGAGACAGTACGGTACTCATAGCCATCATAGCCATCCACAGGCGGGAGCGAGTCAGTACCTACCTCTTCGACTAAGTAAGGGGAGAACGCGGCACGGCGCGTTGGGTGAGAGAACTGAGGCCAGATTTGCTGGGTCCGCTAGATGCGTACTTTTTACCTCACTAAAGAGTCGGCCGGGTTGTCGACGTTGTTCGATCGTGTGGTGGGATATTCCCGGGATTGCGAGAGGTAAGTAGGTGAGTAGTTTGGGAGCTGAAGAAACTCTACCTAACGCCTCTACCCCGACAAATCTGGAAGCGATGACGCCAATGGTCCTAGGTACCATAGTGCTGTACCTACCTAAGGTAAGAATAGTGCAATAGACCCGCTAAGGCTAACCCCTGGCAGCGCAATGCAGCACTGTACGCATTTACTTAGTACTGTAGACAGGCCTGTAGATAGAACATCTCTATAGTAGATGGCCAACAAAGAACACCTCCCCTGAATACTTATACAATTAAACACTATGGATAATCGATACGGGCTAGACGGGTTATTCATCCAAGTTCCAGATGTGCGTGACCTCTACCAGACTCCACGTAGTATATTCAGATATTGTGAGCAGCATACTAGTGTAACAACTAGGTACATTAGACTAGGTACCTAGAATTATAGTAGCCCATACTGTGTGTGCATCGATCGTTTTAGCGATCTTTTCATCAATAATTAGGCAGAATTAGGTAACTTTAAGTTGTTGTCTAGAAGCCAAAGGGAGGCAGACCCGATAAGCTGGGGGGGGTACCTATAGGTATACTTACAGGGACATCACCCAAATAATGTACCTTGGAAGGTACTGTAGTACGGTACTGCTGTGGTAGGTACTGCTGGAGATGGCGGGGCACAGCTACGGAGGTACTTAGGTACATTCCTAGTTCCCCACATTCATCTTGCGCATGCCATCAATCATTACGTCACTACTTCAGCCAGCTCCTGCGCAGGTAACAAACACCTTGGAACAATAAAACTTCAAGAATGAGCTACCCGCTTGCTCTGTGCCTTGCGCCATGGGTCGTGACGAGAATGAGATTCCATCAATTACGATCATGCCGTGTGTCCCCTCCCTCCCTACCTAGTAACTACCTTTGAATATATATCATGACCTTTGACCTGTCTAGTCTGGAAGTAGGCAATTGAATCAGATATCACCCCCAATACCTATTACGTGCTGTCTCTCTCTCCCTCTCTCTCTCTATATATATAAATATTCCTATCTTCTCTCATCTCAGGTCCTCTTGACATATACCCCCCTTTAGTCAGTAACAAAGCAGTTCGCCAGTAAATCGACCACGGATGACAACAACCCACTAAACCCTCAACATAATCTTGTCCTAATTATACCTATCTATCTCTCCTCCATAAACTCATATTAGCAAATATATAAGGAAGCTACTGCGTCTCTCCTCGTCTCGAGCTATCAACTCCGACTCATAGGTCCCTCTTCATCACAGATCATAGATCATAGATCATGCTCCCCATAGCAAACGCAAGGCTGCTTCTGCAAGCCCCCTCGCGAATATTATCACGCGTACCGAATGCCGTGCTTCCTCGAAATGCCATAGCAACACGCAATGGCCCAAGGGCTGTACCTGCGCGCCTCTCCTTGGCCGCCCAGCGGGCATCTTTCGCGACCAAACCCCCCGACAACCCATTTCAGGAGGGAATTGACCCGGAAGAGGACCGGAAAATTGCCCAGCGTAAACTCACTCCCCACCCAGAATCCGTAACTATGGATTCGAGTGTTCGTCACATATATGAACCATCTCCTCCGGGAAAGGCGGCCCCGGCGAAGTCTGGCTTGACGGATGATCTAGTAAGTCCTGTTCTCCCGTGTAGATCTCCCCCCTTGATTCTTGAGCTGACCATATAACCCCACAGAAACTCGTACAGGAAACATTTTCTCTTTCCAAAGCCCCCCACGAACCCTACTGGCTAGGAATCGCTGGGACCTTACCTTATCTCGGAACCTCCCTATCTACCGTCTACCTTTCTTGGGTTCTGAATACCCCGTGGCCTGCGCCTTCGGCCTTCACCAATAAACTTCTGATTAGTCAGGAGACAGCACACCAGTTGATGGCCACGCTCGAACCGATTCAACTAGGTTATGGCGCCGTCATTATTAGCTTTCTAGGTGCTGTACATTGGGGCATGGAGTATGCCGCAAAAACATCAGATCATGCCCGAACTCGTTTTCGCTACGGGCTAGGAGTCATGGCCCCGATAGTCGCTTGGCCTACTCTATTCATGCCAGTCGAGTTTGCACTGACATCACAATTCGCCGCTTTTGTAGCACTATATTTTGCTGACACGCGCGCCACAGTGCGCGGTTGGGCTCCAGTGTGGTACAGTACTTACCGCTTCGCGCTTACGGCCGTCGTCGGTGTCGCCATCGCCATCAGCTTAATCGGGCGAGCCAAAGTTGGAGACGCAAGCCCCCGACTCACGGGGCTAAACGAGAAATTTCACGAGCACCGTGGTGAGGAGGATTACACCAAAAAATGGCAAGAGCTGGAGAAGGGGGAGAGAAAGAAAGTAAAGCAACGAGAGGAGGAAGAAAAGAAAAAGAAGGAGGAGGAGGAGAGAAAAAAGAAGGAGGAAGAAAAACAGAAGAAACAGAAAGGGCAAGCAGAAGCGGATAAGAAAGACGGGGAGAAATCTAGCGGAGACAAGGACAAGGGAAAGGAATCTGACAGCGAAGAAAATAGGGATCAAGAGAAGAAGGGAGACGAACAACAAGGTGGCGGGCAAGACAAGAAGAGTGAAGAGAAGAAGAGCGAAGAGAAGGACAGCGAATAGTTACCACGGGGTTGTGATGGCGATTTTAGAGTAGGCTTTCCATCGCCTCAAGCATAATTCAGATATATTAATGCCAGCTTCACTACGTTCAGACACGAAGCTCATCAGCTTCGGCTCTATATTCGATAACTAGTTACAAAATCTGTTTGTTTCTCCAGAGTTCGAAGAGTAGGGATCGCTACGTCAGAGTGGCAGCGAGGACTCTGCCATAAGTAAACCATGTCAAAAGAGTTGGAACTGACAGGCATTCATACACCATTGTTACCGTCCAGCAGCGATCAGATTCTTGGCAACTTGCTCCATGTCATTGTGTTGGCAAAGCATTGGGATTCAAACCATTCAATGTTGAACCCCCAACTTCTCTCTGTCCGTAAGGAACTCAGATAAGTGCGTTGGACGGCGAGCAGGCAGCCCCTCATCATGTTGGTTTCATTGAGCAAGAAGTGCCAGACAAGCAGCAAGTGAGGGACGCGATAGTCAACCAAGAATGACATTAAGCATCTATCTATTCGTCAGTTGGTTGTGATATTGTGGGGGTCTTCTATCTATCATCAACCTCCTCGTTTTCCAAACTCGGGTCTATTTCTGGATCTATGCAACGCGGAGGCAGTGGGGGATTGATTGTCAGACGCGTTATCTCTTCCCCAGACGCTAGATTGCCAATCTTTGCCAAATGTGTGACTCTTCACATGTGCCAACTGGCTGGTTTTCTCTCCACCAACAACCGCAACCAAAAATGCAGGGTTAAACGGGCATCCGAAAACATACCTACCTACTTACTCTACCATAGACGATGCTGGTTGCCTGAACATTGGCAAGAAAGAAAGAAAGAAAGCCGGCAGCACACCGATTTGTGGTCCCCTAGCCCGAGGAACTGCCATACCTGCTCGCTTTCGCTTAGCGGGGGCCCCGTAAGTGTAAGTGTAAGTGTCGGATGGAGCCCGCAAAATAGCACCACCGCGGAGATGTCGAGGTCGTCCAATCCAACCAACCCAAACCCGTCTAATTTTTTTCTCTCTTGCTCGTTTGTGACTCGAACTTTCGACCGAGAATGGCCTGACCCGGCGCTGACTCTCGTGAGCTCTTTGTTAAACATTAGCAAATAATTTTTGGAGAGTTTCCGGCCAGTTCCGAGCAGAACCATGTCAGGGTTCAGTATAAATACTTAACGTGAGCGAAGTGAAGGAACGGGATTGACATGTTTTGATAGAACTTGATAATCACGTAGAGAACGAAGCGAAAACACTGAATCAATTCATCCTTTCTTACTCCAATTTTCACCTCGTCTCTTCATTCATCATCGCCATCCCTCATCCAACCTGTAAATACATCCCCGGGTTATTCATTCGTTGAACATGGCCGCCCCTCTGACACCCGAGCAAATAGCCGTCGTGAAAGCGACGGCGCCGGTGCTCAAGGAGCACGGCGTCACCATCACCAGCCTGTTCTACAAGAACATGCTAGACGCGAACCCGGAGCTCCGCAACGTCTTCAACGAGGCGAACCAGGTCGGCGGCGCGCAGCCACGTGCGCTCGCGGCCGCTGTCTTCGCCTACGCCACCTATGTCGATGATCTCGGCAAGCTAGCCGCCGCCGTCGAGCGCATTGCGCACAAGCACGCTAGTCTCAACGTCCAGCCCGAGCACTATCCCATTGTCGGCAAGTTCCTCCTCGAGGCCGTGGCTAGTGTCTTGGGCGATGCATGCACGCCTGAGATAGCTGAAGCTGTAAGTTGAAACAAGACCTTGGTGAAAGGGAGACAGACGATTTGAGTAGTACTCAAATTTCCCCTTTTTTTTGTGTTCATTCACTTAATCTATCTCATTCGTTCGAATAAAAAAAAAGTATATTCTAACACATGCTCCTAACAGTGGACGGCAGCATACGCAGTCCTCGCCGACATATTCATCAACCGGGAGCAGCAGATCTACGTCGCATTCGAGAACTGGTCCGGCTGGAGACGTTTCAAGATCCAAAAGAAGGTTCCCGAGTCTAGCGAGATCACAAGCTTCTACCTCGCGCCCGAAGATGGCGTGGCTCTCCCTCGGTATCTGCCGGGGCAGTACATCAGCCTGCAGCTGTACATCCCCAAGCTCGGGGTAAGACAGCCCAGACAGTACTCCCTCAGCGACGCTCCAGGGAGTGACTGTTACCGCATCAGCGTCAAGAAAGAAGCCGGCGGCAAGTCTGCCACGGTCCCGGGCTTGATATCCAACATGCTGCACGACGACTTCAACGAGGGCGACGTAGTAGAGCTCACGCACCCGACCGGCGAATTCTTCGTGCGGGTAGAAGAAGAGACGCCCCTCGTGCTCATCTCAGCAGGCGTGGGGATAACGCCCATGGCATCCATCCTCAACAGCGTCGCATCCACGGGGTCCTCGAGGCGCGTCTCTCTCGTCCACGGCGCGCACGGATCCGAAGTCCGCGCGTTCTCAGCCGCCCTCCGAACCGCCGCGGAAAAGCCCAATGTGCAGACCTCCATGTTCCTGTCCACACTCAAACCGAACGAGGTGCAGGGTGTCGACTACGACTTCGAGGGCCGCGTCGACCTCGACAAAGTCGGGTCGGAACGCTTGTTTCTGGACGATGCGGTGGCGAATTACTACGTCTGTGGGCCGACGTCATTCATGGTGGATATCCAGAAGTATCTCGTCGACCATGGGGTGAATGAGGACAGAATTCACCTCGAGATATTTGGTGTCGGAAACTAGTGATTGACACGGGCGTGTATAGAGGCTGAGGGCTGCTGATGTGTGACTAATGTTGGTGTTTCGATTCGTCTGCGATGGACTACGAGTCAAGAAAGGTGTATGATATTGGGATGCTTAGCATGAATTTGGGGGGAGCGTGTGCATGGCTGTAGCGGATGGTGGACTTTTGCAATATGTGTTTCAAGCGAGTTAAACACTTCATGATTATTTTGGTTTTTGGTTTTTTTGGTTCTTTTTTCCAGGCTACACTAGATGAGCGTAGTAGGTAGCATGTGTCTCGCCACGCGAGACCAAACATCCTGTCCCAGGGAATGAATAGAACAATCACCTCTCAAGAGTACAGCGCCAATAGCAGACTTTCATCCCAAATACTGTTGAGCGGGACCTACTTGCGATCTTTGCTTTCCTTAGCTTGTCGTGTGTACCCGAAGTTTACGCCAGAATGGCAACAAATATCGCGTTGCTTAGAAACCTAGGCTATCCGCGACATTGTCACCATCGGCTCGTAAAACAATCTAATCCATCACGGTACGTTATCGGTCTTCATAGTTTCAAGCTCATGCTTTGTGCCATATTGGACACTGATTGGCCACCTAACGAGAGCACGGGGGAGAAGCACAGAGATCCCTCGCAGGGTCCAGTGGGACATCTCTGCGGAACAAAGGTAAGTGTCGCATTTTCAAGCTTACCCAACCGCAGTCCTTGTTTCTAGTTAACTTCGGAATATTTGGGGATGGGCGCATCGTGGCGTGGTTAGGTAGTACCTTCGGTTAACCCAGCGTATTGGGGGTTCGCACTCGTTTGCCCGCTATGTTGTCACTTCTTCGCCTTGTTCATACCCTTGGACTTTTTGAATTAGCACTTGAGGTCGGATAATATAATCAACATGCCTCAGTAAATGCTGCACGAAAAAAAACAAATTTATGTGACTGTCCATCTGCAGCGGTTCTCAGGAATACGATATCATTGTGTAGGCCGACCAAGCAATGAACTCCACCACCACCAGGAGAACTGCGATATGAGTGGCAACTTAACCAATAGAGCTGCTTGACTTATGATCACCTATCCGATCCTGTTCCGTTCAAGGTAGACCATGACGTAACGCATGAGGCTATTACACTTGTTTGCCTAAGGCAGAGATATCTTTCGATAACGAGAGCCAAACTTGCTATCAACCACTGAAGTGACCTGGTACTAGTTGACTGTGAGCTTATCTCAGTATGCCTGGGCCAAGGTAAAGAAAGTAGGCAATGTTGAATTGTATGTTTGCTTGCCACAAGACTGTTACATCTTAGATAAGAAAACTTAAGGTCCGCAGCACAGTGAGAATGTTTCTCCTCAGGTGGCTTTACAGCAGCCCCTTCAGTTTGTTTGCGAGCTATAACTAGAAATGGTCAAGGATCCTGAGGGTGAGATATCCTCTGTAATCCTGATTGGAGGCTCGCCAAACTCTCTCTCGAAATGAAGCACCCGAAGTTACTTTTTATCAAGGAACACAATCTTCTGAGCACATGTTTTACTGTGGTGCAGACCGGCCAAGATCAGGTGGCACGACATCGGTGCTGTATTACATCATCAATGCACGGTGAGAGAGACCGTTATCCTTCTGTGTTTTGTACCCCTGGTTGATACTAGAGGTACCATTGAGCGTGCTGAGGATACTGAAATTGTCAGTGTGCTAATGGAATCCAGGCTTTCAGATCTTGTAGAACAGGTGTTCCCAGATAAACGCACACTATGTGCCCGACCTTTCTCGTGATGCTTATGTATGCACAGCCCGAGAATCAAGATTATCGTGATGGCAATTGTCACGGCAATGTGAATCAGATACCCGAAGCCTCAGACCTGCCTCATCGGGGCCTCCCATGGCTCATAATATGGCCCTGTGAGTCCTTGAACCTGATATCGGTATATTCCCCCTTTGAGTAACACCATTACTGAAACGAACTGGTGAATCTGCCATTGAAAGGCATCCACCTTTCGGCATTAACAAATCACAACTAGATCATGCGGTTGTTATCTCAGACCCAGTTCCCCTAAGGCTCGGGACAACCGATTTGTCCCAATCCAAGACAACGTAGAAACAAACTGGCTCCCACTACCCAGTGATACATTCAGGTACAATCTGACCCTTGTTCCAATGCTTATGTGGCTGCAGGCACGACTCGACTCCGGGAAAGAAAGCTATTCTATAGTGTCAAAGGCTAAGAGTCAACTGTACAATCTACAAGTAAGCTTCGATAAAGAAGGGCAACTAAATAAACTAGCCATTGTATGGGCGCTATTTTTCATCTAAGGCCTTGCCTCTGGAGCAGACGGTGTACTGTATTAGGTTACCTCAAGTTTGCCTTAGGCTACCAAAAACTGTGATATCGTCGGGCCCCTGTCTTTCAAGAAGATAGTTTGCTTCCTCATTTTCCCTCTCCTACGTAAATTTGAAGAACAGATAGCTTCCAGGTGGATCACTCAAGGCATCCACATCCACGTAAATCGGTCCCTGGCACTGAATATTGTTCAAAATAATCGAAACAAGAAGAATTATTACAGTCTATCTAACTCACCAACCTACTCAGCCTACTCAAGTGGAATATCAGGGATAAAAGTTAGTATGCACCTTGAAAACTTGCAGAGAAACCGGCTCTAAAGTGTAGGACTGCCAGACTCATACCCCAAGGACTACACTCCATGAGAGAAATTAGATAGTCCCATGTGCTCACGACTATGGAGACACCAAAACGAAAAGCTTGCGACCGGTGCCATGGCTTGAAGTTGCGTTGCCGACGACTTGATAACGAACAGTGTGAGAGATGTTTGAAGGCCAACCAGACATGCACTTCCAGCCCGTCCCTTCGGTACTATAAGAAGAAAGATTGGCGTGGACGAGCAGCTAAAGATATCAAAAGGCCACTTCAGATACGGCCTGGTCCTGTTGAAGGTTGGTGGCGTCTTTAGGAGTATCTATACCATCCATGCCTTCTACGAAGCCTAATATGTTATAGACAACGGAGCTGCACCCCCTCCCCCTCGACAAGAAAAAGTGTTGTGTGACTGGATGTCTCATTCGGAGCAAGCTCCCGCCACATCGAACTCCTTCGACGGACCTCAAACAGACAAACATATTGCGGATCTTCCGAGTGTACATAGCTCAGGACAAGACTTCACGCCATACCAGTATCAATCAGTCTTCGAATCTCAAGATATCAATCTAACAAATCAGGGAGACTCTGAGAGGGCCCCAAAGATTGGTCTTGCAGATGGAGCGGAACTGGGATATCTAGAGCTTTGCCTACCATTCTCCAGCTTAGAATACAACGAGCTTCAGAACACAGCCCGCTCGGACCAAGTAAAACAGACCCTTCTAGGATACTTGTCTGAACTGAATCTAGCACATGATGCTTGTCAGGCCCTGCAGAGAGACACCACGTGCAGCCACGCAAATATGGGCGACTTCGAGGTAAAAATGGTAGATGGTACACGTGCTGCCCTACCACGGCTGTCCATTAAGGAGCTTTTCCAACTATCCCAAAGATTCTCCTCAACCCTACATATGATGGCGAGTACGGGGATACTCACAGCCTATCAGATAGATCCATCATTACCCGTTTTGGTGTATTCACGCTTGCAGGAAGTCCATCACATACTTTTGCAGCTTATTTCCAAATCCTTACAGCTATCAAAGAATGCCATAGCTCGTATAATAACTCAACCTAACCCGATCTAGTCCAGGCGAACTACTGGAGTGTGGACAACAAAGAAGGAAGGGTGGTCCGGGCGTAGATTGCTGGAGAATGAGAGAGATGAACACAGAAACGGGAGATAGTCTGAAGAAATGAACTTGATGAGGAACTTGTTGAGTTAAGTGGGAAGTTTCATTGGGTACTCGGTAGTCGCAGTCTCATTAGTCACTGTACAATTATGCTGTCACGGGTTGTATCAAAACAAGGCATTGCTTGTGTAGTTACAAACATCCTCTTTCATTGTTGAGGACACAAAAGAAAGATTACGTAGTTATCTTCTCAACGACCACCGGTACAATGGTAATGTAATGGCAGCTTAGTGTCAATGCTGAAGTCTTTGTATTCCCCATGACGTTTTCCTCCAACACAACACCACAAGGTCGGCGTTGTCAGTTACTGTTGTCCAGTCTCTGGAGGACAGTGAGCTGTTGACACAAGATACCCGACATCCGAAAGGAGTTGATGAGACAGATGTGATAGCACACAGGCTCGGGGCCGAAGTCACTTCAGACTGTCCCTCGACATTGACCATGTACCTTGAACACTCAGTTCCGTATAATCACGCTAGCAGCCCATTGTTTCCGAATAACCGCTTCATTAACTGGCTGAGGTACCTGCCCCATCCGCCTGGGAAGGAACCCATCCATCGTCGACCTTACCGGCGCTCTTAACTCAAACCCACACACTCTGCCCTCATTACCGGCGTCAAGCCCACTAAAATTTATTTGCGTAATTTACCTACAAAACCTTGACTCCCAGGACAGCTTCACCTTGTTCTCTTCATCTTTCTGCCTTCACCCTTCACCCTCACTCTTCACTCCTCAACCTTTCAAACTTCACCTTGGTTCTCAACCATTAATCTACACTTAATTGTTTCTTCAACAACACCTTGACACTTAGGTGAAGCTGTCTTCTGCTTTTTGCCTTCACCCTGATACTCAACGTGCATCACCCTACACATTTCACACATCTTCTTCCAATTCCAGTTGTAAATCGCTTCCACAATCTTGTTAACAACACCTAATTCATCCAATCACCCTTTCTCTCCCGCCTGGCATGGCGTATATAGTAGATCGGCAAGAGCCAATCGCCATTGTTGGAGCCAGCTGTCGGTTCGCTGGCGATGCAACCTCTCCCTTAAAACTCTGGGATCTTCTGTGCAAGCCATTTGACCTTTCACGCGAGGTTCCTCCAGAGAGGTTCAGCGCCAAGGGATTCTATCACAAAGATGGAGAGTACCACGGCACCACCAATTGCATCAAGGCGTATTGGCTGAATGAAGACTGCCGGGCCTTTGATCCAGGCTTCTTTAACATCACCCCCAAAGAAGCGGAAGCCATGGATCCGCAGCAGCGCCTCTTGCTAGAAGTTGTCTTCGAGGCCATGGAGTCTGCAGGCTTCCCCCTTTCCCAGTACAGCGGTAAACGTGTTGGTGTCTTTGCAGGGTGCATGACGCAAGACTACGAAGTCCTCTCTTCACGCGACGAGCTCACAACTTCTCAGTACTTCGCTACAGGTTAGTTCTCTGGAATCATTTATCCTCTCCTTAGGCATATTTCGTTCTCTGCATACTCCCGAAATAGGAGCTGAAACTCTTCCCTATCCGGCAATTACTGACTTCAGCTCGTGTAATAAAGGAAACTCGCGAGCCATGCTGTCCAACCGCATCTCATACTTCTTCAACTTCCAAGGCCCTTCTATGACCATTGACACGGCATGCAGCTCCAGTCTTGTGGCCCTACACCAGGCCGTGCTAAGTCTGCGTGAGGGCGATTGCTCAATGGCGTGTGTGGCGGGTGCCAACATGATGCTCACACCAGAGCAGTTCATTGTTGAGTCTGCACTGCACATGCTGAGCCCTTCAGGGAAATGCCACATGTGGGACACTAGAGCTGATGGCTACGCCCGCGGTGAAGGCTTTGCGGTGTTGCTTGTTAAGCGGCTTTCTCATGCTATTCGAGATGGTGACAAGATCGAAGCTGTCATTCGTGCAACTGGCTCCAATGCGGATGGTCGAACCGCTGGCATCACTATCCCTAATCCTCAAGCTCAAGCAGCACTCATTCGGAGCACTTATAAGAAAGCAGGTCTTGATCCCAAGAATCCATCTGACCGGTGCCAGTACTTTGAGGCGCATGGCACAGGTACTAAGGCTGGCGACCCGCGTGAAGCTGCTGCGATCCATGAGGCTTTCTTTGGCAACAGTGAGCCCAAGTCAAAGGCTGTGCAGTCTTCGCATAATCCTGAACAAAAGATGCTTGTTGGGTCGATCAAGACAGTAGTTGGACACACCGAAGCTGCTGCCGGTCTTGCAGGCGTGCTCAAGATAGTCTGGAGTATCAATCATGGACTTGTACCGCCGAATTTGCATTTCGAGCATCTGAACCCGGAGGTGAAGCCCTTTTACACACACCTCCAGATCCCCACTGTCTTGACGCCTTGGCCGGATCCTCCTCCGGGTCAACCTCGCAGAGCCAGTGTTAATTCTTTCGGCTTTGGCGGTGCCAATGCACATGCCATCATTGAGTCTTACATCCCTGAAGTCCGCCCTGTCGTCTTAGCCACACCGCTTGAACTTGCAGCAATTGGCTGCTGCCCTGAGCAAGCCACCACCCGCGTCTTGGCACCACAGCCACAGCTGAGTGCCTCTGCCAGCCCAGATCCCTTTCATCTGCCCCTTGTCATCTCTGCAGCTTCTCACAAGTCTTTGCGAGATCTTGTTCAGTCCTATAGAAAATACCTGGACGAGAACGACGTTGATGTACACCATTTGTCATGGCATCAGTTCTCACGATGCACTGGTCTCCCGTACCAAGTTGCTTTCTCTGCGGCAACAAGGCCCGATGCTCTGCGTGCCTTGGATTCTCTCCTGCCCTCCAATGGGTCAGCGATTCCTCCTGAGCGCATCAGCCGATCTCAGGTTTCAGATGCACCTCTGCGAATCTTGGGGATCTTCACAGGCCAAGGGGCACAATGGGCCACTATGTCCAGGACTCTGTTGCAGCAAAACAGCGTCTACCGCAACACCATCCGCAAGCTCGACGGCGTTCTCACGTTTTGCCCTCAACCGCCCTCATGGACCTTGGAGGATCATATCATGGCTGACAAAGATGAATCGTGCATTGATGAAGCAGCTGTCTCGCAGCCTGTTTGCACCGCCCTGCAGATTGCACTTGTTGACTTCCTACGAAGCATTGGTATCGACTTCCATACCGTGGTTGGACACTCATCTGGGGAGATCGCTGCCGCGTACGCTGCAGGGCGGATTTCTGCAAAAGACGCCATCTTGATCTCTTATCACAGGGGCATGGTTGCACATCTTGCTCGTGGCGCGGATGGCCAAAAGGGTGCCATGTCAGTGGCTCGCATGTCAGAGCGTGAAGCTACCAGTCTTTGCCGTCGTTTTGCTGGCCGCATATGCGTTGCAGCAAGCAATAGTCCAAACAGTGTAACGCTCTCAGGTGATATTGAGTGCATTCGCTTAGCCCATGACCAGCTGAAAGAGAACCGGACAGCATCAAAGATTTTGCAAATTGACACCGGTTATCATTCACATCACATGCATCAACCCGCTGAACAATACACCGTGGCGCTTTCAGAAAACAACATCTCTTCCAGTCCAAAAGGGAATGGAATCGTTTGGATCTCAAGTGTGAAGGGCCGTTCTCGCATCACACAGGATTTGGACATTGGATATTGGGCAGACAACATGGTCAATCAGGTCGAGTTCACCCAGGCCGTCAAATATGCACTGTCTCAGTCTGGCAGTGGCTTTGATTGCGCCATAGAAATTGGTCCACACCCTGCACTGCAGTCTTCTGTCTCGGAGACTGCCAAACCTCTCGGCCGTACCATTCTGTACACCAGCCCCTTGAACAGGACGAAAGACAGCAGCGTCTCGGTTTCAAACTTCTTGGAGTTCATTTGGTCGAACTTTGGATCCTCAAAGGTCGCGTTGGGTACATACATCGAACAGTCCCCTGTCCCAGATGTGGTCAACTCAAGATTGACAGATATCCCGTCATATCCTTTTGATCACTCTGCCAGCTATTGGCGAGAGTCACGCATTAGCCGCCAATATCACCACAAGACTGAAGTCCCTCATGAGCTTTTGGGTGTTCGGTGCCGAGAGGATAATATATATGAGATGAAATGGCGGAATATTCTGAAGATTGAAAAGCTCCCATGGCTGGGGCATCACCAGTTTCAGGGCCAGGCACTGCTACCTGCCTCTGCCTATTGTATCATGGCACTTGACGCGGCACGAGCTTTCCTTGCAGGCCGACCCGCATCCTTGGTCGAACTTCGAGATATCGAGATCCTGAGTGGCATTGCCCTTGATCGAGACTCTGCCGGTGTTGAAACCCTCTTTACCCTAACGATGTCTGATGGGGACAAGGAGTTGTCCAATCTCAACGGTACCTTTTCCTTGTATTCATGTTCTCCCGATGGCGCGACCAAGATGAAGAAGGACGCCACCGGATCGTTGCACATTGTTTTAGGCGAGCCATCTTTGGAGGTTTTGCCACTTCGGCAACCGTCTCTGTCCGAGACATCAGCTGCTGACGCTGAAGTTTTTTACGAGACAATGAATAAAGCTACTGGCCTTCTATATACTGGTCCTTTCAGGGCTCTAGATACAATTCACCGTCGCTATAGATATTGTTGTGCGACCCTTGGTCGTTTCCACTCTGATGACACTACCAAGCTGGGCATCAGTCCAGCAACGCTCGATGCTTGTTTCCAGACTGCATTTTTGGCCTACGCCTATCCGGGAGATGGGTAAGCCAGACACAGTATCACTTCGCTAATGGCTGTCATACTAACATACGTGTTTCAACAGGTCATTTTGGACGTCTTTCCTGCCAACGGGAATTCGCCGAATCAAATTCAATCTTGCCACACTGGCTAATGCTGATCCCAAAGGTTCGCTGACAGTTGATACGAATATGGTCCGTTGCATGCCACCGACCGAAGCATCTCGTGCATCGATTGCGATTGACAGTGCTATCTTCAACAATGCTGGAGAAGCAGAGATCCATGTCGAAGACCTTGTTGTTCGCGCCTTGGCCGACACTAACCCAAAAGACGATTATGAACTATACCTCCATACGGTGATGGATATTGATCCCGCTGATGAGATTGTTCCGCCCGACGATGCTGTCTCAGCTGAAGATAGTAACCTTTTGGCTGAGAATTGTCGGAGAATCACTTCTTTCATTCTCGACTATCATGTTGCGGAGAATAGCCCTAAAGCAACCAAGGGATCATTGGTCGAAACCCAGGAGGCCATTGATACCATGATCCGCAACTCGCATCATAGCGATTATTTGGCACATATCAAGGAAGCTGGACAACTAGACGTAATCCGACTATCTGAAGCACTACCATCTATTCTGAAGGAGGCCCGCCAAGTTTCCCTGTTCCGAAACCACTTGGGTCGCATTGTGAAGCAGGTCGTTCATCGATATCCATGGATGAACATTCTCTACATGCCCACTAAGCAGTTTGACCTTACTCGGATTATACTGGATACCATTGGTGGCTCCTATCAGTCTTTCACTTTGGGTGTCAGCGGAGGAACTCCGTCCTCTGCAAGCCCACGCCTGGGAACTCAGCCATCCGAAAGTTTCCAGGAGCTAGACATCAACACCTTGGGTCAGCCGGGAACTCAGATTGGATCCGAAGTATTGTTAGATCTCGTGATTCTTCCAACCACGCTGCTAGGCTACGATGATATGACCAAGGCCTTGGAAGGTATCAGTCGTGCAATGAAGCAGGGTGGCTTTCTGATTCTGATTAATCCAAACGTCGCCATACTCAACACCCAGCCAGGAACACGCTCTGGCGACGGCACCAATCGTCCTCCAACACCACCAGAATGGCCTGATATCCTCGACGCTTATGGCTTCACTCGACAAGCCCGGAACTCTGACCACTACCACCGAGCGGGCTACGTACTCGTGCGGCAATTAGGTGAACGGAGGTCATTCAAATTTCCGGTGCAGGTGGATGGTAGTACCACTGTTACTGAAAATCTACTCTTTCTCCGGAGCGCCTCTGGGAAAGATGATAGTCAGCTGGTCGCTGGCCTCCAGGGCCGGATTTCACCCCACTGTAGCCATGTTACGTCCCGCTCACTCTACGAGGTGACCACACAAGAATTGGAGGATTGCACTGCTGTCATCGTGCTGGCTGACCTCAGCGAGCCGGTCATGTCGAACATGACCCAACACACAATTAGCCAGTTTCAAATCCTCTTCCGGCCTGCCATGACAGTACTCTGGGTGACATGCGATGCACGAAGCGGAAACCCAGAGGCCGCAGCCAGTTTTGGATTTTTACGGACTATGGTGGCAGAGGTGCCCAATCTGAAACTACAAGTGCTGGACCTCGACCCCAATGACGTTGAGTCTCCAGTGGACAGAATATCTTCAGCCTTTTATCAACTAGTCTTTTCTAAAAAGGACATATCTAACAAGTCTATGTGGACTTTGGAGCATGAGATTCACATGGAAAATGGACGACGCCTGATCCCTCGTGTGATGCCTTGGACACAAGCCAATGACAGAGTCAACGCTCTTCGTCGCATGGTCACGGTACCCGTGAATACCATCCAACAATATATCGAGCTCGCACCAAAAGTCCTCCCGAACGACACCATCTGCTTCTCACTCAACCACATTGAACAGAGTCCTCGTCAACACTTACCGCCAGGCAGTGCGATGATTCGAGTAGATTACAGTTCAGCTCTGCCACTCAAGCTATATAACGACATTTCTCGCTACGTATGCGTAGGACACAATTGCTACACGGGCAAGCGGGTGATAGCCTTGTCGAACACGAACTCGTCGTATATCGCATCTCCGCCCTCAATAGCTATGACCTTAGAAGGAGACAAGCACCAGAGCCTGACCGTACTTCATGAACTTATCCGATGCATCACGGCTTTGACAAGTGTGTCTATTGTCTCACCTGACCATCCAATTGTGCTCATCGATCCCGATGTAGAGTTTGCAAATCAGCTGATAGCTCTCGCGTCGGAAAGCCATAAAGTCATCATTGTGGGAACATGCTGCAATGAACACGGTAAGTCGTCTCCATCCCATCTTACAGTGAATTCAGATCTCTTTACCTATGATATACACCCAGTATGGAGGGGAGCTGGCTAACATTTTTGATTTGTTTAGATAAAGCACGGTATACGAAGATACTGGAATGCGATAAACTTCGTCGCTATGTGTCCGTCTGCCTACATCCGCAGTGCTTGTTGGGAGATTTGAAGCACGCCTTTCCACAGCGTGGTACCATCTTCAACTTTCTGCCAGATGATCACCAGCTAACTAGACGAATCATGGCGTCGATTTCGAACGAATGTGCCATCTATACCGGTTTCACCACATTCGTCTTGAAAGCACTACTGCACAATGAAGACCTCCCGGTGCTCAGCTTCGCATGGAATATGGCTTTGCGCTCCGTTGCACGACGATCTTTGGAGAATGCTCAGGAACCTCGGGAATCTGATCTCATTACTACAGTCTCACTGCGAGAGCTGCAGTCGCGCGCAATGAGTGCGCAGTCATTCCAGATTGTTGACTGGAATCGGGACAGTCATGTCCTTCGCTCGATCAACCACACCGTCGATGGGCCCCTCGTCTCCTCCAATAAGACCTACTATCTGTTTGGTATGACCCGCGACTTTGGCCACAGTATCTGCCGCCTCTTACTCGAGCAAGGAGCAAGAAGTATCGTTCTAGCTAGCCGAAACCCAGACACCTCCTTGAACTGGGTCACTGAGCTTAACGCTATATATGCCGCGGACATCCGAATCAAAAGAGCCGACGTGACAAACATAGAAAGTCTTCACGCGTTAAAGAAAGACACCGCCAAAACCATGCCACCTGCGGGCGGCGTCGTGAATGGCGCCATGGTGCTAGACGATTGCCTGTTCGCGCAGATGACCATCGAGACATGGAATCGAGTGCTGCACCCAAAGACAATCGGCTCAGCGAACTTAGACACGGTGTTCTCGGAGCCTGACCTCGACTTCTTCATCATGACGTCGTCGTTCGCCGCCATCGGTGGACACGCAGGGCAATCCAATTACGCGGCCGCCAACATGTACATGAACGGCCTGGCCGCTCAGCGACGCAAGCGCGGTCTGGTTGGAATGGCACTCAACATCGGCGTTATCTACGGTCTCGGCTTACTCCAGCGCGAGAAGACGTATCTATACGCCGGACTCGAGAAGGACGGATACCCGCCCATCTCGGAGCGCGACCTGCATCACATGTTCCTGGAGGCCGTCGTGGCAGGTCGGCCCACAACGGACGGGGATTGCGCGAAATATCACCAAGAGCACGTCCCATTCGACATTACTACTGGACTGCGACGGTTCCGTCGGGGGTCACCGCAGCCGCTTCACTGGCACGAAGACCTGCGATTCGGACACTTCGCGATGCGACCCGAGGCAGATTCCGCAAACGTGGACAGCACAAACAATACCAAGAGGAGCCTTCAGGAGGAGCTCGCATGCCTCTCGCATAATGAGGCCGTGGCGAACGCCATCAGCGCCGCGCTAGAGCAGAGACTGCGCGCGCTCATGCAGCTCCCCGACAGCATGGCCATCGACATGCACAGCAGCCCGATGGATCTCGGCCTCGACTCGCTGACGGCCGTGGAGGTGCGCACCTGGTTCAACAAGAGCCTCGGTCAGGATTTCGCCGTTATGAAGATTATCAACGCGACTAGTATCCTGCAGCGTAAGTTTTCCCTTCTCTTTTTCCCTCTTAGCTCCATAACATACCCACCATACCATCCTATCTTACCTTATATACATCTTGTGATGTGTGCTAACCAGGGACTTTCAACAGTGTGCAACGACTGCGCAGAGCATATCCTAGCCCTTCGTGCCGACAAAAACAAGGCGTAGGCGAAGATCGACGGACACTATGTCTCTTTGAGTTGAAAATGAGGAAAATGAAAATTAGGAGAGTCGGACATGGCAGGGGATCAAGATTGGAGCATGGAATTGAGAGGATGGGAAAATGGAGAATGGATCCGTCACGTTTGCGCACTAATTATACGCCTCGGTGCTTCTCTTCTTGCTTTGCACGATAAGATGCGATTTTTTCACTTTCTGGTCTGACACCTCAGCTTAGACGCTATAGAAGGTTAGAGCAAAAACCGGCTTCTGCTGCGAGATTGATAATGCCATACATACCCAGTCTAGAATTAGACTAGATGCTAGAGTAGTTAATGTAAACCAAACAAAAAAAAAAAAAAAGACCGCGCGAGTGAAATGAAAGAGAGTGTGAGATGACGTAATACGTCGAGCGGTACCTACCTACCTACCTACCTGAATTTAGTTTGAGGTATTGAGACAAGTATCGCGGGATTGAAATCCCACTCCCGGGCTGTTGATGCTGAATCTACATGTAGTATCACAGCGCATCAGCAACCTAGGCACGGTGAAGAACATTGAACAACAGGAGCTGAACAGACGTCTTTTACATTTGACTTTCTTATCTTCTGTCTTTCCTGACAAATCGGACGAGAAGAGTTCCTAGGTACGTACCTAGTCCCGGTCTATATGATATAGCCTCATACAAAGAATATCCTCACCCATCCTTCCGTCCCATCATATCATTAATACCATGTCGATTTGACACGGGGTGTGATCAAATATCTCATCCGTCATTAGTAACCTTTCCCAACCCACAATAAATGCCCCTTCCCACACCCTTTTCTTTCATAGATAGGTATCCAATAGGTAACCGTAACTCCACGCTAAAAGAAAACCCAACTCAGTCTACAGGTCCCATCACCACCGTCCCAACACATCATCAATTGAGAAAAAAAAAACCAAAAAAAAAAAAAAAAAACTTGAAACCAAAAAGAACACCTTCCCCATGAATGATGCCGGCCTAGATAATAATGCTGTTCCCTCTTCCCCTGATGATGTAGATGTAGATAAACTCCTTAAATTCCAACAATTACATGCTCGACATGAATGAAGCGGGGGAAAAGAGTAGAAGAGAGGGAAAGTCTACCACATTATTCGTTCAGGCTTTGCCACTTCTTTGTTTCCGTGTCCTCGTGAGAGGAAATCCTTTTCGTGTCCGCCAAGTAAGCCGTAATTTAATGACTCGGGGCGTAAATATATGTAGATAAAGTAAGTAATTTTCGCCCGCGGTTTTGAAGGGCATCATTAACGTTTTTTTGAATTTGTACAGGTTCAAAGAATTGCTGCCGCGGGCATTCGCTGGGGCAGGCGATCCAAGCTCGCAGGGGTCTTGGCGGAAACGTATCCTCACAATCCAAAATTTTTTGTATCTTTTCTTTCTTTCTCGCTCTGCCTCTGCAGTTTTGATTGTGAGTCAAAATGATAGAATACCGCGCAATGAAATGGCCAGGGACATGCGAAGGTTATAAATGTGAATAAGTGAGTCGGTCGGAATGGAAATAACAATCGTGATGGTAGCGAGAAGGGGAGTAAAAGGAGGGAAACAGTGAAAATAGCCGCCGTCAGTCAACCCAAGCTTCTACGAATTGACGACGATTCTAGAAAGAGCTGGAAATCAAATGATAAGTAAACAAGAAGCAAAGATGGCTATTTTGTCTGGTTCCCGTCGCCTGTTGTGTCTTCGTCTTCAGTTTTGTTGTTGTCATGAGAAGGTGATGACGGTTTAGTGAATGCTTGTCTACACGAAAAAAAGAAAGTGTTTTTGGTGACAGTCAAGGCGTGAACTATATGCAATGTGAATTATGCAGTATACTGGTAGCTGACCTCGTCAAACTGGTGTTGTTGCGTATCGTTGAAGACGGTCAAGGGTGTCACTGTAGCCGACGACGACAAGGCTGAGCTTAGCGGGTTCATGTGATCTATTGTCGAAAATGCTGTCACGTCCGCGTTGAAAGCTAGAGGCATATTTGTAGGGCCATTGAAGGAGAAGTCCGCTGATGAGAGGGGCATCGCTTCCATATATGCTAGACCTGCTACGTTCATTGCATTGATTGTGATGGGGTTTGCAAAATTGTAGTCAAGGTTGGCGATCCCAGGGGAGCCGAAGCTTGAGGATGAGGTGGCGGCGATGTTAGGACTTACTTCGCCTTCGCCGAAGTACGGCTGGACACTGTCAATCTCTTCGTCGATATCGTCTTCTTCCTTGGGCTGCTGCTCGTCTTGCCGCACGTATATCTCTCGCATCCAGTTCTTCAGCTCGTGCATAGAGGGCCAATCGCCGCCACCTTTGCCACCTCGCTTATCCTCATCGGCGCCATTTGTGCCGGCATTCTTATTCTTACAACGGGAGGGCTTCTCTTTGAAATGCGTGCGCCTGAGGTGTGCCGCTGCGTTGTAATATGCCCCGTATTTCTTTTGTGCTTTGCATGCCTTGCATTTGGATAGCGGGTTTACAACCTGAACATTGACAGGTAGACCAAGCTCTTGCGGATCCACACATATAAATTTCTTAACAAGCATTTGATGTTTAGCATCCTTATGACGGCGTAGTTCATGTTCACCTCGAAATCCTTCTCTATGCTCGTCGCACAGATCACAAAACACCTTGGGTTGCCTTGGTCGAACATACTTCGTTTTGGTGATAGCGGCTTTACCGTCATTCTTCTCGTCCAAGGGCGGCTCAGCTTTGCTCTCGTCGATCGACGGTTTTGGCTTCAGAGGTGCGTTAAGGGCCCGATGGTTCTGCGCCTTCAAAGTCACTTTGGCACGAGCACTGAGCGACGAGGATGTCGACTTGGCGCTAGCGACGCTCGTGCTTGAGAGCGATCGTTCCATATCTGGGGATACCAATAGCCCGTCATTGGGCGTCGACGACGCATAAGACTCTCTCGTAAATGTTTCTAAGCTCGAACCGACAGCAAAGAGGGCATCCTCGTGAGAGGATGGTTTTCCTAGATACGATTCGTCGTACTCGAGAGCCTGCTGTGAGGGGGAATAGGTATCTTGGCCGTGCGACATCTGGGAGCCCACCTCGATCATTCGTACTCCTCCTGCAATAGAGGGGCTGTCAAACTGACTATTCTGTCGCGTCATCGGAGCGGTGTTGTCATAGGTAGGGCAAGATGTCATAGAGCCACAAACACTCATATTAGGGTTGGGGGCATCCATGTCGCCGGGGTAGGAGGTGCCAGAGAAGGGGGTAATGAAATCAGATGATGCATCTTCGTGTGCCGCCAACCAAACAGCAGGGTCGACGAGAACGCCTGTGGGAAGAGATCCCATGTCAGCAAGAGTGAACATCCCATGCTGCTGGTGCTGGTTGCCCACAGGGACCTGTTGTTGTATCAGGTTGCTAATGGGTTGTGATGTTATTTGACTACCGTGAACTATGTAGTTGCCTTGCTCTGTATATCTTGCTTGCTGTTTGGTCGGCTGAAATGCCGGGAGTGGTGATACAGGCGTATTACCAGTGAACGGTCCAGCGGACCTGATAGACAAGTTTGAGGCAGCACGATCCATCTTCTGTGACGAGGGAGCCTGCTGGGACATGGTGCGCGGTCGTTTCACAGCATAAGGGTAAGGTTCGTCACCATTTTGATATTGATGCTGCTGTTGATGCTCGTCAGTATCGGTGGTCAAGACTTGGTGATAGAATACTTGGGATTACATAGGGGTCTTACTGAGGCTCGGGAATCGACATGACGGCGACTATGACACTTGCTGCCAGTGTTGCCTGGCGAGACGACTCTATGATTTACAGATACAGCAGACAGTTGGATGTCACCATGTGCATCAGTAGAATGCTCTGTGATATCTGGGCTCGATAAGAGGGTTGATTGCGGCTGGTGGGCTGAACTCTTTAATTGGGAGATCTGTTGTCTCGCCAACTCAAGGTCTTGTTCCTTACTTTTGAGCAGTGCTCGCAAGCGTTGAATCTGGAGCTGCTCTGAATTTGGAAGTGGATTCATGACGCCGGTTTGTTCACCTCATCTAGGTTCAACAAGAGCTATATTCGAGAGGGCTAGGCAGAGGAGATCTATTGTCGCTTCACTTTCTCTGTTCTTTTGTCTGTGGTTACCGGTAATTCTTCCACGGTGTAGCACTACTTTCTGGAGAGAATATGGAAAGAGTGGATAACGACAGCGACAACAACAGCAGGAATCAAGTGCTCTCGTCTGTGCGGGTTTACTTCGCAGCAAGGATGGAATCCCTGCGGGTGCGAATGGATCAAGGAAGGCGATGAGGGGGAGAGAAAGAGACACGAACATCTGCTCCAGGCGGGATGACGGCGACGATGGCCTCGACGAGAAGCAGGCGCGTTAAGTACAACCAGTCAGTCTAGTGTGAGGCTTTGGCGCATGCGTGGCGGTGGGCCATGTATGCAGGCCCTTCACGTTTCCCACTGGGGCCAGAGATCCATCTAATTTATAAATTATAAAGCTCAGATCAGTCGCTTGGCTTTGGAAGTTCAGAGAAGTTGGTCAGCTGGGGGGAGCCGGGGGCAGACGGGGGGAGAGATGCCGGGGGGCCTTGTAGCGTCAGCACCATGAACTGGGTCACGTCAAGAATGTCAACCGCAAACACGCTAGCGCTTCCGAATGGTGGTTGGGTACATCATGCCGCTTCGACGTGTTTGGCCATCGAGTCCAGCTAGGCCGCTACGCACCAAGACCGTACAAGCTGTGATTTGCGTTGATTGCTCGAGGGGAGGCGGTGCTGCGTATCCCGGCGGCTCGACGTGTAGCTCGCGGTAACGCTCAAGGTGCAGAACAGGCTTACTTAGAGGCAGAGTGACGGAGACGGGGAGAAAAGGTGGTGTGCCATGTCTCGATGGTGCGAAGCCACGATGAGCACTGCTCTGACTCTTTCCATGTACGTATAGGTAGAGTAGGTAGCATGCTTTGTGCATTCATGCATGCACTCTACTGGTGATGGTGTGTAGCTTGCCTCGAATAGGAATCTTACGGTCCTGCATCGTCAACACGCAGCTTTTACAGAGGCGCATGCTGCCGCGATGCGTATGCCCAATGCTATGGCGCTGGATAGAAGATGGGGAGATAGCGTTTCGAGAGACCAGGTCATGATATCAGTTCTATACCCCTCCGCAGTGGTCTAACATAGGAGATTATGAAGAGGAAGAGGAGCTAGCTCACGGGTAGCGATTTGTACTTGGACCCGACGACAGGCTCAATGGATTGGAAATTCCATATCGCCCAGGTTGAGCATTTGGCCTAGGGAGCAATGACGAATTGATGCCTGACTCCTCTCATATGGCAATTGAGTCAGTTGGCAAATGTCTCTGTCTTTCTGTATGTCTGTCACCTGTGAGCAAAGTGCAAATCGAAACTATCTAGTTGCAGACTCAATCGGTCGAATGCGAGCGTCGGAGAGAAACAGATGGCCAAAACTGCAAAGGCCATGTTCGAGGGCCTATCAGACTGTCAAGGTGTCGTTGAGCAAAGTGCTAGAAGCAATATTCCATCACACTCTGCAGCGCTTCTGGCGAATGGCATTCGTCCAACGAAGAACGAAGGGGGCAGGACCTGCAAGGAGAGCCTCGTGGCCATCGTCTTTCTCGAGGAAAGATGCATGACATGGGCTCTGAACCCGGGGGTCTCCAGGGAGCCTAGTCCCTGTCTGGGCTGGATCTTAGCGAATTCGGGACGGTGCCGCGGGTAGCCAAGGCGAGCCAAGGAGAGCCAGGTTGTATGCTGCGATGAGTTGTCCCAATCTTCTAGTCTCCAAATCCCAATCTCCCAAAGTGAGGCGAGCCCCACGAAAAGCTGTTGAATGGCTGTCGATGTCTGTGAGTCGACAGTGGGCCACACGATCCTTCTTAGCCATAGGTATGCTTACAGTAGTCCCACGGACTAACAGGATTCCAGAATGACTCGTTATTGCGGTTTTGGGTGGTTTCGTAGCCGCACACTATTTACAAGTACCGTAAACTAGAGCGACCTCTTCTCTCCACAGTTGCCCGTTGCTTGTTTGGATACTTCAGCACAGCCAACCAGAGCACAATGGAGGCACCAGTGATGGCTCGGAAGGGAAAGTATCTCTGTGTCACGGGTCTAGCGTTGCCTGCACTGCAACGCTTGGGGTGTAAGCCAACAAATACCTACTACTTGTGTAGATGCATGCTGCTTCTGCTTTCCCATCAGGTCAGCTTGCCCGGCTTCGCCCGAATTCAATACGATTTCGAAACTATTCGGAACCGTTGATGCTTGGACAGCTATTAGACTTGAGACAGCCGTCTTCACACGCTAAAACGGTCATCCCAAGAGCTTTGCTAGTAGTCAATGCAAGTCATCGAAGTGGGTTGGCGAGCTAGCCATGGGAGGAAGGAGGCAGTAGTGACAGAAAACGGGAAGGGAAAACGAAGAGTCAAGCCTGATCGATTCTAACTAGCGCGTCGCCTGATACGCTTCCAACGGCGTCGGTGAGGAAAAGAGTAAAGGGCGAGGGATGAGAGGCGATGGGCCAATACATAGGCTGTGTGTAAGAAGCCGGGCGTAGCTAGGGTTGAACAAGAAATCCCATAGAGATGCCTCCCTAGGTGCCGGGCGTTTCCGTCATCCAAACCACAACAACCAACCAACTACCAGTCTACTAAAACCCCAAACGCAGCAACGGGTTGAAGCTGCAGCTTGCTCTAAATATGATGGTCGCACACGCAGTTGTACGGGCCTGCCTGGACAACTGAGCAAGTACCGGTAGCGGTAGGTATACGATGTTTCAGCCTGAGCCTAAGCCTGAGCCTGAGCCTGAGCACCCAAACTGTAACCAATGATGGCGAGTGACGATGGCGATGGCTGACCAGGGTTCTCCCGAAGAGGCGATGGTACTCTTGGACCAAACCCGGTCCAAATGGATACTGGACAAAGACTCAGATATTGAATGACAGTCTGACATTATACCCTCCGCTTGGGATGATCTCCCCGAGATCGCATGAACGCGTGGACGATATATCCCGAGGTTACATGAAGCCCAAACGTAATTGGGGGTGTATTGAGCAGCACCAGTAGACAGGCGAGACAGGCAGATAGACAGCCCAGCAGGAGGACCACTTGGTCTGCCTGAGCGAGGAGAGGCTAGGAAGGATGCGGCATGGCGAAGAGGCCCAATTGAGACTGGAACAGTCGGACGAGACACAGACACGACGCCATTACGTGGGTAGCAATGCCGCCGCGGATGCAGCCAATGCACGGAATCAATAAGCAATGGCTTGAGATGGTCGCAGTGTGACTTGTTGGTGCTGCAGGTTTATGTGCGCCTACATGACTGGAGAATACCGATGACACCAATGCAATGTGAGATGGGCGACTGGAACATGGCACCTAACGTCCTTGGCGTGTGTGTGTGGGGGGGTGTGTCTGTCTACCAACTCAACCTCCATGATGCCATCTGGGATACCTTACACAGTAGGTAGGTGTACACACTCCCTCCCTCTCTCTCCTTCACTCTCTATCTCTCTCTCTCTCTCTCTCGCACGCGCGCGCTTACTCTCTTTCGCTCTTCCCATTGATCTGGGCTCACGGTAAGAATACGTAAGATGACGATAGAGACGACGCAGGAGAAGGATGATCCGGGGTAGGGGGGTAGCACTCCTAGAGAGTCGACGACTGGTTGCGGTGATGTGATGGCACCTTGCCAACGCCTTGCCAGCTCCCTGGTGAGAGAGCGATTGTGCAAGATTGTACAACCATGGTGCTTTGTACCAGCAAGAATGACCGAGATGTTGTTGATGTTGCCAAAATACTAGGTAGTGCAAAAGGCATGAATGAGTGCTGAGGATTGATGAATTGTTGATGAATTATCACACATACACAAGTCCCAGAGGACCTACCCGGAAAGACAGCTGCCTCCAGATGTCTACCCCCGGGTACATGGGTACACGCCCCTCCTCCCCCCAAAAGAGCTTATCACAGTACCTGGAAATGAACAGATGTCATATACAAAGTATTACATACATGCTTCACATCAAACTCGGTGCAAAGTAAAAGAGGTAGGTACCTATCGTGATACACACCTCTACACCTCTCCTACGTACGTAGATAGACATTCCAGTTCTGTTGCAGGTGACTGGCTTTCAGGTTAGGTACCTATCGGTAGGTGCACTGCCTTCATCAGTCAAGCATCGCAACTCGCCTCGTTTGTCACCGAACATTCATGTCCATTCAGCCTCTTCGTCGTCCATTTCCTGATTTACTTGCAATATCGACTTACCTATATCAAGACCTAGGTGTCCAATCCAAGCAGACTAGGTTGCAAGAAGAATACGCTGTAAAGGAGACGCATCCAATGGCTGCCATCTGAGCTGGACTGGCCACATCTCCACCTCCACACCGACGTGTCGCCTTTTCCATGTGATATCACCTCTCCGAGAGCGGCACAATGCGCCGTTTCGCCTCCTTCGCCGCCGCCTGCGCCTGGCTGCAGCTCTGTCGCGCTCGCCAGCCTGGCTTCAGCGTCCATCATGATCTACTCGCCTACCCTCAATTCGAGGTCGTTTTCTCCGACACCTACATATCCGAATCCGACGCCCGTGCCCTTCTCGACACGCCCGACGTTGCCCATCCCGCTTACGATGCCGGGCTCGCCAGCCAGACAGACATAGTACCCACTATCCGCGCTGCGGATGACTATGACACCGAACACGATGCTACTGCGTCTGCCGCCGCCGCCGAATCCTATGAAGTCATGAGCATGCCGCCGCATCGCTACCTCTGCGCCATCCCCGTTATCGAACCCGCTCCCGCCCCGAACAAGACTGCTACCGAACTCGCCAAGGCTGAGCTGGCGCGTGAGCTGGCACGGGCATCCGCCCACGGCTGGGACTTGATCAACGAGCTGGACGGCAAATGTCTGTACTATATGTCAGGCTGGTGGAGCTATCGCTTCTGCTACGGACAAGACGTCGTGCAGTTCCACGCCATCGCATCGAGCGTCAAGAGTGGCCCGCCCATGCGCGATGCCAGTACTGCCGAATATGTCCTCGGCAGGGTTCCCGATCCCCATGTGACCTCGCGCCACTCGCGCCGTGGTCAGAATCAGCAGCAGCAGCGCGAGAAAACCAGGCAGGACCCTCGTGGGGACGTTGATGCCGGTGCCGCCACCCCAGCACCACCTAATACCGACCTCCAAGTCAAGGGAGACCAACGGTATCTTGTGCAGAGGATGGGCGACGGTACCATCTGCGACTTGACCGGCCGTGAGCGCACCATAGAAATACAGTACCATTGCAGTCCCGAAAGCACCCAGGATCGGATTGGTTGGATTAAGGAGGTAACCACATGCTCCTACCTGATGCTGGTCAACACACCTCGTCTCTGCGTCGACGTTGCCTTCCAGCCACCCAAAGAAGAAAGAGCCAACATCATCAGCTGCAGGGCCATCGTGTCCGAATCTGGCCAGGCCGACTGGCATGCGCGCAAAACGCTCGAAGCCCAGGCTGCCATGGTCGGCCGTGCAAAGGAAGCCGCCAAATCCCCTGTCGTTATCGGTGGCGTCGTAGTGGGTGGCCGCCAACTCCTCGGGAATGGCGAGGACGGCAAGGAAGTACCGAACTTATCACCGCCCAAGAGCCTCCGGAGCGACAGCGGCATGTTCGGCCTCGAGAAGCTCGTCGAGATCATCGCATCGGCGACGGGCAAGGACGAAGGCGGCGAGGTCAACGTCATGACCGAGGAGCAGCTCCAAGCGCTCGACCTCAGCCCGAAAGACATCGAGTCCCTGCGAAAGGAGATCCAGAAACTAGCCGGCGATAGAGGATGGCAATTGAAGATGGTGGAGGTCCCTGGGAATAATAGAGAATTAATTGGGATTATCGAGGGTGGTGAAGAGGATGAGGGTGAGGGTGAGGGTGAGGGCGAGAGCAAGGGCGACAACAAGGATGAGGTGGGAGGTGAGGGCCAGAATGAAGGCAGTGAGGAGCAGTTCTTCCAAGAGGAGTTGTAGATTAGCATAAAAGATATAGAATATGAGATACATGATTAACGCTCCTAGCTAACGTGTGCCAGGTTCCTATATGTATGTGATGTGGTGTTTTTGCCTCAACGCATATATCTCCTGAAAACATCAGGTGTAAGTATATACGCATGCCTTGGCTAGAGGTAGCCGTATGAGTGAGTCCTATCATTTATTTACTCTCTCTCTCTCTCTCTCTCTCTCTCTCTCTCTCTCTCTCTTTCTGGCTGGTCTTTGGCTTTGACGAGATATAATCCGTGTATGTGAATCGCAGACAACCCCAGACCATTTCTCTTCGACGCGATTCTTGTACTTTGTCCATCTACTCCGTCTCTTCTCCAACAACCATACTACATGTTACTTGAGACTATGATTCTCCTTCAGTGCTATCTGGCAAATGCACTCGTTCCATAGACACGTAAAGAGTACATGGTATACTATACAAACTGTGATTCTCATCAGGGCTTCATTCTCATTGTGCGAATATCAGCATGCTCTAACACTCGCATTTGTTCTCCGCCTTGCAAACAAAAGTTTTATCTGTCTTCGGTACATATGTGTACTGACACATAAACTGCCTACCTACATATTCAAGTAGAAAAGTATCTATTATACCAAGCTTGTGATAGGTCTATCGTGTTAGGAATAGTTGTCTATTATTCAGGACTTTAGAGGAATCTCCGGTATGAGTTTCCTGCGAAAGATACCCGCAAAGAAGCTCCTTCACACCTTTCAATTCTACTTAGTGTGGATATACGATTCTATACGAAGTTTTTGACGATAGCAATATGTGCTTATCTAGTCCGCGCCAGCCTCTAAGTGAGTAAAGGAGGCTTTCTATTGTGGCCTTACTTTTCAGGCAGAAGCGCATATACATTCTCCAATGATTACTTGCTGTTCATTCATAGCTTGTACATGCAAATATACACCCCTGAGACGAAGGCCAGATTCTAGAATCACCAAAAAGACATAAACAGAGGCGCTGGTACACGGCTAAGTAAAAGCAAGTAGATATCTTTATCACCTTTCTTCTAACATTTACAGCCTTTCGCTATGAAGATTGAAGTCGTGATATAGTACAGCAACCCAGTGCAAGGATAGGTCATTCCCTTATGAGAAGCATCATATATATATAGGTATACTAACAGTGTGATCTCAGCTTTTATCATCTGTATTCTGAGACAGGCTCAGGAGCGGACCATACAGCTCATTGAAAGATCGTAGGAATATTGTATAGCTGGCGTTTTCAATTCATCATGCGTTCAGGAGACTTACGATTAGGATATGAAGGTAGTAATCCAGTAGGCTTATCAACACACCCGCGACGCTCACGCCCTCGACTTCCCAGAAACAAAATGGAAACCACGACTACGGGTCTACCAAGCCTAGAAAGATACGGCATCCTTAAGTCCATCTTACGTATTTAGCATTGCTATTGTATCAGCATGTCCTAGCTTCGGAGGAAATTTGATATTTTATCTTACAATGATCAACAACCTAGGTCAAAACTTAGGAATGATAACCAAGAACTGACTACATAGACCGTGCCGAGTTTGTTCACGCCGACTTGGAAGTCTGAGACTACTTGGATATAAATAATCACATGGTCTCGATCAATTGGTGTTCTGATGTGTAAATGTGTAGAAGCCATGCGAGCGTGCACGGTCTTCTTGCCTTATCTCTTCAAAATTACTTGACTAGTATATAGGTAGGTAGTTATTGAGCCAATTGAACTAGGTACTTGAGTAAGTTTTCATAACCTACCTCTTACATATGGCAGCTCGTAGCGATGCTAATACGTCTATTTAGGCATGTAAGGGAGGATGTGATAGACTATGGAGGTAAAGCGACCCTAGTCCACTAGCCGTAAGCTCACCCCATACTTACATACTGATATATCCCCGGAATCATATAACAAACCTTGCATTTACTGGTGCAGTTCTGCTGCATTAGATACAGTAGACTATTTAGACGCGGGGGGGTTTTAATCCGACCCTCTGAACATGTCACATTTTTGCTCTTACCTACATCTTACATACTTACCTACTTACATGTAGTACCTACAGTAAGAGCAGGCTAAATCGATTGAGAGGATGAACTCCTCACAAGCCACGGCTAGGAGAAAAAGAAAGGCGCCGCCCTGTCGGAATAGCTGGCGGGCCGGCCGGAACAAGGACTGGGAGGAAGGAACCCCGGCCACGGCCTGCAGCTACATGCATGGATGTATGTACGCGTTTCGGCACGACACGCATTTCGGCCCATGCAAGCTCTTAATAGCTGTGTCGGTATTAGCTAGTTGGATGGTCTAGATACTAGAGTACTTATGTATCAACCAAGTGTAGTAGTGTATTACACTATGAGACGCCACCCGGACCGGTGGTTTTGAGTGTGATTAGAATGGGAGACGCTACATTATTCTCTCTCTTCCCCCCCCCCCCCTCTCTTATCCACGTTGAATAGGATAGTTAATTAATAGATTAGCTAGGATGCCGAGGAGTACACACATTCATGATGTAGACCCGATCTCAAATGTAGGTAGCTAGTTACATCAAACATTCCCTTCAGCTGGTGAAGAACGCTGTCTATATAGGGGCAAGCTGATTCGCCCGTGATGAAGCGACCTTGGATTGAATCACACTGCATCAAGGGGAAGCGCATCACGTTTGCTGCGGGCGGGCCAATCATACAGTATATTACACATTTCTCGTAGGTAGCGTAGACATTCCAAGCTCGGAACACGGCCCTGAGCTAGAGCAGAACTGGTCTGGTGGGACCTGTCGTTAACCTTGTCAAGTATGGTGATGCTGGTTGTGGTAGGACATAAAACCTTGGGTATTGTACGAAGTACCGGTAAAGTAGAGATTGAGCTGACTGTTGCTGCGACAACTCGAAGACGAGGAGGTCTAGGCTGAGGAATCTGGGATGATTTTAAGAATATCTAGTGGTGTATCTATTGCCAAGAGCAGAAGACCTTGTCTGGAGTTTTGACACGTGCTTGCTTCCACATGTTGCTCTGCTCTGCACATGATGATGATGATGCGCGGCTGTGTATGGAGGCTTCCTTGCCGCTAAGGCAGAAGAGATACTTCCATATTGATATACACAAGTAGTTGTTTGCTATTATCTATATATATTGCAATTGAATACATAGTACTATGTAAGTAAGTAGAATGAAGTGAGATATAGATAGATGTATTCCAGCACTGTGATGTGAAGCAGCGGTTGTGCGCTAGAACGAACGCGCGAGCTTTCCGTCGACGCTAGCTTCCGAGCCAGCGTCTCTCCTCTCTCCACTCCAGCTTTCCTCCCTTGCTTATTTATTTATTTTTCCCTTGCCAAGTTTGCCATATACCCACGATATGCTCGTTGGTCCCGGCATTCGGGATCAAATTGGGTCAACAGCTAAATGTGTCCAAGGTACACAGTGCAAAGACTAAGGCAGCTGCTGTCGTTACTAGTTAGCCTGTTCAGTTACATAGTACATAGTACACCATATCCTCGCTATACTTGTACTTTATAGGGAATTGGCCGACCCGTCGTGGAGGTTGACGGTGCATATGCAAGATTACTTACGCTGCTACTGCAGGTTCATCATCCTCAGTCAATTGCCCGGCATTCCGGGCAGTAGGTACTGTGTACTTACCTCTCTCTCTGCTCTGGTATTGAGATACCAGGTTCTCTCATTTTTCATCAAGTGCTTTACTGGCGTGGAGGTAGGTAGGTACGGTACGTAGTGTATGTACAATCTGCAAGGGAAGGAGATGGTGATGGGCCCTCTATCCCTGTCTCTCTAATCCCTGTCTTGCCCTTCTTGTCTTGTCTTGTCCTGTCTTGTCCTGTCTTGTCTTGTGGCATCGCAGCTGTTCGCTTGTTCGTTCGTTTGCTTGCTTGCGCTGTACGAAGTTGGTAGTTGACTTTCCTCATTCTTCCATTTTACCTACCTATTGCCTCCTTACTTATACACTACACCAAACCCATTCCATTCCATTCCATAGGTAGAACGTCGCTGTCATCTTTGGGGGTCGACTTTTTGTCGTCATCGTCGTCGTCTTGAGCTCACCTTGTCTCCTACGACACCGTTTGCTTCACACCATATTCTTGAGCAACACCGGTCTTCGGCCTTCTGTACGTGTAACAGCAGCATCTGGTCAATCCCCGACATCAACGAGCCTGAGCCTAAGACATTCCCAAGACATCTTCGTGTTGGCCTGTGACCACTCGCACAAGCCAGACCCAGAGATCCAGGCCTATTTGACTGCAGCTGGCTTGCTTCTACGCCCCTGATTCTCCCGGACCCCTCCCGTTCGTCCTGCATCTCGCTTCCCAATTCCAACTCCAATTCCGCCCAAACCTCGACTCTTCACCAGCCGAAGCCATGGTGTAATCCTTCCCCCCCAGATATTTCCAGATAATACCGACGCTTGCCAATTCTATCATCAAGGTCATGAATGCCCCTGTTAGAAGAACCCACGACGACAATCTACGACTTGAACAAACCATTGGTCTCCCCTGAGCTATCTAAGCCAACTAACTGTCTTCTACACTTCACCCAGTTCTTATTACCGAAGTCCAAGGGGGTTCTCGTAGCCACAGATGGAATGTCGATAAACCGTCTTGCGTTGAAAATCCTGTAGGTCGTTGGAAAATGGAGAACACCGCCTCTCGCAAAGATGCTCGAGAGCGTCTGCACCGTCGTGCACTTTCACAGGCTAGCACCGCCAGCAGCACGATGCACAGCCCGAAGACTACGAAGAGTACAAGTACCTCCTCTTCTCACCCGCGCGCGATTACACCTTCGAATCCACCCCACATGCATCGGTACCACCATGCCCAATGCGATAGAGAAACACTGGGTATACGACAACCAGGCCGTCTATCTAGAGAGTCAAGCAGTGAATCGAAGCAACTGCTTACAGCCGCCTCCACCTTGCTGCAAGAAAGGCTACAACAGGAACGAAAGGCGGAGAGCGAGCGGTTGGCCAGCAAGTGGGGTTCTGATCTGAGCTCGTCAACCGGTGACATCAGAGACAGAGATGTCCTAAACTCGTTAAGCACGAGATCTAGACATGGAGATGAACGGCGACCGAGATCAAGCCATGACGATGATTCAAGCCAGACTAGCATGGGAGCGAAGCAGGTAGAAAAGGTGCGTTTCCACGAATGAGTGGATATCTCCCCTTGCTGAAGGCACACGTCACTGACGGTAACACCCTCTAGGCTGTTTCCACGTTGCATAAACAGAACTTCGATCTCAAGCTGGAACTTTTCCACCGGCGCGAGAAACAATCTGCACTGGAAGCACGTGTGGAAGAGCTCGTCGCTGAACGTGTCGAGTTGACAGACATTCAAGAGAAGCTGCTGAGCGAGCTTGTCAAAAGGGACAAGGCCATTGAGGAAGCGGTCAATATGATAGTCAAATTGGAGGCACGGGTTGATGAGCTGATCCAAGAAAAAGAAGTGGCTAGTAGAGTTGGCCCTGACGGATCCTATCGACATTCATGGTCCAACTTGTCGGACTCATTGCGTACCGAGACTCCTAAGCCAGATAGCGGTGCCCTTCTGTCGACAGAGTCAAAGACTCTTGAGCGGATGCCTAGTTTCCTTTCGGACCGAAGCGGACACACCCAACACTTGCGGAGCGTCGTTTTGCAAAACCATTCCAGCGCCATGCATCTGCGCAAGGTTTCCGAGGTTTCTGCGTCGAGCGAGGTGAGCGAGTTGAATCGCATCGCAAGCCCAAGCCTTAGTATGCTGAGTGAAAGCTCCTTTGTGAGCATCTACGGCTCCAAACAAGGTCAAGATGGGCTTGATCTGCCGCCGTTGCGCGATTTCTCCGGTATGGATGGCACTTTTGGTACCCGCTCGCCAACACCGACCAAGAGAATAATGAAGAGTCCCCTGTCGAGTCAGAAGACCACCAGCTCTACCCGCAGGTCTAGCCTGGGACCCGGGATTCCGAGCGGTCTATCTGGCGAGGTTGGATCGGTCAACAGCGTATTGCACATGACATCTCACTTGCACAGAATGGAAAGGCCAGACCAGCAGACTACCTTTTCAGATGATAGATTCAGACCAGCTACAACAAGTCGCGCCAAAGCTGTGGTGACCCCGACTCCCCAGTTTGTGAGGCCGTCATCTCGAGCGGGGGGGAAGCGCGAGAGGAGAGAAGCATTGCAAAAGGTTATTACTAATTACCCAACACACAAAGAGCTGGCCAATACCCACGTTCTACCGCCAACTCCAGATACCGTGTCTTCTTCGGTACTTCGAAAGCACAAGGGTCAATCGAGCTCCCAGGACAGCCTTCCAAGATCCGATGATGCACATACCCCGAGGGTTGTTCCAGCGTTGCTGCCTCGTGGTGCCGATCAGTTGAGATCGTTCGAGATTCAGGAATCTCGTTCTAGATCAAACACGCAGCCGACACGATTGTCAGCGCCTCCCAGGACTCGGTCCGAATTACCAGCTACGAGTTTTGCAAAACTCGACGACAAGTCTGAATGGGGATATCTAGCCCATTCGGCGGCGACCGCTACAACCGGCGTGCGACTTCGTTCGGATAGCTTCATCTCGGACTCTGATTCTGAAGGTGGCGCGGACGCTCGCTCTGAAGCGGAAACTTATGATTATTGGATGCGTGAGAGCTACAAGCCCGACGGTGAAGATACCCATTCAGGTTCCCGTCCGAACAATCGGCGGTCTCCCTCCCCGGACCTGTTTTCCTTTCCCGTCAGCACTCAAGGCTGGGAGCCGGAGGCCATGTTTGGTGCACTTAAGGGCGGTGGCTTCTTGGGATCACCCGCTCCTGCCTTGAAACGAGACCCCGTTGATGAGATCGCTTCTTCGTTGCAAGCGGCCCAACCAGACCCAATCCAGCCGACGGCGGATGCCCCGGAAGCTCCTTCGCGCAGAGCAAGTCTGAACGCCCAGGTGGCGAGTCGCTTTCTCCTGTCCACATTAACTGGGAAGACTGGAAGAAGCTCTTCCCGTGATGATGGCAGTGTTGCGAGGGCTGACGCAAGAGGGAGGAGCAATAGCGTTGATGGGGGTGGAAATATGGCGACGGTGGGAGCCCGAGAGGATACAGGGCCGACTACGAAGAGAAGTCAATACCCACCCATATCGGGACTGCAATCCCGAGGGCGCAACCTTGGGCTCAACTCGCTTTTCAGAAGATCTGGTTCGGAAAGCTACGGCGCTCCTAGCAGCGCCACAGAATCGAATTTCCCGTCTTCTGTGACGCAAAGACCTCCCCCGGCACCCCCAGTTCAATCACGATATCTCAAAAAGCCGTCAGGCAGAAACAGCGTCCCACCACCTGCGACTATGCCCTGGACAACGACCCGCCCGATCAACATGGTGGAGGATGAACTGGCGAGTGCCACACCACCGCCGATTCTTCGGAACCGTCCAGCACCACTGCAAACAGATCTGATCAGCTCTGACGCCATGATCACTCCGGACACATCTGAGAGTACAGAAGCAGGCGCAGTTCCAGCAACTCCGATAACCGAAATCAGAAGCACCACACCAGTTGCGCCTCCGAGTGGTGGCGGAGGCGTGAGAAAGTGGCTAGGGTTTGGCCGAAAGGCAAGCTCGATGACTCGCGCAAACTGAGGGACGTTTCCCATGGAGCATTATGCCCGTGTATACATAGAAAAGCATGTATTATTTTGTCATCAACTTGAATTACTCAGATCGCTTTTGTGAGAGAGGATTTTGCACAGCGCAAGCAAAAGAAGCAAGTTACATCTCTTCATTTTAGATACAGAGATGGTCCTGGGGGAAAGACTGGTACAGATTCCTTCCCCAAATTGCGTGGATTTCAATTGGGTTTTCGGGGTTTGGCGTAGGAAAAACACACACGTACACATGGCTGTACAGTCTGGTCTAGTCTCTTATTGATTATCCTTATTTTTAGGAAAACACCTGCAAATAATAAAATAACATCAGAAGAAGAACAAGAAGAAGAAAGTAATTCTCTTGTAATAAATTGGTGTGATTGATTGAATGCATGACGAAGTGAGATCGGAGCTATAGTAGATTAGGTACTTATGTAGAGTGAGTGTGAGGTGAATTAAGTGCGGAGCTTGGCTGGTTATCATACGGTAGCAGTTTGGAATATTGCAGTTGAATTGGGGGCAGAGGTTTCGAGGTTAAATACTCGGTTGTCGGGTTGTCTGTCCATTTGATTGCGTGAACGAGTCGTATAGTCAGGTTCTATATGTAAGTGTGAGTGTAAGTGAAGTAAGTAAGTCCGTGGTCGGTGAATATCGTGATTGGGATGGATAGTTGATGAGATGAGATGAGAATTAGCCCCGGACGCGGTAATACTCCAATCCCTCAATCAAAGCGCAAAAATCTCATACAAAACTTTTTTTTTTTGCCCTCACTCAGCCTTCATGAAGAAGTAGTATGATACTAGAAAGAGACATACGATGTGAGAGGCCAATCTAGGCATCTTATTGGATTGCTACCGTGACATTTGTCAGCCCGCCCTCTTTTTTTCACTGCTTTTTCAGCCCTCACCAGGCAGATCTTAGGCTAACATTGAAGACCCCAGAGGTTTAGCGCGGAAGTTGAGATTGCCATTAAATCAGTAGACTGAAGGGATGTGGTGCTTTGAACTTTAAGAAATCTTTTAGATAACGATCTATTTGAATCCCGGCTATGCATACTGACAATATGATGACGCTAGATATATAGTCGATCCAAACGGTGAAGAATCTAGGGAAGGGTTAGCAACAGCCCTTCCAATGATAGACAACAAACAATAGGTAGGTATCGTTAGAATATTACTCACTTTTTCTATATACCGCACTCCAACGAGGACTCCATCGGCGTCCTCAAACTCGGTAGTATCACTAAACTCGCTATTTTCGGAATCCAAAGCAGTGAGACAGGTCTCCACGATCTTCGAATACCGTGTCCCCATGAACCGAGGAAGTTGTGTCCTGGCCAGCTCAGCCATATTCGACTTGACAGTAGTCATGAGAAATTGGGCCAAGTCATGCTTTATCAGTTTCCGGCTGTCCAAGCACCGGAGATATCTTCGGATGTAGACCTCCCCGGTCATATTCAATAAAACTTTGCCACAGCCCTATCTCCAGCAAGCATACGCCGAGACTGTATATATCGTGCTGCATGACGAAGTCGCTGGAAGGACTTGCACCCTGTCTCGATGGATGGCGATACAAGTTCCTCTCCGCGACATCGTCTCCTAGCCTTTTTGTCTGACCGTATTCTTGTCTAAAATCTTCGAATCCAACGAGGAACAGAGATGTTTCACCTGACTTCTGTTCAGATTCAAAGCTGAGAATCGACTCGGGACGAATCCCCTTGTGCACGAACCCGAAAACATGTACATAAGCAACCGCCTTGGCTAATTCTTGCGCAGCACGGAGCTTGTGCGACAAGGATTCGGGCTGTGAATTCAGCAGGAGATGTCGCAGGCTCCGTGGCTTGACCAGCTGAGATGGCGTTCGTAGGACGAGGGTGAATCTAGCTGGCGTTCCCCTCTCTGGGTCGGGCCGTTCCGCTACGAACCCCTTGCAAGCGAGTAGTCCGAAAGTTTGCGGTTCATCGTGCTGGAGTCGCATGGCTAGGTTTCTCACGTCCTTCTTCGTGTGCTGGTAGAGCTCATGATGCTGAAGCTTGATGCTCTCAAGCACATAAGAACTGGCTTTACCTGATGTCTTGTTCTGGGCTAGTGAACAGCACGAGTAGGGCACTTCCGATATGGACATTTTCTCAAGTGCTTCCGAAGGCAACACCAGTCCTTGGATAGACGTCGCTGCAGATTCATCTGTTGTCCAGGGTGCGCGAATGGAAGTTATCGATGACCTCGACGATGGGGGAAGAGAGCCCTTCATTTTAAGCACTTCCTCGATCCGCGGGTCGCTGATCTTGAAGATGAGAAACCACGACGGATCAGAAAGTCTCTGCCACGTCTCCAGAGCCTCGATCGCTTCATCAAGCCTATCCTTCCGAAACGCGTATTTCACAGCCTTCGGAATAAATACTACTCTGCTGCTGCCACATTCACTGGTGCTGACTTGGGTTGAAACCAAGCTTCTCAGCACTGATTTCGCAGAGGTCAGTTTCTCAATCAGCACGCGCAGGGTTCGCTCTTGAAGTTCTCGGTGTCCGTCGTCGAGTATATGCTGGACCTGCTTTAGAAACTGCAGCTGCGCGATGCAGCGATAGCAGCCGTTGTCCAGTCTGATGCTTCTCTCTTGAATCTCGCTCTCAGCACCTTTCAGTGAAGAACATATCTTTCGTAGCTCTTTCCCGTATCTGCACACCGCCTGTTAGCCTCTTTTGTCTCGAGATGCGTATGGAGGCATATCACACTTCAGGGCCAAGTCGATAACGCCGATGATGGCGAGTGCTAGCTCTGCTGTCATCGTGTGTTTTATTTTGGTTATCGGGTTGTAGCTCTTCGACTCTTTGTGACAGGTCGATGTTCTGAAGGATATAGGAGTCAATTGAAATGATTCTGATCGTTCTACCACACAACTTATTCTATGTGGCGGATTACACCCACAGCAATTAGATAAGACTACCCCTTAAATCTAGCAGCTGATATTTTTGCCAGTCACAGCGCTGCGATGCTGGCATATGGGTCTGCCTCGGGGTCATAAGAGCCAAACGCATGCATCAACTCACCCACTCGGGGAGCGTGTATGCTCTATGGTTGGCACACTGCGGGACTTGTACAAGCTGGCAGTTAGGCTACCTAGCAATTCCGTGATGCCAACGCCATCTCAATATTGCGACCCTTTTCTTTACTCAGCCACCGCTAACAGGCGAATCAACGCCTTACACTTTGTTTATGCCAACGTAGGGCTTAATGATAGGGTCTTAGGGATCGAAGTTTCTATGGGAAAGAAATCATAGACGCTCGATCTTAGTATCGGAATTCTTACAAATGGTAGAGAGCTGTATAGGACTAAGCGTGGGCGTAATCTTAGTTCCAGCCCTTTGAAATTTCGTCTTGGGCTCTCTGTTCCCTCCTATTGCTTGGGAGAGTTGACCACTGCTGACACAAAGGAGCGAATAATTTTCTTCTCCGACAGCCTCAATTAGACCATTCAACCGATTTTCGCTGGACTGGAATTGGCCTCTTTTTTTTGTTACGGTCATGTCCTTCGAGGTCTCCCGCATTCGTTCGTTTTGGGTATCGATTAGCCTACTGCTCGTAAATATGCAACGATGTACCTCGTAACCCGACACCTCACTGCCTGTTACACTCAGCCTTGATTACAGCTCAATGTCACTCAACTTCTTAGCTCGAATTATCAGTGGAACTTTAGGGATCACGCGATCGCGATCGCATCTGTTCATACCTAGTCTCCCGAGGCCTATGGGATTCGGAACTATTGCGTTACTGTGGTGAGGACTATCTGCTGTATGACATGTGGTATCCCATCACACTTGCGCGTTGAGTCGTAACGCCGAAAGCGCTATGGCAGCTGACGCCGACGTACCTGAATCTGTACGAGACTCAAGATGGGAAGCCGACTTTGAGCCCAACCCACATGTGCCGTATCAAACCACCAATACGTTACTCTCAGGACGAAGACTACTGAAGCAAGAAATATGGACAAGACAGAAGCGACTTGGTCATGGGGGATTTGGTGTGGTTTGGCTTGAAAGAGCTCATTCTGCCAATCAATCCTCGACCCGCCTGCGAGCCGTAAAGGAACTAAGGGTCGGCCGGGAAGACCTTCGCCGACGTGACTGTATCCGCGAGCTTCAGGTTTTAGTCAAGTTCTCGCAGCAGAAGGTAATCCCAACCTGAAGTCCTTCCTTGCCCAGCGATGGTAATGGTCTAGTTCGTGGGTTCATTCGTCGAATTCTATAACTGGTACGAGAGTAACGATGCTCTCTTCATTGCCATGGAGTACTGCCAGTATGGAGACTTGAGGCAGTTCGTTAAAGAAAATGGCGCCATCATCGAGGCTGATGTACGGAAGATCACGGATCAAGTTCTTCAAGGGTTAATGTTAATGCACGAGAACAATTTCGCTCATCGCGACTTGAAGCCGGCGGTAAGTCGATAAGAATGATGCAAGGACTCACTTGCCAGGACAGCGCATGTTAATTCGCTTGCTCACCTTAGAATATACTCATACAACACCGACCCCCGAAGAATGAGTGGAAGATCAAAGTTGCCGACATGGGTCTCAGTAAACAGATCGATGTCGAGGCAGCCTCTACTACCGTCAGAGGAACTCCGGGTTTCATTGCCCCAGAACGCATACCTGGAATAGGGTCGGCTACCTCTACCACAAATCCATTCCCATGCGACATGTGGTGTCTTGGTGAGGTGGTCTTCTTCTTGCTTACAAGTGAGAGGACTTTCGATAGCTCCATAGAGCTTCAGGAATATTATAATGGCAAAAAGAGCTTCCCAGAGGAGCGACTGAAGGCTGCTAAAATCGGTCTGCAGGCAGTCGATTTCATCAAGGCTTTAATGGCGGCGCAACCTTCCGAAAGGTTATCGGCCTTCCAAGCCGACTACCACTCATGGATGAGAGATACCGGCAGCATGACAAGACCGCAAAGTAGGGTCTTCGGCAGGCTGCAAGATTCTTCTCATTCATCTGCTTCCCAATTTAATGATCCTGCTTTGGGCAAAACACACAAGGAGCTAGCAGATCCCCCCTTGGGCAAACTTACAGTCAGGGGGATTGTCGTATCAAATTCTCCACGCCATACTATAGACAGACAAAGCATTCCATCTGGCTCTTGGAACACTTCTGCAGTCCACCTTCCAACACGCTCCAGGGATAATTGTGTTCCAGAGCCAACAGATCCACGCCAGGAAACGATGACTGTCCCTTCCGGTACATGGAATTCTTCTCCGACATACCATATCCCAGAGTCTCGAAATGACGAGTCAACGATTGCCACGTCTACTGAACATAATTTTCAGATGCGTTCCCTGACTAGTGAGGACGAGGAGGAATCGGAAGCAGAAACTCGAGGATCTGATAATATGACATCGTGTTTCTTGGTCGATCCGAAAGGAACAATTTGGCCACCGCCGCACATTCGTGAAGAAGAATCAGAGAAAGAAGTATCAGATGAAGCAGAAGCCTACTATGTGGTAGACAGAATCTTCCTTGGGCCGGTAGTCAGACAAAGGAAATATATGGAAATGCTGGAGTATGTTGTTCAATATATTTACCATGCTGGAGGAGCAGTCCCGGAATATCATACAAAGTCAATCGAAAGACTGTACTCTGATCCTGCATCATCATTGCCTGGCGAGGACGATGCTGAGGACAAAAGTGTGTTCTTATCTAATGATGAGAAACTGGATCCTGACCGTTCTTATTATCTGACGAAGAACGGACTCCGGCCCTTGTGGTCAAAAAAACCCACGCAGGATCATGCAGACAGGGGAAGTGACATAGATGTCGATGGAGGCTATAATTCACGCTCGCCCTGTAACGCAAGGTTACATACAAGCAAGAGCGAAGAAGGGAGCGAAGAAGAGATATAGGGGAAACACAACTCACCGTCCATCTTCTGGCGCATCTGCGTCCTAACTCGGTTGCTTAGCTAAGACTTTATGACGCGTCTAAAGCGACACAAGCGATGAAGCTGTCCTGAGCATCTTTCGCAGACCAAATCTGTCCCCTCGCTCCTCTGGTATAGACAGGTAAACAACCAGAGAAGAAAAACTGCGACAAAACCACAGTGGCCCAACGGTTCCAGATGCCGAAGATTCAGATTTATAGAGGGAGGTTAGCCTTTGTGGTGTACTTGGTGCACACCAAAGACCGATGAGAGCCAACAGGTGGTTCTGAATTGATGAATACTGAAGTATTCTTCAACCAAAAAACACGGCTTCCGAATAGAATATCATGATCATTATCCTGCCAGTGATGCATGTCACTTGGTCCCCTTCCTCCCCCTGCACATGTGGTTAGTATATAGTTAGAAGGTCAGCGCATTGGGAGGTAAGTACATGTAGGTACCTTAAGCAGAGAGCCCAGACGCCAGAACACCTCTAAGCTAAGTACTATAAGTACCAGCTTAGGTATCTACTTAGGTACACATTAAGTACTCTAGGTACCTAAGCCTAGCATACAAAACCCCTGACATCACCACATTCAAGCGAACCGCCGCCTGCGATGAGGTACACATCTCATTTAATTCCACGCCATCTCACTGTCCCTCAGACTTGTCTGTCTTTGTCTTATGCGTCAGTGGATGGCTACAGATTCCCAACAATCAACTCATCTTCGCTGTGAATATGGTTCAGTCCATGCTACATTTATTGAACATACTGCCTGTAAGAGTCACCGCGCGCACATGAATCTCCAGGCGTGGCAACTTGACCTCAGCTATGGCCAAAGCTGCAAGCGATAATACGGTTCGTCGGCGCAGCGCAAGACACGCTACGGCCCAAGAGATACCAGCGACAGATGTTGACGAGATCAAGACTGAGAGTGCTGGCCTGGGCGATGATGAGAAGAGAAACCCGGCAAAAGCCGGTGCTGGTGCTGCTAAGAGACGAATGGCCACAAACTCGCTCTTAGCGGAACCTCGACGAAGCAAGAGAGTCAAATCCGTCAAGGAAGTGCCCGAACAGAATGGGGAAGTAAAATTCAAAGACGGAAGCGAGGTAGAAAACGCAGGGAGAAAACGCATCAAGCTTGAAGACGAGGACTCGTTGCCTATATCATCGCCGCCGTTGCTGGCGCCAGTTAAAGAAGAGGTGGATGACGACAGCGATAAAGGTGACTATAATAGAGACGCCTCGGATGGAAAGAAAACCAAAGCCAAGGGCAAAAGTAAAGCCAAAACAACAACAACGACGACGACGTCAACATCAACAGCAGAAGCAGCAGCAGATCTTCTCCAATCCAAAAAGCTCAAATCCTACTCCCAATTCGCAGCAGTCAGCCAATCGCCCTACCCAGACTTCCCCCACCCAACCGCGAGCGAGGCCAAGCTCGCGCACTCAATCCTCTCCCGCCTCCACGGGGCCCGGGAGCGACCTGCCGGCGCCATCGTAGCCCCGAAATCACGTTCAGGATGCGGGGACTCGTCCTCCGTTCTCGACGCCTTAGTCCGCACAATACTATCCCAAAACACGAGCAACAAGAACAGCTCGCGCGCCAAGTTATCCATGGACGCCGTCTACGGGTCGAGCGCATCATGGTCCGCCATCGTGGCGGGCGGCCAAGAGAAGCTCGCGAAGACGATCGAGAGCGGCGGTCTAGCCGTCGTGAAATCCAAAGTCATCATCTCCATCTTATCCCAAGTATACCAGAAATACGGCACGTATTCGCTCGACCATTTGTTCTCCGCGTCAGACGATGACGCGATGCGCGAGATGCTCTCTTTCAAGGGCGTCGGTCCAAAGACGGCATCGTGCGTCTTGCTCTTCTGTCTGCGGCGCGAGAATTTCGCCGTCGATACACACGTCTATCGTATCACGGGTTTGTTGGGCTGGCGGCCTGGTGCTGCGACGCGGGACCAGACGCATGCGCATCTCGACGCTAGGATCCCTGATGAGGATAAATATGGACTGCACGTTCTGCTTATCAAGCACGGGAAGGAATGCGCTGAGTGTAAAGCTGGAGGGAAGAATTTGGGAAAATGTGAGTTGCGGAAGGCTTTTAGGAAGCTGAAGAAGAATAAGGGCGAGGAGGATGGGTTGGTAGGAGATGATGATGATGATGTGGTGAAAGAGGAAGAGGGAGAAGAAGGCCAAGGGGAGAAAATTGAAGAAGATCTCAAGGATGATGTGAAAGTGTAAGGATTGGTCATGATGTGGTGGGTGACCTGTGTTATGGGTGGACGGATTACGAGTTCTTGACATCCTTCTCTCCCATAGCATCGTTGTAATATCTTGTAACATTAGTGTAACTGTACTCGACTCAGAGACGAATGTAGCGTTTTAGCATGTAACTATATAGCGCGACAATGGTATAATCTGGTCTGTTATAAATACCACAAAGCTACCTTGGATTGTAAACACATCTAAAATCATCATTAGGATCTAGATCGACGCCGATGCTGGACAGTGACCTAGTGCGGCTACCATGTCCAGATGGTATAATATGGATATCAACGATGTAAGGATTCGTTAAGACTCTTTCGCATAAAACTGATAAGGTTTTCCGCAATTCACTTAGTTATGGCGATTTGTATACATAAGGTTTAGGTATAGCTATGTAAATATATATATAAATACTTTGTTCGCCAAAACGCACTGTTCATACTTGATATTGATTAATTTTTGAGACACGCGTTCTGATATCTCAATAGAGACAACGCGATGAGTATCAAATTATTGTCATTTAGTCTGCCTTTACAATGGCTCTCATGGCATTCACCGGGCGTATTGTGGTACGCAAGAGACGAGGTGGACATATCAGTGCTGGCTACTGTGTCTCATGCATTGGAAAGCCGAGAAGTGATCAGCCTCTTGTAGCAGTACCTGGTTACCATGGTCACGTAGTTTCCAAGTTGGCTAGCAGGCTGCCCCTTTAGTCATGAGTCCGCTTCTAATTGTAGTCATATCACAATGAGCATATGCAACGAGGCTGGCTTTCTAACCTGGCAACCTAAATTTCACCATGGATTTCTAGCCAAAACATTGGTATTTTCATCCTACCCTGATTCTCTTACACCAATCCCTGCCGTGCTGAACCTGGTAATTACAGAGCCAGACTTCCATAGCCATGCTCACAAAGCCCGCGATGCAGATACCCGCACTATCACTCACGCTCGTGGCGCCCAAGCTGAACTCCCTCTCCTCAAAGGGTACGTTTTCCATGATTTCGGCAAACGTGTTCACATACACACCGCCTCCCAGCAGTCCTTCCCAGAAGACGATGACGAACACGACATAAACACTAGGGATGAAGTTGAACAATGAATGCAGCGTTAATAGCACTAGATTTCCGACCTGGAGCAACGACGCGAGATATAGATGGTGAACTCGAACAAACGCGATAGACGAGCGGGATACGAACACGCCGATTTGATAGAGGAAGCCATACATGGGATAAAAATCCCGTAGCTCGTTGAACGGCGTCGATTCTAGTGGGAATAGCACTTTGGTACCTAAGAGTTAGCTGTTTCTATTCACGAGGAATTTGGTTCTACGTGGGTTTCAGATATTGGCCCAAACAAAACAAGAGCTTTGTTCTCTGGTAGTAGCACGATGGACTCTAGGAGAATTAGATTAAGCATCCCACTTACATGTCGGTGATACGCCCTGGTTGATAATGTATTCAGCAATATAGACTAGGAATAATGGAAGCATGTAAGGGAAGAATAGAGACTTGGCTCGGCCCAGATTAGCGACAATCTTCGACCACGTATCCTCTCCACTGCCAGAAGCAGCGTGAGAGCTAGGGGTGAGAAGGCTGGAGGCAGCATTGGCCGTCGGTACGTCATGAGCAATTCGCGAATCAGGCTCATCCGAGTCTTGAAGGGGTTGGTATTCCCGGGCTTTCGCGGCATCTCGCAGGGGCTGTCTCGGAAGCACGAGAAAGAAGCTTATCAGCATGACGACAGGGAGATAGGCGGAGGCCAAAAGGCTATTCTTGACGCTGAAACCAAGCCAGTCGGTCAGCAAAACATAGAGACCGGCCCCAACTAACCCAGCCGCACCGGTGCCACTGCCCCACGCCGCGAGACTGATGTGACCGTAGTAATGCGTCAAGCCCAGAAAGCTCAGTTCACCACCTCCGCTAGACAAGCTTGCGAGCATGACTCCAACCATTTTAACAGCGACGGATTCGTCAGCAGGTGCGAATGCGATCATGAACATGCCGACGGACGAGACAGCGGCGAAGACGATGATGCGTATCGAATAAGGCACCTTGTGGATGAAATAAGGCCCAACCAGCTTAATCGAGAAAGAAGGCAGGATGTTGGCGAGGAGGACCAAGCCTTTGGGTACTTCAGGGCCGACGAGGTCCTGAGCGGCGGAGAGGATGACGACGTAGAGGACATTATTGATCAGCCCTTTTTTTCCAGTCGCAGAGTCAGCGAGGGGCGAAGCGAACGACGACAACAGAACAGGACAGAAAAATACACACCGAAGAGCCAGAATGCGACGAGAACAAGGACATCGGAACTGTGCAGGACCGAGGCCAGGCGAGCCTTGTAGAGGGCCCAGGAGGCGGAGGGAGACCCGGGCATCGGCAGCAACCCTGACGATGAGGCTGGCGAGCGAGTTGCGTGGCGCATAGCTCAATCAATGGAAGCACTATGCAACCTACGCACTTATATTGAAGTATATAAAGGGAAAGAAATGAAGCTCACGAGGCATGGTCATGCGCAGCGTTACCTGGGTGGGAATGACGACCGTTCGCGCGGCCACGAGGGACTGGACTGCATTACGTACTGGGGTAGTTCTACAAATAGGTACCTAAGGTTAGCGTGCTTCGGCACGTTATAGTGGGGTGGATAGTGCTATGCCAACTACAGATTTAGTACCTACAGGGAGTTTGAAGCCATCTTATCTACCTAGGTAGTGTTGGAATGAAGAGTGCAAAACATCACCGAAATATCGTCATGATGATTATGAAATGTTTGGAACCGTTCACAAAATATATGTGCCATAACTAAGAAAATATCAATAGATATATATATATATATATATATGGATGTATCCTTATATTTCGAATTAAAGTCTATTCATATAAGTATCATCTGGAGATAGATATGTCACAATTACAATGCGAAATCAAGACAAGATAGACCGGTTATATTACGTCCTTGATTCATCTTTATTTATTTATTTTTCTACAGCTTTAGACACGACGCCACCCTTCAATCCGTATCTAACCTGCCTTGAATCCATCATGGCTGGTTAATTCCCTTAGGCTGGGGCGTATCCGTCTCGGTAAGATCGAGCTCTTCATAATACCTATAGATGCCCTCCGAGTAAGCCTGTCTCCGACCACTAGCGAGATATTCCTTAATCCTCGGCCTCGTCTTGACTGCATCGTACAGCTGGAATACATGCGTGTATTTCCCCGACGTCTTCGCCGCCAACATGGCTTTTCGAAACGCGAATTGGGTGCCGTCGATGACCTATACAGTGCACGAATCAATAAAATGTTTGTTGAGGAATATCTAGCCTTCAACTTCTGAGAAGTATTGACGCAGACGCCTCTCGTCGTCTGTGACATAGGGTGTACATGTGTAAATAAGCATGATACGAAATGCAGACCTACCTGGAATAAAACCAGATCCGCATAAGTCAGCCGTCCACCATATAGCCACGGGCCATCCCCGCTCGCTTTTCCCTTGAGCACCCGCTCGAAATACCCCAGGAACTTCGGTAGACGGTTTCGCACGAAGTCCCCGCTCCTTCGCAGCGCTTCCTCCTTCTGGTCCTCATAGTACAGGCTCGAGGCAATGGGATGATGACAGTCATGCACTTCGTTGCTCAAGCCATCGAGGGCCGTTAAAGCGAGGCCGTTGATGCGGTACAGACCGTCTGGATCGGCATCCTCGCCCTCGGCGGGCGGTACCAGACCGAGCCGGGGACCGAGATACAAGAGGATGTTAGGCGTCTGGCTGATGAGGAGATCGCCGTGTCGAAGGATAGGGGGCGCAAGAGGCGGCGGATTATTGTCATCGCCCACATTCTCGCTGTCGATCTGGCGAAGCATAGTCTCCATGCCCGTTTTCTCCATGTGCGCCGTGTCAGTGTAGTCCGCACCGCCCTCCTCAAGAGCCAGGCGGATGAACTCGCCGCGGCCGGGGATTCCAGGCCAGTAGATTAGTTCATAAGGCACATCTGTATCATTTTCGAGTCAGTAGGTCATTCACTCATTTCCGGTTAACTACCCAACCTACCTTTGGCCGACTTTTGCTTCTTGGAGGCCGACATTGGGGATAGTGATGGTGTGACGACAAACGGAGGAGTGTACTGCCGTGCAAGGGGGGTTTTCCCTGCAACCGTGATACAAAATCGTGGGCGAGATATCTTTCGTATGGGACTCACTAAAGCTAGCTTGAAGAGAGTACCTGACATAGGTCGATTTCGAATTTATTGGCCCTGGGCCATATTGATGATTCGAGAGATAAGTTCAAGCTACGTTCGGTATCCAAGCTCATATAAATGAAGATACAGAGTTTGGGAGGAAGCTCGGTGAAGCTCATAAGAGCGAGAGCACGAGCCGTCGAGGTAGCGGCGTTAACGGAATTTCCTAAACTTTGTAAAGATCAGCCCGATTCGTCAATTCGGGCAACATACAATGTAATAATTATGAGTAATGCGGGGAATGGTATGACAGAACTTCATGACGTGAGAGAATGCACAGAGGTGGGTTTTCTGGGGGGATCTAAGATACCCAACCACTTCTAGAGGCCGGTTATATATACACGGGGCGTGTGTGGCACATGTCAGCTTTTAATGGCCTCAGAGGAGCCCTTCTACGATGCTAAACTCTCTCTTGTGATATGAAACCTCGTGTGAATATCACCCAGACAGGTATCTAAGTGCTTCTGAGAAAGAATACTGTTCTGGATAGTGAAGGATGTCTATGCTCGTCTACTCATACTTGGAATATATACCATAAACCACACCCATCCCATGTAACAAATAGAATACAAGAGTACAAGAGAAAAGCGAAACCAGAACCGCACCAGAGGGTATCAACCGTCAATAGTCGTACAGAAATCAGGGATGGAGACTCCCCGGTGAGAAGAACAAAGCCCCCACGGTCAGCCAGCACCAACCCAATAATAATAAATAGCTTGAGCGAACTATAGCAAAACGCGGGACCTAATCATAACCGCCGCCTTAACAACCACAAATTTCGAGTAGGTACTTAAAGCCCCGAGTTCTAGTTCTTGGAGATAATATCTTCCACAATCTGCCTACACGTCTGCGGGTCTGAGAACACGTGCCAGGCGTCCCTCGGCACGCCTTCGAAGGCCTTCTCGAACCGCTCGGGCTCGTTCTTGGATTCGATGCCCACTGCCGCTATATCCTCGACTTTGCGGATGAGGATGACCTTGACCCATTGCGGGTATTTGCGGTATCTAACCCCACGTGTACAACGTTAATTACCAGACTCTTCAAAATACTGCAAGGACAGGCCTACTTACATCTCACCATAAGATTCGGGGTCTGTCTGCGTCGAGTCGCCTATGCAGATCATTTTCCTCTTCGGCAACCAGGAGTGAATCTTTTCCATGCGATCGACCTTGTAATCCTCGGTACCGAGCGTCAGGGTCGTCAGGAGCCCCTTGATGCTCATCCAGCTCGAGTCCCGCAAGATGATGGTGCCGTGAGGGAAATAGCTCTCGCGGAATCCGCGGAGAAACGGATAGAGATTGTACGGCGATGCCGACAGGTAGAACCACGCCGAGGTCTCCTTGATGAGGGAATGGATGTGCTTGTATAGCTCTGGCATGCCGGGCGCGGGCTTCGGTTCGTCGAGAAACGTTGTTCGCAGAATGCCGATGGGGTCGCTCGTTTGTGTGATTTTGATCGTGTCGTCGATATCTGCGCTGTGTTAATCAGGCGTGTTCGAGGGCTCTACGCAAAACACCCCAGAATGGTCATCATACCAGAAATCACACCCCAGCCCTCAGGCTCCGCGTAGAAGGTCCTCATCTCGAGAACCCCCTTCGCACCCTTAGGGACACGGGCAAATGTCGGGACGATCTGGCCATCATGAGCGCTAGGCAACTCCTTGATATCACTACTGATGCCGTTGTGTCCACTAGGCCCCAACTTCATGTGCAAGTCCCCCTTGTAAAGAACCTCAGCCTGTGTCCCTGGCTTAATGTCCTGTACAAAAGGCGCGATCCTCTTCTCGAGAGTCTCATATCCTGGGTCTTGTTGTTCCAGCTGAATCTTGTCGGCAATAGCGTGCACAGCATCGATCAGGGGACAAGAAGTGTCCTGTGAGAACATGGCGGCGACGTACTCGGCCTCCCAGCGGCCCGTCTTCTCATTGCGGTAGGCCGTGTTATCCAAGAGCCAGAGGGTGTCCTGTGCAGATATGGATCGGGGCAGCGGGTTCTTCTTGCCCAAGTAGGCGAGCACACCCCAGAGCTTGTCCCTGACGGTCAGGGCAGATGCGAGAGTCGAGTTTTGTCGCGAGAAGTCGGGCAAGTCCTTCTCGGTCTCGTCGAAGCGACGCTCTTTTCGCGTGCGCTGCTGCATCTCGAGCGACTGCGTGTAACGTGGAGTTGACGACATCTTGGATGATGTAAGATGGGCGATATCTTCTTTTATACGTATGAGGCAATGTCTGCGACAGTATTGCAGGCTGAAAAGGCTGTGATGGTGCCGTGTGATTCAGTGACGAGGCCACGGGACTCTCGACGGTGACTGTGTCGATTCTGGGACTTGCCAGACCCCAGTGACTCGATGTGGTAGGGCTGAAGATCCAGCTTACTTATATAGAATGTACACTACCTACCTACCTATCTCTAATTAGTATATACAGCTAGACTAGTGTCGAGGCGATGTCGTAGTCGGCAGGGTCATCTAGGACTAACAGTATAGCCTCCGTCGCAGGCTGCCTGCCTCTATCTGTACTCTCACTACAAGCACCTCCCTGACCTAGGTATCTCCTGCTGTGCCTCTCTGGTGGCACTCTACATGGAGCAGGATGGAGCTTTTTTGGTTTCACTGCAGGAGCTACTAGACAGGGGCAATGCAGATCATCCATGGTGATGAGGTCAGATCGGAACTGGGGACCATGGACGTGGATGTCGATGTCAGCATGGCTGCTTCCTGCTACCGGCTACCGGCTGCAGACGGCGGCGGCGGAGTCACAAGTCGCCTGGGTGAAGGAAACATACGGTAATACCAGAGACGAATAACTCGGTATATCGGGCATAGGTAAATGAGAATGATTAGTTCTGTCGCCATGGTTGGCAAAGCGGTGTATCCTCGATACAATGATGTAATATATGTAAGTATCACCAGCCAGCAAGCCAAGCATAGGCAGACAGGCCAGACAGGTCAGACAGGTCAAGAAAGATGCGATCACCGCGGTCCCCCACCACCAGGCGCCTGTCATCCATCCAATTTGCTTGTTCCGAGATAGTTCGCTTGCCCCAGAGGAGCCTAAAGATGTCATGCAGCCATCCGACCAAGCCCTTGGCTCTTACCAGGTCCTCATTGGGCGTAGATCACGCTACCAAACCTCCTTGGCCTGGTTTGGCCTGGGTAGTAGATCCTAGTGATCCATCCTAGTGTAACAGTAGCTCCAACTTGGTTCCCGATTGGCTATGGAGCAAATGTAAGGAGTGAGGATGTTATAACTTGATTTCAATTCTCATCGCCGCTATCCTAACGTCAATAAGATAAATATCTATCGTCTTCTCAAAGACGAGATTCATCTTAGAAAAAAACATATACAAAAGAATATACAGGTATGTACATATATATATATATATATATATATACATGTCTATGCAGGACTATGCACTACTAGAAGAGGTACAGACAGAGACGCGAAACAGAGATCTGACAAGGAGCTCCAACCTGATTCATCGGGCCACCGAGCTGAGATTCCATAGTATTATAATTAGAACATCTGGTACACAGCTTGCACCATGCCAAAGACGACAAAACGCCAATTTGAAACAAGAGAGCATAGCAACACGCGGCCTTTTCCGTCCTTGCCGGCGTTTCGTTTGTGAAATGAGATTTCGCAACTTCTATGGTATGTAGTACTAATAGCGTCGCACGCTGGCATGGCATGTCCTACACACATGTGTATATAAGCTTACATGAGCACATCTATGGGTCGGCACTTCTAGGCTGCTTACCGAAACTGGCTGCATTTCGCGGCGGGGGAGTTTCATTCAGTTCATGTTGTGTTTCCAGAATACTGGGCGCATGCGACCCGTCTCTACTCAGCCGCGTTGAGTCGGCGTAAAGAGCAGACGAACACACATGGTTCATGGTGTCTAACGTTACAGTCAAATCTCATGAAGATCATATTGTATTTCAGTGACAGGAGATCAAATTTCAAGTTTAATTCAGAATATTCATATAAGTGCGAAAGGCAGGACTAATTATTACGATTGTTATGAGGAAGAGATGTAGCGCACAGTTCAGAAGCTCAATTGATCTTTCATTCCATCAAGTTACGATGACTAAGTATGCACCTACCTATACATATCGTCTACTGGTCCTACCTACACGAATAGGTTACGCGATACCTTCTAGAAAAGAGACACAGATGATCTGCTCACCGTCTCTCACGAGACCGCTTACGTTCTTAACCATACGTGATCGAACCTAGTGTCTCTCATCTTCCTGTCCCACAACACATTCCTAATCCGCCTTATTCACCGCCTACCTTCATTTGCGTAGTACGGATCATACGTCGACCATCTAGGCGCCATAGGAGCCGGGCGTGGGCGCAGTGGCGTGTTCAGAATAATATTCATCTCTTCCGCCGTCAAGAGCGGTTCTTCGGGCACCGCTGGAGCTCTCTTCTGACTAGCCTTTGCTGCTGCTAATCCTGGAAGAGGTGTGCGAGGCTTCTTCTGCTGCTCCGGGGTTGCTGCTGTCTGGGCTTGATGAATCTTATGGACTTTCCGCGGTCCCGCCTGGCCTTTCTCGGCACTTCTCTTCTCTCCTTTGCTCATGGTGCAACCCATTGACTGTTTGTCTGCTAAGGTTAAGAGGGTGTCGATTAGGTGTAATATTTGGTTGAGTAACACCACCTGCGTTACCTATGTTATTTCTTACTCACTGGAGAAGAGGTTATTGCCTAAGATGTCGACGCCTGGCCAATGTCCAGATGCGATCACCGAGATAGGTCAACAAATACTGGTGGAATTGGATATCTTGGTTTGTGAGAGAGGAAGGTCTAGAGTAACAGCTAGGAGCAATAGCCTTATTTATAAATAATGGCCTGGGGCACAATAGACATTGTGTTCTTTCACGTCTGAGTATTGAGCGAAACCTGAAAGGAATGTCAAAGGTTGCTACTAAGATCTCCGACAATTGGCGTCGTTTCTGCTGTGTTCCTTTATAGATGTGTCAAAGACCCTTGCAGTCACCAGTGGCTTGGAGAGAAGGGCTATTGTTTGTAGAAAGCTTGGCCTAGGTCGTTGAACAACGACAATTTGCAATACAGTGTAGGTATACACACCTACTAGACCTCGAGGCTGTCGCAAAGTGACCTAAATAAATTTGGTAGGATTGATCTATTTCAGGGGGGGCCAAGACATAGCAGCTTAGTCTGTGGAATATTAGTGAGAGAACCAGAGCATAGAAACACGCATCATTTCTTTATTGTCAATCTTTTCACATATCGGCTAGCATATAGAAGGTTTATTACTAATTGCCCTCAGAGAAATGGCCACCGAAGATGTCCCACTGATTCAATAGTGACTTCTGATTAACACCTAGTTCTGGATACCTTTTCCTATGTCTCCCCACCTATCTAAAAGTACGAGGCCTCAACAAGAAAGCCAACAGTCAACTAGATAATTGTCAGTAATTCCGTGGGAATCTTCTCATTTCATCACAGATGATAACGAAAGAGAACGGGGAAAAGAATAGGTTCTCACCTTGGCATGTTCAAGAACGTGCGGGAAGTTAACAGTCGAAACGGTATCTTGAGCCGAGTGGATATAAGGCGAGGAGTCGCGAATGTTCTCATCGCAGACGTACACAGCAGGATAACCCGCAGAATAGGCAGAAGCGCTACAAAACAATGTCATTAACCACCATCACCACATTGTCGTAGACAAAGCAATTGATAGAAAATCACGTACTGGTCACTGCATCCGTATCCGCATCGGTCGGTTGACAGGGGAAGCTTGGAGTACACGGGCACAAGTTTCTTGGTAAAGTTGATCAGGTTGGTGTCGCCGTAGTCAGTAAAGACGGCGATGACGTTGTTGGGCGAGTAACCAGTCATGTCCTGGTTCATGACAGCAAGGACATTAACGCGGCTACGAGCATACGAGTTGAAGACGTCGCGCGAGCCGAGCAGACCTCCTTCCTCGCCCGAGTAGAAGTGGAACTCGAGAGTGTTCTCCGGTGCGTATTTCGCCTCGGCAAGAACTCGGAGTGCTTCGAGGACAACGACGACGCCCTAGTTTTGTACATCTATTAGTCTAAATCACTGCCTTACAAAAGAAACACAGACAGCCTGCATTGCTATGGAGCTTCAATATCTGGAATAAAACTGACAGAGGCATTATCGTCGGCGCCGGGAGCGCGACCAGAAGTAGTGCTGCCGACAGAGTCGTAGTGAGCCGACACGACAACGACCTCAGCCGATGAGCCAGGAATCGTAGCAATGACACTGGGCTGGTTGTACGAGTGGGTGAACTGCTTCACTTTGATGGCCGAGTTGGCTGAAGCTACGCTGACGACGGTGCTGTACATCCAAGAAGCGCTGGTCGCAGCGTACGAGCCCCGGTAGTACCGGTTGTAGAAGTCGGCCAGTGTGTTGGTCCAGGTTTGCAAGTTGCTCTGCTTCACTTTGGCAATGAGGGCATTTGCCTCGGTCTGGTGGCTTGGCCCTGATGGGAAAGCGGCCGCCTTCTGCTGGGCCCTGGCAGCTCTACGGGCCTCACCCATGGCCTCTAGTTCCTATTGCAAATTATCAGGTTTTCCCATACCATAACGTATCTTTTGTTGTTGTCATATGGTTATCAATGCTCATCTCCTAGACGTACCATGGTGTCGGTGATATCCATGAAGCCGATACGCTTCGAGGTGAGCTTCTCGAACTTCTCCTCTTCAGTCATCCAAGTTCCGGCATCCTCTTCAGATGTCTTGACGAGTCGTAGCCCGTCGACACGCTGGCCGAGAATGGGCCTACCCTCAGAGCGAACGGCAGCAAGAGCGGCGGGCAGAATCGCCCCGAGCACAGCTAATCGTGAAACGCCAACCATGATGATGTCTTCCTTGCACTGTTCTTCAAGGGAGAGCGAGAGCGAGAGCGTGAGAGGGGGTTAAGATTAAGGATATGGTGTGCTCCGTGACACGACGTGCTCCCCGTCCCCCATTTATATAGCACGGCTGCCCTGATGCTCCAAGGGCAGGCGGTCTTCGGTCACAACCTCAGCCCATATCACACACATGTTGGTCGCCTTCTTCTTTGGGAAGACGTCGAGATATGTCTCGGCATTTGGATGGCCTGCCCGAGTTGGCGTAGCAGTGGTGCTTGATTACGACTTCAAGCTGCCCGATGCGGCACTTGTCTGCGCTCCTTGGCGGGCCGAGGCAGGGGCGAGCGCTCGCCAAGCATTGCCAAGTCACCCTTTTATCGTGAGGTGCATCCGTGATAGGTTCTTTCGAGATACTGCCCAGTCGCATCTTGAGGACCTATGCGTGGTGGAGATATATGCATAATAGTATGTCATTGCAATACGAGAATCAGCAGCCCTACGCTACTACGGGTCAGAAAGGTGAACCCGAAATTAAAGATTGATCAGTCTGGACCCTGAGTCTAGTATTGTTCAAAGGTTGACTGACATGACGGAGGAACTATTTTCAGTAGGTTGAGAGCAGCAAGTTCAAGATCAAGTGGTGGAAGACTTGTCTTCGGACTTGTCTCTAGCCTTGCATATCAGAGCTTGATGTTCATTAATACTTGCTAATTAAATGCAAACTGCGAGCCTTGAATTACAAAAAAAAAAAAAAAAAAAAAAAGGAATAAACAGAAATAAACAATGGTACCTTTATGAAAATTATCTTGTCATATCATATTAAGTAATGATGCTTGTACATGTAGTAAGGATCAATAAGCTAGATAAATCTCCCGGCCTAGCTAAGTTACCTATAGGAGGTAAAGCGTACTGTAAGCCAGTGGATCACATTGAAATGCCCCTCCCTCATCGCAGAGAAAAAACCCCCGCCATGAAGCTCAGCTTCAGCTTCAACTTCAACTCCAACTCCATCATACCACAGCATCATATTATTCACACACATAGACTCTCCCTCATAAATATCACACTCACAACAAACGTCCAACCATTCAAAGATGTCCACCTCAACAACGGTCCACCTCACCGCAACATACACCTCCCCGCGCTCATCCGACCCGCAAACCCTCTCCTCAACCCCTCTATCCCTCCCTCTGCCCCCCAATCCATCGACACCGCTCTCCGTCTCCGACAAAACCGCCTACCTATCCTCTCTGCGCAGCGCGACAATTGCTCTGCAAGACCGCATCAACACCGACTTGACCGTGCGTATGGAAGAAGACGTCGCCGCCGCCGCCGCTACTGCTCAAGATTCAGGATCCGCTACCAAGACAACAGCTAAAAGCAACGAGATCGACGAGGAGGAGAATTATGGCGAAGAGCAGGTATCCGGAGATGACGAATGAATGAATGAATGAGGTTATTGTTACGATTATTGTCATGGTTTGGAATAAGAAAGAAGTAGTCCCGCGACATCACACGAAGAATTCACGACGCTGCATTACGGAAACCCAATCTCGAATATATCGTCATCGTCAACGTCATCGTTACGGGCTGAACGTTTCTACTTATCTTTCAGTAACACTTTAATCCGCATACCACGATCAAAGACAAACCAAGGCCCGAGACAACAGTCCCAGATCCCGAACGCAATACACAGACATATTCGATATTCGATTTTCGATTAAACTGATTCGATGATATAACGTTTATTCCTCGAGTGAAAAAAAAATTAAAATTACAACAAATCAAACCAAAAAACGGGTATCAATCAATCAGTCAATCGAAACACCGAAATCAACCAAAATACGAAATAGATAAAAGGCTCCGTTCAGATGCAAAATGTGGCATGATGCAACGTGATGTTATATGGCTTGGCGCGACTCAGGCTTCGATGATCGATGATGGGGTCGGGGGGAATAAAAACAGAAACAGCGCAAATCCGCCGTCAACGCCCGTCCGCAATGCCACGCAATAATTTCTCACCTCCCTTCAACTCGGTTCAACAACAAACTAGCCATGTCTCCCCCAAGACCCCGCATGAACACGCGGACGACTAGCACTTCGCACTTTCCCTTTCCCCTTGCCTAGACAACCATAATGCAAAACGCTATTATCAGGCAGGACGGCCACAACGGTATTCCCCAACCTCTTGTGGCAGACACCGCAGACCCTTTCCTCGGGTATGACAACACGTCTATTGCGTCCACCGCCTCCTGCTTGCCCGCCACTTACTTCATCGCCGAACAACAGGCGCGCCTGCGTATTAACGAGCTGCGTCTTCCGGAGGGCTTCCACAATGCGCGTTTCCGATACCACGCTATTGGCCGCGCGTATGCGTCCGCGAAAGTACGACTCCAGGTCCGCTATGGGGAGGGTATTGGGGATAAGGGACAGCGTCGAGGTCGCTGGTAAGCGGGAGCCGTGTCGCGAGAGGAGAGATAAGGCCGGGTCTAGGTTCTGCTTGTGCGGCTGCGGCGGCGTCAGGTAGAGGGACAGTAAAGTGTGGTAGATGGAGGATGGGGCGTCGTCGTCCGGCTCGGCCTGGTCCACTGCAGGGCTATCTGCTGAACTGTGACGCTCGCTAGGTAACGCATGAATGCGATTACAATACCTGGACTTGTGGTTAATATGACTGCTGTTCTACTACTGTGTGTAAAACATGATATCAAGAGTTGTTCCTCCTAAATCAGAAAAAATAAGAAAAAAAAATGAGGACACTGTCTACGTACTCTTCTGCTTTTACGTAGTCCTGCATCTTGAAGACGTATATTTCAAGTGCTTGCTTATGGTTGCCCATATTACTGAGCACTACAGCTTGCGCCTCGTAGAAAGCCGGATCTGGTCGTAATGTTAGCGACCGGAAAGGAGAACTTGCCACAGAGCGAACTAGAAGACATACCGTCTCGAGGAATCATGCCGAAAGCCCGAGTCAGACCATACGTATGAGTTTCCTTCAAGAACGTCACCAACTTCTGGAGCCTCTCCCCCCATTGGCCATTCCGAGTTTTATTATCTCGTAGAGAGTTGACCAGCAGCTCAACCAACCGATTGTGAAATTCCGGCGTCCCATCCCCTAACTCATCAATGATGTGTTCTAGATATTGGATCTCGAGCTCGACGTTGATACCAGCCAGGTAGTTGACGACTTTCTCACGTGGCAGCGTTTCGGCATTCTCGCTATCGGCAAGAAAGATCTCCATCCCCAGTTCAGGATCCCGCCTAAGAACCCAATCCGCAAATTCCAAGATAAGATCTATCATCTCAGGCGGCAAGCTTTGGAGATAGCCAACCGTCCTCCGAGGTCCTCGAAGCTGCTCAGGGATTTCAACCTCGGCCTCCTCGTGTCCGTTGACCTTGAGCCTGGTCGTCTCTCCATCAGAAGCGGCGTCGCCAAACCTCCGAAGCAATGTCAAGGCATCTCTATGAAGCTTCTTGCCGTAGAAAAAGTCTACTAGCTCATTATAACGATTGTGCTCGAGAAGCTTTTCGTTTACCACGGCCGGGTCACAGAAGTTTGGGATGCGGAACAGGGGCTGGACCAGCGAGGGCTGACATAACATGTAGCCGCGGAATAGGGTGGTGTCAACAAGGGTGAAGGTACGTCGAAGCTCTTGCTCCAGTTGCTCATCCGTTTCAGAGCGAGTATCAGTCAGTAGTGCATCTAGGTTTTCGTCGGTGCTTGACGGCTGGGCCAAGCCAGGCGTGGTCTTACGTGGCCGGAGCCTACCCGTCTCTGGATCGATAACCCGCTGAAGACGGGCTCTGGTACCAGCCAGGAAGCTATTGAGTTCTCGCACCGCTTGGATTAAGTCTTTTCCTTCTAAACGTCCACTATCTTCCGCGCCCCTTGGCTTGGGTTTGATACTAGCAGCATCATCATTATCGGTTACATTGAGCTTCGAGGACGCAATAGAGGCAGCATCGGAATCGATTTTCCGATGACCACCGCCTATCCAGTACTTCGCGAAGCCTCCCGATCCAGGCATTTTGACTGGCGAGGCAGCATTTGTGGTTACATTAGCTTTTGCGCCCTTTTCACCGTTGGCACTAGCTTCATCGTTGTCTCGGTCATTGTCCCCATCTTCTGTCCCCGTCGTCTCCCCTTCCTCGTCACTCTCAACAGAAAGTTCCCCGGCGATGACTCTTGGATATAGCCTAAGAACCCTCTCTGGAGGGGCGTGCACGTCGTCCTCGTTGAACAAATCTAAGCTTTGTCGGAATTTTCTCTGTTTAAAGAGGGTTTCTGCCTTAAGCATCTTCACTTCACGTGTTGTTCCAACTTTATTCTTTAGGAGCGCGTCTTCCAACATGCTCAGCACGCTGATAGCCTCATCGTACTGGGCTTTCTCGATAAGCCCCTGCACCTGGGTATCATAATCTGTCGCGTCCATCTTCCACACGACACGGTCGCTACTGATGTGAAAGCCTTTTCCAGCGTGCGCGAGACTTACATTGGGAGGCGGGAAGTGTAGTTGTGCGGCACCAGGGAGCTCAATAGTCTGCAGGAGATTGAGAGTCTCAGGGTTGCGAACCTCTAATGAACCCTTGGATGGCGGCTGAAGAGCAAGCATGTAGGGGTAGCTGTACCCGATGCTCTCAGGGGCGCTCTGCCAGGGAACCTGGCGTTTTTCAAGAGGCTTTCCATCAGTGTCAATGAAGAGTGAATGTATGTCTTTGGCGAGCAACATCTCACCCTCCGCCAATCGCGCAGCAAGCGGTTTCGGCACGTATCCTCCTAAACCCATGTAGCCCATGCTCGCAGCGCCAAAGCGACTGCCTTGCCCACCAGCAGCGGCAGCACCAACTCCTGCTATTTCCTGGGTCTCGGAGGTGGTTACGTCGACTAGCATATAGCCAGCGTTCATGCCACATACGACTTTGGTAGCGCTAGCCCAGGTAACGGTGCGGATGGCTTCCGATAGCACTACCTCCGTGACATCCTCGTGGAGCTCACTGTCGTGCCAACTCCATAGCAACAGACGTCTCTTGACCGCGACGGCGAGGCGGCTGGTAATCTCAGGGATGCCCGTGGCAGGATCCTTGACGATATTGCTTGTGACAGCGAAGCAGGTGGCATTTTTGGTTCGCGGAATCGTCTCGATCAGCTCGTAAGTCTGAAGATCGTGGAAAGAGATGTGGTAATTGGAGAGGGAGACGAGAGTATTGGCTTCTTTGATGATGGCGAGCTGGTCGATAGCGCGAGTCGAGAACCGTTCCACTTCACGTAAAAGATCGGTAGGTTTCTTTGGGGCGGCCGGCTGCGACGCGGCTTGAGAATGAGAATAAGAGGCGGAGGCGGAGGATTGCGACTGCGTAGGTTGCTGGCTGTCTGGAAGGGATGGCGGGCTGTCGTTGGAAGGCGGTGTCGAAGAGGCAGGCAGCTCGTTCAGGCGATATACGCGGAGAGCGCCAGTGTTCAGGCCAACAAGAACTCGGTCGCCTTGATCAAGAATCAAATTAGCCGATTCCCATTTGCATGTAGCCGACAGGAGGTCTTACCAGAAGCCAAGATGGTCTCAATCTTGGACTTGTCCCGCGACTTCAGCTCGATGATAGGGCGAGCTGTGAATGCAGAGAGCATGGCCGCCACCGGCACCCCTGCGAAGCGCCGTTTAAATTTGTTGGAAACTCATGGACAGGTGAAGAAAAGAACCGATCTGATGTTACAAGAGGAACAGTCGATCTCTGTGTAAGGGTCTCTCATATGCAGTAGGACAACAGGTTCGACGTCGACGTTGTTGAATACTGATGTAGTGTAAGAGACGTAGGTAACTTACAGTAGGAGGTCGGCGGCACCTATATGGCCTATATGTGGAGGAGGTGGTATCGGTTATAGGCACATGCAGGAGGTTAGCTTACCTACCTAGGTAGCTTAAGTAGGGGACCGATGTCATCAGACAGTGCAGCTTACTATGTACATATACCGTGAAGAAACAAAAACGTTCAATACGCGTCTATCCGTCTTCAAGTAACTCGATGAGAATTGATTAATGGCTGATTGATCACATGTATTGTTGTAGGCGTAAACATGGAAGGGACAATCACTGGAGCGATAGTCAGTTCAACGCTTACGAGCCCAGGCTGGTGGCCGCATGGAACTTGGTATCGTGACTGGAGGCCGTTTCTTGACGACAACATCCAGGTACTATGTATCATCTTGGTAAGATGATGAGATCACTAGAAGTTGTGCAACTACTAGTAAGTACAATATGCTATGCCGTGAGAACTTCAATAATACCACACCGCCATCCTCCTTTCAACGCCGCAGCACCACAAAACATATACACTAACCTTAGATATATGTTGTAATGCGTATAATAAACAATATTAGAGACATGATGAAATATGACATATAGGTAGGTATATACTCAATCTTGTACTATGACGGCAAAAAATCTCTACAGTGAACCCAGGTATAATCGGTCTCCAATACCACTAAAAGTCAAATTCCCAAAGACCGTTGGCAATCTCCAAAAGCCTTCTCTGTCTACATTCCGACTATGCACATTGCACCATAGCCAATGGTGACAACGACGCAGAGAGACAGTATGCTGCTGGGAACGCCACGGCTGATGAAATGTCTGACGGTGAGATATCGCTCCCCTGTCGCGTCTTCCTTCATGATGGCAGCTATTGGCAGGCTATTAGTCTGTGCACAAGAAGGGGGGAGGGGGAAGAGAAGGATAGAAGAAAAGAGAGAGCGACGTACTCATATTGGGGAATCCACTGGTTGGAAGACCCATGGCTGCGCTGCACATGAGCGTCGTCGCCATAACCAACAGATTCGGGTGTGGCTCTTCCATCGCCTTTCCGATGTCGTAGACGAGTGGCAAGAGGATAAGAGCTGCGACCGTATGGCTGATGAACGTGGCGATCACAAGTGCCAGGCTCGAGAAGATAAGAAGAACCACATAGAGATCTAGCTCGTGAACAGATGTCGAGATCTTGCTCGCGACCGTGTGAAGTAGGCCCGATGACTCGACGGCCTTGCCAAGCGCGAGGCCACCCGCTGCCAGGATGATGATAGTCCAGGGGAAGTTGTTGAAGTCCTCCTTAGTAAGGATCCCAGTGCCAAAGAATATGACAATGGGAAGAATAGCAATGACACCCATATGGCCGAACGTTGCTTCGAGTGCGTGGCTTGCACACCAGAGACCGATGGTCGCTAAGCAGATGAAGGAGACAAACCACTGCAGGCCCGTGAACTCCTCTCTAACAGAGCGGATAGGAATAATGACTGTACCTTTGCCAGGCTTGAAAGTAAGCAACAGCAGAATCCATATGAGGAAGAGTGACACGATGCCGACCGGAATTACGATGAACAGCCACTGGCCCCATGTTGGTGGGGGTTCCATGATGCCCAACGCCACCACATTCTGCGGTGACGCGATAGGTGACAGCATGCCGCCGATATTAGAGGCGAGCGCTATTCCCATGATGACAGATTTAGACATGTTCGAGCCATGCGGCAGGTTGCGCAACATTGGCTACCACCAAGCGTCAGCAGGTCTCCCATGCTAGGTTTGGTACAGATACTCACCTCGATGATACTAAAGCAGAGAACTGGTGCAGCAACATTACTGACGAGCATGCTCGCAAATGCAGCGACAAACATGTTGGCGATGAGCACCGTCCGCGGACGTGTGCCAGCCTTGCTCAAGACGAACGTGGCGATGCGCTTATCAATCCTACACTTCGACAAAGCCGCGGCAACGGTAAACCCACCGAGGAGCAACATGATGACAGGCGTCCACATAGCCGAGAACACATAGTTCGTAGCATCGTGCGCGTTCAGTCTCCGATGCGGCGCCTCGTCAGACCGCACCACCCTGAGAACGACGCAGAGAAATGGAACAAGCAGTGACGTGACAAAGAGGGGGATGGCCTATGATTGTCAGTCCAGCCCAACCATACATTTGTTGCGTGAGAAGATGGAAGTTTACCTCGGTAGCCCATAGCAAGCTGACAAAGATGAGCATAGCGAAGCAAGCCTGTTGCTCTGGCTTCTCGATGATGGGGACGGCCAGGAACACCAAGAAAACAGCGATGATGGCCAGTGTCGTCAGCATGGATGAGCCCAACATCCAAGATGGAAAAGAGAAACGGCCGACGGGTGTGACGACCTCTGTAGTCGACACATCAGGAGCGTCGTCTCCTTGCAGCCTCACTTTCAGGCCGTCGTTTGAGCCTCCGAGGAGGCCTTTACCAAGGCTAGCCGCTTCGGCGCGTCGCTCCATACCGATCAGCTCTCGCCAAACTGTATTCCTCTCCCATACGACGTGCTCTCTCAAGTGTGACCGCAGGTCTTTCCTGGCAAGATATTCGTCTCCTTGGGTTACGAGATTGGCATATGCCGTCTCCATCTTCCCGATATTCCCTTCTAGCTGGTTCACAGTCTCGGGCAAAAAGGTATAGGACTTGCCGACGGTGGTTTCCATGTACTTAGTCCGGAGCTGCCTGTCAATAATCTTGTCAAACTTCTTGAGAATTTTATTGAATCCAGTCCTGTTGAGCTGTACGTAGGATTTGAGTTCGCACAGCTGGACGTAAAGACCAACAATGCGCTTCTTGAGCATGATACCATCCGTATATAACTCGGCCGTCTCAGCATAGTCGTCGAAGCCCGTACTATGCCTGCGCATCGATTTAGTGAGCTCGGTGGAGGCGGTCATGTCTGTGGGAGCACGCACATTGGCGACTGTGCGGCGTCGCCCGTGAGTGGTGCTGAGGCCGGGTCGGTGATGCTTGTTCAATGCCGACGTCTCGTCTCCATCGTCATCGTCGCTGTCCTCGATGCCATCATCCGTAGAGTACTGCACGCTGTGGGTACTACGGCTCATCCTTGAGGCACTCGTTGGTTTGACCTGGTCGGCGCTGTGTTGAATTAGTTCACCTTGTCCACCCCCGCCATCGTCATCGTATGAATCCATATCCCGCATTAAATCCTCGACCTCGTCGAGAAGCTCCTTCTCTTTAACGCCAAAGAAGGAAGAGATCTTCTCTAGTTCGACATCGAGCGCCCTTGCAAAGACGGTCTCGGGATCTTCATCTCGAAGGAGGGGCCGAGTCTCGACATCGGCGACACCGGGCTGATGTACCGTCTTCTCGAGTTGGTAGATGCTTTAAAGGGTAGTCAGTAAGGGGTCGAGGATAGAGCCAAGACGATAGGTCACGGATAGCTAGACTGACAGCTTCTTGAGATTGCTGTAGGCGATGTAGTGGCTGCTCCAGTCCGGAACAGCGTTGAACTGAACGCTATGAGAGAACTTCATGTCGTCTTCTTGGTCGAGCCACCTCTTCTTTTCTTCCCTCTTGGCTATTCGCCTGCGTTCGCGAGAGACTTTGTCTGGGTGGTGTGTGTTGGGGTATTCGTCGAGCTCGACGTCGTCACCAAGGACACGGGCAACGGGCTCGGCTCGATGACTCCCCCCTCTGTCGATCAGAGCGGCTTGTCGGGCGAGACCGGCGTCACGGTGAGAGGAGGGAGGGCAGGCTACGTTTCGGTGCGGAATGGTGAATGGCGGTTCATCCAAGCTGTCCTATATGTTCTCGGCGCAGGGTAAAGATCGTAGGTAGGCACGCCAGACGGAAGCGCGCACTTGGGACCCGTCGGAGTAGTCTAGGGGGTATTACAAACGACTATATCATCGCTCTCGGGGGATAAGCCGAATATGAAAAGAACAACGATCGACTACCATGTATACGTAAATATATGAAGCCAAGATGGTGAGCAAGGCACAGGTAACGGGCGCTCGATTATGTGGAGCGCGCTACACGGCTTTTGCATACTGTTACGGTACCCGCTTAGGTATCCTCTAGCACGCTACCTACGTAACACGGGTTCTGCACGGGAAACGTATGCGTCACAACGTGAAAAATCTAGTAAGGCAACGAATCACGCAATACCACGACACAGATTAAAGACTTGAGGATTGGCAGGCCCACGCCTATTATACATGAGAGAGCAGAGGATTGATTCATCCAAAAGACCTCATTATGGAATCAACTGAGTACCTTAGGTAGGTACCAAACACCGGCTCGAAGCGGCGTTCTCCTTCATCTCACCCATCGATGTCCATTCGACATGCAACGTAGCAGACGGCCGGGTTTCTACACCGCATGCATGATCATGTCTCTAGGAAAGCAGCTGGTTCCTGAGTGAGGGGTCAGTCGAAGCCGGAAATATCACTGCCTATCATGCCGGGAATGGCAGGTATAGAGGTAGGTATTAAGATACCGATAGCGGGCATCCTTTTTGGCATTGTGGCGAGAAAAGTGCCCCAACTGGACGGCGACAACTCCGAGCTGTCGACTACCTCTCTCGCCTATCTACGTACTCACCGATCTACTACTGCCATGGGCTCTGCATGGAATGTAAGAAGGCAGGTCATCCAGGAAATTTCACACCTACTACTACTACAACAGCTCATCACGAACGATACCACCACAAAAGTCATTCCTAAATCCTCGAGGGTCTTTGTCCAGTTTATAGCGCGTTATATACATATCGATTGGAACATGATTGCACTCCCAATTGCTTGCTTCCTCTGACACCGGTAGTGTTGACGGTAGTGTTGACAGTATTAGTCTCAACGCCTCCCCGCCGCTTACTGCTGCTGAGGAGGATACCTAAGCAAGGCTCTTTCCATACTTGACGGAAGGGTGTTCACCCAACCTCGCGAGCCAGTCCTTGAAAAGAGGGTACTCATCATAGCTGATGTCTATAGCGCAAACGATCAGTAAACTTCTCGAACATACACCCCGCTCTATCTCGAAAGGCAGATAAGAAGCAGGAAAGGTGGATGAACTTACCAGCGTCAGGCAATGCAGTGCCGATTATAGCCGACCACATGTACCAGGCAATATCCGCAAAAGTGATCTTGCCTCCCACAAGCCAAGGTCCGTCGCTGCTAATACCCTTGGCCTTCTCTTTGGCGAGGTGGCCCTCGACTACGCCGGTGACGCGGTAGATCTCTTTGACGTACCGATCTACGGCACTCTGGATTTTTTCCGGGTGATACCTGGTAAACCACTTTTGACGACAGTCAGTACCTAGAGTACCTAGAGAGGCTTTCTTTTCATGGTGGACGAGGAATCAAGAAATGGCCGCTGGTTTCACTCACCACTGCCTGTCCAAAGTAAGGGCCCTGGCCGGATACTTGGAAGTATAGCCACTGCTTCGTGAGGTAGCTCTCGTTCGAGCCCTTGGGGAAGCTGATCTTGTTGTCCTTGTCGTACGTCTCGACGAGGTACTCGATGATGGCGCCGGACTCCCATAGCGTCAGGTCGGTGTTGGGGTCGTAGATGGCGGGCAGACGCCCGTTAGGGTTGACAGCAGTATATTCGGGGCCCTTGATATCGGCAAACACAACTTTTTCGATCTCGTAGGGCAGGCCGAGCTCCTCGAGGATCATGATGACCTTGGGCGGGTTGGGGCCCAAATCGCCGTAGGCCTTGATAGGTTTCAATGAAGAGGACATTGTGGCGAGTAATTGTATGTGGTATGAATATGAAATTGACAAGTGTTTTTATTCGTCGCAGTAGGCTAGGTAAGTAGCTATGATAGGGCAAAGTGTCGTGGTGATGATGATTGAATGAAGGCAGGTTCATCACAACTCCGTACACACTGTTTATATACAAATAGCGTACGCCGCCTTCCTCAGCATAAACTCCCCTTTATCGTGGTGCTATCCACAAATGGTTCCTGATGATGTTAGAAATCGACACACACTATTACCTCGCTCATCTTGGGATATGCAGATTACAAAGCATCGACAGATTGGTAAAAGGTAGACCACTTTTTGCTTTGGCACGCGTAGTTACTCCATAGTACCTATTATTCCGCTCCTGATATGGTATTTCTCAGCGCGCGGGCGGTGGGGATACGACTCCTTCATACTACGCACTCGAGGCACTACTACAAGCCAAGCTTGCGGAACATCGTGGGGAACTTGTTTGCCGTATTAGGCCGGACCTTGTTTGCCGTTTTGGGTTATCCATATTAGTAATTTCACTGTGGATAACGGGCAGTCGGCCGAAATCGCCGGATAGTCGCGCGGCACATAGCCTCATGTCTTGCCATCGGCTGTTGCCATTGGACGTGAAATGCAAGACCACGTATTTGAGTCGGCGAGTTTGCGCATTTCAACTGGATACGCCACTGTTACATCCTATATTAACAGTCTGACAGCGTTGTCCCGAAGTCCGGCCGTCGTTTTCTTCCACTTATAAATCACACGGGCGGGACAAGTTACTACGGGTTAGGTAAGTAATCTTAGCAGTTGAGACGTTGGAGCATACGCTAAATTCCGGGAAAACTTGCGGAGCAGAGCTCAACAATCTTGGCATTTATGTTCATTTGCCGTTTCCACCAGCGGATATATCTCGAAGATAGTTTGCTAGTTCTCCATTTACTAACTTGCAGTGGTCCACTCTCACTGATGTATCATATAATTGTTGTTTAAGCAAAGAAAAAAATCTGATAGAAAATAGAAAGTGCTAAGCTAATATTGAGGACCCCGGAGGAGGTGTATCTCTTAGACTTGGATCAAATGTCTGTGTATGCTGAGATAGAACGTTAGTGGGCTGGATTGCAACTCAAAGAAGAGAATGTCATCATTTGCAAGATTGCCAACCCTCAGCATAAGACCATGTGAGACCCCGAATTCAGTATGGTGATTTCACATGCCTTTAGACCATTTTATGGTCCGGAGTATCTGAGAGAATTTTCCTCTCCGTCTCCTGGGCAGAAACTTCGTTTGTCATCGCTATGCCAGTCGTGTCTAACTCCAGCGCTGTGGTTGAATGCGGCAAGGAATCGTTATTGTTGCCTTGTTGTGTAAAGTGGGCTACTGGAACAGAGGGCAGACTTCGGGGCCGCTGAATAGATTTTCTCAAGCTCACAGATTCTATCACGGATTCCAGGGTGCTAGATGATAATATCGGCTGACGTGAGGGCCTGGAGAGCGTATAGCGATTCAGTGGAGGTTCCTGGCTATCCTGTGGAGGTTCGTCCGTTGGTGGGACCGGTTGGCCTTGTTGAACAGCCGTTTCTCTATGTGGCGACAAATATGTTGACGACGAAGCTAAGGTGAGAGGGTGGTATGATCGTCGAAGTTTCTCTATGGCTCTGCTAAGGTTTCCGGGGATTGTCTTGAAGTTTTGCTCAGTAGCTTGTGTGTTGTTGGAACTGTGATTTCCTAGTTTTGTGTCCGGTAGCGGATCATTACCATACTGGCAGTAAAAATGCACAAATGAGGTCAGTGTTACAATCGTCAGGCCGATAGCGACGGGAAAGTATATGGCGATATAGCCAGACACAACTGGCAGCCGAGTTTCGAGATCACTGTCTGTTGTTGGCATGTTGCCCTTGCCAACGGGACGGTATCTCCAGTCTCTCCAGTCATTGTTCTATTGAAAGATGGGCATGCTCATTATGGTCTATCGTGGTCGTTAGCAGTATGTTCACAGTAATATTGGTGAGATCTAAGCCGTACCGCAACAGCCGTCAATGGCAGATAGATCAATGCAATCAAGGAAATGACAACACCAAGCCTGGAATTTCCAGCACTGGATAAGGCTTCTTGCCGTGCAAGCTCGCTTCTGATCTTCCTGGTGTAAGTAAAGTAGCGAGCTCTCAAAATTGGAAGGCTGAGAAGGTGTGACTTACAATATCTGTTGTAAAGGATATGTCTTCAACGCTGATACGGCACTCAGCGCTCAATCTATCCAGCCGACTAAGGATATCGTTGAGCCGCTCCTCGAAGATACGCGTCGTGTCGATTTTCAACTCCAATGCTTGCCGTATCTCATTATTAGTACCACTAGCATCTTCGCTGCGGGAAGACGTAGTTGAGCATGGCATAGACTTGGTATTCGAGTCAGCAGTCATCTGGTTTGGTGTGCTGTTGCTTCCATCGCTACTAGTGTCGTATTGTGCCTTGTATTGCGCTAGTAGCTTACTGATTGATGACGAGACGGCATTGGATATTTGAAGCCTAGTTGTGTTTACCTCAGCTTCAATCCTTTTGCCCCGTTCTCTGGCACGACGAACGTCCTCAATCAACTCCCAGTTAATTTTATCTCTGCTATTACGTGTGGCGCTGTTCTGCACATCCATCAGCAGGTTTTGGTAGACATTGCCCTGTTTTACGGTTAAATGCTCTAGACGTTCTGAATGTAACTCTGCACATATGCCGAGCATCAGAAGTGGATGTTCAACAGCATCTCCCCAACCCTGCATTAGATACTTCACGCTATCAATCTGATTTTCGGAACAACCCACCATGATAGCGAAGGCGACATTATGGGTTAGGAAGTGTGTCGCGGCGAGAGCGAAGGCAGGATGCTTAGGAAGACCATACTGTGGGTGAGTCATTGCCACATGCATCCAGAGTCTTCCTTTGAAATTGTTGTTGAAAGGAAATGTGCGAGGTATAGAGATGATAGAGGTCGCATTTCTACCCACAACTCTATCATAATGTCCTGGCAAGCGGAATGCGGTTGCAATTCTTTCCCAATGGGCCTTACTGATCGCAGGAAGGTCGGTGTATGCACCGGGAACGGTAACAGGCCCCTGTCCTGAATTCAATTCGACATTGGATGGAGCGGGAATGAAACTGTGAGAATATCCAGAGTCAGAATCATTTGGAGCCGTTGGAAACACTGGGCATATGAAATAGCAGCTAAATATACAGGATACAGTATCCATTGCTATGGAGCGAACTAGTGTTTAAAGCTTCGTTCTTAGGAATCGAATCGACGAACTGCTCGTCAAATGCGATTAGCTACATATATACAGTTGCCAAAGCTTAGGACTTCCATGATCGTGATCGTGGTGCTGTTAAAAAAAATCCTTGACTCACCTTCATCATCCGAGGATAGCACCTGAACCAATGGCCGTCCGTTACCTATCTGGCGAGCCTGAGTAATTCTTGAAAAGACTCGCAAGGAGCGTGAAAATCTCACCAATGGCTTCTCATCTACGGCAAATTTGTAATTGTATAAGACTTGGCAATATCCACCAGTTTGATCACTACAGGCGAAATGACGGAGCCGTGAAGGAGCTACGAAAGGGTCGGAATTAGGAGCCCAATCCACGAGTCATTAATGCTTTATATGAAATATTGTTTCAATAGCCAAGTTGTTTGACAAGATGCTTGAAGTAGTTGAGCATATAGCTAAATTGTATAGATATTGGATGACTTCATTGAGTTAAGCTGTTGCGTATCTTGAGGCTTTTGCGCTCAGCCTCACTATGTACTTCTGATAACGAGATACTCCAACTCCAGGTGGCTTAACATTCATTACTCCGCCCGTGGCTGGTAAGCTCGAGACGTAGCATTCAACAGTTTCCCAAAGGATAAGTCCATCAAGTTCAACTTCAATCGACAGGGACCGAATCCTCGACGATGGTACCTCTATCTAGTGTGAGGTTTTGTCCATTTCCGAGAAGACCTAAAAAGCCCAGTCGATATGGAGCCGAAGATAGAATGGATGAGACAGACGCTGCGGTACTCGTACATCAGGCCAAAAACGATGGTAGCATATCTGAAGTCATTATTCCCAGATCCCGCGGATTACAAAATTGAGGCATGCTACTCATATAAGTTACCGTTCTGTCTTTTATATAGATAACCAGATATACTAATTCGTCCAATTCTCTACCAGCAGCAGGATATGTATTATGTTATCACCTCAAAGGGGGGGCTAACTGAGGTAAGGACTGTCAATTAGTCTCTATTGTCGCCCGGTATTACTAAGTTAGAGCTTAGCTGCAAATCAGTGAAATCGAGAAGGGTATGGTGCGACCATCTACCGCTGCTCATGGCGCGACCAATACATCTGAGTATGCAGCAAGTGAAGCGTCTGGTGCTGTCTCTTCGCCATCACATCAGTCTCAGGCAGATATGAAGTATAGTAGCAGTAGATCGGATGATAAAACCATGGAAGGTCAATCTACGGCCGGAAAGGAGGAAGAACAAAAGATTGCCAGTGGTCTGAGAAGTTCATTCAAGGTTATAAAAGGTTTTTTAAAGAGAGACGGATCACAGTCGAAACACATTGATTGATTGAGCGATTGATTGTGTTTAACGTCGTAGGGGGGGCACTGGACCCGGGTCTCTGCAAGGAAATTAGGGACGCGGTATGCTATTCTATGAAGCAGGCCATTGCAGGTTGTTTATGATCCTCGGTGATATACAGATAGTATTGAAAATGAGGTTATACAGACTTCGCTTCATAAAACAAGCCAATGAGGCCTAGGCGGTAAGGGCTGGTAGACCAGGTGTATATGGAGCCAAGCCAGGCTACCAAGGCCAAGAAGAAATTGGTTGGCAAAATAATTCTGCAGCTCTATTAGATCATTATATTGCGAATAGCATCAAGTCTTAAAGCGAGGAAGAAGGTATTTAGACTTCTTTAGGGTTGCATTATGTTCTTAATTGCTTTGTTCCTAGTGTAGAGTAATAAGGTGTTATAGTACTGCCTAGCTATGGTTTCGTGTATTTGTTCTATTATTATATAAGGAGGGAAGTTCTAGTTTTTGCCCTTTATTCCCTTTCCTAGCGTTATATATAATATTCTTTAATTCGTATTATATATTGGAAATTAGGCTTCCTTAATTCCGTAATAATATTTTCCTTTTTTAAATATAATTAATTTTAATTATATAAGTTTAAATTTATTTATAATATAGTTATATAATATATATATTATATTATTTATTTTAAGCTGTATTTTTTTTAGGGCGATATAATAGCGCTTTATAGCTTTACAGTAGAATTTTTTACTATATTAATTAATTATTTATCCTATATGCTTTTTTATTTTTCCTTTTTCCTTTTTTATATTTATTTTATTACCTTTTTATAATTATAATGCTTAGTTTTATTTTTAGTTTTTTAAAAAAGGTTTTTTTAAACGCTTTATTTATACCTTTTTTATTTTTTTTTATTTATTACTATTATTATTATATTAATATATATATTTATTTTTATAAGTAAAAAGTTTTATTTTTATTATTTCTAAATTAACTTTAACGTATATTATAAAGAAGGCAGTATTATTTAAAAGGTAATACTATTTTATTTTATATATATATTTAAAGGTAATATTTCTTTAACCTATTATATTTAATATAATAAGTATTATAATTTATATAAGTTAATATATTAATTATATTTTATTAATATTTTATCCTTATTTTATAATTTCCTTTATTATTTTTAATTTTTAATTATATTTTTTTAAATAAATAATACTTTTAATAATTAAAAATATTTATAATTTAAATTTACTTTTATTTTAATATATTAGTTTTTAATATATTATTAATATTATTACTATTGCTATTAATTTAATTATATTATATTAATATATATATTTATTAATATTATATTATAAAGTTATTGCTTTAATTATTAATTTTACCTTTATATTTAAAAATATAAAAAAGGAAATTTATAAAGTATATATATTTATAAGTATTAAAAAGATAAAAATAATATATATTACTTTTATATAATTATTTTTTTAACATTTATTAATATTTTTTTTATTTTTTAAAAGGATTATATTATTTATAATACTTACTTTAATTATTATTATTAATTTACCTTTATTTTATGATTATATTTTTATTCCAATAATAAAAAAAAAGTCTATACTTAGAAGGACTTTTAATTATTCCGTTTTTAATTTAAAAATATAGTTATTATAGTTTAACGTTTTATTAAAGAAAATTTTTATAATTTTCTTTTAATAAATTTTTACCTTTATCCTTTTATTTTTTATTTTTATTATTTTTTTATTATAATAATATTAATATTTTAATTTAGAATTTTTTATTGTTTAATTTTATAATTATAAAGTTTAATAATAATAAAGTTATTAAAATTTTCGATTTTTTCCCCTTTATCCTTTAAATAATTCAGTTTTAAATTAATATAATTATAATTAAAAAAGTATAAGTTTAATTTAATAATATAAGTTTTAATCCTATTAATTTTTATTATTTTTTTTTAATTCCTTTATATTTATTTAATTTTCCTTTAATTTTTTTTATTTAGTTTAGTTTAGTTTAGTTTAGTTTTAATTTAAGTAACGCTTTAACGTTCGGTTATTTTATTTTTACTATTTATAGCTTTTCGATTTACTTTTATTATAATAATAAATTTTTAATTTTTTTTTTTTTAATAAATTTTTAAAATAACTCTTCTTTTTTTATATAAATTTATAGTTTTTTTTTATATCCCTTTTTATATATAGCTTACATTTTATTATTTATACCTTTACTTTAATAAATATATAATTTTTAATAATTATTTTATTTAAAGTATTTTTAATTAATATAATAATTCTAGTTTAAAAAGGTTAAAGTAATAAAATATTATTAATTTATTTTTATAGCTTTTAAAGTTTACTATTAATTTTTAAATTAATTAATAAAAGGTTAACTATTTAATTTTATACTTAAATCTTATGTTTTTTTTTTTTTACTATTTAAAATCTTTTTAAATAACTATTTTATTTTTTTAATTTTATTATTATTTTATAAAATTATTTTTTTTACTTTATTATTATATAGTTTATTTAAAGCTAATTATTTTAAAAGGCTTTTTTTTATTAAATATATTAATAATATATAAAATATTAAGAATATTTTATATTATTAAAGTAATTATATAGTTATAATTTATTAATATATTTTTATTACTTTAAAGGGGCCTATTTATTTATTTTTTAATTTTAATATAGGTTAACTTATTTTAATATTTTTTATATTAATTTAAACTTTATTTTTTATTATATAGCTTAAAGTATTTAATTAATATATATTTATATTTTTAATATAACATTTTTAAAATATAGTTATTAATATTTTAACCTTTTTTATTATTTTTTAAATCCTATTAATTATATTTAATATAGTTAAGAATTTGTTTTATTAAGCTTTTATTTTAATTTTAATTAGGTTTTTTATTAATTTAATTTTTATAATAGGGTACTAACTATAATTTATAAAAAAAAGGGTTAACTTTATAGTTTTAAATATTTAATTATTTATTATAAATTTAATTAAAAATAGCTAATTTACTTAATTATTTTAATAATAATTATAATAAGCTTTTAAATATTATTTTATTATAATATTAACGATCTTTATCTATTTATTAATTTTTAAATAATATATTATTAAGGTATATAACTATATATTTAAATAATAATTTAATTCCTTTTAAAAGTAGGATATAAATTATAAGCCCTTATTTAATATAATTATTTTTAATATATTATATAAATAATATATTTATATTATAAAAACCTTTATTAATATATTTATTATTTTATTTTTATAAACTTATTTATTATAATTAAGATTAATTTATATTTTATACCATTTTAAGTATATAATAATAAAAGGTTTATTTAATTTATTAATATATTTATTTATAATTTATATAATATTAAAAGGAGTTTAAATAGCTTAATTAATACTACTTTAAAGTTTTTAATTTATTAATATAAATAATATCCTTTAATAAAGGTAGCTATATTTTAAAATATCTTTAATTAAAAGTAGAAATATTTTAAAAGGTTTTAACTTTTATATTAATTTAAGTATTCTATTAATATAAAGCTATATATCCTATATATAATTTTTAACTTTATTACTATATTTTTAAAGATATATAAATATTCCTTTATATA